GCTTTTATACTAAAATAGGTGAGGGTGATATTACAAGGGATATTTAAAAACATTATATTCTGTCTAGTACTAACAAATAGTGATTTGTAACCCTTTCACCCACTGAAGCAAGTCATGTTTTTGCTTGTCAGTGGAGGTGTTCGTGACACCCCTGTTTAGGAAGACTGTACCAGAGGCATGTCAAGTGAGTTAATCTTAGCCTTCCCAGCAGTCATGTGTATGATTAAGACAGTGCTAGCTTCTACGAGATGTGGTTATTCACTACATTGGGAATTGGGAAAAACTTTCTAGGGAAATGCAAAATGTAATCCTTAATAGTGGAGACAGACAAATTGATGGAATAATAAAAAGTTATTTAATATAAAATTATTTTGGCCTAAAATGTTCAGCACGTCACAATTTGTGGTTTAGCGGTAAATATACTGTTGGGTGAAGTCTAACCACAGCTGTCATATTCTCATGCATTTGCCAGCTGGGCCACTATCCATGCTATTTCTTTCCCTTCTCCCTCATCTATAAGTAGTCATAGAAGTATCCAATCACCAGACCAAACCTGAATACAATATTCCTATCAGCTGGATACATGGAACTTCAAACCCCTTCTTACGGGGCCACCACCAGATCCCTTCAGTTCTCTGGTTTCTGTTCTGGTTTTAATGTCTTTGTATTCATTAAACATAAAGTCACACAAACTAGTGGCAAAAACCCAGCAGCCTACAAAGTCAAACACTCGGACTGCGCAATGAAGGTGGCTGGTAAAATGAAACCCAGATCGTGCACCCAATGTTCCTGTCTCGGCTCCAAACAGTATTCCTGCCAAAGGCTATTTTACTTGCATAGTCCAATGTTCATGTTTTATATTTTAATATGTTTCTTGCGTTTTCAAACACAATTTGCTCACATAGAAGAGGTAAATTATACCAAATTATATACCTGCACATGTGCAATCCTAAGTAGGTACTCCCCAGTGTATCATATATAAGCAATAAATCTAAACTCAGTATACACACCACAAGAAATGCTAATATAAATCTAGCTTTATTGCCAATAATATGTCCCAATATAAACATATCACACAAAAATGAAGTCACATCAATACCAGAGCAAGACACAAATCACACACACACACACAGACCCACCCCTCCCCCAAATAGTTTTGGCACGATCAGGTGCCTTTCTCAAGGAAAGTATGCTTGACGTATTATTGGCAATAGAGGTACATTTATATTAGCATTTCTAGTCTTGAGTTTTCAAATTGGATTCATAATGCTTTTACAATCTGAATTCCATCAGGAAAATAATTCATATTCATAACACAATCATAATGGTCAATGTACAAAGACAGCCATGATATGATAAAATTTGCCTAAATCCATGAAAGTGTTAATTACAAGCAGGATCCTAAAAGAATTGTAACATTTTGGTGATTTGCTAGCCCTAGCTTAGTCTTAGTCTTACCAGCACCGTTTTGCTCTTGCTCAGAAACCGCTTTGCTACTACTCAGAACTCTTTGTTTTTGGCCTAAAACCTAAAAGTCTCTGGTCAGTTCCAAACAATTCACAGTTTAGTGAATAACCTTGAATATTTTCAGAGACTACAGGTTAGAGAGACCTTAAAGATATAGTTCATGAAGTTATCAATCAGGAGGACAGGGAATAAAAGGCACCCAAAGATTTTTTTTAGGGGGGACGCATTTGCATTTTGGCTCAATCCTTCGGCGGGGAAAACGATGCAGCAGGGGTTTATGGGAAACTTGTACTCTCCCTCAGGCTTTCTATAGTAAAATGTCCCTAATGTGCCAACAGACATCTATACCTCTCTTCATGCTTGATAAAACTGAATGAGAAGCACTCATGCCAGTGTATAGAAGCCAAAAGGAATGTCCACAAACTCGCACACGTGTTTTTTAATGGTAGAGAAGCATTAAATACATTTATTTGCACAAACTTGGCTTCCTGCATCCATTATATGTTACTATTAGGATATGGTTCTTCATTGTATGCATTATATCAATGTTACTATCAATACATAAATACCACCCTCATACGCCATAGCCTAGTTACTATCTTTATACTGACTCTGAGATCATCTTTTTAAATTGGAAATACCAGCTTATATGTTACTATTAGGATATGGTTCTTCATTGTATGCATTATATCAATGTTACTATCAATACATAAATACCACCCTCATACGCCATAGCCTAGTTACTATCTTTATACTGACTCTGAGATCATCTTTTTAAATTGGAAATACCAGCTGTAAAGGGTTACTTGAAACAGATCTTACATTTTCTTTATTTCTAATGTAATTTACATATTGTGACTTTTTCGCAAGGTTTACAGCCCCCAACATTTTTCGGGTGAAAAACATTTTAAAAATATCTTAAAACTTATATGCAATTCAGTGCCAGGCCAAACTCTCTCAGATTCCTAACAGACTAACGTCATCATGCTGTGTCATTGTCTTACGGCTTGCAGTCCAATCAAATGCTTCTCATACAGATTTATTGTTGGACTATGGACAAATATGTGGCAAAAGCTACAAATGCACCAATCAGCTTCTTCTGATAGAGACGCATTGAATTCAGTGCTTGTCTATCAGAAGCAGTTGATGCTACACTGCACTAAAAGTGGTCATGACTGCAGAAACCGTTGAAGCCTATCTACACACCTGTGACAGTTTGTTTTTAATAAATCACAAATGATAATAAACATTAGACGTGTGCAATTCGTTTAGTTCTGAATGTACATTCGGCCAATTTTTTGTGTGCAAATCGGACATTCGGATGCTTACGAATGTCTGAAGTGACGAAGTTCCAAAGTTCGGTAAACGGGCAGAGTCCTTGACAGTTGCTTCCAGTAACACGGGAGCAGTTGAGACTGTTTATAGGATCTTATATGCCATCCTTTCCTGGTGGTTACTTATTTTCTATCACTGTTGATTTTGCATGTGCTTATGGAGACTAACTGAACTTCCTATAGTCTGCGGTTGCACATGATGCAAGTAGTTAGTCCCGTGAAGTAACTAAATAAGCCTGTATATATTGCTTGCCCAGCAAACTACAATATGCCGCTGGTTTAATGCTATGCTTGTAGATAACGCGATAATATTTTCAGCCAGTTCGGCAATGTTTAAACGTCTCTAATCGCTACTATATATGTTGGAACCATAGCATATTTATCGTAATAAGCTGGATGACCCTACCGTGACCCACACACTAGACAAGCAAAGCTAGCCTATACTCAGTATGTTTAAGAACCTTAATATGTTACTAGCCTGTTTTATCTTCTTTTTTTTTTAAATGTGCGGTTAATCTATGCCATGACTATGTATGCCATTGAAACACCTGTACACGCTGTCGTGGCGCTATAGGCCTCTCTGTTATATGATCAAAGGCACAAGAAAAATAATGAATTAAAAACAAAGTTCGGTGGTTCGGAAGTTCGGAAGTGCCGAAGTTCCGCATTGCCGAAGTTCCTAAGTGCTTCAGATTTCTGAAAAGTGGCAAAACAAGAGAGAGGGAGGGAAAATTACTTGAATGATGACAGGAATCTTGATCAATAAACGTATTCCTGGCACTGGGAGCCTTATAGAAGTGTAAGTGGTTGTGGTGGCAGTCATGGCACTGGGAGTCCTACAGATGTGTAAGTGGTTGTGGTGGCAGTCCGGGCACTGTGAGGCGGGAGCCCTATAGATGTGTAAGTGGTTGTGGTGGCAGTCCGGGCATTGGGAGCCCTATAGATGTGTAAGTGGTTGTGGTGTCACTCCTGGCACTGGGAACCCTACAGATGTGTAAGTTGTTGTGGTGGCAGTCTGGTCACTGGGAGCCCTATAGATGTGTAAGTGGTTGTGGTTGCACTCCTGGCACTGGGAACCCTACAGATGTGTAAGTGGTTGTGGTGGCAGTCCAAACATCTTTTTGATTCATGCAAACAGCATTTTGGAGTTACAAAATTTTGACAAAATGCCAGTTGGCCAAAATTCAGATGATTAAGATTTGTTCAAAACTAAATGCACAAGTCGGTTGGGTGGTGACAGGTAAATAGCAGTGAGCTGACGAGTTCTTCGGGTAATGATAAAAACGTATAGGACGGAACTACAGCCAACAGAAGTTTCCATCAACTTACACATTTTATCATGAATGACAAGCCACAAATATGTTGTATTATGTAAATGTGCCTTATTTATGTATTACAGCTCAGTTAATATATAGATTCAGGCCTCATGCATAATAGCATAATTAATTCCGGTATATCGATATGAATGAATAATAACTGAATTACTGCTAATATACGGATAGCAACCTTAAATATTACCTACCCATTTCCAACAAGGAACTTTGAACAAGCTTGTACAATGTAAGAGGTTGGATCTCCCAACACTAGTTTCTTGCTAAAATATATGCGGCTCATGTATAAATAGTGTAATCTCTAACACGAAGCACGATCAATGTCTACATATATATATGTATGCATAAAAACATTGTCTAGGTTTATGTATCTTTTTAACACAGTTTTTGTATAAAAATAGACGCATAAGTGCCCTATTTTATACATCATTTTATTGAACGACCATTCTCCACCATTTTGTATTTAGTGTTTTCCCTCATTGTACTTTGACAATTTTTATTTTCGAAGGAACAAAAAAGGTGGTGGGGGGGGGGGGTACAGAATCGCCCCCCTTTTTAATGTCCGGTATAAACTGATTTAGACACCATTTTAGGCTTGATCCATGCCATAGCCATTAAAATAAGAAATGACTACAAAAAAAAAAAATGACCACAAAGTTAATGCTTAGTGATGTTAAATTCCACCAACATTGATAGCTAACTTCTCTGACGTCACAGCACCACTTTTTTCTTACTGAAAGCCTTAAACTAGCCCCTCCCCCATTCCAAGCCTGGAGCCATGGGCCGCGTGTGACGTCACTGGGCAGGAAGAGTCTCCCCGGCCATACCTCACCATTGGCAACAGGGGCAAGTCTGCTCTCCCTGCATCCCATTGGCTGGCACTGGGAGGCGCGCCTGATTGGACGGTGCCTGCCAGGTGGGCGTGCACCTGTGACGTCAGACGGCGTGCCGGAAGTGGCTCAGTCAGTCAGTGCGGGCGGTGAGCTCGGCCCTGTGTCTCCTACCTGTTTGCCCCCCTTTACACCAGGTGCGTATCGGCGGCCAAGGCACCGCGCTGCATGTGTGGCTGGCATTGAGCTGCTGGATACCTGCGACACGGGGGCGGCTGTGACCCCCATTGCAAACACCCCCCGCTTAGCCATGCACACAGGAAACCACCCCCTGGGTCCTGCTCCACACTCTGCATGCGCTTAGTACCGGGGTCCTCACACTCCGCCCCCCAGATGTTGCAGAACTACAACTCCCATGATTCTCTGGCTATCTGTGTAATTCAAAGAATCATGGGAGTTGTAGTTCAGCAACATCTGGGAGCCTGAGTTTGAGGACCCATGGCTTAGTACATAGGCGAGTTCTGTCCTATGTGTCCACTAGTGGGATACTCATAGGAATCCATGGCTTGTGTATGTGTGTCTCCCTGCTTCATGGCAACACACAGTATAATATTACAGGGCTCTATATGGAGTGTACACTGAATTACTGGGGATTAAACCCCATCTATAAACATGGAGTGCTCCTAGGGGCAATGGGATGGGGCCTATTCACCAAACACAGCATTACAACACACAGTATAGTATTACATGGCTCTATATGGAGTGTACACTGAATTACTGGGGATTAAACCCCATCTATAAACATGGAGTGCTGCTAGGGGCAATGGGATGGGGCCTATTCACCAAACACAGCATTGCAATACACAGTATAGTATTACAGGGCTCTATATGGAGTGTACACTGAATTACTGGGGATTAAACCCCATCTATAAACATGGAGTGCTGCTAGGGGCAATGGGATGGGGCCTATTCACCAAACACAGCATTGCAATACACAGTATAGTATTACAGGGCTCTATATGGAGTGTACACTGAATTACTGGGGATTAAACCCCATCTATAAACATGGAGTGCTCCTAGGGGCAATGAGATGGGGCCTATTCACCAAACACAGCATTACAACACACAGTATAGTATTACATGGCTCTATATGGAGTGTACACTGAATTACTGGGGATTAAACCCCATCTATAAACATGGAGTGCTGCTAGGGGCAATGGGATGGGGCCTATTCACCAAACACAGCATTGCAATACACAGTATAGTATTACAGGGCTCTATATGGAGTGTACACTGAATTACTGGGGATTAAACCCCATCTATAAACATGGAGTGCTGCTAGGGGCAATGGGATGGGGCCTATTCACCAAACACAGCATTGCAATACACAGTATAGTATTACAGGGCTCTATATGGAGTGTACACTGAATTACTGGGGATTAAACCCCATCTATAAACATGGAGTGCTGCTAGGGGCAATGGGATGGGGCCTATTCACCAAACACAGCATTGCAACACACAGTATACAATATACAGCATGGGTCCTCAAACTCCGGCCCCCCAGATGTTGCTGAACTACAACTCCCATGATTCTCTGGCTATCTATTTAATTCAAAGAATCATCGGAGTTGTAGTTCAGCAACAAATGGGGGGCCGGAGTTTGAGGACCCATGATATACAGGATACATTATACAGGCTGTGACTGCAGCTGATTTGGAAATATTTCTCCAAATAAACCTCTTTTTAATTTTTATTTGCCTAGGTGTTGTAATTCAGTTTAATAGTCACTACAGTCCACTGCTTAATGAATATCCCCTTTTGAGTCTGCTTGGTGACCTTGTCCTGCAGTCAAGGTCATCATGGCTCTGAGCTTCCTGCTGGCTGCTAAAGTAATCAGTCACAGATGAAAGTGTGATACTATCCCCACAGCCTGACATGGCTAAAAAACAAACACCAAAAACTAAATTGAACATAAACTTTCATCACACCCTGAGCAAACTAGGGCATGCAGGACGTGAGCTCTGATACTACTACCCTTTCCAGAACAAACATTGCAGGTTAATAAGTTTAATTGTGGCGTCATAAAAAAGAGAAGTTTCACAATTGCTTTGACAAACCTGAATGTGCTTCTTTGGTCGATGCCTTTTTAAAAAAATTTTTATTGCAAGTAACAGTGGAAATAAAATTATCACTCATTCAGTTTTGTTGAGGTCCACAAAACGAAAATGAAAATAACTGTTTCAAAGATAAAAGGTGACCCATAAGCTTGTTCCACTGCATGGATAATGTGTTCTGTACTGAGCGTTGCAGTAATCATGATGGTTACATTGTTGTATCTATGCGGTTGCTATATATGGATCTAGTTCCATGGTTGTTACATATGTGTCCAGCTGTATGTGCTCGGGAGCCTGTGCTGCCCCTGACTGGCTACTTCTTAGCAGCGGGCATGTGTGTGATTGTGGTTGGCTGACAGTGAGTAGGAGGGTGTCCGGCCCTGGGAAAGGAGGGGATACATTTTCTGTTACAACTATACCGCTGGGAGTGAGAGGTACCCGAGAGAGAGGCGGAAATAATAATAAAAAATAATATATATATCAATTTGTTAGAGGGAGCTGGAAAACTCCTTTGTTGGATGGACTGCCACTCCTATTACTCAAAGCCAAATGGCTGATCTTTGCTGATCTCCTAATGCAGTGTGCTTCGAAAATGCAACAAGCAAGTCAGTACATTGCTCCCATTGCAGGAAAGGAGGAGGAGAGAGAAAATACGTGCAGTATGAGACCTGGCCTCCTCTGGGCTGTCACATGCCATTGCAAGCACGCCCCCACACCCATTGATGAAATGTACATGTCGAGTTTGTACCCCTGGCCAGTGGATTCAGAGAGGTTTTCCTACACACACAGGGTACCCTGGCGGTTAGCTGCTATAGAACTCACTCACTGCTCCCAGTAGTCTCGGTGACACCCCTCGATTTTGGGGGAGCAGCCATCCTCTCCTGTACTGTCCCATTTAATACCTGCTAATTGATATTTTGTAATACCTGATCACTCTCACCTGTGAGACTCTGCTGTGGAATTCTGTGTTTCCTAATTCATTCCGTGTGTAAACTATATTGGCAAAGCATCTGAAAAGATGTCTTCGTTAGCAGGAGGTGAGTAAATCATTTCTGTCTGTTCTGTTTGCTTTATTGCTATGGAGTGTCTGTGAAATGGGTATTTTTTCATTTTTGCGTTAAGGTTGTCAAAGCATCATGGATGTTGTAGTTATAGAACTGGAGATCGTTTGGCCTCCCTACATCAAGATTTGGCTAGTTATTTATTTATTTTATAATAGACATGTCTTTGGTCCTAAAAGGGTTACCCTAAAGTGTACCAATATGAATTCATTATAGTATCTCCTAATGAAGATTCCTAAACTGCAAGTTAATTGCTTTATGTTTAGTTGATAATGAAATAGAAAAATACACACAGTACTGATAAACCTACAAGCTGCACATCTGCTGTCTCCAAGCACTTACATAGAACTGGGGGCTTATTTATGTTCGTGTGTTTTTTTTTTTTTTTTGTTTGTTTTTTGGGTTTTTTTTTTTCACTAGCCTGCCTTGCAAGTTAGGTGTGTGGTTTATGCAGTTCAGTTCAATATTTTGTTGTGGTTTATTTTTAATTAAATTTTTTTTTTGCAGCTTGTAAGATAGCAGTAACGATTTTTAAGGGAACTAGAGGTCTTAAGGAACAGATATGACTTTACTGCATTGCTGTAATGTTTTCACTGACAGCATTAATGCATGTTTTGAATAGAGGCAGAATCAGCTGCCAGAACACTGCTCTTTCTGTGTGCTCACTGGCATAACTGCTGAGAGTAATTATTCAGGGATCTCTGTGTAGGAAGAAAGCTTGATAAAATATCTGTGCCCCTCACTGGGTGGCATTGAATCTGTGGAACACGATCCATGGGCATGATTTTCCTCTCTGATAACCCTGTTCATTCCACACATTGCACAGTTTATGACTCATTCCAGGAGTTAGTGAATAATTGTCCACTGAAATGCATGTTATGTGACAATAGGGCTGTCCTAGCTATCAACAAAGTATGAATGACCAAATTCACTAAAGCAATGATGGAGGTAGGCTTGGCATCCCACGTGAACTACACCTGGGGTGGCAAGGTTAACTGGCACTATATTAGAGAGAGCATACATATCTATATTAGCAGCTAGCCATTTAATAAGCTATAGGTTAAAATGTCTAATATGGTTTAAAGTCATCAGGATTTTTCTTATTCTTTCTCTACCAATATTAATGGGTGTATAGCATATAGACTGTCATACGAACAAGGTTTATTATGTAAGACTCATGTTCAGTAGTTAAACTATATACTCTGATAGTTATATTTTTGTGCTCAGTGTTGCACATAGGCATTTTATAATTTTCTAGTGAAGGTGTGTTAATATTTATTTAATAGTGTACATATGCTTACTGGAACATTACGCAAGAACACTGTTAATTTAGAAATTTCATGATGGGGTAATTAACTGGGTCCTGTTGCCATATATTAAGAAATGGACTATAATGTTAAAAAAAGTCAAGTTTCTAAACAGGATCTTTTATTTGACAGTTTAAAATAAATAATTGTAAAGAGAAAATATTTGCAATGAATTTTATTTGTCCTAAATTCAGCAGAATCTACTTTAACTGATTAACTTTTGGTGCTTACTAATAAAATGTGATGGGACATTTCTCTGGGCATTCCCACCAGCTGTTGCATTGATTTTGACAGGGCACTGTACCCACTGTAAGTGATCCATGTCATTGAAGTGATTATAGTGTCTTCAGTCATCTGGCACCATTGTTCCTTTGTTTGGTGCACCATTTAAATTAAAAAAAAAAAAAGTGGTGACATTTCCATCAGTATTACATCATGAATCATAATGTACAATACAAAAGTGGATTCATACCCCCCCCCCCCCCATTTTTAAATTATTTCTTTTTGATCAATCACTTTTTATTGAGGCTTAAATGCTTTATACATTACAAGCAAAAATAAGGTGTAGCATTGGTTCTGATACTTAATAGTTCACAAATATTATGAATATCTCATTTTATGTTTAAAGGATGGTTATGTTGTCTCTAAGGCAAAAGAGAGAAAATCAGATAAGGAAACTGTTCAAATTTACTTAAAAGAAAAAGAAAAGGGGGTTTACAATGTTGCAAATATGGTATAATAACACAATTCAGAGAAACAGTTTACTTACAGTATACCTGAGAAGTGAAATGCAACAGGCGGGTTATAGTGTAATAGGTAAATTTGGTAAGCTGAGCAACAGTTCGAGTTATTTTTGATAAATTGAGGCATATACAATGAGAAGCATGCCTTAACATGTCTAACAATATAACGGTATTTATGAACCACATGGTAATCTATAAAGTTATGCCAGATACATGTAGGAAAATGAAATCAGAATGCACTTGCCGTGGTCTATATCTGTCTGAATTGGGATTAAACACCACATATTAAAAATAGGCACAGCAGAACAATGTCGAGAAAATTAGCCTAATTCACTATAAAGCTTCCAAATGTAAGTTAGTGGGATCGGAGCAACTGGGCCATTCTATTTTCCATAAATTCATTAATCTGCATCCTGAAAGCCTAAAAAAACACTATAAGGAAGCACCGAGTACATAGGTGCACCTAATTTATGGGGCAAGGTGAGAGTGTCTGAGGCAGCACAAGCATCATAAAAAAAATGGTTAGTTATGCATTACCCGAGCAAGTACTAAAACAAAACTGAACAACAGAAAAGAAACAAAGCTATGTGCTATTGCAAATAAAGTTTTTGCAGTTATGTCATGGAGTCCTCCTTGCCTATGGGTATGAAAGATGTCCGCATGGAGTCATCCCAGGATTAGTTGGCAAGGTGGTCTTTGAGTTGCTGGTAAGTTGTCTTCTAGGCCCAGTGCTTCAAGAAATGCTGGAACTTCTGTAGGTGAGAAATATAGGTATACGTAGCTTGCTTTCTACAATTAAAATAGTACAATTCTGCTTGGAAAAATACACAAAATTAGTTGCTGGTGTGAGCGGTGGAGGGGCTGCACCCTGCTGGGAAGTACTTCTCGATTTGAGTAAGGTAAGTATGCACATCAGTATTCGGAAAAGTGCAAAAAATAAAATACTAAAAACGGAAACTGTAGGGAATTGAAAACCTTTATGGAACCAGTCATCTTGTCTTCAAAGTCCCAGATATGGCTGCAGGATCTTTTTTGAGTCAGTACTCCAGTGGCAAAGTAATAGACCACAACAGCAACATTTCGACCCCAAAAGGTCTTTGTCAGCTTGACAAAGACCTTTTGGGGTCGAAACTTTGCTGTTGTGGTTCATAATAAAGTGCCTGTCTTGAACCAAGGAGTGCCTGGACCTCTATTACTTTACTTATGTTTGGAAATCTGGTGTTTGATTCTGGCTCAGCAAGCACCCTGGCTCAGATTTGTGGGAGTGAGTGCAGTTCCACATATACTTCTCAAGTACTCCAGTGGTGGCTGCTTGAAGGTCGAGTGGACAACATGTCTCAGTGATGCTGGAGAGCAGAGGATGTAAGGCCTCAGAAGGGATTACTAGGGCTTTCAAGAATGTAGGCGCCTCTGGCAGATAAGAAATGGAGAAAGAAAAACCATGTTTGTCAACACGAAGACTGCATGACACCCATATCTCCTACTTCCTCAATATTTTAGTAAGTGGCTGGAATCTGTGCCACCATTGCACAATATGCCGTAAGTCCCAAATGAGAGTGCTGTGACCCCTCAAATGCCACTGTAGGCTTATTTATTGTAGCCCTCTTTAGTGAAGCTTTGTCTGACTCCCTCTGGAACGCAGGAGAACATCACTCAAGGCCTCTGGCGGAGCTTTAGCTGCTTTAACCAGCTGTGAAAATCCCTCCAATCCCATTTGTTTAGCCTGCTTGGGAGAATATAAGGTTTGATAACATTCTCCTAAAGAAATGTGGAAGTTCCTCTGCCACAACAGCATCAAGTATACCTCGAACCCGAAGGTTCTGTGCTCTAGCTATCTCTTCTAATATAGCCACATGGGTCATCATTGCTCTATTCTTATTCTGTTGCTCCTCGAGCAGCATCTGTAGCATACTATACCACATGAACTTCCCCAAAGTCATCCTCAACAGCTGCTATATGACCTGTCAGTTTGGCCACTTCCTCTCTGACATGTCAGATTGGACCATCTGGTGGATATCATTGAAGAGAGCCTTTATGTCAGCATTTACTGAATTGACATTGTTGTCTGTGGGATCGTCTGTCGGTAAGTTCCCACTGTTTGATCGGCCAGTGTCCACCTACTCTAGTCTAGATACATGCGACGAAGCTGGAGATTCGAGAGGAGCAGGTGACATTTTCTGAGTGGTAGGTCTTGACACCTGCTGCTTAAAATCCCCACTATCTCTGGAACACAGGCCCAAATGGGTCTGTTGCTTTTTTTGAGTGTCAGCCCATGTGTCCTTGAGATAGGCTGGTGACCTTTGGAATATATTTCTTTTTCCTCCTGAGTTATTAGTACTCTAATCGCCAATCCACCTGAACATGCCTTGCTTGGTCAGGCACTGTCTCTGCTCTGATTTTAATATTTCTATGTTATTTAATGAGGAATCATTAGGCGGAGCACCAATGGATTGCTCTGATTGACTGAGAGTGTCAACTAACCGCTTTCATTTTGTTGCAGTGTCCATTGTTAATATGAATTGGTACGGCTAGAAGGAAGTATAGAATCTCTGCCTTAGCCACACCTATAGAAGAGACCAGGTTGTAGGTGGCCAATGATCCTTCTTTGGTGTTAAAACTATTGGAAAAGGTTTTGCACTAGATGGAGGGAGAAAAGCAGGGGACTCCAAACACTATAACCAAATCAAGGAGATTAAATGTCTTTAAATGCAGCTTTAGTGAAAGCTTTGGAAAGTGGGTATTTTGTATTCATTTGATCTTATTAATTGTAAGACATGATAAAAAGGTAGGTCTCCAGCTTTATGAAAAATACAACTTCAGTTGTTCTCTATCTGGCCATCAAGGAAGCTGTAGTTCAGTTGTAGCTTGAGATCTACATTTCAACAACTAAAGCTTACCACAGCAGATGTTTGGTCAAAAGTTGTAGTTTTTCTTTAAGAAACATGTCGTGTGTCAAGATTTGTAAACTCATGGCACCGATCAAATCCACTTCTGACGTCTAATGGGTTAAATTTAGCATATTTGCTTTCTACACCATACTGGTCGTTTTTTTTTTTTTTTTTATGTGTTTATTTTCACATATTTTCTTCCGGTTCATTTCTCACATTTTAAAGAAGCTGCTTGTTTTGTTGTAGCAAAATAACACTAAATAAACAGAAATGGGTGTTATGTGAAGTATGTGACAAAGACAGCACGTAATCCCAAGTTTTACTGCTTATTAGCAATATATCGTCTGTTTACTATGGGATCTTGCCAAAGCCATGTTAATGGAGTAATTTTGGTTCTGTAACATTCTTTGAGTGCTATAGTGTAATTATGCGTTCTATTGACTTTGATTCCGGATGTCAAGTGAGACACTTGGTCATTTGTATCCATCTCTCAAGTTATTCTTCATACAGTGTATTCGTGACAACATATTACTATTTTTTTTTTTAATATATAACTTATACTTTCTTTGATTGGTGTCACTTGACATGCTCGGGCAGCATTATCCTAATATTGATAAGGTTGATATTGCCAATGTAAAAATAGAACTTCTACATTAACAATCTCAGCTTGATAGGGCTGGGCTTTGGGGACTTCTGTTTCTGTCAAACATTTTGAGCCAGGTCTGTGAATGGCTCCTGTAGTCTAATAGTACCATAACCATTACCGTGGCACGTAGAGGCGATGGTGCTTCCATTGTACCTTTTTATTGGAAAATTATGTTGTTCTGTCAGTTCTATACAAACTACTATTCTGTCTAATGTGCAGTAATAAAGAATAAAAAAAAAAGTGAAACAGCCACATCTCGGTTTTGTGCGCAACCCAATATTTAGAATTTTGAACTCGGTATATGGTTTGTGCTTTGTAATTTATGATGTCCCATTCCACTGTAAATGGAAAGGATCGGTCTATGCTATGGAAACATGTTCTTCAGACTACAATGCCCATATGCTGAATTAAAAGAACTTGTCTGTGGTGAAATTCTACACACTACCTGGGAATAGGGACCACACAATTCAATTCGCATACATATTCATTCATCCTTGAGGAAAAAAACGGGGCTCTTTTTCATGATAACCATGTTAATAAACAATTTCAAATGCAATTCAATGGCGCATCTCTCTAAATTTCACCAATTGTATACTTTGGTATACATTAAAGGGACACTATAGCTAACAGAACAACTACAGCTTATTGAATTTGTTCTGTTGGGTAGAACCATTCCCTTCAGGCTTTGTGGCAGTAAGCACTGTCTTTTCAGAGAAAATGCAGTGTTTACATTACATCCTAGGGGTACCTCCAGATCGCTAATAGAAGTGCTTCCTTGGGCAGTCCTGCCTAGTGTGCAGCACTGCCATTCAGTGTATCCACCCTCTGCATGGAGACACTGAACATTCCCCATAGAGATGCATTGATTCAATGCATCTCTATGAGGAGATGTTGATTGGCCAGGGCTGTGTTTGGCTTTTGTTGGCTCTGCCGCGAACTGCCTCATCGACAGTCTCCGCTAATCCTATGGGGAAGCATTGTGATCTGCTTTTGTTCAGCACTTCTGATGATGTCAGGCATACAGGGGCAGACCCCCTGTATGCCTGAATACAAGTAAGATTTTACTATATTTAGGGTGGCCAGGGTGGCTAGGTGGTGGTTTTAACACTATAGGGTCAAGAATACATGTTTGTGTTTCTGACCCTATAGCGTTCCTTTAAATACAATAGCTCCGTCATTTTTTTTTTTTTTTCTTTAGACCTTTATTAAGATTTTAAATTCCCATGAACCAGATACAATGCTGATATTTGGGCAAATATGTTACACTTTCCATAGAGTTAATATGTATACAGATGTAATCATTTATCACTTAAAGAGCTGAGAAACTGCAGTTTTTAATAATGTAGAGAATATCATGTCAAAAATATCAAAATGATTAGGAAGTTCTGAAATAGCTGCGGGCTATCACATCTTGGGCATTTAAAGACTAACTAGCATGTTGACTTATATATACCTTTAGTGCTGTTGTTGGGTAACTGCATCAAAGTGGGCAGTCAGACCTCTTTAAAATGGTTGTTTCCCAAATAGGTTTAAGGTGATCAATAGATCTTGATCTTTGATTGGTAAGGAGCCGAGTACATGGGTTAAATGGGCAAAGTCAAGCGTCGCACCAGCCGTAGATGCCCTTGAATTAATAATAAAAATATATTTGCAAATGTTATAGTTGTTTGGACTACTTTAGAGATTCCTAATTATGATCTTTTTGTGCTATTTAAAATCCACTCTCCAGTGTGTATTGCATTGATTTTACATATATAAAGAGGTCTTTTTGCTGAACAAGTTGATATTAATGTTGAGAAATCTTTAAATGCTGAGGTTTGGGGAAGGGGGGCTAGTAAGGCTTCCTAGAACTGGCTTACTCCTGTGAGTGAATTTAATCATAGCGCAAATATTCTTATTTTACTGTATTACTGTTTTGTACATTTTTAAAATTGAGATCTTATCTGCTGCATCCCAATCTTTGTACATAATAACATAAGCCATCATTTAAAGATTCCATTTTAAAATTTAATTTTCACTCATTTAACAGAAACAGAGTTATATTGAACTGCAAATGCACAATAAGCAAGACTATTCAATTCTAGAAATGGATCTTTAGTGAACAGATTAAAGGGACACTGTAGGCACCCAGACCACTTAAGCTCATTGAAGTGGTCTGGGTGCAATGTCCCATGTCCGTTAATCCTGCAGCTATAATTATTGCAGTTTCTTACCAATATATTTGGAAAGCCAATATTTTCATTTTGATCATCGTATTCCTTAAAATGGTGTGATAATTCAGTGAAAGCATGTGTGCTGGAATGTCCCTAGGGTGGCATAGATTTCACAAAGATTTTTTGTTTGACCTTGGGCTGCTCTATTTATATCTTAAACGTAGTGTCCAGAATAGATTAACATTTTCCATAACGCTTTGGTTATCAGTGTTTCATTAAACGTATATTTGTGCTGATGGAGTTAAATTCCTTATTGGTTTAGTACAGGTATCTGCATTAATAAATGCAGTGTACGCTGGCTGTACCCAAAAATTCTTTTAAAAAATAAAAATACTTTTATATGGGAAATCTCAGAAGGAATACTGGATAAGTCAATGATTTTGTTTATTCCTTTTTGTAGACGTTAGGATGGCCCAAATGTTTATTTGGCCACAATATATTTTCTAGAAAACAATTCAACTAACTTTTCCCACATGGGTCCAGCCCCTACAAAGCACTTACTAGATTGTAGTAGTGTGTCATTGATGGCCCTGTGGGAAAATGACTTCAGTGCTCAATTAATTAAATTAACGAACATATTTTCCTATCCTTGCATCATGAAAAGATTTCTGATTCATCCACTTGATTTTAAAGGTTAAAATGTGGTGTTCCAAATGTGTCTGTGGTTCTCCTGCCTATCTGACTTCCATATTGATTGACAGGATATAGGTGTGCAAGGATATGTAGTTAGCTCTCAGATAACATTGTAATGTACACTGATCCAAGCACCGATCAAGCAATTTAAAGAAAGGTATTCAATGAAAATAAAGTAAAAAAATAAATTAAAAGTTACACGTGGCAATACAGGTCTTTTTTTGCCTCCCTGACCTTTTTCTTTGCTGTGAGTCCTAAGTGAGATAGAATGAGCCTTTTTTAAATGTTAAGTTCCCCTTTTTTTTGTCATCTTTGCTCATTTCACTTTTTAAAAATAAATAAATATTTTTTTGTAATATAATGATGATAAATTGAGAACATATATAAATAGATTATCTTGAGTGACTTCCACTAGATGTGTTCCTAGGCACCAATATAAACACTGTCTTTTGTCTGAAAGGGCAGTGTTTAGATTAAAAAGCCTACCGGGACTGACTATACACACCGGAAAAACTACATTAAGTTGTACTTGTAGTTGTTCTGGTGATTACGTTGTCCCTTTAAAGATCTCAGAGTGCCATTTATTCTGGAAATACTGTATGTGATTCCAAAAGCCTGGACAGGTAATGAGACTATATTCTGCCAATTAAACCTGAATGTGTATTTAAAGCATTAAGATTTTAATTTGTGATATTGCTAAAAAGCAAACACCGATCCCGCCAGTTTTTTTTCATGAGCATCATGAGAAATGTAGTTTGCTGTTATACAAGGTGCCAATGTTTGCCTTCACCACTACTGTGATATAAACGGAAAGTATGATGGCTGCAGTGACTGTGGGATTATGGGAGAACATGAATGTGTTTTACTTCAGGTAAACAGAACTGATACATTTGCTGGTGATTTGTGGCTATCACAGTATACAGATTCCATTTTATGATTTGCCTGGAGTCCTTCGGATGCATGTGTTTGTGTATGGTAGTTCCACTTTTAATATGTCGGATATGACAAAAATGAATACCAGATGTCTGTGTTTGGCTGTGCCCTTACATATGCAATTTGGGAAAGGAAATGCAGGCTGCATAGTAATGCAGTGGGAACTGGCAATCCATTTCTGTGTTCTTCTAGCCTAGCCTAAGATGTCAGAGCAGTGTATAATGCATGGGTAGGATAAAGTTTAAAATATGAAAACAATATTCTTGGAATTAAGAAAAAAAAAAAAAGTTTAACGGTATATCTCTTGTTGCCTAAAACTAAGGCATGTATTATTTAGTACTTATATTCTCTCATGGGGAATAGAGGATTGGGTTGTGCTGTCTGGCTGATTCACTGATATTCCTGGCAACTTTATTTACTGGTTTGAGAAGTAAACCCAGAGGGTGTGACCTTGTGAAGACTACATTTAGTAGGCTCATGGCCACAAAATACACACATCAATTTCTAGACTTAGACAATATTTTATACGGGGATTAGAAAGTTGCCAAAAGCAACTCCATACGTTGTATGTATAATATATATCAGAATGAGGCTTGGTTAGAGCTGTCCCATGGTGTTTTACACATCCTGGTCTACTGGCCAGTTGAAGTATATTGGGGCCTTAGATAAGGGCTGCTCCAGGCACCTCACTCTCTTTCTTATATCTGGCTATTAAAGCTAAAGTTCAAAAAGCATACCACACATGGCTTAATATGCATGTTGCAAGTTGTCCATGTTGTTTGGGTTTTTTTTGGGGGGGGGTGGGGGGGCGCTAAAAAATACACTTTTTTTGTCGGCAGATAAATGACTGTTAACGGCAGGAGAACAGTTAAAGGGCCACTATAGTCACCAGAACAACTACAGCTTATTGAATTTGTTCTGGTGAGTAGAATCATTACATTAAGGCTTTTTGCTGTAAACACGGTCTTTTCAGAGAAAAAGCAGTGTTTACATTACATGATTGGTCAGGGCTGTGTTTGAATCATGCCTGCTCTGCCCCTGATCAGCCTCTTTGTCAGTCTCAGCCAATCCTATGGGGAAGCATTGTGATTGGATCAGGCTACCACTTCTGATGATGTCAGCAGACTGCTTGTTTTTCTGAGTCTAACAGCATGCACAGTTACAGCGTCAAGCTTGAATACAATAAGATGTTGCTGTAAGTATGGAGGCCGGGGGGGCTAGACGGTGGTTTTAACCCTATAGGGTCAGGAATACATGTTTGTGTTCCTGACCCTATAGTGATCCTTTAAAGGACCACTATAGGCACCCAGACCACTTCAGCACAATGAAGTGGTGTGGGTGCCAGGTCCAGCTAGGTTTAACCCTTTTTTCTATAAACATAGCAGTTTCAGAGAAACTGCTATGTTTATAATAGGGTTAATCCAGCCTCTAGTGGCTGTCTCATTGACAGCTGCTAGAGGCGCTTCTGCGCTTCTCACTGTGATTTTCACAGTGAGAAGACGCCAGCGTCCATAGGAGGGGGAAATTTAGTGTTAGGGTTTGAGTGGGGCCGTGGCAAGGGGCTGATGATTCTGGAACATTTTAGGTGACTAACTAAAAACAATTTTATGCAATTAAAATGTAATTTAGAATAAGAACAATGTATCTCATCTTTATAGACTGATTTCTGAATACATGTATTCTAATTTAAAGACCCATTACTGTGAGTTTTATTGCTGTGGAGATATGGAGATCCCAGAAAAGAGGAACATTAGGAACTAGTGATTTGGGTCTCAAATATGAACTGTCCCTCCTAAATAGGGACAATTAGTGTGTATGGAAAAAGATTCAGAAAGTTTCTTGGTACCCAATTCATCAGCTGAGTGCATATTGACCTTGTCCCTATAACTAGCTGCAATGGGATTGGCTTCTCCCCTTTAAATGCCCTTAGTGTATTGGTATGTATCACAGTGGAGAAGATCTATCATCTTAGCATTGTGCTCTGGTTCTTTGTGCTGGGGGAAGGGTTGGGGAAATTGTAAATTTATATATTATACAGTAAGGACTCCTGTAGTGAGATTCTGCAAGTCATAGGTGAAATATGGCTTACTGTGCAGCTCAGATGTAGAGATAAGTGTTTTAGTCCTGTTATAGACATCTGCCAACCCTATCCTGTTCATAGATTATAGATATAGCTATACTGACTATTAAACCGCTATGGTCTGCAACAACTGTGAATATCAATTGCAATGTAAAACCTTGATGATGTAGAGAACATGTCTATTGAAGAGTTGAAAGGCTGTTGTTCTAAGTTAAAAAATGGAGCAGTCACTGGAGACATTTGATATGGTAATTGCTCTATTTCTAGAAACTTGCCATCTCTCCATTTATCCTGTACAACTTCCATAGTGCTGGTAATATTGGCAGATTATAATTTAAAATCAAACCTTCCACACACAAATTGTGTGTGAGGAATCTCCCATCGGCTATGTATAGTTCGTCTAGTGGAACATAGGCGCTGAGCAGTCAATCATTGAACTTGGCTTAGGTAGGTGGTGCAATATGTAATTTTCTGATTGTGCAGTATGGCCAATGAAATGACAGACAGTCGAGGCTAGTTATAAATTGGTTTTATTCTGTTTAAATTGAGAGGAAACAAATACAAAGATACAAAGCTATACTGTACGTAGTTTGTAAAACATTTGCTCTAATGTCCGCTGATATTTTCAGAGGTGTGTTAATCCTGTCGACGTAGATTTAAATTATAGGTAACCCATTATGGTATCAGCTTTTTGTTATTTCCGATTGACTCTGATCATGTGATTGCTGTGAAAGAAAAAGTTGTTCTTGAAGGGGTTAGTGTGTGTGTGTGTGTCAGTTTATATGCATGTTACAGAGCCAGCTGGCCACACTCTAATTTGTTAACGGAGCGCATAGTTCTCTTTCCTGCCAGTGGCTGCAATAAGATATTGGCACAAACAAGGCAGCTCCCTGTGTGCTGAGCTTTGAGGGGACTCTTTAGAGTTCAGTCATGCCAAATATAAGGGATGTCTAATGAGGGCTTAGAAGGGGAGGGGGCAAAAAGCACAGTTCACCTAGTACACCAAGAAATTTGGGCTGGCGTTGAGCCTGAATATAGAGACGCATTGGCATGCCACATGATGTCTTTGGAACTTAAATAATCCTCATTGGAGCTGCCCCCAATTTCACTTAGAATGTCTCCAGGAAATAGTTCCTGTATATACACAGAAAATCTGTTCTCGATTTAAACTGTTAAATTGCCCCCGTTCTCCTGTATATAATTCTTCTGTTGTTTCAGATGGGGCCTCTGTGGCCCCAGAGCCTTTACCATGCAGATATAGAACATGTGTGTTATAACTAGAGAGTCCTACAGCACAGTTAACAGAGATTACAAAGGCAGCAGTATATGTTTGTAGATCAGCCTGTATATTTACAGACTGACTAATTTTGGATCCAAAAGCATATATTTTTTATTTTTGCTATGAAATATAATTACTGGGCATGTTTTTTCCGAGCATAAGTAGTGCAATACTAATAAACTTTAGGGTTTTGCCAAGTCCAGATAACCATGGTGACTTATAGTATTTGGTATGGTGCATGGATTCTGTGGGTGCTGTTCCCTCCCCCCCAATCCAAATATTTTGTTATATTACGTTCAGTGGGTTGACAAAACTAAAGGCTACTGCTGCATCCTAACCCGTCCTCTGTTTGGATCATGATCTAACAAAGTGTCACCTTCTTTACTATGTATCCAAATATTAGAAACTTAGAGTGTGACGGCAGATAAGAACCCTTCGGCCCATCTAGTCTGCCCAAAATCTCCCGTACCATATTGTATAGTGTAAGGGGATTCAGCTGCTCCAATTCACAGGTAACCCTCTATGTCAGGAAAATACTTCAATTTGGATTGAAATTAGCTTGAATCCTGAAATTAAAGTTATCATGGCTGAATTTACTTATTAAACATATTAATAACCAAAGGCCTCCCTACAGTACATGTTTATATTGCAAAAACTTAAAGGGTAGGGTGTAGTCAGAAAGTATGATACTAAATCTGAGTTATGTCACCGAACGAGAACTGTGAATGTTCTCAATTAAGATTCCTACCCCTTCTGGCGTTTACTTAATACATGTGAGGCTGTGTATCCTTGGAAGATGGAGCAAATCATTGCATTATTATTGCCATTTATATAGCGCCAACAGATTCCGTAGCGCTTTACAATCTATTGCATGTCATGTCACTATTTGGAGTAAGGCAGTTCCATTACCTGAAAATACACATGAATGCCTCACAAGTACTGAAAAATCTTTACAAGTTTCTGTAGAGTGGAGGAAGGGAGAATAATTATTTTATATGTTTTATTTTCCACAACAATTGAAATGCTTGAGGGCATTAAACATGTCAGGGCTGCTATCATTTTTTTAATATATATATATATATATATATATCACACTATAGTGTTCCTTTAAGTACATTTGGTCTGCGATATGGTAACTTAAATAAGGTCCAGTTGTTCTTGGTGTTGGGAGTGTTCCTTCAGCTGTCATGTATTGATGATCATATTATTTTTACCAAACACTAAGAATTCCCTGGCAGCCAAAAGCTGTCACCATACTAGAAAAACATTGCACCTTTCTCATTATGCCTCCAATTGGGTTTCTCTGCATTACATTAACCCCTTAAGGACTGCGGACGTATTAGGCACGTCCGACAAAAAACTAGTACGTCCACAGCAAATGTGTGCGCTGGAAGCGTTTGTGATCGCTTCTGGCTGCTCTAGTGGTATTTCAGAGATGCCTCGTTGTCAAGGCATCCTGCAATACCTCTCCTGACTGCCGGGCCGCCAGGTTTGCTAACCAGGAGCAATCACTTTCGGGTTGCCCCACGTGGCTTCTGATGCTTTGCCTGTGTGTGGAGTGCCTCGAGTAGCCCCATCTGCTCTACCCCCATTTACTCCCAGTGTATGTCGAGGAAGAGGTATGAAATGATTCTGCATTTCATGCACTTCAGCGACAACAGCCTGTGTCCCCCTAGGGAGCATCCCCAGCTTGACAGGCTGTATAAAATCTGCCTCTTGATTACCCACTTCGCTGCCAGGCTTGCAGAGGCTTATACACCTGGAAGGAATATATGCGTGGATGAATCCCTGATGAAGTATAAGGGAAGGCTGGGATTCAAGCAGTATATTCCTTCCAAGCTCTCCAGGTATGGTGTAAAGGTGTATAAGCTCTATGAGAGCGAGACTGGGTATACTCAGGCCTTCTGGGTGTACGAGGGAAAGGATAGCCACCTTGACCCTCCAGGTTGCCCAGAACATATGGGAACCAGTGGCAAGATTGTCTCGGACCTGATATCCCACCTGATGAACAAAGGGTACCACTTGTGTATATATACAATTTTTATACAAGTGTCCCTTTGTTCAAGTTACTGAATTGTTTTGATACAGTAGCTTGCGGTCCTATCAGAACCACACAGGTTTCCCAGGACAACTTGCACCTTGCATGCACGCGGCTATGAAGGGGGGTGAACTCAGCTCTGCTCCAAGAGGAGCTGTTGGCAGTTAAGTACAGGGACAAGAAGGATGTGTACCTTCTTACCACCATCCACACTGAGAGGACTCTGGAGGTCTCTGTACATGGCAGAGCTGAGAGTACAAGGAAGCCAGTGTGCATCAAGGCCTATAACTGGCAAATGGGTGGGGTTGATCTGGCAGATCAGCTGCTGCAGCCCTACCTTATTATACAGAAGACAAGGGCCTGGTACAAAAAGGTTGCAATTTACCTAATGCACATTGCAACCCACAACGCTTTTTTGTTGTTAAACCCCGCCCCCCCCCAAAAAAAACCCCAAACCAGAAATGCAACAGAGTTTTTTACAGTATCAACTCCATTTTGTGGTTTTTGTACCAAGATGCATCTGTTCCCCGGGCGGTGATGGGAGAGAGCAGATTTGGGGTTACCCACTTTATTTTTAAACCCCCCACCCCCCCCCACTGCGGCAAAGCAGAATCCTCAAAAAGATGCAGAGTCTGTTTCAAGAGGGGGCAGAGAAAGGACACCGGCTTTTACTGTCCTGATTGCCCTGGACAGCCTGGACTCTGCATTGGGGATTGCTTCAAGTGATATCACATACTGGTTCATTTTTAATTTGTTTTTTTTAAATTTGCCATTCAGTTTTTTGTTTGTTTTGTTTTTGTTACGTTTACTGTTCCTGAGTTTGTTTGTTTTTTTACTTTTGCAGCGCCAGACTATTTCTATGATCAAATTCAACCTATGCATGGGGGCATGAGTGTACTCAGGAGGCCTTGCTGAAAACAACCTGGAGTGTTTTCTTGCAATAACCAACAACAGGCTCCCCTAAATAACACACAAATGTGTGTGTAAAAATTAAAATTGAAAAACTACCACCACACATTTTCTCATTTTTTTTTTTGTCTAAAACGGCTGCATCAAAGGCATCAAAACACACTATATACAATACCTTGGGACGTCAACTTTTCAAATATATGCACGTTCATGACAAGAAAATAAATTGAGATATATAAAAAGGCCCCCAAAAAGAAGATATGTCAAATTTGAAAAACACGTCAGAAGTTTGACATTGCACCCCCCAAACAACCCAACAAACCTTTGCATAGGTGGTATAGGTATAGGGTGTCTACTTTTCAAAAATATATGGTTTGATGGAGGTAAATTACATAGGCCGGCTTCAAAAATGTCCCAAATAGGACATGGGTGCACGATGACCAGCTGTGGAAATTCCAAGTTGGATGTGCAACCTCCAAATAAGATTTTTTTAGCCCCCAGAGAACCCAACACACCTATACATGGGTGGTATCCATGTACTCAGGAGATGTTGCTGAACACATATTGGGGTGTTCTTTGGCAGTTACCCTTAAAGTTTTCAGTACATGTATTATTAAATTGCTATGTGTGTCAAAACAATCATCAATTTTTTTTTTTGGCATAGATTGGTGGTAAAATGGTTGCACGAAAATTCTAAATACCCCAAGTTTAATACCTTAGGTTGTCTTTTAAAAAAAAAAAAATATATATATCCATGTGAAGGGTTATTCAGTGATTCCTGACAGATATCATTGTTAGAATGTAACTTTACATAATTTTGAAAATTAAAATGGTCTGGAAATAGCAAAGTGTTGTACCTATTGCCCTATTGGTTGCAAAAAAAGCTAAGAACATGTTAACATTGGGTATTTCTAAACCAGCACAAAATTTAGAAACTATTTAGCGCAGGTGTTTTTTTTGGCGGTTGTAGATGTGTAACAGATTTTGGGGGTCAAAGTTAGAAAGTGTTTTTTTTTTAATTTTTCATCATATTTTATAATTTGTTTTTATAGTAAATGATATGATGGAAATAATGGTATCTTTAGAAAGACCATTTAATGGCGAGAAAAACGGTATATAATATGTGTGGGTACAGTCTGAATAAGAGGAAAATTACAGCTAAACACAAACACAGCAGAAATGTTAACGGTCCTTAACGGTAAGAAAATTGAAATGCGGTCTGGTCACTAAGGGGTTAATCCATAGATTGAAAGGAGGATTGTTACTTCTCTGGAATTTATGCTATTAACCCCTTAAGGACCAAACTTCTGGAATAAAAGGGAATCATGACATGTCACACGTCATGTGTCCTTAAGGGGTTAAATAGACCGTTATTGTTCTTCTATAACCCGTTAACTTTTTAAAAAATTTTTTAAAGTTTTTATTAATATGCTCAGTTTTCTTTAAAAGATATATTACCGATTTAGCAAATAACATCACAATCCAGTTTAGACAAAAAGTATGTTGCTAATGAAGAGGAGAAATAGAAACATTTAAGGGTGTGTGTGTGTATATATATATAATCTATCTATCATGGAAAGTACTAAAAGTGGGGCAGTCACAAAGGAAACAAGTGAAATCAGCATTCACATTCAATTGATGACTTTTTCTCTCTTCCATGTTTTCCCCACTTTTCAAAACACAATACGTTTAATACCTAATTCCCATTGTTTTATTTCTTTTCATCCTTTTATACTTTATCTATGCTGATTGCCAGGCAGAACTTATAACAATAATTCATAGAGAAGCGAAGATGGAGGGGCAGCCTAGCTGAGGATAAATTTCATTTTTCCACACCTCCCAAATACTTATTTGTTAAATATAGTAGTACACATCAGGTCTCTCAACCATCCCAAATTGTGTGGGAAAGGGAACAAAGTCGGTACAGTGGACAAGGATGCTAAAATAGGGACTGTCCTGCCTCCCTGACTTTCTTCCTTCGGATCCCAATTTTGGGGACACCAGGAAACTGTCCTCAGAGCAAACATGTCTAATTACGCGCTTGTGCTATGCTTTAAATTCTCAGGGCACAAGGACCATGTAATGAGAGCTGTAGTAGCACCCCCTGCATGGCCTACCTTGGTGGGCCAGTCTGCAGCCTGGACTACATACTCTGTTTCCTGGCAAGTCCACCCCTTTGGACAGCACCAGTGATGTGATTTGCTTCACTGGACTTCCCCCATTTATTCCGCCCGTTGATGGTTCACGGGACACTGATGTTGGGGGGTATGGTAAACACAATATTATAAATCCTGGGGGCTGACAGTTCGAACTGTGTAAAATAGGTGTGTTGGTAGTTAATAGTTTTTTATATTATCACAATACTCACAGAATCTTTTGAGTTGGTTGGCAAGAAATATCTTCAGTTTCTCGAAAGTTACTGTTTGTGTGTTTTTTTTTTTTTTTGTAGTACAGTTTAGTATCTTTCTAATTGAGTTATGTAGATAAAACATATTGCCTTAAGTTTGTGCATAGAACAGGTGACTTCAAGGATAGGCTTGCCCCACCTCGCAGTATGTTGTACGAGAAGAATATATGAGAAGAAAGGTTATGTTTTTTTTATACTTAATAGCTTTCATTCTAAAGAGATTTTACTACGCAATTATGAAAATATAAAGGATTACACGATGTGTCATCAGGGATTGTTAAAACTGTTGCTACTCACGTTTGTGAAACAGGAGTTTTTACACATTATGTTTCCATTGTATGTCACAGAGAATGCAGAGTAAGGCAATAAGTATTTTATGAGGTAGGTGCAGTATCTCCTGAACATTAATGTTTTGTACATATTCAGAGTTATTTTCTAAAGTGAGAATTCAAAGGGAATTTCAAATGTAAGGCCTAAATGGCCAACCTAGAAAAATTCTCTGAAACCAAGAGGGCTGCATTCACCTGAACATGCATTCATTATAAGAGTGCTGCTGGAGCCAAGTTATACAACATACAAGATCCAACGCACTAACTGATTTACTAAACAGTAATTTCATAGCTGAAAGCAGAATGTAATCGCTTTTTTTTGTTTTGTTTTGTTTAAACCCCCCCCCCCCCAAAAAAAAAACACACCTAACCTAGGAAAAAATAAAATGGGGGGTTAGTTACAATATATGATCATACATTGCTGCCACAATGCCAGTATACCCCATTCTTGGCACTATTGTGGTCGAATGAAGCTTGAGAGAGGGGGGCAAAACCCGTCGCAGTGTACGTCTCGAACAGGCGGACCAGAGAATCCTACATGATTGAGAACATTAGAACCCAGTAGAGACTTTATGCATTTGGACGAGCATGCCTCATTTAGTGTGGTTGTGTGTTTCCCAAGTGGAATATTCACCACTTGCGAATGTAAGCATTTTTAAAGTTTTTAATAATAAAGTATTAAGATATTTCACTGTTCGGTTTCTGGTCTCTCTTGTTCCCCCCGTTTTCTAAGTGTGGAAGAGAGGAACATCAGTCGGCTGAAACTCCCCTGGGGGTTTGTGGGATACATTTGCTCTCATTTGGAGCGGTTTAAACCTAGAGCCAGGGGTGAAGGGGCTCTTGTACATGTGAGTTGGATCCTTGCATTTACATCTGCATTTATGCTGTGTGTGTGTGTGTGTATATATATTTATGATCTATAGATGGTCTGCACTATCAGATTATGAAAGGTCAATGAAGGCTACATGCTAAGTATATATTTGACCGTTTCACTTTTGTATGGGTGACTTAACAATTGTTTTCTTTTTCACATTTTGGTATTTGCAGCTTGATTTTATTCTTTTTACACTTTTTAAAGGCTCTTTACATATTTGTATATATTGATTCTGAGAGCCTGTCACATTTCTTTGGTATTGTTTTTGATTAATTTCAGTAAGCTGTGTAATTATATTCAATAAGTAGAATAATCAAAGCAATTATCTATTGAATATAGGACAACCAAAATATTAGAATCCACGCATCGAGTCTGCTTTCTTTCTGCTAAACCAGACATAGTTGTAACAAAGGGAGAAACGTATATGGGAATGGAAGGTGAGAGTCCTGTTCAAATGATCTTATTGTCTCCTGGATGTGGGGGCTCATTACACAAAAGGGAAAAACAAATTACAATGCAATCTGTAGGGAGAATATCCTGCTGGTCGCACTAATAGTACATAAAATATAGTGTGCTTTGTGTAATAACGATTTGCAGTATTTATATAATGGAGAAGGTGAGATAGCGTGGGTGGGGGAGGGACTAACTGACACAGTTGAAGAAATAAGTGGGTCTTAACTCTTCATGATCAGCGAATGTGGTCTTTTTTTGTGTTAATTTTCTTTTTACGCTATTCTATAATGGAACTGCCTAGACCAGTAATGACTGTTGTGCTGCGTGATGGTAGACCATATAAGCAGAACATTCCGATGTTGGCAAATGAATTTTACAGCCCAGCTTTTGATGATAGCTATGATTAACATTGAAATTTTCATAGGACAGGGAAGACCATTTGTTAATAATAGGGCTTTTCTGTGGTTGAGCTATCAGTGAGATTTGGAGAGCTTTGGCAGAGGGCAAAGAAAGCTTGTTGGTGCAGTGGAATGCCTTATAGACACAGCCAGGGCTTTGCTAGGTGACAAAAGACCAGGGACTTCAGTCCAAGGGTGAATTTTATGGCCCATCCTATATAAGTTGATTTAAGTCCCTCTAAAATCCCCCCTATAACACGCTCTATAACCAACATGAACTTCTTCTATGAATCACTTTATGACATCAAATCTTTGTATGATTTTCTTTTTTTTTAGAAATCTATATTTACAAACACAGCATGAAACCAAAGGAACACTCCATGTAAAATAAAAGTATTTTTAAAAAAACAACAACTTAGTAGATATACCCAGAAAGAAAACATGCATGTACTTCTTTTGGGATTCATGGGGGAGAAACACTGTCTGCAGCCTTTGCAAGCTCTCCCCTCTTTCTCTAGCTCCTAATTTTATTGAGAAGCTTCTGTGCTCAAGCCAGTGGCGTACTAAAGGGGGCGATCCACCCCAGGTGCCACCAGGTAGGGGGGAGCCATGACCAGGGCCAGGGATGTGTGAGCTGTGCGGCCGCACAGTGCCCCATGGCAGCTGGGAGTGTGTGTGACTGTCTGCCTGTAACACAGCATCCGTCCCCGGGTGCCAAATGCTCTAGGTACGCCCATAGCTGAAGCCACAAATGTGTGCATATGATGGCAGCTTCCAAATGTTTTTTTTTTCTTCTTCTTCAATTAACTGTAATACAGCTCATTGAGAAGGGGGGTGGCACGTTTTAGCTTAGCGCACCTGCCACTTCTGCTAGATCTGTGATCCATTACTCAATTATTAATTTCTATATCTTCGTTTACTATGTAGCAGGGCTGAGCTATTCAGAATTGGCCTGCATTCCTTGATGGGCTCTTCCCTGAGCCCGGGGGGAACTCCCTAAACAATGGGCCCATGTGCCCATCTAGAGGATGTGGTTTATGTGTGTGTCTAGCAGCTGTAGAAAGAATGTTTGTTGGGACTGTAGTTTGTGTCTAGAGGGTATAATGTTCTGATGTGTAGGGGATGCAACGTGTGTATGTATGCATGTGAATAGGTACTGTGCATGTGTGTGGGGGGTAGGATAGGGGCTTTCAGGTATGAAGTATAAATTCAATAATAAAGTCTTCCCCTGTGTTATTTTTTAAAATTTATTTTAAAATGTGATTTAATGTGAATATTTATTCAAATGTTGAGTGGGTGTGTGTCTTATGTAGAGTCTCTGCAAGTGTTGTAGCTGTGTGTGAGTAGTGTGGCTTTCTGTGTGTGATGTATAAGGCTAGCTGTGTGTAATGCTAGTATAATTGTGAGTGATGTGTGGGTACCTGTGAGTGGTAGGTGTTGCAGTGTGATTTGCTGTGAGTGATAAGTTTAGGCCACTGTGTGTAACAAGGTGTCATGTGTGGGTAGCTGTGAGTTATGTGTATTGCTGTGTGGGTAGCTGTTAGGGCTGCCATGGAAGAGAAAATTTACCTAGGCATTTAATGGCAAATTTACTTGCCACTTCACATGTATGTATATGTGTGTGTGTGTGTGTGTGTGTGTGTGTGTGTGTATATATATATATATATATATATATATATATATATATATATATATATATATATATATGTATATGTGCATGTGTATGTATTTTATTTTTATGTTTTCTACTTCACATTGAGCAAGTTCCTTTCTCCCCAAGAAAACATCATTATATGAACATTTTGGCTTCAAAAATATTTGTCAGCCCCTAATATTTAGATTCCAAGTGTTTTCCGTGTCCTGGTTTCTAGGAGACGCCTTTGTGCTCTGCATGTTAATTGTGCACAATAGGAGAGAAAATAGAAGCCGTTCAATTGATGTCTGTATGCTTTCCAACATACACATGGGTTGTTTTCCTTTTTTAAAGCAGTAATCCTGTGTAAAAGCGAATTCTTTTTTAAATTTTGTTACTAATATGCATTCAATGACCGGGGCAAAAATCTGATTGTTCCTCACTTTATTGTGACAGAAAGCATGTTGCCCAGAAAGGAGCCTGCTGTGTACCCAAGGTGGTGTAAGATTTTCATTGTATAATGAGTTGAAAGGCATTGATTTTTTTATTTTCATGGTATATGTGGATTGAAAAGAGAGAACCAAGTTTGTGACTGGGAATGGACAAATAAAAAATCCTGGGCAACAGGAATCCTAGGCCCCAATAATGTAACTTGTGGATCCTGAATCTCCTAGATTTTAATAGCTCAACAAGTTGCTATGTTCTATTTTTGACTTCACCTGTTCCTTCTGTATGCACGTTCAGAATGTTGCCATCACTTGTCAACTGCTTCCATGGAATATTGTCAAATCTCGTGGCTTTGCTAGGTAAAGCCACAGCGAAAACACTTGTGCTTGCCATTATTAACAAAAACCAGACCACTTTGTTCTAATTAGTTCTTTCATTCTACAAATATTATTTCTAGGGTGTTTGAAAGGATCTATTTAGAGCATTATTCCCAAATATTCATGCCAATAAGTTTATTTTAACCAATTGTATCCCTAGAAAGTCATCTTTGGGTCCTTTGAAGCAAGCAAGAACCATATTTCAATGGACTAATGGGGATGAGAAAACCATCTTTACATCCCCTCCCACTATACTTGTAGTCCGATTTACTCCGCCAAGCTTAAAGGGACACTCCAGGCACCCAGACCACTTCTGCCCATTGGAGTGGTCTGGGTGCCAACTCCCACTAGCCTTAACCCCGCAACTGTAATTATTGCAGTTTTCATAAACTGCAATAATTACCTTGCAGGGTTAACCCCTCCTCTAGTGCCACTAGAGGGCACTTCCTGATTCATAGCACAGGTCCACACTGTGTGAGGACCTCCAGCGTCGCTCAATTCCCCGTAGGAAAGCATTGAAAAGCATTTTCAATGCTTTCCTATGGAGAGCTCTAATGTGCATGCCGGCTGACATGATGAAGGGGAGGAGCGGCGGCGACCCGAAACCACGCCGATGGACATCGGTGGGGTTCTCAGGTAAGTCACTGAAGGGGTTTTCACCCCTTCAGTAACCGGGGATGGGTGGTGGGAAGGAGAGGGGACCTGCAGTGCCAGGAAAACACATTGTTTTCATGGCACTGGAGAGTCCCTTTAAGAGAGACAATTTTTTAAAATGTATATATTTTAAGCATTAAAGAAAAAACTACTTTTGCAGGGCCATCTTCACCTCTCAAATATCCACTTTCTATATTTAGGTGCTCCGGAATAATTGGTGCTGTATGAATACTAATAATAATTAGTGTTTGAAGTTTTTATAGAACGCGCTTTATCATTAAATACTTGTCAAAGCCTGCCTTATTGTGTTGGAGTGTTCTAATTTTTTCTTTTTTTCTTTTTTTCTTTAGACTTAAGCAAAGCAATGTCGGGAGGAGGGATGTCCCCATTTCAAGAGGCCATCCGGCAGGAGCTGGAGGCAGCCATGAAAGCAGATCTGGAAAGAATACTTTCTACAGCACCTGAGTCGGAACTGGAGGTAGTACATCTCGTGTGGCAGCATTATCATTTCAAACAAATAGTGAACAAGTGCCAGGCTCACATGATGCAGCCAACCTGGGAGATGTATTTAAAATCTGAGTTATTGTCTCTGCTAAATTCACTACAATTTGGAATTAAAGGGACACTTCAACTGCTAAAACCACTGCAGATTGCCCTCCTTCTCCACTACAGTTACAGAAGACCTGAAAGTTCCTGCTTAGGAGTTTGTCAACTCTCCTGAACTAAGCCCTGCAGGACAGGGCCAACTCATTGGCTGAGATAGCTAAGCCCTGCACAGCGTACACTGCTTCCAGCTCTCCTGTAGTTTTGTAGTGATTATAGTGTTTGGAATGGTCCTTTGAAGGGACTCTATAGGCACCCAGACGATTATTATTATTATGATGTTATTTAAATAGCGCCATCAAACCCTGCAGCTCTTTACAATTAGTGCCATGCCCCATTTTAGTGCCACAGTTAAAAACATTTTCATTTTGCAGGAACGTCAATGGTTTTATTGCAGGGTCAACGTGTCTAAAGTGCCCGTCATACTGACAGCCAGTAGAGGCACTAATTATAATGGAGATGGTCTGATAGACGACCTGATTGGCACAATGCAGCGTTATGCCGTGCATGTGCACTAGCCTGATGTTTTCCTATGGGAATCTTTGATTTCTATTATTTTAGTCAAAGAGGCAGCGCGCAACTCCGGAGACCAGCGCTGCAAGGGTAAAAAGTTAATTGATCTTTTTTTTTTTTTTTGGCTGGGGATGTACTTCGAACCATGCAGTTGTGTGTGTCACAGCGAGAATATGGAGAAATTAGCAAGTTAAATTTTTTTTTTATTGCCTTGGAGCATCCACTACAACAACTGTTTTGGCTTGTAGGTTTCGTATTCATGTAATTTGGCCCACACTTCTGCTTTTAGCTCTCTAGGACTGTCAAATAACCTCACTCTATGCAAACACTGGCTGCTGGTATCCGCTAGCTGCCAAATAGTGGTACAATCTGATCGTGTTGTGGCCAGGCTTGTGAAGTACCAAGTCCAGGTCCCCATGTCCCAGTCAGAAATGTACGTATGAGTCATTCTGGCTTCTTATTCTCGAAATGAGGTTGTGGGGAATGTGATACATATGATCTGTATAAAATGTTCTTTGCCTGCTCTATGATAAACTGGCCAAAAATGCAGAGCCTTCTAAAGAAATGTTACAAAACAAAACATATAGCTTTTTTTTTTTTTAATACAAGTGAGGTATTTCAACATCTAGCTTATATATAAAAAATAAGTATTTGTGTCTGAGAGGACTTGTGTAGAGTGATATAATTTTTTTCTTCTTCTCTTTTTAAATTTTTTTACCATAGCACATTAAGAAGGATATTGCCGGGTTCCAGAGCCTGTTTCACAGATTCTTGCAAGAGAAAGGCCCATCAGTGGACTGGGGAAAGATACAGAGACCTCCAGAGGATTCTGTAAGTTAATAACATGTTTTATTCCCATGTTCCCTTGTAAAGCAACACTGATTTAACCTTTTCTGTGCCATATGAATATAATATTTGGATGTTGTTTAAACACATTTGTTAACAGAATTAAGCTTCGGATCACTATCTTTTCCCTGAACAGATTTAGAGGGTCACTGTCATGCATAATCTAATATTTTTGCCAAATGCCTAGAATATGTACTGATTTTGAAAATTAGTTCAGTTACATTATTCTGACCATAACCTACCTACACAAGCATGTGCTCCTTGTACATCATCAATAATCCTGTACTCTCTGTTTTGAGAGCATATGAGAGAATGTTCCGGATGAGATACATCTGTTTACTGAAGTCTATGCAACAATATGAAATGGCTATGATATATAAGATTTATCATTATACCTCTTAATTGCTTGCAGAGTATTTGCCATCCTTTGCCAGGACCTTGCTGTATAATGACTACTTCAGCTCATTGAAGTGGTCTGGGTGCAGTGTCCCTAATGCACTTAGTTCTGCAATGTAAAACATTGCAATTCCAGAGAAACTACAAGGTTTACATTGCAGCACTAAGTCAGCCTCCAGTGGTTGTCTACCAGACAGCCACTGGAGGGGCTTCCTTGCTGTTAACTGACTTTTGGTCCATTAACTGACACTGGGCATCCTCGCGTTCTGCATGAGGACATCCAGCGTCTGCTAGTAACCCATAGGAAAGCATTGACTCAATACTTTCCTATGGGGTAGGCCTAATTCTACACTTGCCACTCATGCACATTAGCGCCTTTTCATCAGGAACGTCGGAGGAGACCGAGCCAGGACCCAGCGCCGAGAGACATAGACGTTGGATCAGGTAAGTAAATAAAAGGTTTTTAACCCTTTATTTACCACTGCAAGGAGGGAGGCAGAGCGAGCTATAGAGCCAGGAATACAGCTATGTATTCCTGGCTGGAACTATAGTATCCGTTTAAATATATATAAAAAAAAAACATATCTTGCATGTTGCCACTGTAACAAGGGACTTGTGTTAAAGCAGGGCTGTGGCTTCATTAGCCAGTTTAAAGAAAGAAAAAAAATGTGGGCTAATAACCATGGCAGTGTATCTCCACATTAGAATGCCTGGTGATAGAATATTCTTTGAGCCCTTCTTCCTTCCCAAAGCAGGACATGTGTGAGATCTCTTCCCCCATGTGCTACCTTAATATGACAGTATGGAAAAGGTGGATTCATAAAAAAATAAAACATTGAGTACTTCTCATGGTTTATACATCTGTCTTCTACACATATATATTCTTTGTAGATACAGAGGTAAAGCAGTTAAATATTATTCAGCTCACAAGCTAGAACCACTATAAAGGAAAGTGAAAGGTTTAAAGTGAAGTGGTTGCTTTTGATGTGAAAAGGAGAGGCATGGAGGACGTGCATTCAAGTAAAGTCACAGCAAAGTGCCTACACTTAAATATAAATATAGAAACAATTAGCCCTCCACTCTTCAGAACTGCAAAATTGCGGAAAATGTTTGCTTTTATGGGGAAAAATATATATGGGGAAAAATGGCCGGTGTTTGCTGTAATATGCACTGGGCATCGAATGTGGAAGTACAACTGAGAAAAGTGTTCATCTGCTTTCCTATACTGCATACCTCAAATCAGTGAACATTTTCATAGCATTTACAGATGTGCGGTAACACTGAACTGCTACCAACAAAACAGTGATTTCCTTAACTATATGCATACATGATGGAGATTTCAGCCTGTAATACAGTAATTCTATTAAACAAACCCTGTGTTTCCCTTGAGTACCATTACGGCAGATAAAACAATTTCAGTTGTCTTAAATAGTATCCGTGTATTAAACGAGCTGGAAAGTGGCATATACCAAGCTACATATAAACAGTGTTTCCTGGTGGATTACTCGGTCTGTGCTGAATTGCCTTTGTTATTATAGCAAAGCCTTGTGCTACTTGTTGTTTCTTTCTTTCTATGGATAGGGATTCCAGGGAAACGCTTCTTGTTGCTATGGAGAGGGATGGGAAGCTTGTTTTCTTTTGAATGGAATTAACAGTTTGCTGTTATAGCCATCAGTATTCCGTTTCCAGATATATTATGACAATGAGGATTTATTTTGCCTCAAATTATTTTGTCTTAAACAGCAATGCTAGCTGACTTTACTTTGAGCATGCAGCAATATCCTGTTACCTCTTTGTGGCCATCATAAATAATCAGTTTAAAACTCTGCTAGTCAACCAACAGCTCTCCCACAATTCAGGCACCATATAGGGCATATGTCAAAATCTGTATGCTTCCCCGACAGGCTGACTGATTATATAGGTGAGAGAGATCACGAGTAAGTTCCTCTCACTGCCTCATATGCATAGATGTTCAGCTGAAAAAGTTTTAATTTATTCTGACTTCCTTAGTCTTAGTAGCATATTTGATACGAAGCCCACAGAAATGCATTCAGTAACAAGCCAGGTATTCCTGATGTGAAATATATTTTAGTGTATTTTATTTGACAGTCTTTTCAAGTTGATGCCTATCTTTGCAGGGACACTATAGTCACCAGAACAACTACAGCTTATTGAATTTGTTCTGGTGAGTAGAATCATTACCTTCAGGCTTTTTGCTGTAAACACTGTCTTTTCAGAGAAAATGCAGTGTTTACATTACAGTCTAGTGATAACTTCACTGGTCACTCCTCAGATGGCTGTTAGAGATCCTTCCTGGGTCATGGCTGCTTAAAATGCATCCAAACATTCAGTGTCTCCTCCCTCTGCATGCAGACCCTGAACTTTCCTCATAGAGATTCATTGATTCAATTCATCTTTTTGAGGAGATGCTGATTGGCCAGGGCTGTGTTTGAATCATGCTGGCTCTGCCCCTGATCTGCATCCTTGTCAGTCTCAGCCAATCCTATAGGGAAGCATTGTGATTGGATCAGGCCACCACTTCTGATGATGTCAGCAGACAGCTTTTTTCCTGAGGCAAACAGCATGCAGAGCCACAGCTTCTGGCTTGAATACAGTAAGTTTTTCTATATTTATGGAGGCATGAGGGGCCTAGGGGGCTAGATGGTGGTTTTAACACTATAGGGTCAGGAATACATTTGTGTTCCTGACCCTATAGTGATCCTTTAATGATAAATATTTAAGCTCTGCACATCGGTGAAGGTATCCCATAGATCATACGATATTCTGTTTCTATTGTTTTTTAAAGGGAACATTTCACCTTTTAAACCACTCACGCTCCTCACGAAAATGTTTACATCGAATGTATCATGTATTTTTGTGATATTTAATGTGCATAGGGCAATTTAAGGTAAGTATATTTTTTTCAATTATAGGTTCACCTTTTTCAGAATGTCGCTTAACATTCCTTTTGCTAATTGCCATTGATCTACACCAGGTTCACCCAAAAGGTGTTGTAGAACTACAACTCCCATGAAGCTTTAGAATGCCTAAGACTTCTTTAGAATGGCAAAGCATCATCGAAGCCGTAGTTTTAAAACATCTGTGGATCTACCTTTTTTGCACCCCATATCTACACTGATCACCCTTAACATTAAAACCACCTGCCTAATATTGTGTAGGTCCCACTCGTGCTGCCAAAACAGCCACAAAACCTCCTGAATGTGTCCTGTAATATCTGGCAACAAGAAATTAGCAGCATATGCTTTAAGTCCTGCAAATTGTGAGGCGGGGCCTCCATGGACCTCTTTAATGTTCCTAAATCCAATCGTCAATCATTTGTGCAGGGTGCATTATCCTTCTGAAAGATGCCTCTGCAGCCAGGGAACACCTTTGCCATGAAGGGATGTAAGTGGTCTGCAACAATCTCCTGGCAGGTGGTAAATGTCAATGTAAAATCCACATGAATGCCAGGACCCAAGGTTTCCCAGCAGAACATTGCCCAGAGCATAACACTGCCTTCGCTGGCCTGCCTTCTTCCCGTAGTGCATCCTGCTGCCATCTCTTCCCCAGGTAAACCACACACACGCACCCAGCCATCCAGCTGATCTAAAAGAAAATGTGATTCATTAGACCAGTCAACATTCTTCATTTGCTTCATGGTAAAGTTCACAGCCCCATTAAAGGGACATTATAGTCATCATGGGCACTCTGACTGGTCTGCTGCTATGCAGTCTCTTGCGCATCAAACTGCAATGCACTGTGTGTTCGGACACCTTTCTTTCATGGCCAGCATTAAACTTCAGCAGTTTGAACTGTAGCATCTCTTCTGTGTGATCGGGCTAGCCTTCATTCTCCACGTATGTACTAACCACTGCATACCACAGAATGCTTAATGTTTTGGAAATGCTCTGACCCAGTGGTCTAGCCGTCACTATGTAACCCTTGTCAAAGTTACTCAGATTTTTTCGGTTGCCCATTTTTCCTACTTCCAACACATGAAATTCAAGAACTGACTGTTCACATGCTGCATAATAAATCTAACCCCTTGACCGGTAGCATTGTAACCATATAATCAATGTTCTTCACTTCACCTGTCAGTGCTTTTAATGTTGTGGCTGATCAGTGTATAAAGATATTTTATAATGGACACTGGTGGATTTATTTTTATTTAATTATTTTTTAAAAATAATTCTCTACTCTGTTCCTGCACGCAGGACTTCAATCTTCTCTTATAGAAAACAGAGTAGTGCTCCTCACCATATTAAACAGAGCATAGTGAATCCTTTCTGTTGATGCTCAGCCACATCTCTGAAGGAATGGATGTGTGCCAGGTCTGGCGTCAAACCAGTCTGAGGGGGAATATAAAAATAAAACCAAGTACTGAAGACCTTTTCATGGCGCCTCAAGCAGACTTTATATTCCAGAATGAACTGTTCCCTCTGAACCGTGTAAATGGAGCCGGAATTCTTTGTGTGAAGGGGGGAAAAAAATAATCTTAAGACCTGGAATGTTCAGTGTGCTTTCACAAACTATGTATATTAATTTAAATTGTGCTTAGAAGTTTTAGAATAAGTTCCAGCATAATTTGTATGTTTGCAAATTGTGAAGACAGCCGACCAGTAGACAGTAGTGCTATTCGGCATCAATGCATCTTTATGGTGAGAGTTCAGTGCTGAATGTTGGTCCTGCAAAGATTGCAGGACCGCAACTGTAAGCCCCTCTAGTAGCTGTCTGATGGAAAAAAAGCAGTGTTGTCATTGCTGTGGTTGCAGTAATAGTCTATTTGCACTAGAACCACTACATTAAAGGGACACTGTAGTCACCTGAACAACTACAGCCTGTCCCTGCATGTGCAGTAGCCTCCCAATGCTATGACAAGGCACTGGATTGGCTGAGATCGTTAAGATATTTTATCTCAGCCATGGAGGCTGTACCTATATATTTTGCAAATGTGCTTCATTTTGTTAAGGGCATCTGTGTTAATAGAGCGGTAAACCCCAAACATTTGTTTCTTTTATGTTTTCTTTTCTTTTTTTTACTTTGTATTTGCTAGTTGGTCTCCTCAATAAGCAACTGGAGACTGAGGTAAAGGCAGCACGGAGTGAACTTTTATAGTATGCGCTTCGGTTTTGTAGTTCATAATTCACTGTGACCAAATAAGAGAATATCATTCTATTTTGTCTATTATTGTGTAAAGTGGTAGATGTGTCTTTTGTAGTTAGTTTACATGCTATGCATTGCAGAAGCAAATATGTAGATTGGATTTTGATTTACGTAAAGGCCTACACTGAAACTCTCACAACTCTTGGGCGGCATCCAAGGCTATCGTATTCATCATCCATAAAAAATACATTCACGCTGTCCCAAATCCCATTTAAATAACATATTTATAGTACTGAAAGCCTTTGATTTTTAACTTTGCATAAGGGTTTGGGGTAGTGATCAGGTAACGTTTGTTTTGTTTATACATTATATGTTTTGTTTAGAGGTTAATAATTGAACTACTTTTTAATGACTCTGTTGGCATAGAATTAAAACAATGGCTTCAGTGGCGAAGGCTATGCTTATAGTGAGTATGTAATTTAATTTATAAATTTGCTGTTTTCTTTTAGAATATTCTAGATTTCATTTCAATAGATACGTTTGTGTTTAGGGTTTTTCCTGTGTGTCTTTTTTTTGTAGCACTCTTAGCACTCTTTGAATTTAGTTTTGTGTTTAGTCTCCCCATCTACCAAAGATGAGCGTAAAAATGAACCACACAGGATTATTGAATGTGTAGTCCAATAAGAAGAAAATTAATGTATCCTTGGATTTGATTTGTAGTCTGACTGGTGGGGTCAGCACTTGATTCTCATCTCTATGCCATGGGACCCTCTGAAGGAGATTTTGGTTGCAGTGTCTTGGAAAGAGATTTTTTTAAGACCCTTCAACCAAACCACTACACAAGCTTACGGTGTTTTTAATTTTTTTATTTTTTTTATTTGTTGGAGGACCTGACTGGGGACTATCTGAAGGGCATGCTAATATGTTCTTTCCTTTTCTCTGTTATCATATCTTTAGTTTTTGCTACAATTAGAATTTGCTATGCAGTTATAGAAGCTGTGATCTACTGAGTATCTGACTGTTAAAAGATCGGTGTGTGTTTTATTAGCTCTGTCTGGCTAATACAAGCAAAACATAAGGTTTATGACAAAAGTCAACATTCCTTCTGGATGGAAAGGCAGGGAATGTATTAGAATTAAGTGGCATTTTAATGGATTCTGTGCAAAAAAGGTTTTAAATATTTTAAATGCTGTACACACAAACTGGGGTGAAAAATAGGCTGTGGGACTTCATATATCATATTCCGTGATGGCATTGTATTGATGTTTTGTGCAAATTAAAAGGTTCGCTAAATCTTGTTTTTCAATTGTGTTCTCGGGCATGTAATAATTCAAAATCCGACCACCAAGGAACTGCATCCATTCAGCTCTGCATGTAAACATCAATACCTGAAACAATGTATTTAGGAAAAGGGTAAGCACAGGTTATCACCATCCTGTTAACTCCCATTTATCTAAAGAAATTGGTGAGAAAATGAACAAAAACTGAGCTGTATTTTAGTCATCATCTGCCTTCTCGTGATTTTCTACAAGTGTGCATGCGTGGTAGTCATGAGTAGTTTCTTTCATTATAAAAAAAACTAACAAAAAGACATGAATGATACTACTCATACATCATAATGGAAGCCATATTAAGATTGTACTAAATGTGGTAGAAAGCCCCTTACAGCTCTTCCTGTATAAACAGGTGGGGGTCTCTGCAGTTGGTTCAAGAAGAGCAGGTTTTTTTTTTTTTTTTAATGTCTGCTTCAAACAAAAAAAATTGTGGTTTGAATGACTAGAATGCAGAAATACTGCCTGGTACTAGAGGCTGTCAAGTGACTTACACACTGCATCATTGTGAGTGTGTTTGCACAATGACTTAGAAACTGTGGGGAAACGTTTTGAGGTTGGGCACTTTTGACGTACACCTTCTCTCCCGGACATCTGACATAAGGAGAGACTGATATTAGTCATAACTTTTCAATCTACGATGACTTAATGTGAGCAAGTTCTCCAGGCACAGGCTCCACCAAGGGGAAGCGCCTACAATTACACACGTTAAGAAATATGTCTGGTTGACTAATTATTGAAGCAATCTTTTATAGTATCCCCAGAGAGAACACAGAAATGGTAAAAATAGCATTTTTAATATGTATACGGAATATAGTCTGCTTTCACTGCCTAAAATGGGATTCTAGTGTAAACATTAAAGGTCACTGCTCTGAGTTGCTATATGTTTTATGTTGCTCACAGCCATCAGGCTGATTACTAGTGTGTGAAGAAGTGCCCTTTGTATGCATTTTCACTCAATTTCCATCAGAATGATTCCACCATATATAAATGCAGGGTTGAAATGATTTCCTACAATTGCCTTTCACCAACATTTCTAAGCTTATTTATATATATATATAGTGTGTGTATGTATTGTATGTGCAATGGGTGAGCTGATCAGGGCAAACTTTTCAAATGTTTTAAGAGTGTATTTTGTTGTTACTGTTTTTTTTTTTAAATTTATTTAATTTTTTTCTAGTATATATTATTGAATTAGGGCAAATAAAAATAATTGTAAAATGGAAGGCCATTCCTGAAGTAAAATAATATTGTTTATTGGAAACAAATATAAACCAGGAAAATAATCTACAAGTCGAGTAACTGTGTATTCTGTTTTCTGTAAAATTCCCTATTTATCAGTCCCTTGTGATCAAACTTTTCTTATCGAAGATCCCAAAAATAAGCAGCAGTTCATTTAATAGAACCTTTTTGCATTCAAAGTGTCCTTTAATAGTACAGCGTGATCTGATGTATGTATGTAAGTGCACTGCTATCTATTCACAGCATATATATAATGTGAAAAAATAAGGGGGGGGAAAGTAAAGTTAGAACAACCATTAAAGAAAAGAAAGGGGAGGTATTGCTCCAAGGAGGATTAAGGAGAAACTGTCACTTTAAAAAAATGTGTACTTATCTCTATATTTACCCATCTGCACATTCCAAAACAGTGGTTATCAAACCAGTCCTAAAGACAAACCAACAGTCCAGAATAAAACAGGGAAATATGGGGGGACGGAGCCTGACCTCTGAGCCGTGCAGATGTACCTGACACGAGCTCCTGCCTGGCGGGCAAAACCCGGGACAAAAGCGGATGCTATATAGTCCAAAGTCACTCGAGGGTGCACCACACACGTCAGGGGTTGCCCCACTGAACCCAACAACACCACCTCGGGGCCAGGAAAGCAGAGATCCACATGCGGCCGTTCTCCTCGGCGCAAGAGTCCTCAAGCAAATTTACCTCAACCTACCCCCCCCCCCTTCTGGACATACTGACCAGACTGGAAAGGCAAGCCAGCTGCACGACACACTAAGGCACAAGGCCCACCGGGCACAACCAAAATGGCCACTCAGCACAAGTCTAGAGAGAAGAGCACCCTCACCCAGCCACCCATGTCCCCACTGGGGATTTTTCACCGGCTCTGTGCAAGCTTCAGGGATGCTCTGCACAGCCGAGGTGCAACCCACCGCCAAGCAGACACAACGGTGGCTTTGTGGATAAGACCGGCAGCGAAACGCAGCCACTACAGGCATATACCACGAGCCTCCAAGGAGGCCGTCCGGCAACGCAGACACCAGCAGGCCTCCTGGCGGGAAATGGTGCCAGACCTTTGGGGCACACGATACCACTCGCAAACAAACAACACCGGGATTACAATACAATCGAAGCGCACGAGTATCTCACCCGACCACAGCCCTGACATCCGGCATGGCCAGCTTCAACTCTTCCCCACCAACGATGCAACACATGTGGCGGAGTGGTTACACACCTCGCAGAGCAATACCGGAGCAGACCTCTGAAACAGAGACACTAAGCCCAGGGGCAACTACGGAGCGACTAACAGCGACAGAACCCGGGACTTACCAGCACGGTAAGGTATAGGCTGAGCCACCCACCACATCGCCTCACAAGGGTATTTTTAGCCTGGACTGTCCCGAGTTCTTATAACAACTAGACACCCAGACTCAGATACCTAGGGCATGTCCCACACAGTTTATGCTCCCATGCCAACACATACCTGTTATAGCAATGCTACGCACGATGAAACCTGATCCCAGTGGTTCAAAACAAAGTTAACCTTAGACTCCGCAGATTATTCTCATGTCTAAAACGAATAGTGATGTTGCTCTACGTTTAGATAGAACAGCAATGTTACTCTTTGATATAGGCAAGATTTAGCAATATTAACCCTTTTCAGCATGTGTTTAGCAATTTACAGTCAAAAAGTTACTTACTAATTCACAAACATAAATGTCCATCCTGATTCTATAGTTAAAAAAAAAAAAAGTGCGAAATTCTGAAATGTGATTTATATAACTATCTGATATCTAACAATGATACCTTCTGAAATGTCTTTGTTCATCTGTGAAATATGCTACGCACAACAAAAATAAAGAATTAAAAACAAAAAACAAAAAAAAAACAGTGAAATACTGATTTGGGAACCACTGGTCAAGAACATTGGTAATGTGTTGTCACAAGGGGGCAAGCTTCCTCCAGAGCCCTTCTTGCAAAACACACTGTTTAGGCTAGCAGTTGATTTTTGTAACTTGATCAACGTCTGAATAATAGTTGACCAAGAGAGAATAATTTTTTGTTGTTGTTTTGGTTTTAAACTCATTAAATAATAAACTCCAGTCTGGAATACCCGGTCAATGTTTTTAGAAAGGACCATTTTGCTTTAAAGACCAGTTAGCAGAATTCCATTTAATTTAGTACATTAACATTCCCATCACAAACTGTGATCTGTGACAATAGTTGTTGGATCTACATAGTGTAGTCCCTCTAGGAGAGAATAATTGTGTAAGTCACAAGAATGCATTCTTAAGCTACGAAGGCGGTTACCCACAAGGAAGTGTCATAAGTTGTGTTCATTCAAAGATTGTTGCTGAGAGAAAGCAGACATCCAGATGAATTATACCTGCTACGCATCCAGCCACACATCAGATGGAGGTAAGTGTGTTTGGATTTCATAGCCTTGAGTACTAGTTGCTGATCACGAAGACTGCAAAGAATGATGACGGGTTTCAAGGACCATTCAACTACTATGCAAACAAAAGAATAAGAATAGGCATTGTCCTGGCCAAAGAATGTATGAGATGTGATACCCGATGATGACAGCTGGTGAGCTCGGTGCCATTGGATATACCTGAAATAAGTTAAACTGCATGTATCCTGGAAAGTTATGCTACACTGTAACACAAAGCTTTTGTTAGTTTTTTTGCCACTCACACCCGTATCAAAGGATTTGACCCCACAATTCTTTTCTTTTTTTTGTATGGCACATTGGGACGTGCACCTTATTCAGAAATAGTTACTGTGAAACTATGCTTCCCTACCTGAAGTGAACCAACTGGTTGGGCAAATGAGTATTTCATGAAATGTTTATGTTTTAGTTTGTGGTTTATGATGTTAATAATTTAAAGGGGAATTGTCACTTCTCTGGAATTTATACCACTGAACAAACCATTGAAAATCACCTATAACATGTATGAACTTGTTTTTTTTTCTTTAGAAAATTGCATTATATTCCATTTTAAACAAGACAAAGCCAGGGCAAAATAATTGCACATGAGAAGATACATTTATTTCCTTTCAATGTGTGACTGCCTATGGCCAGATCTCTTTGTAATATCTTACCGTTTCTTCTTAACTCCTTAGCAACTTTCAGTTTACGTTATTTTGCCAATCCATAAGGAATTCTTGTCATATTTTTAAGGTTTTGTACAGAAGCTGCTGTTTCCCCCAATTTCTTTCTTCCTTTTCCGTTTGCTCCTCGGAGCTAACGTAAGTGGTAGGCACGCCGTGCTCGAGTGCGCCTGTCCATATTTTGTCTTATATCTTTTGACTGCATTGAAATTCCAATACAGTCAATGTGAAATACTAATTTTTTTTTTTTTTATGGATACACAAAGTTTTTCGGTACATGTTGAAAATAAATGCACATTTTTATAATATTTGCAGCGACATTCCAGAGACTATTCGCTATAGTACAGAGCTTGTATAACTGGTAACAAAAATATTCTAGTTCCATGAAAAGACAATTACTGTGCTCGAGCTTGAACCACTGTATGCAAATAATTGGCTTCCAGGGCGATATACTGGGAGGGACTCGCTGTAACTTCTAGTGGAGACCCAGACTGTTGTCAGAAATCCATACCAAAATGTACACAGGGTTCTGTAGTGAAAGTTCCAGAGTTTCGCAGCCCAGGTGATTGGTAATTGCCACCTCCTTGTAGGTAAAAAAGGATGTTGCCTGAAGACTTACACAGGCCCATGTTCTTGGTAAGTAGTTGCGTTGAGGAATTTCTGGTAATGTTGCTGAGAAGAGTGGGACTGTTGAATGCTCTTGTCCAGCTTAGCCCCAAATTTTGTATAGAAATCACCAATAGCTTGAAGGGATGTTGTCACTTGCGAGTGCAGTAAATTCTGTGTCAGGGATGCCTCTGGCAGGACCGTTGCCATTCTGAGAATCCGCTACCCTGCATTGGAGGCCTGGTGGTAATGGAGCTACTCCAGTGAGTACTGGGATAACACCTGCCACTGGAGTAATGGAGCTACTCCAGTGAGTACTGGAGTAACACCCGCCAGTCCAAAGGTTGGGGCACAGCTCACAAAGCGCCAGAGTACATGCAGCCCCAGTGGATTAGATTAACCACTTCTCCTGCCCACGGTGCACTAGACAACACAGTCCAAAAATCTGAGTACCAGTAATATATGGACAGATGACCACATCATGAGTTTGGCAGTGGCTGGATGCAGGACTTCAGCCATAAGTCATGAAAGTAGTAACTGGGATGAAAGTCAGGCTTCATCCCAAGTTCAGTTTTGTAATGTCTAATTTCCTCTTTGCTTCCTAGAGAAGTTGTTTGTTCAAGTGCTACTATCAACATATTGATCAGCATCACACTTTGACGATATCTCTAACCTTAGCTTGCCCTAAAGAATGTCATTACTGTGGTTTGCTCCCAAAGTGATCCCTCAGCCTGGCTGTCAATCAAACAGTATTGATGGACTGCTGCATTATGAAGCATTAGCGTCATACATACTGCGAATGAAATGTGCATGCCACCAACATTGTTATATGGCAGCTGGCAGCCAGTCACTGAGGTACGGTGTAACCAGGGGCCTGTTGCCAGGCTGCCAAACTTGAGGGGTTCAGCAATAACCCCCCAGGGAAATTTGGGGGACAGGGTTTAAACATCCATTGTACCCTGTACATCGGTGATACTAACAATATTAGGGATAGGGATATAGAGGGTATGGCGCAAAACAGAGGTTAAACATCAGCAACTCTATACAGCCCTGCTGTTACTAAGTGAATGGGACATTCTAATTTCAATGTGATCCTTAATGACTAGAATGTTATGTCATAGAGGGACACTTCCTTTGGGTTAAAGCAGTGGTAGTCAACCTTTTTCTACCTACCGCCCACTAATGCATCTTTTTGGTTGAAAAAATGTCCTTACTGCCCACCAGTTTTCGCACAAGTGCAGAATATTTTTTAGAAAGGAGGGTGTTTTATATAAAATAAATGTACGTACATTTATCTTTTTATTTCTACTTAATGCATTTTTATAATGTTTTTAACTTTATAAAGTTTAATGAGAAAACAAAGTAAATTGAAATTACCTTTACTAGTGATTGAGGTTGATGCTGCAAGACTAAATATTTGATATCTGGTTCGATTTTCATAAGTAACAAACAAAGGTTTATACTCTTTCAGTGATATTCAGACGACTTCTCTGTTTGCGCATAATATGATTTCTCATCTGTGCGTCAGCTCCCCTCCTCTCCCTCCTCAATTCCCCTCCCCACCTTTTTTAACCTTCCTTATCGCAATGCCCAGTAGGAAGGCTGAGCTAGGTATCCCACTTACTATTACTTACTACAGCCCACTACAACAGACAGGCATACATACATACATACATACATACATACAGACACACAGACAGGCACACACACGACACATACATACATACAGACACACACATAAGACATACATAAAAAGACACTTACAGACACACGACACACATACATACAAAGACACATACACACACAACACATACATACAAAGACAAGACACACATACATACAAAGACAAGACACATACAAAGACACACACATACATACAAAGACAGATACATAAGACACACATACATACACACACATGCAGACAGACACATACAAGACATATGTACTTTGGGGATATTTATGGGATAATAATAGTAACAGTGAGAATTGCCCACTAATTCAATTCTCAGATCCCAAAGAACGTTTATCGTAAGTGAGAAATATTTCATATAATAATATCACAATGTATAAAAATAGATTTTTATTTATAATGACTAATTAATAATAATAATATGTAACATGCATGACAATAATCAATGAATATCCAGTATAAAATGGTATGCCATACAAAGGAATGGCTACATACGTCTCAACGGCTTAAACAGCATTATCTGTCAAGGCTTACACGATTTATGACTATCTTTACAGACTGAAAGGAAAACTTTTCACAGAAGAACAGAATTCCTCAGAGTGCAGCGTAAGGTCGTAAAGTTTAGCTGACAGTTAGAATAACCCTTTCAATGCTGGCTAGATCTCCTAGGTAGTTAAGATCTATTCTTATGTAATTTTAAATAAAATAACATCTAAACCAGTTCATTAGTCATTTCCTGGAACCATCCAATAAGAGAATCTACCATGTTATATAAGCAGATTTTAATTTGTCTAAAAGATATCTTATCTTAATTTAGAGCAAATCAATACACCTGGATAAAAACGGTATGCTAACACGTGATAATATCACCTTAATATATAATTATTCTTAATTCCACCTGCAGAATGGAATGTTTATAACTCTATATATTTTTAGTTAACTAAGATTTCTTAATATGGAAATCTGGCCGTGCTTTATCCAGTCATATATAATGCTATTAATACATTTTAATTAATTTAATTAATTAAATGAAACCAGTATAATTACCAGTTGAGTAGATATTTCATCCGATTGGTAGTCTCAGGAACTTATTTGGATGTCTCTCTGCATGGAGGTTGGAGTCCCCAAACTTCCAATTCCTCTCTCCTCTTTTTCTTTCTCCTTTGCATCCCTTGTATATCCTGCATATCTCTATCTTCCCTTTGTCTTAACTTTTAAAGGGCCAGACTCTCTGTATGTCATCAGTTGATAACCCAATAGAAGAGGTGTGGTTATCTTCCAGATCGCAAATTAGGTATTTGGTCTATAGAGGGCAGTCTTGTCCCACTAAACATACCTATCCAGGAAAGAGTTAACTTTTCCTGGTGGCTATTTTGACGTCATTTTGGCCTATCTAGATAGTGCCATAACTTAAAATTTCAAAGGGTTCTTTAAGTTTTGTCTAGACTATGTGTCTGGCAAATCTGAGTTTTGACCCGTAACTTACAATGGGACCTTATATGTATAGACAGTTAAATTTTATTATTTAATCTTCTCTGTCACAATTGTCTGGGTTTAGAATTGATTATATTCTTCTTATCACTTGTTTATACTATGCATTCCTTTTAGCTCTGACAAAGTGGCTAGTCTTACAGAAAGAAATCTTGTGTCTTTTTTGTTAACTTGAAAATAACAAAATGGAGTCTGGTCTGTTCAGAGTGACTCAGAATATACACTTTTAGTTTCTATCATAGCACAAAATGTCTGCCGATATAAATACCCTGACAGTACAAAGATACATACACAAACACACACAAAATATTTTAGTCACCCTCCTGTTTCCTACCTTTTAGGTGCAGGAGGGTGACTTTCCCTGGGGTCCAGTTGTGGCTCAGGTGGATGGGAGTCAAAGTTTCCACTCTGACTCCTTCCTCCCGCGCGGTCTATGTATTAGCTGGGAGGAGTGACGTGCACTCACTTACTCCCAGCTCTGTGATGTAATCACAGGGGGCCTCGTTGCGCTGTTAAAGCGCCCAACGCTGACCGGGCCCCCTCACAATCCACATCCAACCCTTCCATACGTGGCCGGGGCCGCAAGTGGGGATGGCGGTATCTGGTCGCAGGGGTACCGCCGGCTCGCACCCGCCCGCCCGATCTCTCAAATTTGAAAATCCCTACCGCCCACCTGGAATCTTGAAACGCCCACTAGTGGGCGGTAAGGACCAGGTTGACGACCCATGGGTTAAAGTAACACAACAGAATGATTCTCTTTTACATGATGCTATTATAATTGGCAAATCCATGCTCAAAATGTAATGCTAAGTTAGTTGCTACTCAGAAAGCAGAGGTATGGTGGAGATACGCTAAAACTCTCCTCTAGGTGTAAAAACACAACTAAAAAAGTAGAATGTCATGTAACATGCACATTCAAAACATGCTGGCTTAGTGGAGTGATCTGATCACATTATCATCATAGCGGCTATGTCTTTATTGACTCTTCAGAAACCATTTTTTGTTTCCATCTAGTTTGTTACCTTCATATTGAGAGAGAGTGTTGAATGTACAGAGCAGGACATATTGACCTGGACTTTGAAAATGTGTTCCTCTGCTGAACAGAATGACTGACTAGACAAAGGCTGTGTCATATTATACAGTGTGGCAGGTGTCACTGTATGTAATGCAAAGTATCTTACATTGACACAATGGAATTAAAGTTAAGAGTTACCTTTCCATCCGTTAACCCTTTTTAATGTTTACCAGGGTTTTTGCACTTGAATCCAAGGGTGTGTACTCATACGATAAGTCATCTTTGTTTCATTGTAGTAAAAAAAAAACATTTTGATCCTATATCGATTTACACTTTTTTTTTTTTTTCTAATTTGTATCACGTCTCCATTTATACATACCAGTGCTCCTACATCATTTATTTTTTTAGAACAAATTGCTATACTTTGTATTGATCATTGGTCACGGTACACAAATTACAAAAGTAGAGATGAAAGAAAAATATCTATACATTTTGTGGGAATAAAAGATCTGTCCCTTTCCCTTGAGGTCTACGCCGACAAGTGACTGACTGGGAAGAGCAGGAGATATATTTTTCGTTTAATTGCTTTTTATTTGGTTTTACAAAGGCTACATAATAAACCATTTTACATAGTTCTATGAATAGCATTTACTGCTACCATGTAATACTGTAGAAGAAGTATTGAAGTATTCTAAAGTCTGGCAGACGCTAGCTTAAAACATTATACATATTCGTTTATATATCACACAATAAAACAAAACCGAAAAAAAACCAGGCCATGTTGGGTTCATGAAAGAAAACTATTGTAACAAAAATGTGACTATAAACGTATTGCTGCCTGAGTGTTTAGTGTTCCAGCTGAGCAATATAAACTTGGTATACCTCCGTACAAAGCTTTGCACTGGGAAGGCACTCCACCACATTATAAAAAAATAAATAAAAATAACACAGTTAAAGAAACTACCATCTCTCCCCCCACCTCCAGGGGTTATACTGTTTAGACAGGCAAAGGATAACACAGTGTCCAGACACGCTTGCTGATTTTTGCTAAAATTTCAGATACTTGAAATGTTTGATATTTCTCTACAATTATTTGCTGTACAGAAAATCTTTCCTATTACAAATATTCTGACCTTTTCTTTTTTTTTCTTTTCTGTGTTTAAAAAAAGATCCAGCCATACGAGAAGATTAAAGCAAAAGGAATTCCAGACAACATTGCATCCGTTCTGAACAAGCTGGTTGTAGTAAAACTCAATGGCGGTTTAGGTACCAGCATGGGTTGTAAGGGTCCGAAAAGTCTCATTGGTGTTCGCAACGAGAATACCTTCCTTGATCTCACTGTGAAACAGATAGAGGTATGTGTGTAATACTGGGGAGAGGGGAGGATGGGAGGGGGGGGGGGCGGGGGGGGGTTGTAGTGTAAAAACCCAGTAAGTTGATACAAACTGTTAACATTGAGAAGAATATTATTATGGCAAACTAGTGCAGCCCCACTGGAGAGACGTAAAGGTTGGTAGTAGACACACACTTGGGGTTTAATTGATTATTGTTTGTATTGTATTATTTTAATTTAAACAATAGATTAATTAGTTTGTGTTGCTGAAAACTTTTATTGCATCTGTGATGTTTCCAGGAGATACTGGACTTTCAATATGAGTATTTGGTTTCCGGCTATAATCTATAATAAGTTCACTTTCCCAAAAATGTTGAAGGAAAGAAAACAACGAACCCCCCCCGCCCCCAGATAATAGCTTTCACTTGCTTTGTCCCTATGGTTTCTAGGAAGGATTTAATCAGTGTTAATGAGCGGTCGGTCGTGTTATTAATGTCTGAATGTGTTTTATTTTTCTTGATTTAGCACTTGAATGTGACCTACAACACACAAGTTCCCCTGGTTCTTATGAATTCCTTCAACACTGATGAAGATACAAAAAAAATATTACAGAAATACAGCCACAGTCGAGTGAAGATTTATACTTTTAATCAAAGCAGGTAAAATGGAGATATCAAGATTGCAAACTTAACAAAAAAACACTATGACAATAGATGACAATTAAATCTTTCTTATGGCAGAACACATCTAATAAATATCGAATGAGGAGAAAAATTACTGTCCAATGGCCTAGTATAATTACATGTGTCCTTTTCCCTTCCTCACCCCACTTTGTTTGGTTTGATTTTGTGTTAACCCACTAAGAGCCAGGAATAGTCTAGCTCTTTTTATTTTTTGAGATATTAAAAGTTCATTTTTAACTTCATACTAGGCCATTGGACAGTAATTTTTCTCCTCATTCTGTACTAATTTCTCCAAGGTTATCCCCTATTGTTACTGTCCTAAGAACATTGCACGGCTTCTATCTTCCTCAGTTTACCTTCAAGCATCTTTTGATGACATATATAATGCAATATATATATATATATATATATATATATATATATAAATAATCTCAGGGCTTGAAAAATTGTCATGTAGGAGCGAGCTAAAAAAGTTAGGTGCCAGTCATTTTCAGCGAGAAAATGCAATTCTTAAAGGGACACTATAGTCACCAGAACCACTACAGCTTGATGTAGTTGTTCTGGTGTCTGTAGCCTGTCCTTGCAGGCTTTTCAGTGTAAACACGGCCTTTTTGCACAAAATGTTTACATTGCTGCTTAGTAACACCTCTCGTGACAGTCACTCAGACGGCCACTAGAGAGTCCTGGGTCACTGCTGCACCACGTGCAGCACCCAGGTTCAGTGTCTCCAAGCTCTGCCTGGAGGCCCTGAATGTTCCTCATAGAGATTGATTAATGTAATGCATCTCTATGAGGAGATGCGGATTGGTACATTTGCTGCGCATGCACAAAACCCTCCCAATGCTTTCCCAAGGGAAAGCATTGGCTTAGCTGAGATCATAAAGATTGATAATCTCAGCCATGGAGGTGGTACCAGCCGTGCTGAAACTGGCACAGCGTGAGTAAAAACATCTTCCTCATGTAATCGGAGGGGGCAGGTACCTAAATGCACACACACTATGACAGAATCACATACAGTTACGCTGACAACAGGAACGCACACACAAACTGACAGGCTCACACACACTCTTGACAAGCTCTAACACGCGCACACACACACACACTCACTGACAGTCGCGCACTCACTCTGACATTCGCGCGCACACACACACACACACACAGGCAAACAGACTCATTTTTGTTTTACTTGAACGCCACTCAGCCTCCATACCTTTGGGAGAGCTGAGTGGGTATTTCCCTGGGGTCCGGTGGGGCTGCTCTCATCCTGCGTGTGAAGGAGCATTGTAGGCGGTGTGGAAGGAGCAGTAATATGCCTGTAGCTGCTCTGTTCCCCCTGCATATTCCAGCTCTGGGGACTGCAACAGAGTACTGCTTCAACGGGCAGCCGGCTCCATGCTGTCTTGGCCGGCCGCCTCCATCCTGCTCACTGTGGCCGGCTCCATGCTGCCTTGGCCAGCCGCCTCCATCCTCCTCAGACAGCTGCCTCAGTTCTTCTCAGGGCAGCTGGCCGCTTTCATCCTCCTCAGGGCCGCCAGCCTCCAATTTTCACATGACCGCTGCTGTCAAAGTTCCCTCGGTGGCCACAGTTTCTAGAGCTGGCAAATCCCAGGCGCCAGGGTGAAATTTCTAGGCGCCGTGGCATTTGTCGAGTCCTGATATATATATATATATGTGTGTGTGTGTCCCTTTAAGAAACTCGCACCCCCTCCTACCAACACCACAAGCGTAAGGGAGGAAATATAATGCGTGGACAGTTGACATTTAATAAATTCATATGTAAACCAAAACTATAGTTTTTGCTGGTTATTGTCAGTGAGCCATCTCTGCTTGCGTAACAATATCCTAAGGAAAAAATTGATCTGTGTATGACGGAAGAGGTCAGGCTGTGACTGTGTCAAGTGCTAAGTAAAGATTAAAACTTTATTTGTGCATCTGGTACTAATGAGGCATGTAGAAAAATTCCACCATATTGCACAAAGTGCCAGTGACCTGCAAAAACATGAATGGCTGCATAGCTTTAGAAAAGCACTTTCACGCACACACGGATGGGTTTAACTGTAAGAGTAAGTGTAACTTAGAAAGCAGTGAGGCACATCGGAAGATCGGGAGCATTCTAGACCCTGCAGGTGTATTCCTACTGAACACTGGATACACTTACACATCACACTGTGTCTCTAGTTGCTGTCAGCCACTATTTGTAGTTCATAAAAGAACAAACTATGTTTTACATCGCAGGGTTAAAATGGCAGGACCACTGCACCCAGACCATTTAATTGAGATGAAGTGGTCTGGGTGACAAGAGTGGTTCATTAACTGCTGCTTGGGGAGAACTGAGAAATTATTTCTAATCTGGAAAATGAACGATCTAGGTAAATGTATCCATTTTGGTTTAACATTTATACTTCCCTTGGCCATCCTTCACTGTTCCCGGTCTATAAACCTGTCAATCTTTGTATTTACGATTTATTTTGGCATTATGATCAACATTTATAATCCTGTTTGCATAAAGAACAGGGATGGTTTGCTCATTATGGATCGTATCCCAAAATGGAATGTGTTTATCATTTAATGTGCAATAAGACAAAACCACTGACTGCTGATTTGTATGAATTTCTCAAGAAGCATGCTAATACTGCAATACATTGTCTTACAGATATCCGAGAATTAACAAGGAGTCACTGCTTCCAATAGCCAAGGACTTGTCATATTCTGTTGAGAATGCAGAGACCTGGTACCCTCCGGGTCACGGTGACATCTATGCTAGTTTTTATAACTCTGGTCTTTTGGACACACTCTTAGAAGACGGGAAGGAATATATTTTTGTTTCCAACATTGACAACCTCGGGGCCACTGTGGACCTTCACATTCTGAACCACCTTATGAACCCTCCGAATGGGAAGCGCTGTGAATTTGTCATGGAAGTTACAGATAAAACGAGGGCAGATGTTAAGGTGAGGTTGATTTTGAAGTTCAGATGGGCTGATGTAAACGGAGCAAGCCATGTCAGCTTTTATATGACTGGTTTAAAAACACGCTGTATGGTCAGAAAATGTCTGGTGGTATATAACAAGTTCTAAAAATGGTTCAAGACTGACTTTTTGGGGTGTTTTTTTAAATCAATTTAGAATTTGTTGAGAAAAAGAGAACTCTTTCACTTAACTATTGACATCAGCCCAGGAACTGGTATTTTATCTTTAGTAACCAGAGTATTTGTGTTTTTCCTGGACTTACATTGCAATACATGTGCTGCCCTATAGTATGTACAATGTATTCTCTATAGGTGTAAGTAAGACCCCCAGCATTTTTACTTGATTTCTAGTCGCAGGATAGAATTTATGCATTCCACAGGGCAGCACAATTCCTGCACTTTCCATATATCTCAGAAATGCCAGTGGATTTGATAGCTCTAATTATACCCCAGGAGTTTCCTGCTTCTGTTTTACACATCGTATTAATGTGTATGAAACTTACTCGGCATTTTAAACCACAATGACATTTTTTTTTTAAAAAACTGTTAATTTTGACAGTGGGATTGGACAGCAGTATTTGAGTTCTTTTTCTGAATATCCTATATATTTGCTTTTCTTCCCACCTATAGGGAGGTACGCTCACTCAGTGTGACGGGAAGCTGAGACTGGTGGAGATTGCCCAGGTCCCCAAAGCACACGTTGATGAGTTCAAATCTGTGTCCAAATTTAAGATCTTTAACACAAACAATTTGTGGATTTCTTTGTCTGCAATCAAAAGGCTACAGGAAGCCAATGCAATTGACATGGAAATTATTGTTAATCCAAAGGTAAATGTTAAAGTTGTAGTTTTTGAGAACATGCCTTTTTTTCCATTGAAATGTTAATGTGCTGTGTTTTAGGCAATATAAGACTTGAGTTGCCGCGAATGAGAGCTGGATACAATTAATTTCCCTATAAACAGTGATATTTGATATGTTTATTTCTATAACTTTTTTTAAATTTTATTTTTACACGCTGCAGACTTTAGATGGAGGACTAAATGTTATTCAGCTGGAGACAGCTGTTGGTGCTGCAATTAAAAGTTTTGAGAATTCTTTGGGTATCAATGTTCCCCGAAGCCGTTTCTTGCCTGTGAAGACCACGTCGGATCTCCTGCTCGTTATGTCTAACTTGTACAGTCTGAACGCTGGCTCCTTGACAATGAGTGAGAAGAGAGAGTTCCCTACAGTTCCTCTAGTCAAATTGGGAAGTTCTTTCACGAAGGTAAGAATTCATTCTAAGCCGAGACTGTCCTCTCCAGCATAGCTTCTGGCATAACTGAATGGATTAATCTGACTCATTGACTCTTAGAGATTTGTGATTTGGTTGTTTTACTTTTTGTTTTTTCAATTAAGTTGATAAGAAAACCAGAAATATGGCTGGGAAGGAGACTGTTTAGATTGACAATTGAAAGAGGGTCTGTTATAGTTCTCTGTTTGAAGTTTAGCCAGTTTGATTAACAAGAGTTTCCATTAAACTTCAATAAGGACTTCGTCCCAGAACTTGTTTGGTCAGTTTTTCTGCGGTAAGGTAGGAGTCATGGAAAGAGGACGTGATGATTGCATTTTAAATGGTCAGACTGTGTTTTTATTAAAGGCAGTTTTATACCACACAATACAGATTCATAAACATTATCTGCCCATTGTAATAACAAACCGGTAGCAAACAACAAGATTGCTGCTTTACATAGCAATGGCCAACAGAAATATTATATGTGTGGATATATCTCTTGCAATACAAAAACTGTCACTATCCTGATATGATGATGTGTGTATTTTACTGATAAGTAATCAAAGGCTACTTATTTATGACAGCAGTCACATTTACCACATTTCAACATATTGGAAATTTTTTAAATTTTTCAGTCCCCCCCCCATGGGCTTATAACAGTGTGTTTACCATAATTCTTAATAGGTTCAAGACTATCTGAGAAGGTTTGACAACATACCAGATATGCTGGAGCTGGATCACCTCACTGTGTCAGGAGATGTGACTTTTGGGAAAAATGTGGCACTAAAGGTATGTACTATAAGTTGTTTAACCATCATCCCTATCCAGATATGCAGGTTCCCACAGCCTGCATGGCCATCCTGACTTGGTTATTACAGGGGCAAACCAGGCCTATTATTTACAATAGCTCTCCATCAAAGGGCGCCTAAGTTAGCACATTTCAGCATTTTATGTTTGTCAGTACTGGGATACAGCCTCAGAGTGCAGCGTGTTTCCTCCATGTTGGTTCTTGTTTTTGCCTATAAGGCTTAATCCATGTATAGAAAACAAATGGGAACACATTTTAAAAATAGAGGTGCTGGCATGGGATAGTCAAATACTAATCGAATTATTAGTACAATTGACATTAAAATATATATTTTTAAATTGTATCTGGTTTGTTTATTGGATGCTGCATATTAAATAGCGGAACAGATAACCATTCTACGTATTCCCCTCACCAAAAACGGAGGGGTTGTGTGTGTGTGTGTGTGTGTGTCTCTGAAATATCAACACAGTTCATTTAATGTATATAGAGGGTGGTGTACCTGTCGTCTTACAAACCACCATGTGTAGCGTTGGCAAAATAAGTTACCAAAAAAGATCTCCTCCCTGTTCATCTAATGTGATTTGTGGGTGCAGTTTGGAAATGTGTCACTAATTAGGCTAAAGCAGTCTGGGAAGTTTTGGTGTTGAACTAAGATTGACAGGACAGCGATATTCCTTTTCACATTCATTACACTATGCACTGCAGTTATTACGTGGTGTGATGTCACCTTGCAGTAAGGGATTTGAAAACATGAACTGCTTTAGCATTTAAACACTGCTTGTATTTAACCTATTTCCTTTCCCTTCTCAGGGTACAGTGATCATTATCGCCAATCATGGCGACAGAATAGACATCCCTCCCGGAGCAGTATTGGAGAATAAAATAGTGTCTGGAAACCTGCGGATCCTGGATCACTGACCCTATGTACAATTTTATGGATTATACGTAGTACACTTGACTGATTCTTACGCAAACGGATTGGGTTTAGGAAATATGTCCTTTAAACTTTTCTTCCACCTCACCTTTCAGTATTGTAGTTTGTCTGTGTACTGTAGAATATATTTAATAGAACCCCCTGATCATTTCGAAGCTATACATAAAATGAAAAATTTTGTAATGTCAACACATGTTAATGTGGGAGACTACTTTATGTGCAATACCGTCCTTACCAGTGAAAAAATAAAAAGGACAAAACACCATCTATTTTTCTGACTCCATTCTTTTTGTATTTTGATTGAGAGACATATTTATAACAACATAAATGGTGGAATTCTGGAGCAAATAGTTAAGGAAATGGTAGGAACATTCCACTGGTTTCCATGACAAGGATGATAAATTTAGAACTTGAATATATATGATGAAAATTATTTCTATAAAGCTTTGCAGAATAATCAGTGCCTCTTTTCTGGCACAAATGATCAATTCTGATGGTCTTTTTCCACTGTATATTACTTTTGCAGACAGAACATTTGCTAGAGTAGTTCTGCTATATTCCAATGACGTATCAAGGCCTGAGTTTTTTTTGTGTTTTTTGTTACCGGGTTAAATATGAGACATGCACATTTCTTCCCCAAACATAATTGGCCAATGTCTCATAAGATTTAACCGCTTATTTTACATCGCCACAAAAGAACATTTTTGTTTAAACAACAAAATATTCTAGTTTGGTTGTTTTCATGCAACCACTAATAGCATATTACTCTGCCACAAATAAACGCAGAGAACAAAAATCTTTTTTTTTTTTTATCTTGTTTATTGGGTCATGAAAGTCAGCAAAAATTAGGCTCGCTAGCCAGCAAAAGGTACAAAGTTAACAATATAAGTCATAAAAAACAAGCGTAAATGCAATATAATAACAGCGTAACAATTCACGCTAGGATCGTAAACTCCAATGACTGGTCAGTGTATAAGTTCTGTGTTCCCTTTCCGTGTTTGGAAATGTGGGCGAGCTTTGCCCTAGAGTGATGTATCAGTGTATGTGAGTATGTGTGCGTGTGTACTCGCAAAATACAGCAACTCTTGGTGTTAACACAGCGAGAGGACGAGGCCCATCATCCTCGGACATGATCTAGGGTGTCTAATAATAAATTGTCACCATATAAGGTATAGAGTAGGCTACCTAGTAGCTTATCAGAGTGGAGAAGACCCACAGGTCCCGTTAATAACTCCATATTAGCTCAAGCGAGTGGAGATAGGGTGGTGAAGTACGTAACCTTTTCTGTCATGGTGACATGAACGTAACCTTTTCTGTTTCCTGGGGTGTGTGTTTGAGAAGCTTCCACCTGTTTTAGGGCGCTTAGGTGCCCCTTTCTCCATAAATCATTATCTGAGCGCTTATCACTCCGAGGTCAGGACTCCTCTTCTCACTGCTTACTTGTGCATATACATGCTATATGTAGCCCATTTCTTGTACAGGCACCTACCCTTCCTCCACGACAGGCACTTATAGCAGAGCTCGAGTATTGTCCACGATTCACTACTCCCACCCACACCGTTGGGTTCCCCGTGTTTAGCTAGTGCGTGTTGTCGTCAATGTTCTGCCGGGGGTGAGTGTCTCTGTTATGCCTACTTGTGATGAGCGCATGTCAATCTTACTGTCGTGGGGTCAGTGTGGTGAATTAGGTCTCAGCCAGCCGAGAACGAAAATCTTAATTCCATACTGCACACACTATAAATAAATTCAAACTATAGTGAAATGCATTAAGTATTCCAAATAAATCCATGATGGGTATTATGGATCGACCGATATTGATTTTTTTAGAGCTGATACCGTTAATCTGTGAACTTTTAGGCCAATAGCCGATAACTTGCCGATATTCTGTACATTTACCATTCTGAAAAAATAAACTATTTCTAAAGGTAAAATATACATACCACATGTAGTGTCTGCAGTGTGTTTAGACAGGGGAGCTGTATGTGTGTGTGTAGTGTGTATTTGTTTAGTGTGTATATAATGAATGCAGAGTGTTTCTGTATTGTGTATATAATGAATGTCTAGTGTGTGTAAAGTGAATGCAGTGTGTGTGTTTGTGTAGTGAGTGTATATAATGAATGCAGTGTGTCTTTGTGTAGTGTGTGTGTATAATGAATGCAGTGTGTTTGTGTAGTTTTATATAATGCAGTGTGTGTATAATGCATGGTAACCAGTGGCAAAGCTCTGACGGTTACGGGACTTGCAAGATCTACACAGGGAGCTGCTGGGAAGGTAAGTAAGCACTTGCTGCGGGCCCCCTCCAGGACCGCCGGGCTTGTAAGGTATTGTCAGCAATATCCGTATCTCTATTGCCGAAAATACAGAATATCGTCCGATAATATAGAGCGAGAGAGAGTGTGTGTGTGCGTGGGGAAAATCAACTGAACCGGCAGAGGTGAGTAGGGGCTGGGAGTTTAAGTAGGGGACTTACTCCTCCCACAAATTCAGGCCTAATGGCCTTTCTACTTGTGCTTGGAATTTAATACGTAATGGATAGTATATGAAAGGGCAAAGTTGGTTGTGGTAAAGGATGGTAAGGGACGTGATGGTAAGGGACGATGAGCGCCCCTTGTTTATGATTTCCCAAGCTGCCGAGTTATCAGAATAGCATTTTACTGCCTTGCCGGACCAGAGATGACCCCAGGTGTGTGCGGCCGCCACGATAGGATACATTTCGAATAGGGCTGAGGTCTCCCTGAATCCTGGCAAGGCATCCGTCTCAGCGGGCCAGTGACCCCTGAACCAGTGGTCTCCGAAGATGGCTGTGAAACCAGAGTTGGCTACAGCGTCTGTGTGGATGATGGGTGAACAAGTGGAGAGAGTGGGGATAAACATGGAGATACCGTTCCAATCTGTCAAAAACTTCCCCCACATAGCTAAGTCGGCCTTTGCGTGGGGGTCCAAAGAAGCTGGGCAAGAGTCCGGCACCCCATGGAGCAGGCAAAGAAGCCTGGATATAAAAGACCTTCCCTGCAGGATGATGCGCATGGCGAAGTTAAAGGATCCCAGAAGGGACTGAAGTTCCCTTCTGGTGCAAACATTCCGCAGGAACATGTCTATCTCCTCTCTCAAGCGGATCAGTTTGTCGTGGGGAAGGCTAGCACGGAGGGTAACAGAGTCAAGCTCTATCCCCAAAAAGGTTAATTTAGTTGTGGGGCCGATTGTTTTTGATGGAGACAATGGTGCACCAAGTGTGGAAAAAAGTGCTGTAGTATTGCTGATAGCGGTGGGTGTTTGTGCCCCTGGCTCTATCAGTAAGAAGTCGTCTAAGTAATGGATAACAGAGTGACACCTGAGGACGTTCAGAAGCAGCCAGCATAGCGTCTCAGCGAAGATATCGAACAGTTTGCGGCTGCTTCTAGAACCGAAAGTGAGTCGAGTGGAGAAATAGTACTTTTCTCGCCATTTTACACCGTGTAAGTGCCAGAGTGAGGGGTGCATGGGTAGTAATTTGAAAGCGTTTGTGATGTCCGTTTTGCTGAGCCAGGGGCGGCTACCAGATGAGATAATGGATTATATGGCGTCGTCAATTGTTACATACTGAAGTAAGAATTCGGCTGCGGGTATGAGTGCGTTTATGCTGGGAACAAAAGAGGAGTGCGGCGCCGATAAATCAATAATTAGACGTTTTTTATTAGAATATTTGTGTATTGCGACACCATAGCGGTTAGTGCACCAGGATGAAAACGGTGAGGAGGTGAAGGGGCCGATCATGAAACCGTTGGTAATTTCGGAGGAAAGGAGAGTGTCTGTGGAAATTGGATCTTGGCATGCTGACAATAAATTGGGACATTCCAGTGTGCCCGTGGGGATGGCTACAATACCCGTGAAAAACCCCTGTGTGAATCCAGTGGTCAGATATTCCACCAAATGCCTGCTAGGGTGTGTCCTTAGGTAAAAAAACAGGTTGTCGACATTGATGTCGGTTAGTCATTTGTTAGGGGATAACCTGGCTGGGCACATGGTCTTGGTATATGCCCTGAAGCATATAGAACAGATGTGCAACAATCTACAGGCGCTGAAACTGCAGGAACCTGCGTTGAAATTATTGCACACCTGGGCTTTACCTAGGAAGGAGATGGGCCTACCCAGCTTATCACGTAGACCGCCCGCTGATTTGTTGTGAGGAGTGAAAGTGGGATTAAGTGTGGGAGTGGAGGTGGTGGGATAGGCTTCTGAAGGACATAAGTCTGCCGTATGAGATGTGGAGTTACATACGGCGCAAGATGTGGGCCTGAGACCAGCGAAATGGCGACAGAATAGTTCTGTGTCCATCTGACACCAGTTAATTCTGACATTGAACTGTTTCAGATGGGTCGCCGCTTTCGCTGATACCGACTTATGATAGTCGTAAAAAGAGGAGCCCCCGTACTTGATGCCTAAATCCACCACCTTGTGGAGGTAGAGGTCTAGCGCTTCTCTTCTGTGGGGATACACCATGCAGATGACATCACAGTATATCCAAAAGGTAATCACGAACTGAGGTATGGTTAGTTTTTTGTTGAGTCTGGGTCTCTAGCACCACTGAGATGTCCCCGTAATTGTATGCCCTGTTCTCCAGTATGTCTTGCGATGCTATAAGCAGAGACATCAGATACACGTCCTTCCCATCTAGGATTTCTTTCTTGATGGAGTCTGGGACGGAGTGAGCTGGTGACTCGAAAGGAGAAATAACTGTGGCTGGTGCTGGAGGAGGGAGTATGGGGGGGCATGGTGGTACAGCAGGGACTGCCGGGGTGGCGACTGGGAGGCCCAGGGTATTACCTGGGGAGGCGATGGCGCTCTCCACCTTAGATAGCCTGTTGTTTAAAGTCTGTAAGTTGGCCAAAATTGCTGGTAGGGTATCCTGTGTGGACGTGCCAGCGCTTGGTGGCTGTCCTTGAGAGCTAGTGCCTGGCCTAGGTTCAGGGGCTTGGTAGGTGAGCAGTCTGTAGAGTTCCGCCTTTCTAGCTGTAGCTGGAAAGGGGATTCCCCTGAGCCTAAGTTCGGCTGTAATTTTAGGGATAGTCCATGCTCTCAAGGACGTGGGAGTTGAGGGGGTGAGAGATTCGCATGGAGATTCTGGTCTGATGGGAGTAAACGGGATCTCCTCGGGCAACTCTTCGATGGGGGCCGGTTCTTGAGACATTCTAAAAATGATTCAGTGAATGAGATATTAGAAGGTGTGTAGGGGAACCAGGAGGGATATGAGGGGGGTATTTTATGAACTGGCCTGTAATGCTAATGCCGAAGCGAAAAACGTAACTGAATTTTTGATAGGTGAGGCCCTGCTAATGCCAAGTGGCAGTGAGAGGCTCTACCTATGATTTGGCTTAGAGAAATCGTGACCACAGACGTGGTGGCGGGGTGTTGGCCTCTCGGTGACTGTAAAGAGATTCAAAATGTGTGGCCGTGACAGGTGAGGCCCTGACTACAGCTCTGTAGTAGGGCGGGTGAGGCATATAACTATGATTTGGGCGTGGGGCCGTACCTCCGTGTTGAGGTGGGAGATGGCCTCGCTGGACAGGATTTTTTACTAGGGTGAGCTAGGGTGGTAGCCTAGACCCTGCAAGCCAGTTCACTTGTATACTAAAGGTTGAATGGTAATTCTGGTGTAATGTGTGGATACTAACCTTGAAGGGTTTATAATAGAGAGCTGGAACCTTCGAATGTTTATATGTAGCGAGTCTTGGCTGCTGCTGTCCTCGTAGAAGAAGCCTAAGGATTAAGACAGATGTTGATGTATTTATGCGTAACGTGGTGGCGTATGATTTGTGGTAAGGGTTGGCTGATAGGAGCGCGATGTGACATCCTGAAGTGAGGGATCTGAATGGTTAGTCTAAAGACTGAGGCGAGTTTACGTTATAGAGAGAGGCTGATTGAGGCCTTGGGGTAGTGAATGCCGTAACGAATAAGGACGTAAGTACCTGGTAGTGTGGCTGAGTACCGGGTTAGGTAGGTTGGTAATTTCTTGCCTGATGGCAGTATGACCGTATTCCTGGTTAAGAAAAAAGGAGAGAATTTAACACACCAAGGACGTAGGACCTAGAGTTAGTCGTAATGAATCGAGACCGCGTTTGGTCTTGTATGAAAAGGTCCTGTAATGAGTAGAGAAATATACCTTGATTTGTTATACGGGTACTAGGATGAGCGTAACTGCTGTTCCTTCGTAGAAACCGGTGGAGGCCTAGAAAAATGCTGGAGCTATGGATTAAACCCATTAAATATTTAATAATTTGTGATAGTAAGCTATAAATAACCAATTTCACTGTGATACGTTTAGAGTGCATGCAGTATTGAGGCATGGACATGACTGAAAGCATGGTGAGTAAATACTATACCTGGGTTTGTAAATACAAGACCTTGAATTTGCTAACTTTAAGCAGAAAATAAGAGAAACCAGGGCAATCTGTGGAGCCAAAGAAATGTGACAGGGGCAGGATTAATGACTGCGTAACTTTAAGGAGAAAACGTAGTAAATTAAAATAAAATTTTAGGGGTTTTACCAGTGTTACCCTAGGAGATCGTGTAATAATAATATATGTATGTTGTGTTTGAACAGGGTTGTTGTGGAATTTATAGAATTTTGCCCTTTTGTTTGGTGTCAGGAGGATTTTATTTTATTAGATAAAGGAACGTAAAATATAGATTACTAACCCCATGGGTGTAGAAAAAAAGAACTGATTATTAAGATACAGTGGCTATGGTTTTAATATTTTAGACATAGTTAACCGGAAAACACAGTTTAGGTGATAAATGGTTGTATTTTTTATTTTTCTTCTGCATAGTTTAACATTGAGCGTGTAGAGCCACGACAACTTCTACAAGCATTTCCATAACATTACAAAGCGTGGCAGCTTAGACGGCACATTTTTTAAATTACATGAAAATATCATACGATTAGACATCATGTTTGTAGTATAACTTGCTAGGCTAGACATGCATAGAACACAACTAGTAGCTCTTTAGGTTATGCGTGTGTATCTTGGTTGTAGTGTGACATATAGGCATTAGGAGCACAGTGATTGCATTAACTAGATGTGCAGTTAGTAGAGGTAACAGTACTTTCTTTAATGCAGGCTGGTTGTTTGGGTGTATGTCAACATAGCGCATTAAAGATATTAAAGAGAAAACTAAGTGTTAGTGATGTACTTTGCAGTAACAGTTTAGAGTCAACGAGTTAAGTAGTAAGAAGCAACGTCAGGGAGGTCGGAGACAAGTGCTTAGTAGTGGTAAGCGATTTTGGTCCGCAGTGGGCAGACAGGCATAAGTAGGGGACACAGCCTAAGTATATGTGCTATATTATAGTATCTTAACCCTCAGTGCGTGTGTGTAGAGGATGGGTAATGTTAGGTGAGGGGCGGTGAGTATGCACTGGAACCCCTTTTGGTAACATGAGTAAATTAAACACATAGCTGCTTCCCCTGAGGATCGCTTGGAAAAAATCATAGAGACAAAAAAAAAAAAACCAAAAAAACCAAAACACAACAACGATATATCGGAATATAAGAGGCAGGATAGAGTCTCTTGAGTGCAGCTGGTATGCGGTTTCCCATATCTCCTCAATAGGTTAGGGTATGGCCATCCAGTTCCTCAGGCCCCGCTTAACCTATGCTGTCCCGGATGTAAGCATAGTCCCATGCCCAGGGGGGATGCTGCCGACTTCCCCAGCTTGTAAGGGCTTGGTAGGGTGGGCCTCTCTGTCCCCACGGGGTTTTCCCTGATACTTCAATGAGAGTCTGTGTCCCGGTGTGGTCCCGCCGTCGCTGTTGCTGTCTGGCAGGCATGGGCTGGATCAGAGCGGTGCTTGGTTTGTGGGGCGCCCCCTCAGGTGCCGTCTGCTCTGTCGCAATATCCCTTTCCCGTGTGGTCGGTTACAGGGGGATCTCACTGCGGCAACTCGCACCTTCAGCCGGTGTCTGGGAGCTCCAGGGTGATGGGTGAGTGGGCTAGTGCGCCTCAGCATAGGTACTGTCGGGCACCAGGGGGTTGCCTTCTTGCTCCTGTTGCCGCCAGATGTATCTTTGGTCCCCTGCCTCGTGGTGATTTCCCGCCAGCTCCATTTTTCCGTGCAGCCTAGTGGTAGGAGTTTCTGTGTGGTCTTCTGTTTGGGTAAGCTTGTGGGAGTGCGCGGCAGGGTGTCAGGCCCTTTCTCCGGGGTTGTTGGGGACAGAAGAGCTTCCAGGTTTTCCCAGAAGGCTTGAAAAGCTTTGTCCAGCCGGTTCTCTGCCTCCGTCTGCTCGCCTCGAGTGCTGGTTGAGTACACTGTCTCCGCCATTTTATGTGCAGTACTACTGCTTGGTTCAGGTCCCGTGATTGCCATAGCGCTTTCGCCAGGTTGTGCCCGGGTCTCCTGAGGCCGGACCGGGATGACCCCCACCGGTCCAGAGGGGGGGGGACGTGGGCCTTTTTTTGGTCTGTCCGCCGTGGAGGGCAGCAGGGGAGCGGCCATCTCCCTCGCGCCGATCATGCGAGTAGGCCATGCAGGAGGAGCGGATGAGTTGCGCTGCACAGTTTGCTTGTGTGGCACCACTCTGTGCCTCTCCGTGTCACCTTCCGACTGGTGGCCTTTTTGAGCCGATTGGGTCGCTTTTTTATGGCTGAAAGCAGATTAAATCGCGGTGTGAAGCAGGAGCTGCACAGATTAGTGTCTTCTCGCTTCAGCGGTTAGGCCCTGCCCCCTCTAAATGGTTGTAGTTTTTTACATGTATTTAATAACTCCTACTGACAGGTAGTACAAACAGCACGAAATGTTTGTATTATACTGAAAGGGGATCAGTAGTTTTAGCCGAACGGGGGACCTGCTTAGGTTAAGTATAATGTGCATTCGTTTACTCCCGCGCGAATAGCAATAGCATGAATTAGGAAAGTTAGCGAGGGGTGAACAGGTTTACACAATTAAATGCCCGAACGGGTAAGTAATAAGTACATAGGTTCCTGCGTATGACCGAACGAAAAACAGAATTGAAAAGATTAGCTTTAGAGTTATGTTCGTATGTAGTTCGGCAGTTTAGATCGTGCGAAAGCCCCTATGAAACGTAAGTATAGCGAGCGTTCGTCTAGTTTAGTGGCGCGAAGGCGGAAATGCACGAATAGGTAAGTATACGAAAATTGATAATGTGATAGTAAAAGGGAGCCTACCCCTATGTTTTTAGGCCCGAACGGAGGGAAATAGCCGAACACTATTTCCCTCACAAGCTTACGTGAGCGTGCCGGTCTCGTGACCGGAAGCAAAGTACCGCGGCCGGGAAGAAGGCTGGTGGCAGGGCTGCAGGACGGACGGAGGATTCCACTGGACACCTCTTGAGGATACTGGAGCCGTTTGGCGGGAAGCTCGGACCGGAAGTGCTGTTTGCTATGGAGATAGACAATCAACTGAACCGGCAGAGGTGAGTAGGGGCTGGGAGTTTAAGTAGGGGACTTACTCCTCCCACAAATTCCGGCCTAATGGCCTTTCTACATATATATTCATTCACTTTTCATTTATTCACAGAATTTGTATTTTGTTTTTCTTCACAATGTAATGTTTACATATATTCTGTACATACGTCGTGTAAAGGCATCATTTTTGTTCACTGTTGTAATGTCATATAACACAATATGTTTTGCTAACATTATTTAGTCATTACTAGCCTGACAGACCTGTGACGATGTACTACTGTTTCTTCCCAGCTTCTGTGTTTTAAAATTGTGTTCACGTAAAACCGAAATATAAACATTGTCCCCAAAAAATAAATAAATTACATGCAAATTGAAGCATCAAAAAGGACAATTTATTAGATGCAAAGTTCATTTTACAATTTAGTACAGAGAGCGTTTAATCCAGAGACATTGGTAGTATTACTATAGCACTGTGCTATAGTTTCATCCTGTAGAAGTCAGATAGTGAGGCACTCCAGAGGGGCTTATCCACTAAAACAGTGATTTGAGATGGACTTAACAAAATCTGCTGTACATATTAGTCCATAATATGTGTTTTTTTTCAGCCTAAACATTGCAGATTAGTTGACAAGTCACTGTTTAGTAAATAAACCATGATTGCACATGGGCAGCAAGACATAACAGAAGCACTTAAAAAGATAAGCACCTCTATATTCAAACAAAAATGAAAGTGATCCTGAGACAAGGAGAAAACAGGCTTTCATTATGGTGAATTCACTTCTTGTATGCAGCAAAGTAGCTTTCTTCTTGATTAGCCAAAGAAACTGTTTTGTTATTTGCTGTTAATTCTGGCTTTCACCCATTCATTGTTTCACACAGTATTGTTCTTCATTTTGTTGCTATATGGACATGTAAAGTGCGCAAAATTTATCCCGCCGTACCAGAATTTCAAAGCTAAAAATGTATTCCTGTGTCCCAGCTCTGCAAAAGTATGATAATTCCGTGTTTTATAAGTGGCAGCACTGCAATTAGCGGCAGTGGAAACCATGCACAGTTACAAGGTGATAAGAATAGTGAATATATTACACATTAAGCGGGATTTGTTCCTTGGATCAGAAACACACTATGGAGAAGCAAGCTTGAACCATCAAGATACAATTCATTAATCTAGAACAGTGATGGCTAGTAAAAGATAACGTGAAAAATAGAGCACACTTGCCATGCCAAGGTTAGCCATTACAGAAGATAAAGAGTCAATGTCATTTCATATTTACTGCAGGGCAAGTCTGTAAAAAATTTAATAAAAAAAATAAAAAATAAAAATTATTATATACCTCACCCTGCAAACCATCATCAGCTGTGCCATGGATAAAATGTATAACAGTCATGAAAAAAAAAAAAAAAAAAGGTTACACTTTTAGATGTGCAAAGAAATATAAAACGCCACAAAGTGCCCCAAGACAGCAAAATAACTGGTCACTTTTTTACCTGATGGTATGGTAAAATGAACAAGACTTTATATAGCAGCAAAAATCAAAGTTATAAGAAGGGTAGGCACATATTTTACTTTGGAGTGAAACATCTGGAGAAATTTTACACAGGCACTTAATACTGGAGTGCTGGTAAGCCAAAGGGATGCTGTCTGCTGCGGAGACCTCTGGCATAATGACCAAAATATTGTCTACTCGATCTCACTTATTCTGCCAGACAGGCACTTTACAATGTTACATATTGTAAATATTTAAAAAAAACAAAACCAAACAAACAAAAAAAACCTCTCCCTTTCTTACAAAACAAAAACAAAACATATTTTTGATATATTTATATATAAACTGAAATATATAGATATAACCCCACTATCTGACAACTAGAAATTATTTTTAAAAGAAGCAAAAAATAGTAGGTCAAAAATTATTGAAGTCAACTTTACTTAAAAACGCAATCAGAAAATATCAACATCCATAGCAGATACTGCAAATAAATACTTACGCTCTGCTATGTATAGTAAAGGCAAAGATACCTTCATTTAAAATAAGAATGTACAAAAATACTGATTGAAAAGACCAACAGTTTAACAGCATTGTCCCCAAGCTATTCAATCGTTCCTAATTAATCAAAGCACCGATAGCTATATGGATAACACAATCGTAGTTCTCCTGTGAATCTGAGCTCCATCCTTGTGGGATGAAGAGATTTATCTAGGGCTGCGGCCTCTATCTAGCTCAAAAGCCAAGTAAACAGAAGTACGGAATCGGAAGCCATACTTCGTACAGGGACTTGTTAGGAATGAGCAGGAAACTGAGACATCTTTTAAACAGTTCAGTCTCGGCAAGGCATGGATACACTGTAATTTTACAGTCTCCTAACCCAAAGGGTTTATTCCATTAATTTTAAGACGAACACTGTACAATTATCATTGTATGTACAGAGACCCAAAAGATTTTCTTGCAAGATATGTAAAAAAATACTTCTTCTTTTGTTCTTCACAACACTATCCTTTAAATTTTTATATTTTCACCATAAGTAATTTGTACCATCATTATATTAGAAGGAAAAGTCTGCAAAGTCATTGCTCCAAATCGAAGAAAAAGAGCATTTTGTTTCTTTAAAATACAACGCTGTATAGGTATCTGACGTAAGGAAAGCTGTGTTACAGCCATGCATTCGTTTGGATTTGGTCCAAAGTAACCTGAGCCTGTTTCAGAAGAAAATAAAATTTAAAAAATGTACATTTTAGCAAATCATTTGAAGTCCGTGGAAGGTCACCAAGAAGGGCTATCACCAACAGTCAAGTTGAGTCCAGTCTCCACATGGGCTTTATACTGCCTTGCACTTTGGAATCCCAAGGTCCTAACTTCAAGATTTCCAATTCTCTTGTATAAAGTATCTGCATTACAATGATTATCTTCGTAATCACCTCTTCTGCTCCCAAATTTCGGCCATGCCCAGATCCAGATCTTTAAGACCTTTCAAAGCCTGCACATTTCCAGTGTAAAATGCAATGTCTGCTGCCACCATTCTGTAAAATAGAATAAAACAGCTTTTAACATTTTTAATTAACAATATGATAAGATAAACCAAACACTTAAAAGGCTCAAATTACACTGTACACTAAACTTTGACAGGCAGAATGGGGGGTAAGTGGGAGAGGCAGAATGGGGGGTAAATGTGAGAGGCAGAGTGGTGGAGGTGAGTGTGAGAGGCAGAATGGTGAAGGTGAGGGGTAGAGGCAGAGTGGTGAAGGTGAGTGTGAGAAGCAGAGTGGTAAAGGTGAGGGGTGGAGGCAGAGTGGTGAAGGTGAGTGTGAGAGGCAGAGTGGTGGAGGTGAGCGAGAGAGGCAGGGAGGTGTAGGTGAGTGTGAGAGGCAGAATGGTGAAGGTGAGGGGTAGAGGCAGAGTTGTGAAGGTGAGTGTGAGAAGCAGAGTGGTAAAGGTGAGTGTGAGAAGCAGAGTGGTAAAGGTGAGGGGTGGAGGCAGAGTGGTGGAGGTGAGTGAGAGAGGCAGAGTGGTGGAGGTGAGTGAGAGAGGCAGGGAGGTGGAGGTGAGTGTGAGAGGCGGAGTGGGGGAGATGCGTTACTGACAAAATGTTAAGGACTGTGTGTGTACAGCTCATCATTTTTTAAATTGGCACTTATTAGGTGAGAGGGGCTCTAATTCTTTATTTCCTGGCTGTCCTGTGGGCTGCGATACCCGTCTAGGAAATGCTTGATGACTAGGGTGAACATGCATAATGCGCATTCATGGCAGGTGTGCATCCTAGTATCGACATCACTGATGATGTCACGTGTTTAATTGTGCATGTGCGACTAAGTCGCCCACGTGCAACTCCATTTATTGCCAACCCTAGGACACTGGTTAGATCAGTACCCCCCTAGGGTAAGCGTGGAAAACGTAAATAATATGATACAGGTAAATATGGGAAAAAAATAAAGAGTTTAAAATTGGCTCTGGTTGCAATGTCGGAAGCATCATAAAATGGGTTTTTCTTGTGGATCAGCTATACATAAGTATATAATGACCTAGTGTTGGCTGGAGTGAGGATAAAGTCACTGCCACTGTATTTGGCAGACACCGGTTTCACTGCACAGTGCAAACTGATAAGTAGTTTTTCATAGTTTGGGATAGGCTTTTAGTTCCTGTGGATTAACTTAAACGCAAATATTTACATCATAAAATGATTGAGTGCACCTTTATGGGAATAGTTTTGAGATGGCCCTTTCCATGTTCGGCACGACAATGTAAAAAACATTATTTGTTGAGATGCTATGGTGGAAGTTGGCTGGCATTCACAATGACGAGACCAATAAACACCCATGTGGTTAAGTGGGATGTTAACAGAGAAGGAGTGCCTGACCTCTCTAATGGGAAGGAAACCCACACAACAAGGTTCAAACATCACAACTGAGACAATGGCCATGTGTCACAATTAAGCAGCATGACAAAGAGTATAGCTCTGAAGAAATAGCAATCATATTTGGATTACGTACCCATGCTGTGGTCCTCCGTCGTTTGTGACATTTAAATGGCACAGCTGACTCTTTAAATGAAGTCTACAGCTTGAGTTTATTCTTAGGAATAGAGCCTGTTTTATGGGAAAGCAATGGATGTACAGTCATGATCACATTGTATTTAGTCGAAAAAAATGTTTTTTGGACTATGTTATTGCCTGAAACTTAGTGCCACAGAGATATTAAACATAACACCAGATGCATTCACTACAACAAAACTATAAAGAAACTTACACGAGTTTGTTCTTCCGGGAGAACATCATAAATAGCTTCGTGCATTTTTGCCATTTGCTTGCAGATAGTTCTAAAGCACATCGAAGGAACTGGGGCCTTTACCTCATACTGCAATTTAACAAAATACAAATGTATGATCACATTAAAAATACTTTCAAATCGGTTTCTAAAATGCATGTATATTAAACATGCTGGGAAAAAAATTATATCGGTTTGATACAAAACTATTGATGTAGTAGGAACTGTATTTCATTATGAATTTCCTGAAATGATCCATTACACATAATGTACAATTTGTATAATTTCGCACGAAAACATTGTACATTTTAATTCACAGGTCTTCAACCCAGGTTAATGTTTGAGCTTGACAAAAGTAGTAAGTGGTGTTCCCACTTATAAATGAAATAAGCATTGCAGATAACACAAAACTATGTAAGGTGAGCAGGATATTACTTTGCTGCAGTGGGATTTAGATCGATTAGGGAACTGGGTATTCAAATGGTTGATTACATTTAGCTTGGTGCTACTTCTAAGTGATAATAGCTTGGTGCTACTTCTAAGTGCTGTTTCTAAGTGTGTAGTTGGAGATATTCTGGAGAGTTTTACAGAAGCTTCAACTGTCTAAGAGTTGTGCTAAGAGCTTTCTTTTCTACTGTTACAGGTAAGATTCATCTGTAGGAAAAGGTTACTGATTGCACAAGGTTTGAATTCCTGTTGGTAATTATAAGGCATTTGATTTGATTAAGCTAGTTACTTGCTGTTGATTGCTGGTTAATTAGCTATTGTTTGCAAATAAGCAGAGGCCTACCCAGGTGTTAAACATTCCTAGTGGGCGGTGATTTAAGGAGTTATATAAGGCTTGGTCTTATTAGCTTGGTGCTACTTCCAAGTGCTGTTTCTAAGTGTCTAGTTGGAGATATTCTGGAGAGTTTTACAGAAGCTTCAACTGTCTAAGAGTTGTGCTAAGAGCTTTCTTTTCTACTGTTACAGGTAAGATTCATCTGTAGGAAAAGGTTACTGATTGCCCAAGGTTTGAATTCTGTTGGTAATTATAAGGCATTTGATTTGATTAAGCTAGTTACTTGCTGTTGATTGCTGGTTAATTAGCTATTGTTTGCAAATAAGCAGAGGCCTACCCAGGTGTTAAACATTCCTAGTGGGCGGTGATTTAAGGAGTTATATAAGGCTTGGTCTCATTAGCTTGTCTAATATAGCTTGGTGCTACTTCTAAGTGCTGTTTCTAAGTGTGTAGTTGGAGATATTCTGGAGAGTTTTACAGAAGCTTCAACTGTCTAAGAGTTGTGCTAAGAGCTTTCTTTTCTACTGTTACAGGTAAGATTCATCTGTAGGAAAAGGTTACTGATTGCCCAAGGTTTGAATTCCTGTTGGTAATTATAAAGCATTTGATTTGATTAAGCTAGTTACTTGCTGTTGATTGCTGGTTAATTAGCTATTGTTTGCAAATAAGCAGAGGCCTACCCAGGTGTTAAACATTCCTAGTGGGCGGTGATTTAAGGAGTTATATAAGGCTTGGTCTCATTAGCTTGTCTAATATAGCTTGGTGCTACTTCTAAGTGCTGTTTCTAAGTGTGTAGTTGGAGATATTCTGGAGAGAACCTGGAGGTAACCTGAGATATTCAGGAGGATAAAGAAAAAAGTTAAGATTTGTTAGATTTAAATTATTCTCATAATTGGAATGGCAGACTTAGTTCAGTGTAACAATTGCTATGCATTTGTTTCACGTTCCACTTTTTGGAGGTTTGGTTGTTGTCTAATCTGTAGATAGTTCTCTATCTTGCGGCAGGAGATTGTATTTTTGAAGTCTGAGATTTGTAAATTATCTGGTGAAGAAACTCAGACTGGAACTGCTGCAAAGCCACTGCCACAGAGACATGCTAGGAAAGGCAGGTGGATTACTGTGGGATCTGGTAGACTTAGAGTTGTGGATAAAAGGCATTTTGCACAGTCTGTTGCTCTTCATAATTCATTTTCTGCACTTTCAGAGTGTAATGGTGTTGTGGAGAGAGGCACTGAGGCTAGTGGTGTTGTGGAGAGAGGCACTGAGGCTAGTGGTGTTGTGGAGAGAGGCACTGAGGCTAGTGGTGTTGTGGAGAGAGGCACTGAGACTTGTGGTGTTGTGGAGAGAGGCACTGAGACTTGTGGTGTTGTGGAGACCGGTTTGGAGACTATGGTGAGGCATAATAGAAAGCAGTTGTTGTTGGGGGATTCCATTATAAGAGGTGTGGAGATGGACAATGGTGGTCTTGTGAGGTGTCTTCCTGGAGCTACTGCTCATAGAGACAGGAGACGTATATGTATTATTGTTAAGCAAGCAAAGCAGGAAGGGGAATTGGATGTACTTGTCCATCTAGAGACAAATGACTTGGCTTGCAATGAGGTTTCAGATTTTAAGGAAGTTTTTAGTGTTTTTGCCAATGATATACGGCAGGTTGCTTCCACACTGTCATTCTCTGAAGTTCTGCCTGTGCATAACACTCAGAACGACAGGCGGATGCGTATTAGGGACTTTAATTTGTGGCTTGGTGAATGGTGTCGGAGCAAGGATTTGGCTTTATTTTTCATGGTAGCTCTGTTTGAAATGGATATAAGCTGTACAAAAAAGATGGTTTGCATCTTTCTCAAAAGGGAACAAATGTTCTCAGTGAGCAGTTCAGAGGTTTTGCTAGGATGTATTTAAACTAGGAGGGGGGGCAAAAGGGTGATAAAACATCAATCCAATTGTCCCCCAAAACAAGGACAGAAAGTGCCTGTAGCAAGTGTGTTAAAAATGATAAGCTTAGAGTCATGTCTACAAATGCTCGCAGTTTAGGGAATAAGATCCATGAACTTGTGGCAATAATGGCAACTGATAGTGTAGATTTAGTCGCTGTTACTGAGACATGGTACAATGAGAAAAATGACTGGGACATAGCAATACCAGGGTACTCTTTATATAGGAAAGATAGGGAAGGCAAGAAAGGGGGAGGGGTGGCCTTGTATGTGAAGGATAGCATAAAATCTAGCCTAATAAAAGTTAGTGAGGCAAACATAGAGTCCGTTTGGGTTACGTTAGAATTTGGTAATCACACAGTAACTCGTGTAGGTGTGATTTATAGGCCCCCAGGACAAATTGAAGAGTTAGATAATCTACTAGTTGAGGAAATAGCTAAAATGACAATGAAGGGGGAAGTTATCATCATGGGTGACTTTAATCTTCCTGATGTAAATTGGAAAACAAAATTACCGTATTTATCGGCGTATAACACGCACCGGCGTATAACACGCACCTCATTTTAAGAAGGAAATTTCAGGGAAAAAAAACTTAAAGGACCACTATAGTGCCAGGAAAACGAGTATGGTTTCCTGGCACTATAGTGGTCCTTTAAGTTTTTCCCCCCTGAAATTTCCTTCTTAAAATGAGGTGCATGTTATACACCCTCAGGGACCCCCTCCCGCCGGGCTCTGGAGAGAGGAAGGGGTTAAACACTTCCCTTTCTCCAGCGCCGGGCGGGGAGCTTTACTCCTCCTCTCCTCCTTGCTCGCGACGTCATCGGCTGAATGAGCCGCGCGTGCATTCAGCCGGTCGCATAGGAAAGCATTTACAATGCTTTCCTATGGACGCTTGCGTGCTCTCACTGTGATTTTCACAGTGAGAAGCACGCAAGCGCCTCTAGCGGCCGTCAATGAGACAGCCACTAGAGGCTCTGGAGGCTGGATTAACCCTCAGTATAAACATAGCAGTTTCTCTGAAACTGCTATGTTTATAAAAAAAAGGTTAATCCTAGAGGGACCTGGCACCCAGACCACTTCATTAAGCTGAAGTGGTCTGGGTGCCTAGAGTGGTCCTTTAAATTTCAAATAAAGAACTTCTTACCCCCCTTTCTTACTCCTCCCTCCCCCTCTTCTTACTTCTCCCTCCCCCTCTTACCCCCTTCTTACTCCCTCTCCCCCTCTTCTTACCCCTTTTCTTACTTCTCCCTCCCCCCCCTCCCCTCTTCTTGCCTTTCTTACTCCCCCTCTTCTTACTTCCCCTCCCTCTTACCCCCTTGCTTACTCCCCCCTCCCCCCTCTTCTTACTCCCCCTCCTCTTACCCCCCTCCCCTCTTCTTGCTCAACTTACTTACTCCCCCCCCTCTTCTTACCCCCTCCCCCCTTTTTGCACCCCCCTTCTTACTCCCCCTCACCTCCCTGTAGCGTGGCCGAGCCGCTCTGCCGTCCGCGGTGGCCGGCCGGAGTGATAGGAAGGTGCAGGCTCAGTGTGCACCTTCCTGTCAGTCCGACCGGGTACAGGAAACAGAAACTCCTGTTCCGCGCGGAACAGGAGTTTGTTTCCTGTACCCGGTCGGACTGACAGGAAGGTGCACACTGAGCCTGCACCTTCCTATCACTCCGGCCGGCCACCGCGGACTGCAGAGCGGCTCAGCCACGCTACAGGGAAGGTGAGTACCAACTGCAGACGCCTGAGCGCTCTTGACAGAGCGCTCAGGCGGCTGCAGAATTTAAAGGGCCGGCGTATAACACGCACCCACGATTTCTCCCCTATTTTCAGGGAGAAAAAGTGCGTGTTATACGCCGATAAATACGGTAGCTACTTGTGCCAGGAGCACACATATTCTAAACTCCCTACTGGGATTGTCTCTAAAACAAGTTGTTGAGGAGCCAACTCGTAAAGAGGCCATACTAGATTTAGTGTTAACAAATGGAGATTTGGTATCAGATGTTACTGTAGGTGAAAGTTTAGGATCCAGTGATCATCAGTCAGTGTGGTTTAATATAAGAACAGTGACTGAGTCACACCACACAAAAACAAAAGTTTTAGACTTTAGAAAAACAGACTTTTCTAAAATTAGAATATGTGTAGAGGAGTCATTATCAGACTGGAGCAATTTAAATGGAGTCCAAGAAAATGGGATTATTTAAAAGTTGCACTATTGAAGGCAACAGAAAATTGCATTAGGCTTGTCAGTAAAAGCAAAAAATTCAAGAAACCACTGTGGTACTCCGCAGATGTGGCCAAAATAGTTAAAAACAAAAAGTTAGCATTTAGGAATTATAAAAAAACCCAGAGTGAGGAAGACAAATGATCTATAAGATTAGGCAGAAAGAGGCTAAGCAAGTTATAAGAGCTTCCAAATCACACACAGAAGAGAAAATAGCACAGTCAGTAAAAAAGGGGGACAAAACATTTTTTAGATACATAAATGAGAAAAGAAAAGTAAAATAAGGATTAGTTAGATTAAAAACAAAAGAAGGAAGGTATGTAGAAGAGGATAAAGGTCAGGCTGACTGCCTCAATGAATATTTTTGTTCTGTATTTACAGAAGAAAATGAAGGAAAGGGACCTCAGTTGAGAAAAAGGATAAATGAGTCATTTATTACACGTGAGTTTACAGAGGAAGAGGTTCTATTTCAACTGTCAAAAGTAAAGACAAATAAGTCAATGGGACCTGATGGAATACACCCAAAGCTATTAAAAGAGCTTAGTGGTGTACTAGCAAAACCATTAACAGATTTATTTAACCAATCATTGTTAACAGGAGTAGTCCCAGAAGATTGGAAGTTAGCGAATGTTGTGCCCATTTACAAGAAAGGTAATAGGGAGGAGTCGGGCAACTATAGGCCAGTAAGCCTTACTTCAGTAGTGGGGAAAGTGATGGAAACCATGTTAAAGGATAGGATTGATGAACATCTAAAAACACATGGATTTCAATATCAGAGACAACATGGGTTTACTTCAGGGAGATCATGCCAAACTAATCTTATTGATTTTTTTGATTGGGTAACTAAAATTATAGATCAGGGTGGTGCAGTAGACATAGATTTCAGTAAGGCTTTTGACACTGTTGCACATAGAATGCTTATCAATAAACTGCAATCTTTAAGTTTGGATTCAAATATTGTTGAATGGGTAGGGCAGTGGCTGAGTGACAGGCAACAGAGGGTTGTAGTTAATGGAATATATTCGAAGCTTGGACTTGTCACCAGTGGGGTACCTCAGGGATCTGTACTTGGACCCATTCTCTTTAATATTTTTATTAGTGATATTGCAGAAGGTCTTGATGGTAAGGTATGTCTTTTTTGCTGATGATACTAAGATATGTAACAGGGTTGATGTTCCAGGAGGGATAAGCCAAATGACAAATGATTTAGGTAAACTAGAAAAATGGTCAGAATTGTGGCAACTGACATTTAATGTGGATAAGTGCAAGATAATGCATCTTGGACGTAAAAACCCAAGGGCAGAGTACAGAATATTTGATAGAGTCCTAACCTCAACATATGAGGAAAGGGATTTAGGGGTGATTATTTCTGATGACTTAAAGGTAGGCAGACAATGCTAGCAGAATGCTTGGTTGTATAGGGAGAGGTATTAGCAGTAGAAAGAGGGAAGTGCTCATGCCATTGTACAGAACACTGGTGAGACCTCACTTGGAGTATTGTACACAGTACTGGAGACCGTATCTTCAGAAGGATATTGATACCTTAGAGAGGGTTCAGAGAAGGGCTACTAAACTGGTTCATGGATTGCGGGATAAAACTTACCAGGAAAGGTTAAAGGATCTTAACATGTATAGCTTGGAGGAAAGACGAGACAGGGGGGATATGATAGAAACATTTAAATATATAAAGGGAATCAACACAGTAAAGGAGGAGACTATATTTAAAAGAAGAAAAACTACCACAACAAGAGGACATAGTCTTAAATTAGAGGGACAAAGGTTTAAAAATAATATCAGGAAGTATTACTTTACTGAGAGGGTAGTGGATGCATGGAATAGACTTCCAGCTGAAGTGGTAGAGGTTAACACAGTAAAGGAGTTTAAGCATGCGTGGGATAGGCATAAGGCTATCCTAACTATAAGATAAGACTAGGGACTAATGAAAGTATTTAGAAAATTGGGCAGACTAGATGGGCCGAATGATTCTTATCTGCCGTCACATGCTATGTTTCTATGAGATAAATGCAAAGGTGTTTTTTTTGTAAATATCTTTTTATTCAAAGTAAGTTAGATATAAGGAGAGTAGAATAGGTAGGAGTCAGGTATGGCAAGACACGCAGGTCTCAGTTAGGTATCATATCGTCTGACACAGAGAGATGCGCAGATCTCCAGCTGAACAATGAGTGGTGTGAAACGCAGGTCGCAATGTAAGTGAGAAAGCAATCGTAAAATATAGTATGATCCGTGGCGACCAGCTTTAATAATGACATGCGCAAATACGTTTACCGGCGTATTAAATCTAGAGTTCTGGGTTGGTAGTCATCCCATGGGTTGTTGGAGTGCCGAGACTATGCTACACCTAAGCGTTAGATATAGGTGCACTAAGTCCAGGTGATAATATTTGTGTCTAAGCTGTTAGTGTTATTCTATAGATTCATTTTGAAGGTAAGAAGAATGTAGGCATGTGGATCGTTACGGAACAACTGTATGGCCTGCGAAGCAAAAGGTGCTGAAAGGGGTATTTTAGTGGCCGTAGGGAATAGTATTATTGTGAAGTCGGGTATCAGCCCTATTGTAGTTCTGAGACCTTTATATCATCGTTGGTTAGTGTCCTGAGTCGCATTTAGCAGTAGTAACGGTGCAGTTCTGGTTTGAAGTCAGTCGCTTCGTGTGTCTGTGTTGTCGGACTTTTGCGCTAGACCTTGGGTTCAACCATCAGAGTAGTGTGAGATTATATGGTATGTGATACTCCGTTCCCTGGAGATGAGGAGCTGTATTAGAGGGTTACATCAGTCCCCTTGGCAAAAGTATCTATCACAATGCTCACCTTACCGCTTGGTGAAGTTACTACCGAGCGGGTTGTCATTCCCATCTTATGTTCATGTGTGCTCCAGGACTGATCTTGCTTTGGCATCAGTAGTTCGCAGTTGTGAGCATATTGACGGTCAATAGGAGAAGGTGTGGGAAGGGTATCAAGAGGAAGCATGGGAGATAGAGGAGAGGTGAAAAAGCGTGGGGTGGAGAGGTAATGGGAGAAAGGGAGTCGATGCCCCCCCCGACGCGACGCGCACCCCCAGTCCCCTAAGCCACCTGCATTCCGTTGGGATGTGATGCGGTCCTCGCCCTCAGATATGTATGCAAACCATAGCATCCAGCATTCGGAGTGTTTAGTGCTGGTACCCAGTAGTGCTGCCTGGTTCGATTCTGCCGTTTGTATTTCATCAACTCGCTGTAGCCAATTTTCTTTTGTGGGGATGTCTACCTGCTTCCACATGGCTGGTATTAGTGATTTTGCTGCGTTAAGGAGGTGTCTGGTGATTGACTTTCGGTATTTCAAGATTGGTGATGGGGATAGGTGCAGTAAGGCTAGTTCCGCGGTTAATTATTGTGGTTCTCCAAAGATCTCAGTCATTGTGGTCTGGATCATCTCCCAATATGGGGTTATCTTGGTGCAGCTCCACTATATGTGTTCGACTGTTCCCTCAGCGAGGCCGCATGATAAATGCAAAGTTATGCACTTCAGGGTGAGGAATTATCAAGCAACCAAACCTTAAATTATAGTGAGTAAGTGAAAACAACACACATGAAGGATTTGGAAACTGTTATAGACAACAAACTAGGCATTCGCAACAAGGTGCAATGTCAATCAACAGTTGCTAAGGCCAGAACAGTATTAATGTAGTTGTTCTGGTGAATATAGTCTGTGTCTGCAGACATTTTCATGTAAACACTTCCTTTACATTGCTGCTTGGGAAAACCTCCAGTGGCTGTCACTCAAATGGCCACTACAGGTTCTTCCTGAGTCAGTGCATCACAGACGTTCAGCGTCTCCACGCTCTGCATGGAAACGCAGAACTTTCCTCATAGAGATGAATTAATGCAATGCATCTCTATGAGGAGGAGCTGATTGACATGGGTGCGTGTTTGGGTAAATCCCTATAGGAAAGCATTGGATTTACTGAGATTTTAAATTCTGATGATCTCAGCCAAGAAGGCGGATTGGGGGAGTGACCAGCATCGGCAGTTCCACACAGAGCTGGAATAAAGGCAATAAACTACTTATTTAAGGGGGACAAGGAACCGAAATAGTGTAATTAACACTATAGGGTCAGGAATACATGTTTGCATTCCTGACCCTAGTTTTTTTAAATGTGTTTATGTTTAGGCATATTTTCTGATCACATTCTTGTTAATGTAAACGTAAATATGGTTCTTACGGCTACGAACATCATAGGTTGCTCTTCTATGTCACAAACAAAGTTTTAAATGTACTGGTATATAATTCCAAAGTAGTGTTTATGATAAAGTTTGGAATAAACCAGAGAATATGGAGAACCTGAATACTAAAAACAGAGATCAAGTGATTGCCTCACTAAGCAACTGAAAAAAAAGCCATTGATCGAAATGGTAAACCATACCGTATATAGTATAATATTAAAATATAAGTCACAAGGCAGCAGTTTGACATATAATTTGATACATCACATGTTAATGTTTTGCAAAATGTTATTAATTATTATTGGTTTGTTTTTATTCTAAACAATTAATTTTGAAAAGCACTTAAATGGAATTTCGGAGACGTGATTACCTTTGAGAGAAGCTTGTCAAACAAGCCATCCATTATTGAAACCAGTTTTGCAGAGATCTCTGCTATGTGGTCATTGTAGTCCTGTTGAAAATAAATAAATACATTTATATAAAGTACACTACATTTACCTGAATAATTATATACCGTATATACTCTAGTATAAGCCGACCCGAATAGAAGCCGAGGCCCCTAAATTTACCACAAAAAACTGGGAAAACGTATTGACTCGAGGATAAGCCTAGGGTGGGAAATGCAGCAGTTACTGGTAAATTTCTAAATAAAATTAGATCCCAATAAAATTACATTAATTGAATATTTATTTACAGTATGTGTATAGAATGAATGCAGAGTGTGTGTTTGTGTGTGTATATAATGAATGCAGTGTGTGTTTGTGTGTGTATATAATGAATGCAGTGTGTGTTTGTGTGTGTATATAATGAATGCAGTGTGTGTTTGTGTGTGTATGTAATGAATGCAGTGTGTGTTTGTGTGTGTATATAATGAATGCAGTGTGTGTGTTTGTGCAGTGTGTGTAAACTGGGTGAGGGCAGGGCATTTTTATTTAAATTTTTTATTTTAATATATTATTTTAATATTATTTTATTATTATATTATTATTATTTTAATATTTGCATTATTTAAAAAAAAGTTTTTTTTGTCCCCCCTCCCTGGCCAGGCAACAAGCAGGGAGGGGGGACAAAAAAACATTTAAAAAAAAATAATGCAAATATTAAAATAATAATAATATAATAATAAAATAATATTATTAAAATAAAATAATATTAAAATAATATTAATATTGAATCCCTGGTGGTCCAGTGGCATTGGCTGTTCAGTGGGAGGGCTGGCAGTGAGCTGTTACTTACCTTCCTGCAGCTCCTGTCAGCTTCCTTCTCCTCCATGCAGCTCCTCTGTCAGCTCCGTTCTGCTTACAGTGTAAGTCTCGCGAGCAGAACGGAGCTGACAGAGGAGCTGGAAGCTGACAGGAGCTGCAGGAAGGTAAGTAACAGCTCGTTGTCAGCCCCCAACAGGACCGCTGGGCTTCTAATGAGCCCGGCGGTCCTGGTCTGTTTATGGCAATGTAAGTTGCCATAATACAGACATTGACTCGAGTATAAGCCGAGTGGGGGTTTTTCAGCACAAAAAATGTGCTGAAAAATTCGGGTTATACTCGAGTATATACGGAATGTATAAAAAACACAGTGAGATCCCTCAACAGCAATATACAGCACTAATCAAAAAGAAATCTATAGTACACTCCCAACATAAATTGGCAAATATGAACATATTTTATGTAGTTAAAATACACGTAGACAAATAAAACCACTAACAACTGGGAGTATCTGTGAGGTCGCAACTAGATCATCCTGCAAAATAAATAAAGCAACTATTACATAAGTTAATAGAAGCTACAATGTATCTTCTATTGCCTTGCAAAATGGTTCGTCACACGCAGCCCATTCCCATTTTTGTCTATGCATATAATGTGGGGGACACGGTGATGAAACACATCTGGGAGACAGCAAAGTAAATTTACCTTTGTAATGTGGTCAAACTGTCGAAGCATGCTATATTGCTTAGGCTGCATTCGAGCTTCAAAATGGGTCCTAATGACAGGAATGTAGTGTACGATCAGTTGCAGACAACGAGATGAGAGACCTGAAAAAAAAAAAAAAAAAAAACAGGATTAGTACTATGGCTAATGCTCCAAGAGAATATGATCAAACTTGCAATAATCTATCGAAAGGTCTAAAATATGTCCTAGTGTGTAGCTATGTAGCTTCTTAGTCATGACAGCAAAGGAAAGATTGAAAAGAACACGTCTTAGGCTGTAAATATGTGTAAGTGGTCTCGAAGTGAGTGAAATGTGTAAATTAGCACTGGCTATTTGCATACCTAAGGTTTTTGTGCTGATAGTCTTCAACCCAACAACTTGCAATGCTCCAGCTCCGAGAACTAACTGGCAGCTCCGAGAATTGAAGTACTGAGGTACAGAAACAAACCGGTTATTTGCAGGGCTTGACAGTAAAATGTGAGACAAAACACAATATAAAATATAACAAAACGAGAATATGAGAATGGGCAAAAGCTTAGAGAAACTCAACCTGCTTGTACTTCAGTAAATCACGCTCAGGTCTAAAAATAGTTTTTATTCAATTGTGCCATTACAGAGGGGACCTATATCATTTGCATATTAAATTGTACCTTTAATAGCTCTGACAGACGAGTAAGCATGTCTGTTGTTATAGAAGGGATGTCATCTATGCAGCTGCAATATTCCAGAATTATCCTGATCAAGATGAGCACTGTGCTACAAGAAATAAAGAGATGTGTTGATGTTAGAAGTATTTATTAATCATTTTAGTGCTTTGAGTACTGATTTGGAAGACATACTTACCCAACTACTGCATATTTCTGACCATCAACTGTAAGGAAATCCGTGGGCTTCCTTTCTTCAGCATCTACGTATGGAAAACAATAACAGAGGAAATTAAGAATATTTCTTAACCCTTAAGGACACAGCTTCAGAAGCTGGACATACCCCTAAGGACACAAGCAATGTTTGCTTTTTTTGCTGTTTGTGTTCAACTGCACTTAACATCTTTCTCATTTATTGTACCAACACTTATTATAAACCTTTTCTCAGACGTCAAAAAGTGCTTTTATTTGATGTGACATATACATATAAATTCTCATTTATTACCAAAAAATGCAAAATAATGGGGGGGGGGGAGGTGTAAACAAAAACAAAAAAAAAAAAAAAAAAGATTCCCCCCCCCCCCAAGTTTTGGCAATAATAACAACGTGTGCATAATATGTCCAGTTTAGGAAAAGTAACTCAAAATCAATTAATATATGTGTCTTGATTTACAGAGTACATAGTTTGTGTCGGATTTGAGTTTATTTTGAAAGTTACAGGTCACAAATTACAAGGTCTAAAATAAAATTTCAATGTGAAACAATTTTAGAAGTTAGTATGTTTGTCTTTGAAGTTTAATACCCATCACAGAAAACAAAATTGCCACAGAAAAGTATATATTTATATAAAGTAGACATCACAGGCTATTTACCTAAGGTTATTATGACAATTTTTACGTAGCCATTTCATCGCCAATCTCTGCTAAATATTGGAGTAAAATTGTGTCTTTTCTCTATTTTGGCATATACACATGCAACAAGGTTTTTGTAATGTGTATTTCGTAAAAGCTGGTGTGTGCTATTCCTGTACAGAATAGTAGGTTGATTATTCTAACTACCCCATAAAAGCATACCATTTCTTAAAGAAGACACCCAAGGGTATTTCAAAAGGCATATTTTGAACATTAGCGTGAAATCATTTTTCTGCTAGCTTGTACCAAGCATAGTGGTAATAAGCATTTTTTCTGCCTTTTTGACACACATAGTGAGTTTGTACTGTATATTTTGCAAACCTTATGTGTGCTATGGCTCTTTAATGTTTCCTATCTTGCTCAGCTATGTCGCCTGAGCACAGCAATACCCCCATATGTACCTTTGCTAGGTATATGTGGACGGTGAAGGGGCACATTTGAGACACAGCCATTTAGGTTTTTGCAAACTTTGAATTTTTACGCTGTGTCCATACCCCACTTTGGAGTTTTTTTTAGTAGGTTGATTATTCCAACTACCCCATAAAGGAATACCATTTCTTAAAGAAGACACCCGAGGGTATTTCAAAAGGCATATTTTGAACCTTGTACCAAATGTAGTGGTAATAAGCATTTTTTATGCCTTTTTGACACACACAATGAGTTTGTAATATATATTTTGCAAACCTTTTGTGTGCAATGGCAGTATAATACATCAAATGTTTCTCAGCTATGTCATCGGAGTACAGAAATACCCTCGTATGTACCTTTACCAGGTATATGACAATGTTGAAGGGGCACATTTGAGACACAGCCATTTCAGTTTGAATTTTTATGCTGGGTCCATGCCCCACTTTGGAATTTTTTTAGTAGGTTATGTTTTCCAATTAATTCACAAAGGCATACCATTTTCTAAAGAAGACACCCCAGGATGTTTCACGCCAGTTAGTAAATTCCATAACTACAAAGCATGTTCAAAAATGCAAGAACACGGGTTCAAAGCCTGGCAGGGTAAACTCAGTACTTCGTGCTTCCGAGGTCGATAAAATGAGTACCATCAATTGGGTAATAATAACATCTATTACTATTCAATTGCCGATTTAGTTAATTCCGAGAGCATGCGCTGAAAAGCGCTTTGAGTTAGTTATTTTACTAGTTATTATTTTAAAAGGCATATTTTAAACCTTAGCGTGGTATCTTTGTAGAGGTAATACGCATCAAGTGTAGAGGTAATGCACATTTTTTCTCTTTTTTAAAAATTTTTTTTTTTTACTTTTTAAAAGTTTTTTTGAACTTTTAAAAACTTGTTTTTGCAGACAGTGATCAAAGGGCAGGAAAGGGTTTAAATTTTATTTGAAAGAGATGAGGAGAGGTGGGATTTTCTAACACTTTTTTTTTTTTTTTACAGGGAGAGACAGATCAGCACTGATCTGTGTCTGCACTTCACAGCTCATAAGGAGCTGGAGGGAGACAGATCGGGTTTCACTGCAGCACATGTGATCCCTCTGACTCCCTTCAGAGCAATCACATAGGCTGTGAAAGCAGAAAGCACGGAGGCACACTGCAAGAACATTAACCCCACGATTGCCGCAATTTTCCGTCCAGGGTCCTTAAGGGGTTAAAAGACAATCTAAGCATAAAGTGATTTAGTGGCACAGATCATGTCCCTGGCCACCTAGCAGGGACAAAACTGTGCAGTTTCTTAGGAATAGCATTGCGTGTAATTTGCAATCCCCAAGCTTCTAGTGGCTGTCAGGCAGAAATCCAATAGGGACTGTGGACCAACATAGATTCAATAATTTAATGTGTTTTGCACTTGCTATCAGCATGTGAAGTATGTTGACAATGGTTGAACATTGGCTGATTGCTTAATGCTTCTCATTGAGAAACATGTTATTGGCATATTGTGTTGATAGTCATACTCTATGAGAATCATTTAATTGGGCACAGATCATGCAACTTGATGAATTCACAGATGCCAATTCTTGAAAGGTTAATTACTGCAGTTCTGTTACATACTTTGCTAATGTACCGCTGGGGTATAAAGTTTAAGGGAACGCAGACATAGAATATACACAAACTGGTACAAAAGAAACAGAGCACCCAACTCAAGAGCTTAACATCAATCATACGTAAAGTTACGTAATAGTGCTGAAGGTTACATGCATTAACCATATTAAAGTAGACTGACAGTTAAACTGTACTTCACACAGAATCTACATCTTACAATATTACATGCATGGCCAATTTGGGATACTTTAAAATGGTATGTCAGTCTACTGAAGGTTTCAGAAATAACTCTGGGCTCTATAGTGTAATTAATTTCCTTTGTGTAGAAAAGAATAGCTGTATTGTATGCATGCAAGTGTAACCCACATGTTCAGTACTCTAAGTCTAAGCCAGAAAATATAAAAGTGACGGATCGTTAACTCGTTGGAGCTTTATTTAAGTAAAAGTTTATGGTTAGTTAACATTGGACTGATGCAATGTATATGTAGAAATGTGCAAAATGTACTGATGATATGTTTTTTTTATTTTGTAAATAAAAAAGCTGCAGCAGCTCCGGCCAGCCCGCTTGGAGATTATCAGTACCGATGATCTCTCGGCCAAACAGAAAGCTTCTCATAGGGATGCACAGCAATTTCTGCCAGAGATGCATCTCATTGAAGAGAAGCATTGAAACCAATGCATCGCTATGATACGCTTTGCTTAACATTCCCCGCCCAGCACAAATCATTCACGAAGAGCACCTAGCGGCTGTCTGACTGAAATATTAAAATCGTCACTTTTACAAAGTAAGAAGGGGGAACTCTGATACCTTTTAAAGTAATTCAGCGAGCAAGAGTGATTTAGGAGTTTGTCCCATGCCTTTAGTTTGGTGAAAAGTGCAGCTCTCCATATTAAAACTCTCCTTTTATATAAAATTTTTGTATCAAAGAACAATATAATAATTATTATTACTGGTATTTATATATATCGCCAACATATTTTGTAGCGCTTTACAATATTATAAGAGGGGGGTTTTAACAATAAATGAGACAATTACAAAAACTTACAGGAACAATAGGTTGAAGAGGATCCTGCTCAAACGAGCTTACAGTCTCTAGGAGGTGGGGAGTACTAGGCCTGACATATTATAGAGTTATAGTTTGACATTAATAACCTGCCTGAAATCACACAATGTATTAGGTTAAAGGATATTATCAGGCAGCAAGTAAATGAAGGAGAGACATACGGACATATTTCATTACAAATTCTCTTTGAGTAAATCTCTTGAGAAGTTCACTTATGAATCAAAAAGGGATCTCTTCTGTTTCCGATATTCATTAAAACAACATTGAAGCGGGAGCACATTATGAAAGCATAGAGCCTAAACTTACATGGAGATTTCTTTTCTGGTAAAATAATTTTTCCATCTGTTATAGAATCTACCAGGTCCTGAAATTCCGCAGGGACGTCTGCTGGTTTCCAGCGCTCGGTATCCAGGAGAAGGCTAAAATAAAATGTTTAAAAAAAATGTATTTTATAGATCAAAACACATTAAAGGGTTTCTCCAACTCTTTTTGTTCTTCTTTGAAAAGTGATATATTGGGCATTATTACTTAGGTTCCCCCCCACCTCCCCAAAAAAATCTATAAAAAATATTTTGAAATAGAATTTAGTTACCTTTACCCAGTTATGGGCAAAGGCTACTGGCATGCCCCCGTCTGACTTTCAGGAGCCGTAAGGAGATCCAATTAAAGGCTTCTCTATGAGCATGCATGCATTCTGAGCCAGCAACGCGGTGTAGGGAGAGAATGAGGGCATCGGTAATAAAATATTAGCAGATGGTATAGTGAGGAGGAAGGGCTACATTCAGTGTGGGAGGGATAAGAGGCCAGAACTCCCCCTTGCAGGTGAAAAGCAGTGAACATCTGTCGCCAGAATTGACATTAGGCAGCTTAGAACTCTGTCTGTGTCTGCCCCAGTCTCGTGTGCAGGGAGGGTGTAACTTGCCCCCAGCACACATACCTATGGATGTTGAATGCTTTACACTGAGACACAATGCACATCCTACTCCCACCATAATGACCACTTTAAAAAGCACAAGTGGTCATGGTGTAACACTGGAGTAACACTTTAACTATACAATCTTACAAACTCTAATGTATGCATGAAACTTTCATGGTCCCTCTAGTTGACATAATTAAATGCAAGACATCTACTCTCTTCATGTAGTGCCCCTTTATAAACGTCTCCTCTCCTCATGTAGTGCCCCTTTATAAACTACTCCTCTCCTCATGTAGTGCCCCTTTATAAACGTCTCTTCTCCTCATGTAGTGCCCCTTTATAAACTTCTACTCTCCTCATGTAGTGCCCCTTTATAAACTTCTACTCTCCTCATATAGTGCCCCTTTATAAACGTCTCCTCTCCTCATGTAGTGCCCCTTTATAAATGTCTCCTCTCCTCATGTAGTGCCCCTTTATAAACGTCTCCTCTCCTCATGTAGTGCCCCTTTATAAACGTCTCCTCTCCTCATGTAGTGCCCCTTTATAAACTTCTACTCTCTTCACGTCTACGCTCCTCATGTAGTGTCCCTTTATAAACTTCTACTCTCCTCATGTAGTGTCCCTTTATAAACTTCTACTCTCCTCATGTAGTGCCCCTTTATAAATGTTTACTCTCATCATGTAGTGCCCCTTTATAAACGTCTACTCTCCTCATGTAGTGCCCCTTTATAAACGTCTCCTCTCCTCATGTAGTGCCCCTTTATAAACGTCTCCTCTCCTCATGTAGTGCCCCTTTATAAACGTCTACTCTCCTCATGTAGTGCCCCTTTATAAACGTCTCCTCTCCTCATGTAGTGCCCCTTTATAAACGTCTCCTCTCCTCATGTAGTGCCCCTTTATAAACTTCTACTCTCTTCACGTCTACGCTCCTCATGTAGTGTCCCTTTATAAACTTCTACTCTCCTCATGTAGTGCCCCTTTATAAATGTTTACTCTCATCATGTAGTGCCCCTTTATAAACGTCTCCTCTCCTCATGTAGTGCCCCTTTATAAACGTCTCCTCTCCTCATGTAGTGCCCCTTTATAAACGTCTCCTCTCCTCATGTAGTGCCCCTTTATAAACGTCTACTCTCCTCATGTAGTGCCCCTTTATAAACGTCTCCTCTCCTCATGTAGTGCCCCTTTATAAACGTCTCCTCTCATGAGTGCCTTTATAAGCGTCTCCTCTCCTCATGTGGTGCCTTTATAGCGTCTCCTCTCCTCATGTAGTGCCCCCTTTATAAACGTCTCTCCTCATGTAGTGCCCCTTTATAAACGTCTCCTCTCTCCTCATGTAGTGCCCCTTTATAAACGTCTCCTCTCCTCATGTAGTGCCCCTTTATAAGCTTCTACTCTCTTCCGTCGCTCCTCATGTAGTGTCCTTTATAAGCTTCTACTCTCCTCATGTAGTGCCTTATAAATGTTTACTCTCCTCATGTAATTGCCTTTATAGCGTCTCACTCTCCTCATGTAGTGCCTTACTCGCGTCTCCTCTCCTCATGTAGTGCCCTTTATCGCGTCTCCTCTCCTCATGTAGTGCCCTTTATAAGCGTCTCCTCTCCTCATGTGCCCCTTTATAAGCGTCTCCTCTCACCATGCCAGGTGCCTTTATAAACGTCTCCTCTCCTCATGTAGTGCCCCTTTATAAACGTCTCCTCTCCTCATGTAGTGCCCCTTTATAAACGTCTCCTCTCCTCATGTAGTGCCCCTTTATAAACGTCTCCTCTCCTCATGTAGTGCCCCTTTATAAACGTCTCCTCTCCTCATGTAGTGCCCCTTTATAAACGTCTACTCTCCTCATGTAGTGCCCCTTTATAAACGTCTCCTCTCCTCATGTAGTGCCCCTTTATAAACGTCTCCTCTCCTCATGTAGTGCCCCTTTATAAACTTCTACTCTCTTCACGTCTACGCTCCTCATGTAGTGTCCCTTTATAAACTTCTACTCTCCTCATCATGTAGTGCCCCTTTATAAATGTTTACTCTCCTCATGTAGTGCCCCTTTATAAACGTCTCCTCTCCTCATGTAGTGCCCCTTTATAAACGTCTCCTCTCCTCATGTAGTGCCCCTTTATAAACGTCTCCTCTCCTCATGTAGTGCCCCTTTATAAACGTCTCCTCTCCTCATGTAGTGCCCCTTTATAAACGTCTCCTCTCCTCATGTAGTGCCCCTTTATAAACGTCTCCTCTCCTCATGTAGTGCCCCTTTATAAACGTCTCCTCTCCTCATGTAGTGCCCCTTTATAAACGTCTCCTCTCCTCATGTAGTGCCCCTTTATAAACGTCTACTCTCCTCATGTAGTGCCCCTTTATAAACGTCTACTCTCCTCATGTAGTGCCCCTTTATAAACGTCTACTCTCCTCATGTAGTGCCCCTTTATAAACGTCTACTCTCCTCATGTTGTGCCCCTTTATAAACGTCTACTCTCCTCATGTAGTGCCCCTTTATAAACGTCTACTCTCCTCATGTAGTGCCCCTTTATAAACGCTCTACTCTCATAGTGCTCCCTTTATAAACGTCTAGTGCCCCTTTCTAAACGTCTACTCTCCTCATGTAGTGCCCCTTTATAAACGTCTACTCTCCTCATGTAGTGCCCCTTTATAAACGTCTCCTCTCCTCATGTAGTGCCCCTTTATAAACGTCTACTCTCCTCATGTAGTGCCCCTTTATAAACGTCTACTCTCCTCATGTAGTGCCCCTTTATAAACGTCTACTCTCCTCATGTAGTGCCCCTTTATAAACGTCTACTCTCCTCATGTAGTGCCCCTTTATAAACGTCTACTCTCCTCATGTTGTGCCCCTTTATAAACGTCTCCTCTCCTCATGTAGTGCCCCTTTGTAAACTTCTACTCTTCTCGTGCTTGTGAATCTCGGGGTAATGCAAAGTTACCTCGTACAGACGAGCACTGCAATAGCTGAAGGATAACAACAACAATTAAGTGTTTTACCTCAGTTTTGTTTTCCTTTCTTCGTGGAATCGATTTACGAATTTATTTGCTTGGCTTTGAAGGGCTCCTCGAAGGGACATGCTTCTTCTACCGCAGATCTTCTCGGTTTCCAACACAAAGGCTTCGACCGTTCGTGACAAAGACACAAACTCACTGGAGTTAAGTTTTTCGAGAAATCCTTCCTTGTGAGTGAAAATAAAGGGAACAAAATCAGAAACTCTGAATAAAGGATGTGATAATACAGCATATTTATTTTATTTTAACAACACTGGATTTCCTGGTTGCAATGGCAATAAAACCACATCTGGAAATAATTGCATAGTAAGCTGGTAATAAAAACGACACATCGAGCTCTCAGCCCTGTATTTCAACGTCATCCCCTTCTTAGTATTTTAACATTTTCCCCTTCCTCAACTTTATTTTATTCTCATCTTTCTGGTGACATGAGAAAGCAGAGGTTCGGACGCTTTCAAGCACAAGCATCTGTGTGTGTTCTTTCTTTTGGTGAGGTGCTGTGCTCCAGAGTGTCAAGAAGAATCTGATCTTTTAGCAGATAAACAAAATATGTAACCAGGTTTCAGCTTATTCTAGAACATAAATTCTCCAGGATATGCTTTAAAAGCTCTGAGGTAAAAGGTAATTTACTAGAACTATCAAGCCCACAACACAATAAACCTCAAACAGCATGTCAAGTCAACAGCCTTTAATTTGAAATGTCAAGACCCACTCAACATGATCGAATGAGTAATATAACAGAACAACTGAAGCAATCATGTTAATTTACAAAAGAACATTGGATTATTTAAAGTGTTCCTAAAATGCAGAGATTAGTCATATACCTTAGCTCTTGACAGCAGGAACTTGACACAGCGGTCATGGCAAATGTCAGATGCATTGTATATAAGTTCCTGTATGTTGTTAGCAATTTTCCCAAGTTCTAAGTCTGTTAATTTCATATCTTCGTTCATTCTTGGAAAAAAAAAACAAAAAAAAAAACAAATCATTAAAATATGACATAAAACATTCAGAACTAATATGATAATGTTGCTTTCTGAAATCAAGAAACATACTCAAACTCTCAGAGTGGAAAACCACATCTAAATACATAAAAAATGTCATATCATATATGCTCAAATTAACGAAGAGGCCAGCTCTAGCCAGGAATGTCCCTTTAAGCCTTTTTGTAACAAATTATGTCTGTTCACTAAAGTGGTATTTAGAGTAATTCACACCATGCCATGATTGTGTTAGAGATGGAAGTCCAAGAACAATATCAGCTCTATTAGCAAGGACTGACATCGAAAACAATTCTTTCTTGGAAATCTCAAGAGACAGAAATTACTTAATCAGTAAACACTGGCAGTTCCATGTACAGTGCCTTGCAAAAGTATTCACCCCTCATCCCTCTCTCCTCCTGCCCCTTCTCCTACCCAGCATTTTTCGTGTTTTGTTGCCTTACAACCTGGAATTTACATGCACTGTTTTTAGGATTTGCATCATTTCATTTACAGAACATGCCCAAAACTTTGAAGATTTTTTTTTTTATTGTAAAGCAAACAACGAATAGGACTAAGTAACAGAAAAGGTCATAACTATTCACCCCCCTAAAGTCAATACTTTGTAGAGCCACCTTTTTGCGGCAATCACAGCTCCAAGTCGCTTTGGATAAGTCTCTATGAGCTTGCCACATCTTACCACTGGGATTTTTGCCCATTCCTCCTTGCAAAACTGCTCCAGCTCCTTCAAGTTGGATGGTTTGCGCTTGTGAACAGCAATCTTAAAGTCTGACCACAGATTTTCTATTGGACTGAGGTCTGGGCTTTGACTAGGCCATTCTAACACATTTACATGTTTCCCCTTAAACCACTCAAGTGTTGCTTCAGCAGCGTGTTTGGGTCATTGTCCTGTTGGAAGGCGAACCTCCGTCCTAGCCTCAAATCACGCACAGAGTGGAACAGGTTTTGCTCAAGAATATCCCTGTATTTAGCACCATCTTTCCCTCAACTCTGACCAGTTTCCCAGTCCCGGCTGCTGAAAAACACCCCCACAGCATGATGCTGCCACCACCATGTTTCACTGTGGGGATGGTGTTCTTTGGGTGATGTGATGTGTTGGGTTTGCGCCAGATATAGCAATTTCTTTGATAGCTGAAAAGTTCAATTTTAGTCTCATCAGACCAGAGCACCTTCCTCCATACATTTTGGGAGTGCCATTTTGTTTTTTGCTGAAAGTAATGGCTTTCTTCTGGCCACTCTGCCATAAAGCCCAACTCTATGGAGCGTACGGCTTATTGTCGTCCTATGTACAGATACTCCAGTCTCTGCTGTGGAACTCTGCAGCTCCTCCAGGGTTACCTTAGGTCTCTGTGCTGGCTCTCTGATTAATGCCCTCCTTGTCCGGTCCGTGAGTTTTGGTGGGTGGCTGTCTCCTGGCAGGTTTGCTGTTGTGCCATGTTCTTTCTATTTGGTTATGATAAATTTGATGGTGCTCCTGGGGATCATCAAATATTTGGATATTTTTTTTATAACCTAACCCTGACTTGCACTTCTCAACAACATTGTCCCTTACTTGTTTGGAGAATTCCTTGGTGTTCATGGCAGTGTGTGGTTAGTGGTGCCTCTTGCTTAGGTGTTGCAGCCTCTGGGGCCTTTCAAGAAAGGTGTGTATATGTAATGACAGATCATGTGACACTTCGATTGCACACAGGTGGACATAATTTCACTAATTATGTGACTTCTGAAGGCAATTGGTTGCACCAGAGCTTTTTATGGGCTTCATAACAAAGGGGTTGAATACATTTGCACATGCCAATTTTCTGTTTTCTATTTCTAAAAAAATAGTTTTATGTATATATTTTTCTCATTTCATGTCACCAACTTAGACTATTGTGTTCTGATCCATCACATAAAATTCAGATTAATAAAACATTGAACTTAAGGCTGTAATGTAACAAAATAGGTAAAAAGTCAAGGGGGGGGGGGGGGAATACTTTTGCAAGGCACTGTACGTTACATTTGCACAGGATCAACTTGAATGATCACCATTGTCTATAAGATGTGGATTTGCAAAGTTAGTTCTAGAAAGTCCAATTTACTCACATTATCTCTACTCCCCCTGGGGTAATTGAAGGCAGTGTGTGTTCTTTGCTGGAAGAGGAGTCTGTAGTGCATTCAGGATCTGATACCGAATCGCTGCCAGAAGGCTCGCTACTGCTGGGTGAAGCATTCCTTTGAAAGTTAGTGTTGGTAGCCACGTGGGGAAGATCACCTTCACTGTATGCATCACTTATAAACAAGCCTTCGTGAGTCAAGTAACCCAGTTCATTGTCCATATTGCTTTCTCTCCCAATGTTTTTCTGAGCTGTCATTACCTCCAATTCTCTGATCCGTTGATTCTTATCTAAGACCATCAGAACAACGCATCGGATTACAGTTAATGTTGCCTGTAGGGAAAGGGGGACAGTGACGAAAAATAAAGAAGATAAACATAAACAAGCATGAAACAATGTCACACAAAGATAACATGCATGAAAGAAAGCCATACTAGTCCTATACAAATAATGTGTTCAAACTGCCCTAAACTAGAGGAAAATGCAGTGCTCACATGGTTTTATTATTAATTACTAGCTCTGAGCAGCTTACCTCAGGTATGGTGTAGAAGGATAACAAAACTCTGATGCAGATTCAAAAGGGCCACCTCTATGACAAAAGTCATATTTCTTGAGGTACAATTTTCTGTGAGTAAATAATTGGGAGACAGTGCTACTTAAAGTTTGGTAAGGTCTCACCTGGGTTAAGGATGGAATTTATAATAGCTGTATATCTATGGCAACGGATTATAGTGAATTGGTAACTTGTGCTGGCTCCACATTTCAAAGCTTGGCATACTCTTTCAATTTAAGATTATTTTATCTCCAGCTTAGAAAGGTCTTCACTGTGGTTTTTGAATACGATTTGATAATACATACAAGCTTACCTTGACTCTTTGAAGGAAAATTGTAAACTTAGAGAATATATTCTTCAGCAAATCAAACCAGTGAGAAAAATTCAGCCTTCGCATCTGATCAGGAAGCCTACAAAACAAATAAAGCTCAATGGTCACATCAAGCACATTTAAATTGCTGTAATTTAACACCAATGCCCATTTACAATGTAATTAACATGTTATATATGATAATGCTTAACCTTGGGATAATTTAAATAAATCAGTCATAAACTACAAATTTGCAGTGAGAAATATTTTACAGATGTAAATATTCCCAAAATTCAGTATCCATTAAAAGGAACACAAGGTCTGTAAAATAATGTGTAGCAGTTTTGGAAGTTAAGAAAGGTAATATTGCGCAGCTGGTTTAGCATAGCGTAAAGGGATTCTATGGTTTTAGGAATCCAAATCTTTATTCCTAACAATATGGAGCCCTCTGGTCCCACCCTCCATCCTCCACAGGAGCTAAAAGGTTAAAGAAATCCTTTGTTGCTTACCCGATACCAGCACCACTTTCCCTCTGGACTGGGTCGGCACTCCGCCTCCTTCATCAGTGGTGGACTAATGTGCATGCATTGCAAGCAAATTAGGCCCTCCCCATAGGAGATTTCACTGATGTTGGATGTCCTCATGCCCCTAGAGGCAGTCTTAGTCCTGCAATGTAATTGTATTGCAGTTTCTCATAAAGGGGCATTGCACCTAGACCACTTAAATGAGATGAAGTAGTCTGAGTGACTATAGTGCCCCTTTAAAATGGGCATGCATCACTAGACAATTATTTTTTTAAACCAGGATGCAAACACTTTTAATCAAATATATAAACCAAAATAAAACAAGAAAAAACATTTAATATAAAATTGATTAGATTGCCTTGTTGTGCACGCTTCTCAGCTAGTGAAGTTTCTTCAACCTCCCTCCCACCCATCTCAATGTCAGACCACTGCACTAATGACAGAAAGAGGAGAGGGAAACCAAACACCAGAGTTTGCTCTGTATGATCACACTGATCATTCTCTCTCTCTTCTTCCCCAGTCAGGATGTCCCAAATAAATTATAGATCAGGGATAGGCAACCTTCGGCACTCCAGATGTTGTGGACTACATCCCCCATAATGCTCTTAGACCCTTAATGCTGACAAAGCATCATGGGAGGTGTAGTCCAAACCATCTGGAGTACTGAAGGTTTCCTACGCCTGTTATAGATCTTCCAACTGCTCATGTGTAAATCTGTAAAAATGCCCAACGCACTTTTCCCGCATTCCGAGGGATAGCACACGGATTGGTTAGATCAGTGCCCCACTGAATTGGTTGTGGAAAGCATAAGATGGAAGCAGGTAAATATGAAGGGGGGGGGGGGGGGGGGGGGGGAATATTTTTTTTTATATTTATCTGGTTTTTTTTACTGCTTGTAGAGTGAGGCAACTGTCTCATTCAAAGTAAAAGCTTTGAAATGAGACAATCAAATTAAAATTTATACACGTCTCTTTAACTAATCTTCACTTGAAATTATTTCATCCTTTTGTATTGAATTTTTACCACCAGATGTCCTAGTTTTTAAATAAAGACCCAGTTTCCGGCAGTTGTAAAGTGTGGAAGATGTTGACAATGTAAGAACATATTTGTGACAGTTAATCAGATAAAACAACATGTTAAATCCGCCACAAGTAAAGTTCTGAGAAAATGCTTCTCACACAGCTTTATAATATGATGTAATATACTATTTGTTCCAAATGCTATCTTTTTTAAATTTATGTATTTATTTTTTGAGTGCAGAGTAAATTACAGGCATAAACACTGACTTGTTCAACACATGAGATCATCATAAACAGTTGGTATGGGTAGTCAAGAGATGCTGCACTTTTTTTTTTTTTTTTTTTTAAAACAAGTTTGAGATATGAGGAAGACAAGAAAATGATAGTGATGATTTGCATAACTGATTAATCTAAGCATACATATCTATTCGCTTTACCAAGATTAAGTTTATGCACAAAATACTTGCTAGATATGAAAAGTGGTTTGATGCATATATATAGCAGTAGCTTTACAAACAGACTAGTGTAGTTTGGTTATAATTGGTATTAGGCTAGGTCTTGTGATGTCGCTTTAATGCCGTTTTCTCCGTTAGGAACTACCAGTGCTGCCTCAGTGAGGAGCCGTTGTTGTGGTGTTGCTGAGACCTCAAATACAGGGGAAGTTCCGCTGCTATCCGATACCTGCTCGGATCCACACATGGCTGCCGCTGCAGGGGTCATGCTGTTGCAGGCCGAGTGGGAGGCGAGTAGGAGGTCTGTCTCGCCGCTGAGGTGACACGCTTGGTGGTAGACTCGGTCCCTCCATACGGCAACGGCCGGTCTGTTGTGTAGCCCCATCCCCCCAGGGTAGCCGCTGACATCGCTGACTTGAGTGGCTGTGTTAGTGGGTAATGGTAATCCCGCTTCCCTGTATGGCAGGGTCTGGAGGCAGGTGTTGCAGTGTCGGCTGTGAGCGCGGGGAGTGAGCTGTTTCTCCCCATGTCTCCTGTGCACATGGTGTCCGCCATCTTGGGCATGGCTGTTAGGTCTCCTAGCTTCAGCCGCCATGTCTTCGTCAGGGCCTTGGGGTGAGGACCGGGATCACCCCCACCGGTCCAGAGGTCCACACTAGTTTGGGCCCCAGGCTGGGTTCTGTTAGGCAGGTTAGTGGGGCAGCGGCCGTCTGCCCCCCTCACCGCTGGAGTAGGCCTCGATTGGGGCATCGGTGCCCTCTCCTCCAGGGGACTGTAGCTCGATAAGCCAGCCTCACCCTGGATCCAGTGTCCCTTTAGCTCCGTGGACCGCTGCTGGAAATCATAGTTTCAAAGCTTAGAGTTTGATGGCTTGCAGGAGCTCAGCGTGCATGCTGCCATCCAGCTCGGCGGTCCGGCCCCGCCCCCTCTCCAAATTCTATCTTATAAGGCAATCAGCTATTTAAAGAATCACCATTTTGCTTGGAGCCATAGAACACTATTGGCTAAAGTGTGAATAGTCATGAATTTAAAGGTAATTTCACATTTTAGTTCAAAGTAGCAAAATTGAAAATATAGCTGACTGTTTTTAATTAAGCTAGTTTGACCTAAAACATGAAATCACAATGTTTTCGTACCAGTTGGAGAGCAATGTCTTTTCAATGGTCAAGAGATAAAAGGACACACAAAATGCTGATTGACTGCGATTTCATATGCCAGAAATATTTACAACTTTTTAAACGTTGCACATGGTAACTCAACTATATCAACATGAAGATTAGAACTACCAATAATAAAAAAAAAAATCACTAGTATTTAAGCATGTACAAATAGTCATTTGTCTGCAATAGTAGTACTTTATGTGTGACAGTTTTTAGGATTTACCATAGCTATTATACATACTTAGTTACAACTTCAGGATCAATTTCATCAATCTGTGATATGGTGCTCACCACACACTGGAAGAAAAAAAAATAGGATAAATAAGTTGCTTTTTAGATAGGTTTTATAGATCTTATAAATGATTAACACAAAAACATTTTAGGATTTTTAATAATTGTAATATTTGGTGTATCATTACATTTTACAGTTTGCAGTAAGGCAAGGAGAAAACGGGGCTTAAGGGCTAAAAAAAACTTCCAGCAAGTTAAACAAGGCTCAAAATTTGTAAGCCATAAAAGTTACTTATCACAGCAAGCCCTAGCATACTCCTCAGGGGTAAATTTCTACTCACCAGTGCTGAATTTTAACTCACCATGGACTAGTGGAGAGTGGAAATTTTGAGCCCAGAGTTACAAGAAATGTCACAAATGCCTTATGTTAAAATACTAAATTCTGTATCCATATCAGGGATGCAATAACTGGGCTGTAATGTCTGCCTCATACTTTAGGCAAATATTTCATCCACCAAGCTGAACTTATGGGACACTTTAATTCGCTACTAAACATCTTCTTGTTTTTTTAGGGAAAATAGATGGGAAGAACACTAAACACTAAAAGCAGTGATCAATACTGAATAATTTGAAGGGTTATCAAGATGCATATTAGGTTCACTTTAACTACAAAAAATGGCAACAAAATAACTTGTCACATTCATGAAGAATCAACATAAAAATAAGGTAGTCACTCATGTCCAGTCGATCGTCAAATCCTGCCACTTCCATCTCAAAAACATAGCTTGCATCCGCCCTTATTTAACACCAGACACAGCTAAGGTGCTGGTCCATGCCATTGAACTTTCTCGCCTTGACTACTGCAATCCCCTTCTCAGTGGTCTTACGTGTTTCCAGATTGCACCGCTGCAATCTATAATGAATGCGACGGCGAGGCTCCTTTTCTTCTCCGCCCGCACCTCCCACTCTTCTCCCCTCTGTCAGTCCCTACATTGGCTTCCAGTTAGATATAGGGCTCAATTTAAGATTCTGGTGCTTGCTTACAAGTCCCTACATAATGCTGCTCCAACCTACCTATCCTTCCTAATACACAAATATGTCCTGTCGAGGCCCCTGCGCTCTGCTGAAGACCTACGTATATTCTCTGTCCGTACTCCCATATCTGATGTTCGCCTCCAAGATTTCTCCAGTGCTGCACCTCCTCTGTGGAACTTCCTTCCCTTCTCCGTTAGACTTTCACCCAGTCTCCACTCCTTCAAAAAATCTTTGAAAACACACTTCTTCAGGAAAGCATATCATTTAAACTGTTAGCGGGTTTTCTCCTCCCCCCCATCCCCCATGACTCCTCTCCTGCAACTGTCAAAAATAACCTACTAAGTTCTCAGTGATTACGTTACACTCCACTCCCTCTAGCATGTAAGCTCATTGAGCAGGGCTTTCAACCCCTCTGTTCCTTTGCATTCATTTGTCTGGTTACAATTACGTGTCTGTTAGTCCACCCATTGTACAGCGCTACAGAATTTGCTATATAAATAATAATAATAATAAAGCAGTCACTGCTGTGATAAGTCTGCTCCCCCACTGCAGAGGAGCGGTGTGGTACTATCAATGATTGCATCCGTTTAAAATCACTTTCAAGCACATATGTGTAGAATTAAGTATTTGATACCTGCTTAATTATGTTCTTTGCTGTAGTTATCATTTCACCATAGTAGATTTCATAGAAATTTAGCTTCCGCTGCTTTAACAACCCAAACACCAAAGATACAAGTCTCTCCTGTTGAAAGCAGACACAGTTAGAATATAAACAGATAATGTGGGCGTTATGCATTGGTGTACGGGTACTGTGCTGTTATTCCCTTTATGACCAAGTTTTGCAAAGCAATGGAAAACATGATTGTTTCCACAGTTTTGTGAAATATTGGAGGGTAGTATCAGAGGGGAGAAATGATGGCAAAATAAAATGTGAACACCAAAAAGAAGGGTTGATTTTGGAATAAACATAAATCCTAAAAAAATGTCAATGCATGCCACAATAAGTGACTTTGGAACGTGGACTACAAAATGTTGGAAATGATGAAGTGCTATCGCTTAGAACAAGCCTGGAAATCATTACAGGCTAATTGTCTTAAGGGTAAAAGAGCATCTTGCATGAGTAAGTTATGTGCTCTAACAAGCTGAGCATTATCAATTAAAAAACATATATATCATTCGAGAGTATTGCAGACTAGACAACGGATATTACAGTAACGGTCAATAAGAACTGGACATTTTTAAAGAACCAGACCCATGGACAGTTTTAAGATCTTGTGCTTCTTATTTTGCCAAAAAGTTTTGTCAAATTTGTGTAGCAACAACGTGTATCTCTAAAATGGCACAATAAATAGATAAATAAATTCTCACCCATGTTTAGTCTAAAATTTGGCACATTCACAAACTTGAAAAGGAGCATAAATCCACAGCATACAAACACAATGTTTTGGAGTCCTTTCTTATGGCCCCTGTATCATGAAAAGCATGATGGTTCGGTGTCACATTATTGGGACTAACATTTCATTTTCCATCGTGTTACAAAAACAAAGAATATGAGAACTCTGAGAACGGAAAAAGGATTAAAGAAACTCAGTAGCTGGCCCTTCACAGAGAGAACATATTCCAAAGCATATCAGACTTATCCCAACTGTAAGGGCAGTCCAGAACCGAAATGCTGGCAAGTTCTCTCTGCGCCTCATCAATAAGGTGTAGCTGATACCCCTCTAAGCACAGTGAGCATGGGTCCACTTCTGGATTACCCTTTCAATTTAGGGAATCCATTATGCATTATTCATACATAGTCTCACAATATATGAACTTGTCCTTTTTAGCTGCTAAAGAAATGGCACAGGAATATTAAATACAAATAGCATAATCACCACAAAGTGATACAGTGGTATCTCAGAACTCCAGCATGTACCTGAACAAGTGCGGGATATTACACAGTGAATGCAGGTGAATGGCAGCAGTCAGCTTCCAGACACACAATGGTGGTAAAATAAAAGAGTTTCAGGTAATTAAAGGTAGATGTTGTAGAAGGAGCTTCTGTTAGCTCCATTGAGCGAAGTTCTACTAGCATATTGGCTGAGAGCATCAGCTGAATGTTCTCAGTTAGTTCTCAGAGCATGTGGCACTGGGCACCAGCAGACCACAGTCAAATTGTCAAATCATTCTTAAATGGGATGGTGCAGGGCACTTCCAGCACCATCCACAACTGTGGGCTGTACTGGTTATGGTGCTTTGAGTGTTCCTTTAACCTTCAGTGCCCGACATGTCAACCTCATCAAGGTTGCATGCTATTATACTGTATCAATAATTTTGCAGCAAGAAATATATCTTTTTTTCAATGAATGCAGTTTTCCTTATGTTATGGCTTATTTACGAATAAAAAACACAGGATGTGTGAGTTATCTACCTCTTCTATTACGTGGTAGTCATCGTCCAATGGTCTGTTTAGATCATTACGAACATAAGATGTAAATTCTGCGATGATCATTTTGTCAATCAGCTTTTCCAATTCACAAAGCTGGGAGCCGAGGTGCCTAAAATAAAAATAAATAAAAAATACACAGTTAGAAACAGGTAAAATAGTTATAATATTACCAAACTGTGAGATGGATGTAACCATAGGTCACTGTGACATATTATTTATATTAGAGAAAGTACTGAGATCGTTATTCCAACATCTAGAAAAATAACTTCATATTAAAAGGTATGATGTAAAATGGCTTTAAAGTTTTATATCAGAAGCACTGGCAATGCATGTTATATAGATTGCACTAATAGTCTTCATAGTGCTAGGCTGATAAAGAACATACTGAATTTGCACAATCCAATAGTATTACTGACAGATAGGGCGATTGAACCCAGATATCGAAAAGGGATTTTTGCTTGAGCCATCACCTATGCTGGTCAGCCCTCATCAAACCGCTCACCCAATGAACTCAAAAACTGAAGTCAGGCTGACTCTAAAAAATAGTCTCTATCCACCTAGTAGCTATTTTTTGGACATTAGAAAGGAGACTCACCTGCTCCCAGAGAATAAATTAAAATCTTACTAGCCAAACTTTGCACAATCACTTCCCAGGCATCTCTGTGTTCTAGAAAGAACACTTAGGGGCCATAGCCTAAAAATAGGTGCAGATAAAGCAACAGAGATGGAACATAATGGATTGTTCAAGATCTTCAAAATGCATTGATGCTAAGGAGGTTAAATCTAAGAAAGTGAAGATTCAAAGCCTTGCCGATGAAATTGAAACGATAGAATGATATTATCTTCAGACTCTTGGTAGTTTTAATTTCCACTACCTAAACCAGCCGGAGTCCCAGCGTTAGCTGAAATTCCAAAGTAGTCAAAATAGGACTGCATTTCTAGCAGCAGTAAAAGACAAGTCACCTTTCAGGTTCAAAGTTAGGACATTTCCTTTTTTCCTAGTCTTGTCTGACAATACTAAAGCTTGGCTGAGAGCTCTATACTCACACACAAGCTACTCTTATCCAACTAAACCCATGCTACGGGGACACACTTGACTAGTAGAAACAGAAGGGTTAAAGGCATGTTTGACATAGACTCTATACTATGACAGTAGAAACTCCCAACCAGACTACCTAATATCTTGTCTCGTATCAATAGGGAAGAATCTATTGAGGACCACTTCTTTTGTCATGGCAGCCCCCTACTTGGGACACAGGCACTCCAGTGAAATGACTTTCATGGTCATTCAGTGTGTTTTGGCATGGGTCTCTTGTCAAAAAAAGAAAAACAACTTTAATTACCTTATTCACACTTATGGTGGTGTTTTATCACCTTAGGGTTTGACTGCTTCTCACTTTTTTTCTGTATTATGCTGGTTCTTGTGATTTTCATTTTACCCACTAATTCTAGTAGACTAATTATGAGATCTGTTTACTTTTTCTTTCGATGAGGTTGTAAACTGTACCTTGTGTTGTTGAATGCTGCATATGTATTTACAGAGACACTCTAAACACCAAAGCAACTCAGATCTTTCAGCAACTGTGCGTTTAAATTAAGTTCTTATCGCCAACTCTGTTAACTTAAATTTATCAACATACATGGATGCTTCTGCATGCTTTTAAAAAAGCAGGAGATACATTCTAAATTAAACATACTGTGCAATAAGAAAGCTAAAAACTATTTAGACTCTTTAGAGGAAGTGTGTAGAGAAGCTGTGTAAGACTCAGTCAGGGGAGCTGAGGCTAGAGATACAAAAATAAAGTGATTCCACTCCTAAATGGCAGAGAACTGAGAAGTGAGACTGTAGGATAATGATCGATACACCAAAACCACTTCATTAAGCTGAAGTTGTTTTGGTGCTTAGACCGTCTCTTCAAAGTAATGCAGTAAAGTTAGGAACAGAGTAAAATAAGGCACTTTGGTGTAGCAGGCTAAGCATAATATATTCGTTATATTGTTACTCCTCCTGTGTATATGTATATGGCCTTCGTTGATTTTAGCATCACATGATTGATCCAGATTTGATCTATTGCTCTAGCCTGTTACAGTAAATGTCAGCTCAGGCCTCCATTCCACTGCTGTGCCTAGGGCAGAGCTCACATTTTGCCTAGGGCAGAGCTCACATTTTGCAATCACAACTAGCCATAAGATTTTAGCCTGATGATTAATAATCACCCCTGGTGAGTGTGCATCCAATGATGAGTAATTATTAAGGCTCAACTTTTAGCACAGGACTTGAAATGTTAAGCCCTTGCTTAAGGCACTGCATCAGTTGCAAAACCAGTTATTCAGCCTTCTACAAGGCACTGCTTGCATACTGAGGGAAAAACCAAGATTGCTTACCACAATCTCTTTTAAGGATATTTATACATTGAAAAAGGGACAGGAGCCCCAAAACATCTTTTGATTTATATGTTCTTCAATAAACGTGGGTTTCACTAGTGAGCCCTGTCTACTAAGCTGTATGTTGAGTTATCCCTTGTTTTGCAATTGGTATTTATGCTGGTTGGACCATAGCAGTTTTTCTCTACAGTGACCACACTCCTAAATCTTATTTGTTCTGCCCAACCTAAGCAGGCTTTTGGCACAGAAAGTTGGAGGAAACGGTTTCTTAATCTGTTAGAGCTCTGATGCACAAATTTGAAATTCTCTTAGGTCAGGGGTGTAGAATAAAAAAAAAAAAAAAAATCCACTTGTCAAACAACTAAATTGGTAGCCCAATATATTTGTCCATCATGCTAATCTACTTCTTCCGACAAAATAATTTCATTGAAAAAGATTGAGCTTTGGAAATTGACTGGGCTACTTGCTGGAATTTTCACAAACTAAATCTGAATGCAAAAATGGAGGCAAAAATAGCTAATGTGGTAACATTCTCGAACTCTGGTATAGTGACAGCATGGTCACAACAATTTTTGCCTCAGTTTTGCTGTTTGGATTTTGTTTGCAAAATTTTCTAGCAAATTTTAATCTCTGGCCCTCCCGTAATCTCCCCCTATTTCACAGCGTGTGGCGAGTGCTTGATGTATGTCATGTGACTGTGCAGTCGGTGCTGACTGTGCGTACAGAGAATACTGACTTCTTGGTGCAGGTATGGTGTATACGGGCTGTATGTGATGTATATGCACTGGCTGTTTGTGATGTGTATAAGATGTGTGTGAGCTGGCTGTATATGGCTGTATTACATAAACACACAAACAGTTACACAATAACCCATACACAAACAAACACTGACCCGTATACACACACACAATGACCCATACACAAACACACTGCCAAACACACATTAACCCATACACACGACATATACGCACACACCGACCCATATATAGCCAGTACCTTACACTGACCCATGCACACACAAACTAAACATTCTCTGACACTCACACATACACAGCACAGATTACCAGCAGCAGCCTGTCCCATATGGTCTCTGCTCTTTACAGGCTATGACATCACTCTGAACCACAGCGGCCATGAGTCCTGAGCATTGTGAGAAGCGGTTGGCTGCTACCGCTCCTAACACCTTCCTCTGAACTGCAGCTTGCACCTGTTATGGCGTCCCATAGGCCTGCCGGAGATACACTCCCTGCCTCGCACCAAGTCCCTCTCAGGCAGCCCTGAGCCCTGGCTAAAACTAATAAAACATTTTCTTGCTCGGTGTTCTGTCAAATTCTGTTTAGTATCAGAATGTGTTTTCCCCTCACAGCTCAGCAATCAAGGGAACTTCTCCTCCCTCAGGATCCCTGCAAGGTAAGTAAAGTTACTGTCACATTCAGCGAACAGTTAGGGGCTTCACAGCAGCTCTGTGATATGGAACATTTAGGGTTAAGGTAAGAGTTAAAATTAGGGTTAAGAACCAATTTAGAATCTCACAATTCTTATTCTAACCCTAACAGTAAGAATAAAATGAACCATAATTGTAAATTGAATTATTTTTTTCTAGGTCACAGTATCCTGTAAATAAAAAAAATACTCCCTAAATCTAACCCTCACTTTAACCCCAAATGTCTCATGTCCCAGTGCTGTAGAGAAGCCCCTAACTATAAGCAGAGTGTGACAGGAACGTTACCTACCTTGCAGGATTCTGCAGAGCAGCCTTTTTTAGACACAGGAACCCTGGGGAGGAGGAGTTCCGATAATTACCTGTGTAAGGAGAAACACATTTTGATAGGAAACAATGTGACAGAACACCGGCACCCAGAACTGCATGTTCCGGGCGCTAGGTGATCTAAAATTCACATCTTTGTAATATAATAATAAAAGGCATTTATACACAAAGAGGTGTTCAGACCTCTAAATATTAAGTGCAGCATAACACGTTTTCCATCATGACATGTCGGGAATCAGAACACGTAGAATTGATGTGACTGTACTCACCGAAAGCTATGAATGCCCTGTAACTCTTGTTGCAAAACTTCTTGTGTTGTTGCAATTAAGTCCAATGCACCAACATATTCTGAGGTTGCGAGCAGTAGTTGTACAGTAGGCTGAGTTTGATGCACCGTAGCCATTAGCTTGAGCTTCTTGTATACCTTGGTGCAGTTATTCCTAGTCAGAGCTTGCCTCAGAATTCGCAATGACCCTTCGCACATGATTCTGTCTATCTGCGATATCTTATCTCGCAGCAATGTCACAGCCTGGGAGGTTTTTCTGAGGTAGTCCTGCAGTTCGTGCTGGGAGGACATTGCATGAAAAAATGCATCAGACCGTAAAGAGATCTGGTGAGCGATGTTCACTTCGATAATATCCAAATAGTGGCTCAACTACAAAAAGAAATATTATACAATTCAGAATGTTTTTCACAGACTGTAATAATAGAATATTTAAAGATGTAATAAAAGGACTAGTTGCTCAAAATCAAATGTATATTACAGGCACCAAAACAACTTTAGCTTAGTTCAGCAGTTTTGGTTTATAGAGCATACTCCTGGCGTCTCACTGCTCAATTTTCTGCCATCACTAATCACTTTTTTTATGCAGCTCCAGCCACATCTCTCTGCATGTGAATTACACAGTCTTCATAAACACTTCCTGTAAAGAGAGATCTAATGTTTAACCCCTTAAGGACCGAGGGCGGTTCAGGACCGTCATCAGCATTTTTCCATTGCCGACCGGTGACGGTCCTGAACCGTCCTAAAGGTCTTAGGTACTTACCCGATCGCCGTCGTTCCCCCGGCGGTGCTCCCGGTGTGGGGAGACTGCCTGCAGCCCAGACAGTCTCCCGATGGCGGATTAGGACCCCTGGGGCCATGTGATCACTCAACAGAGCGATCACATGGTCACAATAGGTGTCCATGTGTCTGCCTGCAGGGGGACTGCCTGTGCTGACAGGCAGTCTTCCTGTTAGTGTAAAATCATTAAAAACCTGTAACGTTCTACGACACCCTAAAACCTGTACATGAGGGGTACTGTTTTACTCGGGAGACTTTGCTGAACACAAATATTAGTGATTCAAAACAGTAAAACATATCACAGCGATGATATTGTCAGTGAAAGTGACTTTTTTTTGCATTTTTCATACACAAACAGCTTTTACTGATGATATAATTGTTGTGATACGTTTTCCAGTTTTGAAACACTAATATTTGTGTTCAGCAAATTCTCCTGAGTATAACAGCACCCCCCATGTACAGGTTTTATAGCGTTTGAAAGTTACAGGGTCAAATATTTTTACATTGAAAATGGCCAGGTTGGTTACATTTCCTATGAGAGCGTATGGTAGCCCAGGAATGAGAATTACCCCCATGATGACATACCATTTGCAAAAGAAGACAACCCAAGGTATTGCAAATGGGGTATGTCCAGTCTTTTTTAGTAACCACTTAGTCACAAACACTGGCCAAAATTAGTGTTCAATTCAGTTTTTTACTTTTTTTCATACACAAACAAATATGAATGCTAACTTTGGCCAGTGTTTGCGACTAAGTGGCTACTAAAAAAGTCTGGACATACCCCATACTGAATACCCTGGGTTGTCTACTTTAAAAAAAATATGTACATGTGGGGTGTTATTCAGAAATTTATGACAGATAATAGTGTTACAATGTCACTATTGATACATTTTAAAAATGTATGCTTTGAAACCGCAATATCCTACTTGTACTTATAGCCCTATAACATGCAAAAAAGCATGTAAACACTGGGTATTTTTAAACTCAGGACAAAATTTTGAATCTATTTTTTTCACTCGCTTTTGTAGATGAGTAAAAAAATTTTTTAATTAAAAGTAAAAAAACATGTATTTTTTTCAATTTTTTTAAAATTAAATTACATGAGATTATATAAATAATGGTATGTAAAGAAAGCCCCTTTTGTCCTGAAAAAAACCAATATATAATTTGTATGGGAACAGTAAATGAGAGAGCGGAAAATTACAGCTAAACACAAACACCACAAAAGTGTAAAAAGATGCCTGGTCGCAAATGTACAACTTCGCAAAAACAGTCCGGTCCTTAAGGGGTGAAACTTTCTTTATTGCACAGTCTATTTAATTTAGAATTTCTTACCTCTTGCTCTGTTAATAGCCTTCTAGACCATACAGGAGTTGTTAATAAAGGAAGGCTATAAATAAAGGAACCTAAAATATCTATATAGATTATTTTTCAAGAAATGTTTAGGAAGTCTGTGCAAGTCACATGCACGGAAGTGTGGCTAGAGCTGCATAAACAAACTGATTTAACTCCTAAATGGCAGAGAATTGAGCAGTGAGACTGCAGGGGCATGATCTATACACTAAAACTGCTTTGTTAAACTAAAGTTATTTTGGTGCCTATAGTGTCCTTTTAAGGTAAAAATAGCAAATCTGGAAAAAATCAGTTATGCTACCAGCTTGGCTTGAAGTCCACCTTGAATTCACTCTGAATTCTCTCTTTTTGTTGTGCCAGGAAATACAAGCAATTGTTTAACGCCACAACAGCGTTATCAAGTACATAAAAGAACATAAAAGGAGAGATTTTCCTGGCATTCCTGTATACAGCACATTTGTTGTACTATATAAACAAGAGAGGTTGTACATGTCTAAAGCAGTATGTAGTGTGAAATTATCAGGATAGATATACATTCGACATGGTTCAACAATAGGGTAGAATGGCTAATTTTAGGCAAATTTTAAGCTAATTTAAACAAGCTGAGATTATCCATCAGGCACAAACAATATCTGCATGAACAGTACTAGGCTAGCTACTAGCAAGGCATGAAATTTAGTATGTCTAGAGGTCAAATTTAATATGATCAGGCTGAGGTAAAAACAACAGTGAAACTAGAACGCTTATCTGATTGAGAGCAATATTCTGAATATCTAATTATCTTCCAGGCTTCAGTAGGAAACGGGATTCACTTTGTGCTAGGAATTGCTAAATGGCGCTTTCACTGCCTCTCAGTCATTCTGGGGGGGCTCCCCTGGCCCCGGTGAGCAGTTGTGTCAGCCTCTCCGCTCTCCGAGTTGAGGCCTGCTCTGCCGCCAGTGCCTGGGAACCCCAATACCTTCCCGGTCCTGGTGTATGTTCATCATCCCGCGGGACTTCCACTGCGCTAGCTGTCTCCCAAGGCTCTGGATGATTGATGAGTATGACATCCATCTTGTCTTTGCGCCCGGAATATGAGCGGCTCTTCATGACTGCCTGGAACCACCTCGATCACGGGTAAGGTAAGTTGTTGTTCCTGCCGGGAATCAATCAGTCTCCAGAAGGCAGTGCACACTGCATCAAAGGCTGCCAGAAACCAGCTTTCCTATTGAGGGTCGGTATGATGGCCATCTTGATTATGCCACATATACTTGATGTGTCAGGCTAGATAACCTCTGCGCCTATGAAAGTACAGTAGCTATGCCTGGTGGGGACCAGGATATCCCCCACTGGTCCAGATGGTGGGTGGGGTGGGGGGGGGGACAGGGCAGTGGCTGCAGTTGTTGCTGGCGCCAGCAACTCCAGGCCAGGAGATCGGCCACCTCTCCCTACTGTAGAGCACCTCAGGCCTTAGGCTATTCCGGGTCACATCCTGAGATCTGAGGATTCATTGGAGCTCTCCAACACACTGGAACTGATGAGTATTTGGTTTAGGATATCTTGAGGTGAGATTTCCATTAAAAAAAAAGTCACGATTTTTAGTCTATTTGTGTGGAGCTCTCATACAGCATTTCTGTACCGCAAGATAGCCAGCCCCCGAATTCTCTCTTTACTGAATAATCTTGAAAGAGTAGGATTAATGGTGAAAAATACCAATCTTACATTTGGGAAGACAATTGTTGACAATTCAACAACCACACACCAGGGTATTCACTGATAAACACAACTAGAATACTGATGACTAACATAATTAATTATAAGTAAATAAAAAAATAAAAAAAACAAACAAAAAAAACTAACTTATATTGGATGACATTAAAGGGACACTATAGTCTATAGATACATTTTTATCTTTTCATAGAAAATGCAGTGTTCACAGTGTGAAAATGTGAATAGTGTTCAATATCCCAATGAGTGAAACCAAAACATCAATAATACTCTAGACACCTTATGTGGGTATTCCCTTTATCCCCACAAAAACACAAAGATATACATACAGTATAAGGTGGAGTATATAAATAGGAATTCTTCCAAGTGTAATTTTAAACAGGATAATGTTCTTTAACAATTCCCTTCTTTTTTCAGCCTGCAGAGTAATGCAACCATTTCATTCACAGTTAAAGCTTTTGAATGAGACAGTTGTCTCAAAGAGATCCATGTCCCTGTAACGTGTAGAGGGCAAGGAGACAGTTCAGTTCATGAGAAGCTGCTGTAGTCACTCTGCCAGAGCTTTGGTCCACTCTCTTTCTATTTGCTGCAAAGATGTTTTTTCGAGTCCTTAGAGTCTGACTCCTTCAATGTCAGGTCAGATGGAAGCAGGGGACTCCTTATTCTTTAGCACTTTGTTTGGTGCTGCTCAGCCCAGACCTGCTCTCTCTCTGCAGATCAGATTGTAGTGTTTACATTACTGCCTAGGGACACCTTCAGTGACAGTCACTCAGACAGTCACTAGAGGTGCTTCCTGGGTTCAGTGCACTGTCGTTTGGCTTTACGATGCTCTGCACAGAGACGCTGAACGATCCCCATAGAGATGCATTGATTCAATGCATCGCTGTGAGGAGATGCTGATTGTTGCAGTGTGCCATTTTGCCGTGCATGCATTGTGTTGGGAAAGCATTGTATTGGCTGAGATTGTCAAATTTGTCAGCCTCAGGCAAAGAGGCAATGATGGGCTATAAAAAGCAGAAACTGGCAAATTTGTTAAAATACACTGAACCTAGGTTTAAAACTTGCATGTTAGCATCCATTTTTCTTAACACATTTAAGGAAACATTTCTAAAAATTATATACCTTTTCTTGAAGCAATTTGGAGGAGGCTGCATCTCTGTTCCCTTTTCCCCCAGCCGTGCTAAAATGAGACCATGGTAAAACCGCATTAAACGTTAATGAATCCTCCAAGGCAAAGTCTGGTTTCAAAAAAATCTGGAAAATACAAAAAAGCCAGGCTTGTTATATGAACTATTCACATGTATGCCATGAGAGAGGTCAACCAAGTATAGATATATAGAGCAAAAGACGCATTTTCATAAACTATGCTTCACAGTGATAATAATATAACGTTATACAGCTGGATTGTTTATTTAAAACAATAGAAAGTTGCCACTTTGTAACAGACTGTGACCAAAGATTTAACACAGAACTTTAGGAAAGTTAGATAAAGTTAGAAAAACACACACAATAATTATTATTTTTTTTATTTAAAAAAACGTGTAAATAAGGTGTGTGACATATACATACTTATATATACTGTGACGAGAGCAATCTCGCCACATTGCATTGGAGAAGCCTGGTTGCTCGCCTGCTGCCTTTGGATTATGGTCCCATGTTAAAAGACTTTGTTTCCCCTGCAGAAAAGACTTATTCGTGCTTTTCTGCCCGGTGTTCGGTAGATTCAATCTACCGAACAACCGCACGAATGACTAGACCACCTGGGAGCTGGAGTGTGCCGGCAATTAGCATCCCAGAAGCTGCGGTTAACCGCAGCTTAATTGACGAATACTGGGTGGCCGCCATTCGTATAACGAACACGAGGTCGCGGCCATTTTAAACACGTGAACGCACAGTGGTGTTCGACGCCTAACTCATGGAACTAAAAACGGACATAGTTTGGCGCGAACACCGCTGAAGCCGCCGACCTCCCTTCTTGTTCGGTGAAAGTTCACGAACGGCCCGGTGTTCGGTAGTTGTACCTGACTGCACTATACCCCAGATAGGAATCCCATGGAGCTCATTCATATGAGAACTGACTTTGTAAAGACTTTGGCTCCATGGCGATTAAACTGTATTCATGTGGTCTGAGCGCCATTCATAGAAACATAGAATGTGACGGCAGATAAGAACCATTTGGCCTATCTAGTCTGCCCAGTTTTCTAAATACTTTCATTAGTCCCTAGCCTTATCTTATAGTTAGGATAGCCTTATGCCTATCCCACGCATGCTTAAACTCCTTTACTGTGTTAACCTCTACCACTTCAGCTGGAAGGCTATTCGCTTAATAATGTGGGCTCAGACCTGAGCTACCTGGGGATATGTTAAATGTATAGTTTTACTGTAACTTATGTCATGTAAGGTATTTTAATAGTAATTCTTATTTTAGTATCCCCACGTGCATAATGGCGATTTGCCTTTGTCCTGGGAGATAACTGAATTACTTCTCAATTATCTCCAGGGCAGAGGGGAGGAAGCCAGGGTGCATTTTGGTAATATAATGTGACTGTGTGTCCTGTTTGGCTGATTGTCTGTCTTTTGTCACAGTCTCCCATTTGGTCCTCTAGGGGAGTGTCCACCAGGTGGGAGACCTGCATAAATACTGGGCCCTCATTAAACAGACCACTGCTTGACCCTCAACATGGAGCCTTGTCTGAGTGTAAGCCGCTTGGATGCTTTTCCTATTCGTCTTCTAGCAGCGATTCATATGGCCAGTTCGTGAGTTTGGAGTGTTATATTGTATGCCGTTCGGGAGTTTGGAGCATTCCCTTAACACGCGGTTCATGAGTTTTGCGTTCTACAGTAGCTGCGCTTGCATCTCTGAAAGGGGACGATCGCCTAAACGGTTTTAACCCCTTGTGTGCTGAAACGGTCCGTTACATATACAAACGCTATTTTCATATAATTCACCGAAAAGAACATTAAACACATTAAAAGTGCAAAAGTAGATGTTTCAAGAGCTAAAAGATGATTTTATGATAATTTGCTTTCTACGTGGATGCCACGCTTAGAAGTTTATTGCACCGAATAAGATTATTTGTGGTTGTGCTTTTAAACACAGATTTATTTACATACACTGTACTTCAAATTAGTGCCAACTGATCACCTATTTTGGAGATCTAGATTATGATTCCAAATATAAACTAAATTCAAAGTGATAACAGGTTCACCAGGTAAAGCAATAAACTGATATCTATATTTGAATTTAACTTTAAAAAAAACCCACAAAAAAAACAAGCATTTTAGCCAATATGAATTATGTACTACTGCAACCAGTGGTGATTCAAGATTGTGAATATTGCCAACAGTACTTCTATGTTCCCTTTTAATATGTCTGAAACTACACTGTTGAAAAAAATATATAATATTTATTTAAAAAATGTGAATAAAGCCAAAAGTACAGTTAAAAGATGGCAAAAAATGTTTCTAATGCACAAGGAAAATAACTTCTATTTTAATAATGTTTCTTAGATTTAAGTTTTGACAGATTCTGGGCACTGGGTTACCATGGCAACTGAGATGTGGAACCTGGCAGTTAGAATTTGCCTCACTGTCAGTCATGGGAGATCAAAAGTTCTCCTTAAACATTTCCCAAATGCTGTCTCACTGCTATCTAGCATCCTAACTGATAGACAGTGGCCAGAGAGAAGGGATAAAAAGTCATTCTGCTGCAATGCCTGAATGAAGCTCTCAGAAGTGTAAAGTGAGCCATCTCTGCTATTGCATCAAGCTCCCCAGTAACCTCCCGATCTCTCCCTCCTCTTCACTGACAGAGGTCTGCAGCAGGGGAGAAGAGGGAGAGACATGACAGTATTAGCTGCACATGTATATATGTATGAATCAGCTTGTACCTATGAAAATGTGCAATAGAATATATAGACAGCTAAAAATTTCCACTCGCCACTACCCACTGGGCTTGAAATTGTATGCCGCGATTGTGTGTATATGTGTATTCTTTTTTTTTTTTATTATGGAATTATTAACCTAAAATTCAACTCAAATAGTAGCACTAACCAATGCAGGCATACTACGCATACTACATTTATATAAATGTATAGATGGCTATTTTGCTACTGATCTTATTTGTGTAATAATGAAATGCTGACACATTTAATTTTGAGGAGAATCAAAAGCCTTTTCTGTTAACATGAGCAAAAATGATGCCTAAAAAGAAATATTCAGATTCAAAACCGTAAATACAGTTGAAACTTTTCAGCTCAAGGGATGTAGATTTTAGGATTGAAACAAAGGGTTACTGACATGTAGGTCAGTAAAGTCCTTATACTCACTGCCAAAAGAGGTTGTGTTGCCTGTCAAGATACATTAGAACAAGGGTTTGGGAATCTTTGACATTTCAAATAAAACCCTGGCAATGTGAAGAGAAACATTCCATTTAAGAAAATATTTTATCTCTGGCAGTAATATGTTACTTAATATTTAGATGTATGGATTGTATAGAATGTGGAGACATTTCTACAGATACGTTGTAATCTGTGTTGAGAAGCTCTTCATGCACCAAATCTTGAACAAATTAGCAATCAAAATAGACTTTTCCAGGAAAATGGGTTGTTAGAAAAAAAAAAGATTATTTGGTCCCATGCACAGAAATAGTAAAAGTAAATCACCTTAGGTACTTGTTCCAGATCTCCCCTGGATTTGTGTGCTGGAAAACACAAAAACAAATTTGCTCCATAAGAACACAATTAAAAACAGAGAAATCATACAGATACGAGAGTGAGGCATTAACAATTGGGATGTGTTTACTCGGCACTACAAACCCTTTATTCAAGATATCAGCCAATTTTAATAATATGCTGTTAATTTGCTGGAAGCTCAGTGAGAATTGTGTGAATAATTTATAGAAAGAAACTGAATACTTGGCAATTAGCATTCTGAATTGTCAAATGTATTCTTCGATTAGGTCATTATTTTAACCTTTTCCCCTCTTTCATAAGCACACATTTACGTTTTACTTGTTCCACTTAAACTTTAACATTCCGACAGGAACTCATGCCAAAATGATCCTTATATTCTTCTAATTTCTAAGTATTAGTATGAAGTACTGTATCACTTATTACAGAGCTATATGGAAGACCCAGACATTGTAGCATCTGAAGCATTTTGGGATATTATCAATAAGCACAGCATGATCCCTCAAATATTATTGAAAGGAAGAATGCCCAGGGCCTGACCTGGTAGAATGATTGTATTAATTAGGACATTTTAGATTTGTTCTTCACGCTATAGTTATTAAAAAATATACTAATAATAAAATAGTTGGGTTTTTTTTTTACCTCTCACTGAAATTTTCTGACTAGTCCATTTAAAAAATCATGATATACCAGTAGTTGTATTTTAAGAGAAGTACTTCAGTATGTATCGGTCTCTGCAAACTTATTTTACTGGCTATAATCACACTATAGTAACCCCCCCGAGCACGCTGCATTGACACCAAAAACGGTAAGGACAGGGGAAAGTCAACCAAGAAGAACAGATTACAGCTGGCTGCTCCTGGGATGTCTCAAATATTGTCCCTTTTTTCCCACTCCACCATTGAAACCAGGTGAAAAGATCAGGGTCCCTGTGTCTTCATTACATCAGAACAGAGGGAAGCTCGAGACTGTGCTATTGTCCAGCTTTTATTTATTTTTATTTGGGTTACTGCCTTTACTAGAAACACCTGTTTTTTATTTATTTTTTTATTTGATCATTTTAATGCTCAGACCTGGGGGTTTATTGTCTTTTTCCCTTATCAAAACTTAACTGGCTATGGCAGAGGAAGAATAAAGGAGATTAGGTTATAATACCAAACTCATCTAACCAGGGGTAAAATGGTCTCTCTATTATAATCTGATTAATTGATAATAAAATGTAAAATCTAGTGTCCAGTTAAACTCAAGCTCCCTGAAGCTTAATAAATAGCATGCAATTGGCAGATTTGTTTGGTTACAAATGTGGACCTTAGCGCATTCTATCTACATGGAGAACAGATAACTAGCTTGTCAAACCCTCTGGGCTCAGGTTTCTATCAGATAAACAGTCTGCGCTGATCCACTACTCGCACATTATGCAGCACTGAACGTCCAGATTACTTGATTAGAGGAATAGAATACCTATTTAGATAATTATGTTTTTCCCGTTTCTGAATAAGGGTTTCAATAAAAATAAAAAACAAACAAACAAAAAACAGCTTCAGACATTTTCTTCTCAGTCTTGATAATTAGTACTGTGGACAGTAAAATGCTTAAAGGGGCACTGCAGGCACCCAGACCACTTCAGCCCATGCTATTATAGTAGAGGTTCTGACAGTTCTTTCTCTGCTGAAACAATAATTTTCCCATTATGCCTTACAAAAAAGGACTGATACGCGTGGTTACATTAATAACAATACTTAAATTTATACTGCAGTTACTATAAAAAAAAATATTCTGTTAGCACGCCATACCAAGTGATTGTGTAAAAGCTGTCCTGTCAAAATTGTCTTTAGGAGGGCATATTGTCTTCCATTTCTCGTGGCTTTTTTCTCTCTGAAAGAAAATTAAACTATGTTACTAAAATTATTTCAAAAACAAAGAAAATAGGTTTTTAATTTTTTTCCTAGAGTAAACCCCCAAAAAAAAAACCCCACATATCTGGCTAGTTCCTGGCACCAAACCATGCCTATATATTGTACAACAGAAAAAAATGCAATATAACATCACATATTTCCATTTAGGGGTGCAAAATATAAAGTCATATACAGGGTCAGTGACTGGTAGTATGTTTTATTCTTTCATCTTGAAAAATGTTACTGCTGCAACCTGAAATATATAATTGTTTAAATGGACAGTCTAAACACCAAAACAACTTTCTTTAAGGATGTTGTTTTGGTGTATAGATCATGCTCCTGAGGTCTCACTGCTCAGTTTCCAACCAGTTAGCAGTTGAATCACTTTATTAATGTAGCCCTAGTCACCGCTTCCCTGACTGTGACTTACAACTCCCTACACACTTCCTGTTAGCTCTGATTGAAAATTAAACACTTTTTTCATTGTGGCTTTGTTAGTCACAGCAAAGGGCTGCGTAAACAGAAACAAAAGTGACTTAACTCCTAAATGGCAGAAAATATTGAGAAGGGGCATGAGATATACACCAAAACTGCTTCATTAGGGTAAAGTTGTTTTGGTATCCATTTAATATCACATGCTTGGGATAACGTCAGGCTTGGCTGAAAAACCTCAGTCACTTCCTGGTCACAGTAACATTACAAGCTAGGTTGAAACATAAGACCATTAAGTCCACTAAATGAACACACCAAGGTTAATTTAAAGGATCACTATAGGGTCAGGAACACAAACATGTATTCCTGACCTATAGTGTTAACACCACCATCTAACCCTCCTGGGCCCCTCATGCCTCCATAAATATAGCAAAATATTACTGTATTCAAGCCAGAAGCTGTAGATCTGCATGCTGTTTGCCTTAAAAAAAAAAACATGCAGTCTGCAGACATCATCAGAGGTGGTGACCTGATCCAATCACAAAGCTTCCCCATAGGATTGGCTGAGACTGACAAAGAGGCAGATCGGGGCAGAGCCAGCATGATTCAAACACAGCCCTGGCCAATCAGCATCTCCTCATAGAGATGAATTGAATCAATGAAGCTTTATGAGGAAAGTTCAGTGTCTGCATGCAGAGGGAGGAGATACTGAATGTTTGGATGCAATTTAGGCAGCCACGAGAAGTGGCCAGTGAAGTTATCACTAGACTGTAATGTAAACACTGCTTTTTCTCTGAAAAGACAGTGTTTACATCAAAAAGCCTGAAGGTAATGATCCTACACACCAGAACAAATTCAATAAGCTGTAGTTGTTCTGGTGACTATAGTGTCCCTTTAAACACAGTCCCATTCTACATAAGAGCAGCTCACCAGTGCAATTTGCTCCTTATACAGTGAAAAGTGATCCTTTGTAATGGGCAAGAGGTAGGGGGAGGGCATGACTTCTGTTTCTACGAAGTCTTGGCCCCAAGTCTTAGTGAAGAAGTCAGACTCCCTCTTTGCTAACCGAGGGTCATTTAATGCTGCGGGGAGGTTAACTTTGGAATGGTAAATTGTCCACTTGTGCTGATCAGCAACTACAGACGGTTCGTCACACAAACTGTTAGAATCACCTACAGAGGAGGAAATACACAGGTTAATATTCTGTATAAAGAAAGCAACACAATCTTGTCAAATTCAGACTTACTTAAACAAATACCACAACAATATTAGCCAACGTTTAATCTACATTTATTTATGCACATGAAAGCACCCTGAAATAGAAAAACAGCATAGTCTGACACTTGATTAAAGTCTGTGTCATAAGACAGCAGTGAAAGCAGGAAGTATGGAACATGGCAGAACTAAAGAATTTAGGACATGAGAAATATTTTTTATGACCTACACTCCCTATAAGTGACATACATCATGCAAACATTATAAAAAATAAATGCCGCAGTAAGGTATTTATTGCAACATAAAAAAAAAAATGTGAACAAAAACCATTTGTTACAGAATGTTTCACTATACTATATTGTTCCCAAAGATAGGATTGTAATACTAGACAAAAACAACAACAGGAAAATTATAAAAGTCTACGTTGCTGTTTGTCTTTACAGTAATGTTTCTTTGCATAATTACCCATTGGCTCCTTGGGACAAACATCAGGGAGTGATCTCACCAATCCAACTTGCTGAGCAGTTTCAAGACCTTTTTTATAGAAAGCTTTGCTGTTGTTGGAGTGAGGCACTGGTGAAGAACTGTGGCTGGAAGCCATTGCATACATCAAGGGAAGCTGTGTAAATGACAAAAGAAGGGATATTTATTAATGTATATATGCACATAAAATCTGACTTCTTGAACTTGATTGACATTATTTCTAAAGATGTATTTATATTATAAGCATCTTAGAAATATATATAATAAATACATATATATCACATATGTTTAAAAAAGTACCACCTCTGAATATTTCAAAATGTAATGCTTGATAAGAAACTGCTGATGAAATATAACATAAAACTGAGAATATATCTGTACACAATGCAGAATGGCTGTATACACATAAGAACTTGCAGTAAAGTCAACACAAAACTAAATGAAATGTTACACCAAGAACTAAATTATTCATATGGCGAAGCTTTTCTGATGGATATCTTTTAATAACGTATGGTTTATTTAGTGATACTACAATAACAATCAAATGGAAAGCATGTCAATCCTTGCATACAATAAAAATAAAAATAAAAAAAGAATCATATGGAAGTTAACTACAGTATATACTCGTCTATAAGTCGAGTGCAGTTTTGACCAACAATTGTGAAATATACTATGACTCGTGGATAAGTTGAGGGTACGAGTTCCCTTATTTGTACCTTGTTTCGTCTGATATCCCCCTGTATTCAAATGTAATTGTTCCCCTTCTGTTCGGTTACCGAACAGACTCTGTGTGGTCCCCCTTGTAACACCCCATAATCACTGACCACTCCTGGCTGTTAACCACAAACAAGCATTCACTTGGCCATCTTGTCTCCCGAACGCAAGCAGCGTTGGTCATCGACGGCATGGATCTCTGAGTCGGCTACGCAAGCCCGCGAACCCCACTGAAACTTGTACCCCTGCCCGTTCGACTTCCCTACCAGCTAGGAGAACGGCGTTCGGGAGTCGACATTGCCCTGCATTCAATGTACAAAATTCTATCGAAACTAGCACTGACCTGTGGATAATTCGACTCTGCATTAAAATGAAGTTTACGACTAAAATTTCTCGACTTATACGCAGTATATACTGTACATCTCAAGCGTGAGCTGCAACAAGTCATTTTTTTACCATAATGAAAACAGATTAATTGCCCTTGTACCAATATATTGTTTAAATCAGAAATGCAAGGCTATTCCCAAAACTAAATATGGACTGCCTTTCAACAGTAACCGCTTATAGATATCCTTCATTATCTTTGAACATCTTAAAATGGCTCATTAGCATGTTGTAAATAAAAGTAGTAAAGTACCTCTAGGCTCAAAACCATTTGGCTATGGCTCAAAACCATTTCAAACTATTTGTCATTCTGAGTATGGGTACATCCACTATGCCCACAAAGAGGTTAAAAAGATTTGAACAGTAAGTGGACTCATAATTTAACAAAACTGCTGCAAATATTCTAAAATTGCAATTCTTCACTAGCTGATGGAGTGCACACAGTCCATTTGTGCCAGTGTTAGGAAAGGTCAAACAGCACAATAGTAAAGTGTTTGAGACAGCAGTCCTTTGTGACCTACAAAAGATTTAGCAAATATTGTAACTATGAAAACACCCATACAACAAATGGATTTTCATGTGTCACAGAACTGTACTGAACCAGGCTTTCAAAGTGCAGGCTGTGCCATTTTTAATGTTAATAGAAAGTTTCTTGTTAAAATGTACTTCTCATAAATATAAATACCTGGTATCGAGAAGAGGACTTTTTAAATCTATACAATTGTCTTCCCAAATCATTAAAAAACGATCGTTAGTTTTAAGTACAATACAGCTGTCCAGTGAACACAATGGATACAAACTATAAAAAAATAAATAAATGGTATCCAAGGATGACTGCTGATGCTCTATACCCAAGTGACATTGCAACATTCCACAACACGCATATTGGGAATAAGGAGTACTACGTGCATTATTTTGCCGAAAGACGAATGTACACACAGCCACCTCATTTACCTCTAGCACAAATCTTTCATATAGAGGAAGAGATCTTCAGTTAAATGGATTCTCCACTCATAAATTCAAGTCTTTATGGGGCTTGATTCTCTGTGTACCATCTTATCATAATTCAAAAGGTTTCATTCCAAAGCTGTGTCCTTGGGTACCCATTCTCACTGCAGCTATTGCAGTGATCAGGGAGGATGAGCTTGGGTTCCAGTGCGCCTTTTTACCCAGCCCTGACTTTCTGTGGCTGTCAAGTCACAGACTTCCCAATGCAGCTCAATGGGAAGTCTTTGCAAGGAAGGTGATTTGGGCAATTTCTGCTTCTTGAGTTAAGCACCACTGAGCTAATCAAACCAGGAATGAACAGGACCCGTTGCTTGATTCACTGCCAGGGTGATGCAAAAAGCTTAAAATTTGAACTTTTTCTAAAATGGAGTGGGGTGGGAGTACACACACTTCACACATAAAGGTCCATTTAAAGAAAGGTATTAAAGGAACACTATAGTGTCAGGAATACAAATGTGTATTCCTGACACTATAGGTCTAAATAACAATTTAATAATAATAATAAATTCACCCGCAATCTAGAGACGAGCCAGCCTCCTCTAGGCAGCTGCTTAGTCTATGGTGAGATCATGCTGACAGATGATCTAGGAAGAATCCAATGCTCAGCAGTCTCCAGTCTCAGTCAATTGGATGCTTCCACTAGAAAAGCACTCAAAATCATGTGAGAAGAATTGGACACATTCTGTGTCAACATGCATTCTGTAATGACTCAGAATGAGAAGAATTGTGCATGTCTTCAATGAGGAAGTGCCTCTAGACTGACAGAGTTCCAGTCTAATAGCGATTAGAGGAATATTTATGGGCAAATAAAAATAATTGCCATTACTCTAAAATGTTCATGTTTTACATTACTTGCACAATAGTTATACTGAAATCAGAACTGACTTTATTTTTTTATATTCAGCTATTTTGGACTACATTTTGAAATTCACTCGGAATTCCTGGAAATTCTCACATTGGCAAATAACAATGTGACTAACAATACCAGTACAAGGGCCTGTGTTGCTAGGGGTATCTGCTTGCCATCCCCTGGTTTTATGTTGTTGTTTGGGAGAGGATTTAACAAAAACCTTTCTGTGCGATGTGATAGCACAGATACTGATAATGTGGATGTGTAAATTCTGCATTAACAACGTGGCTGAGGAGAGGCAGTCTACAAGTGCCAGGTAAAACCATGATGTTTGTAAAACGGGTCATAAATTGCGCCCACAGATTCAAGGCAACATATTCTGACTAGATTGTCCCTTTTATTATAGTTTGTACTGGCCTAGTGATATTCGTTTCCCCCACCATATCCATCTTTCTTTTCAAGATTACTCTTAAAAGGTTAGCTATCAATCAATACTAGAATGTAGGTGGAAGAAGCATAATGTACAATAAACACAAAGTAGATGACATAGCACTATCGTCACAATATTTTAGTAGGTCTCATAACAAAAAACTATTGCAAATCCACCAAGGCAATTTCTTTTACTGGAACTACTGCAACAGATCATCTGCATGTTAGCTGTATGGGTGACATATGTATACTCCATAAAGATTCCTACGATAGAAGGTATACAAAAAGAGGTTTATAAATAAAGAAAATCAGCAAGTAGTCTACAGGGAAATCTTGCAAAAAACAAAACAAAAAGCACAATGCAATGATGATTACATATTCCAGTACCATTAAGTATGCCTTGAGATTACATAATCGGTGCTTACACAAAGGGATTCTTTATTACATGACTGGCTATGATTGAAATATAAAATACAAACAAGAATCTGAATTAAGAAAATAAAATAAATTATGTGCATTGCACACTAGCTTCTCATGTCTTGTGCAGAGAAAACAGTGCAAACACAAAGGGGGTTTCTTCTGTGGTTGAAACATTTTAAATTTTGCAATTTGGTTTGATATACTACAATTTTATGGTTTTATTTTTTTAAATACAGTTGTGATTAGTGATCTACCTGGAGATGACAGTTAAGGAAACGCAGGCCTAATTGTTGATTGAATGTCCATAATGCTTAGTAGGTTTAATGAGGTATGTTGGGGAAAAACCAGACAGGTGTAACTCTACATTTATTTGCTGTGGAAAAATATTCTGCAGAAAAGTGAAAATGTCGTTAGATTTTATTTTACCAATACTGACCCATTAACATTTTTCTTCAGTAATATATTTCATATAATAAGAGTTGGAAAGCACACGCTGAAACAGTAAAGTAAATACGGATAAGGCAGAGCGGTGTAGGTAGCTTTCAGAGCTGAGCAAACAAGCTGCATAACTAGATTCTGTACTCTGAAAGCCAACGTGTCAAACGAACAAGACACTAACACAAAATAAACTACACGCCAGCACACGAGGTATACAGCATTCACTGCACCAGGGATTTAGCACCAAGATACCTCATGTAGCTTGTTATTATACTGTACCTAAAACTGCAGACTGCATGATTTTGTAGTTTTCTCCAGCATTTTCATTGTTAACAGCAACAAGTATTTTATGAGTCTGAAAAGCCATTGAAGGCATGGAAGTGCAGAAAATGACAGAATCTTGCCAACTTCCCAATATAAATGTCTCTATTCAATGAAATTTTCAGCTTGCAAACCCACTGAGCTAAATGGCAGAAATCGCGATCACTTATAAGGACATAAAGTACATAATACTGTCTGAAAGGGACATGCTAGGATTAAGCTGACCCATCCTTTTTAATACATTATACAGAAATGAGAAACAAACAAAAAAAAGCATTAAAAGGTTAATCCAGCCTACATGACCACTTCTGCTTTTAGAAGAGGTCATGGTGCAAGCAATCTGTAGGTGCACAGATTCATCTTAAATACTACAAATACAGAGATGTCGGCACTTTTGTGTCAGGGGCTTGTTGCACCCCGGAATTCTGGTGCAAGACGAAATATACCCTTGCAGACAGAGCTGTAAGTGCACCTAAAAGGGGAAGCTGCTATGTTGGTCCCCTCCATTACTCCTGTGATCCCTCTGCACCCTCCCTGTCTCCCCACATTCATTCTACATTTGTCAGTTTCTTTATTTGTACATTTAAAGTCCACCCCACACTCCCTCACCTTCTTGGCTCATAGCATGCACATGTCCTCTTAGTCTTGAGATCAGACCAATCAAATGCTTCTCTATGAGAAGCATCTCACTGGACCTCAGCAGGGGAAAAAGTGATTAAGTATGACGACAGGCTGGGTGTGGAAACAAGAGAGGGGAACAACATCCAGCACTGGGTTTAAGGTAAGTTTATTCTTATTTTTCTCATTTGTCTTTTTATTGGTACAAGCATATTATCAGACTTTGTGCATCGCAGTGCACTCTGGCATTCACACCCCGCACAGTCGCAGCTGTGTAACCATTTGCCCCACATGGCATCGCTCTAATATCTACTGTTTGTACATTTGATTATGCTTTTGAAGCCTATGATGCTTCCCAAGTAGGTTCACTCTCTATGGAACTCTTTGTTCGGGTGCACTGTGTTCTGTGATTTGCCTAGTGTCTTTGTGTGTTGGTGCGGTACACATGACATTTACTGCTTTTGATGCACGTCCAACAAGCTTTACCTATTCTTCCATTTTATAACAAAACTTGGGTTGGGGGGGGATACAGAAAGGAAGAAGGGAGGGGGGGAGGGGGGGTACCCTAGACAGCATTTTATACATGTGGTGATTTAGTCCTATGCATCCATTTGTATTTTGGCCTTGCTCCCATCTGGACCTTGTTCTATGTGAGTGTAGGCATCGCCTTTTCACGGTTCCCGTTCTACCTCCTAACTTTCCGCTGGCCAGCAACTCCATTCTCTGTCGTATCTCATACTGCTACCATTTACCCTATTTGCCATTTTTTCATATACGCTAATCATATCCATTCTATTTGTTATAGCCTCTACTACTGGTAGTTTGTTGCTCTTCCAATTGCTGGCTAGCAGTATTTTTGCTACCGTTAGAATGTTTACCACTACTTTCCTATGGTGGTGAGTTGCTATGCTGGGTATTATGTGGAGTATATAGTGTTCCGGCTTCTTGGGGAGATTGATTCCCGTCCTGCTTAGTAGAAGCAGGTGAACCGCCTCCCAGTACTCTGTCAGTGAGGGGCATGTCCAAAAAATATGGATCATTGTTCCCTCTCCTATGTTGCACCTCCAACACTTCCCGGACGTACCCGGGTACATACTTGCTAGTCTCTGTGGTACCAAGTACCACCTCATTAGCACTTTGCAATACGCTTCCCAGAGTGTAAGGCTTTGCGATGCTTTTTTCGTGATTTCCAAAGCCGTTAGCCACTCTGTTTTGGGAATTTGGAGTCCCAGGTCCCTCTCCCACAGATTCATGTATGTGGTTTTATGATTTTCGGGGGCTGCCGAATTGATTAGTGCGTTGTAACATGCTGAGAGCGGTTTGATTTGTTTGTGGAGAAGTGCCTGTTTGAGCGTTATGTGGGGTTTGAGGGAATGAGTAGTGCATAGTTGCATGTGCGAGTGCACTATGTGTTTTATTCGGAGGTATTTGAAAATATCCCTTGCTGGTAGCTGTAGTTCCCTTTGCAGGGTGGGGAATTGCTTAATCTTTCCTCCCTCTAGTATGTCCTGGACCCGAAGTTCACCCCTCCCTTTCCACCGGCCCATCGGCAAGTCTGGGGATAGTACTTCTAGTGTTTCCAAGGGTGCTGCTAAAAAGAGCTCTGTGGAGTTCACTATACAGGAGCTCCAGTTGTTCCATGCCCTTAAAAGAAACCGTGAGCTCTGCAATTGTTTCCCCCCTACATCTTGGTAATGTCCCCCTGCCCATAGGTTTCTTGACAAATCGCGGGTTGCCAGACAGGCACTTTCCATTTCTAGCCATACTGGTTTACAGGTGGCAGACGCTGAGCGTAATAGCCTGAGTCCCTGCGCTAAAACGGTTGCCTTATAGTAAGCCTTGATGTCCGGCATACCCAGCCCCCCACTGGTGCCTGGAAGCCCCAGCACGCTCTTTGCCACTCTCGGGGGCTTCCGTTTCCATACATGTGCATTTATTGTGCTTTGAAAGAGTTTTAACAGTTTGGCGGGGAGGGCAATGGGCAAGGTTCTAAACAGGTATAGTATGTGTGGCAACACCATCATCTTAATAAGGTTTATGCGGCCTAACCAGGACACTTCTAGACCTTCCCATTTTTCTAGCATAGTTCTTATCTTTTGTATAACCGGGTAGTGGTTTTCCCGTATGGTGGTCTGAGAGGACTTTGTGAGGTTAATCCCCAGGTATTTTAAAGAGGTTTTACGCCAGTCAAATGTGTGTCGTGATTGTAACGTCTTGACAGTAGTGCTCGGTAGGTTTATAGGCAATGCTTGCGTCTTCGTCGTGTTGTTCCTATAGTAAGATACCCGTCCATATGTGTCGAGCCTGTGTATGAGTTGTGGTAGTGAGGATTCTGGACGCGTTAGGAATACTAAAACATCGTCCGCGAAAAGTGCCAGTTTTTTTACACCGCCTGGGGTGTGGAGTCCCTGTACTATTGGGTCGCGGTTTACTAGTCGAATTAGAGGTTCTAGGCTTAGTATAAATATAAGGGGCGAGAGGGGGCATCCCTGTCGGGTACCATTTCTTATCTCTATTTGATCAGATATAAAGCCCGTGCTAAACACTCTGGCCGTCGGATTTCGATATAATGCAAGAATACTCGATAGTACTTTTGAGGAGAATCCCATTCTGAGGAGCGTCTGCGACATATATTCCCAGTGTAGGCAATCAAAGGCCTTTTCGGCATCCAGTGCCAAGATTAGGCCAGTCTGGGACGATAAATTTGCCCAATCTATCAGATTTAGAAAGTGCCTGGTGTTGTCTCCCACCTGTCTCCCTGGGACAAATCCCGCCTGTTCCTCCGAGATGAGATCTGGGAGTATTTTCTTAAGTCTAGTTGCTATCAGTTTAGCGTAGAGTTTGGTGTCTGCGTTTAGCAGGGAAATTGGGCGTAAATTAGCGCAGATTGTGGGGGGTTTGTTTGGTTTGGGCAGAGTCACAATGAAAGCTTCTAGCATTTCTTTGGGCATTTCCCCTGAGTCTTTAATTGCGTTATATAGTTTGGTGAGAGGTGCGATCAGATGCGGCGACAATTTTATATAGTAATAATTTGATAAGCCGTCTGGGCCCGGGGCTTTATGCTTAGGTAGGGACTTAATGGCCTCTTCAATTTCCTGTTCTGAGAAGGGTGCCTCCAGTGCGGAGCATTGCTCTCGGGAGAGGCTCGGTAAGTCTATCAGCTCTAGAAAACATGTGATTTCCTGTTTAGTCGGCTGGTGAATGCCTCGATCCCTGTCTAACTGGTAAAGGGACGCATAGTACCGAGCTAACTCGTTGACTATGTCCTGGGGGTTATATAGTTTTGCTCCCTGCTCTGAGGTGATATAGGGTATTTTCGACTGCAATTTGGTTTGACGGACTCGTTGGGCTAGTAATTTTCCTGCCTTGTTGCCCATGGTATAATATGTCTGTTTGAGAATCCGCATCCTTTTTTCAGTTTCCACTAAGTGAAGAGAGTTTAGTTGTGTTTTGAGCTTTGTCAGTGTGCCGTGCGTACGTTTGGTGGGTTTATGTTTATGTGCCTCTTCATGTGTGATTATTTCTTGTTCAAGGCGTGATCTTTCATTGTTATATTGCTTTTTTACTCTCGCCCCCATCTGGATAAAATCTCCCCTTATGACTGCCTTATGAGCTAGCCATTTGGTGATAATTGTTGTCTGGCAGGTCGCATGGGTCTCGAAGTATTCCTGCGTTTTGGCCTGTATTTGACGGAGATTCCCCGGTGTGTCCAAAAGGCCTTCGTTGAGGCGCCATGTGCCTCGACCCCTAGCTGGGTAAGGTGTTTTTAAAGTTATAATTTGTGGAGCGTGGTCAGACCACGTGATTGAGCCTATTTGTACGCTCTTTGCAAAGGGTAACATTCTTGTGTCTAAGAGGCATAAGTCTATTCTAGTGTAGGTCATATGTACATGGGAGTAGAACGTGTAATCCCTCTCACATGGATACAGAGCCCTCCACGTGTCATAGTAGTCATGCTCATGCATAAGGGTACTGAGCCGTTGTCCTAAGGCCATAGAGGCTGGCTTTGGTGATTCATTGTTTATTCTGCTGATATCTAGGGATGGGTCTGGGGAGCAATTAAAGTCCCCGCATATGATGGTGTGTCCTTGTTTGTGTTGTGCAATTGTGCGGAACGCCCTGTTTAGAAATCGTTTCTGCGCTTCATTCGGGGCATATAGTGAGACTATTGTTATTTGTAGTCCGTTCAGGGAACCTACCAAAACCAGCAGCCTCAGTTTATTCTTATTTAACAGGTTCTTGCAATAAAAAAAAAAGGGGGGTTGGAAATTTATAGTGCTCACCAGGGCATTATAAATGGAAAAAACTTATAGCGAAAAAGGGATATTGGGACCTTTTAAAGTATTATCCTCTGCACCAAAATAGCTCTGCGCAATTGAAAAAAAATGGCCATGGAGTAGTGTGCACCCACTATGCCTGCAAAGAGCAGCCCCCCTGCTCTCAACCTACCATTGCTGCCCTAAAGTTAGAGGGGCTAATGAGGATTTCCACTTGCACATTAGCTGAGCTGAAGCGGAGGGGTCAGGTTTAGAAGTGGAATAGTCCTAATTGATTAATTAACACTTTGGATTTAAAATGTAGGTGTCTAGAAATAAGCATTAATCAATATAGCCCACCATAATTTCTAGCAAGGTAAAAAAAAATGTATTCCGATTTCTTTCGGACATTATCAATGCTGCATTGTAAAGCACTTTAAAATTGTATAAAGCATATTTTGAAAAATAAGATGATTTGTAAAAAAAAAAAAAATATTAATGTCTCCATTCTGAAGCCATAATGCTTAATCCAATTAATAGCTACTTTCATATAATATATATATACATATTATATATATATATATATATATATATATCATCAGTAATATGAAATGCCCACACTGGAGGCAAGAGTTGAGAAGTATGTGAGCACTGAGCTGAGAAAATCCACTTTTTTTTTTTATAACAGATGGGCTCGATACAGATGATCCTCACTTACCGACTGGGTTGTAAAAATAATTGGTATTTAAGTGAGGATGCACTAGAGAGCAGATGTATGTTTGGGGGAATTCCCCCGAATATAGACAAGCTCACTAGTGCAGGCAATCTCTTGAATCTATGTTCCGAGAAATTCCCCGAACATAGACCAGCTCTTTAACGTGAGAGTTGGAATACCCGTGCAAGAGAGCTGGTCGTAAGTCAGAGCCGTCGATTTGTAGGTAAGTTGCAAAGTGAGGACTACCTGAATAACCCACCTCCTAGTGATGGCAGCCATTAAAAAGTGCTGTTTCCATAATAGCTAGGGTTAGCTATTACTGAACTAAGAGATTATGGATACATAATAAGCATTATCATCATGACAAACCTAAATCCTAAATATACTGAACAAAAGTAGTAAAGATGTTAAGGGTAAGTGAAATCTTATCAAAAAGGCTTTCATGTAACCGAACAACGGCAAGCCTTCAAGCATTAAGGAGTAGTGTTACGTTTACGTCAATTCACCAATGTAATCCTATAGTCTGAAATATTTAAATATTTATATTTAACAATCCGAAACTCCAGGCACATTTAAGTGCCTAATAATAATGTAACAGGTTTAGCGCAAATGCTGAACATAGTTTTCTGAAATTAAGTTCTTTGAATGCCTCTGAAAAAAGATAGTTTGTTCAAAAAGAAAAGCGAGAAGAAAAAAAAAAAAAAAAAGTACTTTGTGTTTAAACCTTTCAAACAGTAAAGTATAACACTAAGGTGTACCACAGGGCTTGACAAATTTGCTTTCAATCTAGGAGCCAGCTTTTTTCCATCGACAAAAATACAATTCCTAAAGGGACACTATACTCGCCAGAATTACTACAGCTTAATGTAGTTGTCTGGTGTCTATAGATTGTCCCTGCATGCTTTTCAAAGTAAACTCTGCCTTTTCAGAGAAAAGGCAGTGTTTACATTGCTGCCTAGTAAGACCTCTAGTGGCAGTCACGCAAACGGCCACTAAAGTGTCTCCTACCTACATTCAGCGTCTTCACGCTCTGCATGGGGACACTGAACGTTTCCCATAGAGATGCAATGATTTATTGCATCTCTATGAGGAGATGCTGATTGGTAGTTGATAATCTTAGCTATAGAGGTTGGCCAGTTGCAGGGAGACCGGCATAGCGTTGGAAAAAAAGGGAGCCAGAACACCATTCCCATGCAATCAGATGGGGCTGGTGACTTAAACGCACACATACCAGACAGATAGACACACACCCACCCAGACAGAAATACATACACTGACAGACACACACTCTGACACAGTCACAGGCAGACACATACACGCTGACACACACACTCTCACACAGCCACAAAGTATTTGATACACTCAAATGAATACACACAGACAAACAGGCATAAGAGATATACACACGCAAATAAAAAAAAATTACATATTTTTAGCCACCCTCCTGTTTCCTACCTTTTGGCCTCCGGGGGGTGGCTTCCCTGGGGTCCACTGGGACTGGGCAGGAGCAAATGGCAATAGGCTAGTGGGGGCTGGCTGCGGCTGATGTGAGCAGCTGCCGCTGTTCCAGACTCCCACTCCTCCTGTCCCCTAAGCCCCGTGAGAATCCCTGCGCGCCGGAAGGAAGTGAAGGGAACTGTAATTACTTCCTCCCGGTGCGCAGGGGTAAGGGCGGGCAGCTGGTTCTGCTTAAAGGGGCAGGCTGGAGGGCCGGCTCTGTAGGACACGAGAGGCCGGGCCAACTCTGTGGAATGGGTGCGGGCATACCAGCTTTGCGCAATGTGGGTGGGCGGCAAGTTGGCAGTCTTTAAATGCTGCCCTATGCGGGAGGAGGGGTGAATGGGCCGACCAATTCCAGGCTCCAGGGCAAAATTCTTAGTCGCCACGGCAACCTGGCGACTGGGATTTGTCGAGCCCTGGTGTACCTTATTATTATTATTATTATTACTACTACTACTACTGGTGGTTATACAGCGCCAGCATATTCTGTAGCACTTTACAATATTATCAAAGGGGGAGATTTAACAATAAATGAGACAATTACAAAAAACTTACAGGAACTATAGGTTGAAGAGGGCCCTGCTCAAACAAGCTTACAGTCTATAGGTATGACAAGACCTACTTATAATAAATAAATACATTTTAAAAAAAAAAACATCAAAAGACCACAAATTTGCATGTGTTATAGTGGAATAATGTGTAGATTTTCCTACATACTGATACTACCAAAGCTGGAACTCCACTCACAAAAAGTATGACATCAAAGAGAAATCTTTAAAAGGTTTCCAGAACTACAGGTTTCCAAATAAACCACAAAGAAGCCTTTTTTGGAAAGAGGACTGCACACAGTTTTTCATTCATTGCAAATAGAAGCTTCTAGCTTTCAAGGAACACCATAGTGTTAAGGATACAAAGCTGTATTTATAACACTAGTTTCCCTCTCCCTCTGCTGCCCCCACCCCCAGTGGATAAATGGTTAAATAACCCTTTAACCCCTTAGTGACAAGAGTGCTTTTCAGGGCTGTTTTTATAATTCTGGTATTTGTGTTTAGCTGAAATTTTCCTCTTACTCATTTACTGTACCCACACATATTATAGACAGTTTTTCTTGCCATTAAATTGTCTTTTTAAAGATACAATTATTTTCATCATATCATATAATTTACTATAAACAAAATTATAAAATATGATGAAAAAAATGTAAAACAAATAAATTTAAAAAAAACACACCTTTTCTAACTTTGACCCCCCAAATCTGTTACGCATCTACAACCCCCAAAAAACACCTGTGCTAAATAGTTTATAAATTTTTTCCTGAGTTTAGAAATACCCAATGTTAACACGTTCTTAGCTTTTTTTTTTTTTTTTTTGCAAGTTATAGGGCAATAAGTACAAGTAGCACTTTGCTATTTCCAAACCATTTTTTTCTCAAAATTAACGCAAGTTACATTGTAACACTGATATCTGTCAGGAATCCCTGAATAACCCTTCATATGTATATATCTTTTAAAAGAAGACAACCTATGGTATTAAACTTGGGGTATTTTCACTCTTTTCATGCAACCATTTTACCACCATTCTATGCCAAATTTTAAAATAAAATTTAATAAGTGGTGATTTTTTTTGACACACGTAGCAGTTTAAGAATACATGTAAAGAGAACTTTAAGGGTAACTGCCAAAGAACACCCCAATATTTGTTCAGCAACATCTCCCGAGTACAGTGATACCACCCATGAATAGGTGTGTCGGGTTTCTATGGGGGCTAAAAGACCTTATTTGGAGGGTACGCATTCCAGTTTTCCAACTTGGAATTTTCACAGCTGGTCATCATGCACCCATGTCCTAGTTTGGACATTTTTGAAGCTGGCCAATGTAATTTATCCCCATCAAACCATAAATATATTTTTAAAGTAGACAACCCACGGTTTTCAAAATGGGGTATGTCCACTCTTTTTTAGTAGCCACTTAGTCACAAACCCTGGCCAAAATTAGTGTTTATATTTGTTTTTTTGCATTTTTCACACAAACCGCCATTTCACCAATGATATTATCAGTATAATACATTCTACTGCTCTATAACACTCATATTTGTGTAGAGTAATGTCCCACAAGTACAACAGTACCCCTTAAGTATAGGTTTTATTGTGATTTACAGTTACAGGGTCTAACATAAGATTTGACAATTTCTGTTTTTGTAAATTGCTATTTGCCAGATTGACTATGTTGCCTTTGAGACGGTATGGCAGCCCATAAATGAAAATAAATCCCCACCATGACATACCATTTGAAAAAGTAGACAGCCCAGGGTATTCGAAATGGGGTATTGTCCAGTCTTTTGTAGTAGCCACTTAGTCACAAACACTGACCAAATTTAACATTTATATTAGTTTGTGTGTGAAATATGCAAAAAACGAATATGAACGCTAACTTTGGCCAGTGTTTGTGACTAAGTGGCTACTAGAAAAAAACTGGACATACCGTATTTGCAACACCTTGGGTTGTCTACTTTTGCAAATTGTATGCCAACATGGGGGTAATTCTTATTCTTAGGCTACCATATGGTCTCAAAGGCAACTTAACCAATTTGGCAAATTTCAATGAAATGGGCAAGCCTTATATTTGACCCTGTAACTTTCAAAAACACTATAAAACCAGTACATGGGGGGTACGGTTATACTCTGGAGACTTCGCTGAACACAAATATGAGTTTTTTCAAAACAGTAAAACGTATCACAACAATGATATCGTCAGTGAAAGAACAGTTTTTGTTTTAAAAAATTAAAATAAACAAAAACGCTTACTTTGGCCTGCATTCGTGACTAAGTGGCTACTACAAAAGACTGGACATATCCCATTTTGTTGTCTAAATTTGCAAACGGTATGCCATGATGGGGTTAATTCACATTCCTGGACTACCATAAGGCATTGTTTTTTTTATTTTTTAGATTCACATTTTTATTTAATACAATATATAAGGGCATACCTGACATGCAGCTCCTGGCAAATACACTTATTTGGAGCTAAAGACCGGACATAAAATGATAAGGGCAATAAGGAGATTTACTTAAAAAGGGACACTTTAAGCACCCAGACCACTTCAGCTCATTGAAGTGGTCTGGGTGCAGTGTCCCTGTTGCATGTAGTGCTGCAATGTTTACATGTGCCACTGGAGGCGCTTCCTGGATTGAAATGGATCTTTGGTCCAGTAACTGAAGTTGGACGTCCTCACGCTCTGCATGAGGACATCCAGCGTCAGATTTTTCCCCGTAGGAAAGCACTGATTTAATCTTTTTCTTATGGGGACGTGTAATGCGCATTAGCACCTGCTCGCTGCAAGACGGAAGAGGAGGCAGAGCCGCGCCCCTGTGCTGAGGGACAATGGCTCAGGTGGGTTAAAAATAAGTGGCACTAGTGACAGTTTAGGTGTTGAAATTATGGGCCCTACCTAGAACTATTTGTGCAGAAAAAAGTACTCTCCTTACAAGAATACACATATACAGCCGTTTCGTTTGGATTTACAGAGTACTCTATGTAGTCTCTCCATCCGTTAACTACTTGTCAATTCCTTCCCAATATCCCTTGCCCCTTCCTCACCAAATTTTATTATGACGCTTCCTCCCATTTGCATATGTTTAACATATCACATGCCCGGTGCCTAGTGCAGTGTTATGGTATGGATCAGCACAGCTCTCTAACTGTTTATGCTGTAATCAGACAAAGTCTGGATATAGTATTATACCAGTGTCCTGTATTACTATACTAAAAGTCAAAAGAAACTGAACTTGTAAGTAGATGAGACACAGATCAAGGCAGATGTGCTTATTACCTCCAACAGGGATGCTCGTCTTAAAGCTTCCAGGAACACTAAAGCCACGAGCAGTTTGACTTCCACCATACAACGTTATAAGTGATTTACTCTGAAGTTAAAATTAAACTACTGATTATTTTGGAGAACCTAAAATCTACACTATACAATCAATCGATATTCAGAATATTCTGTTTTATGCAGATGTCCTTATTTTTCTCATAATTTTCATTATCCTGACAAACTCTATCAACTTGGAGAGAACATTACTCAACAGGTCTAACCATTGGAAGAGATAACAAGTTGCTTTTTGGGTTCAAACAACTTATCCCATAACAATCCTGCTGGACAGGAGATTAAAGGATTATTCACTAAAGTTCAAATGCACCCATACCAAATTGGACAAAATCACTTGGCTGCCTAGAGGGAAATCAGACTGCAAAAAAATAATACATTGATTTTAATAATTAACAATGTTCAGATTTTGTTTACTTTAAATGACATCTATATACATTTGAATATATATATATATATATATATATATATATATATATATATATATAAAAATAAATAAAATCAATAAAATTCACAGTGCAATAAATCCCGATAATCGGTATATTCTTCATGGCAGGATCGCACTATTTCAGTCAGGAAGACTGAATTTCGACCAGATTTGGCTTTACAAATCCAGGTGTAATACTTCATTTTCGCACAGTTTTGTCCATTAAGAGAAAATATAGTGTTTAGTGAATAAACCTCATTCCCTTGATTTCCCCTAGAACCAATCTCTGGAGTTAGTTTTCCAGTGCGAAGTCCATTGGCATCAATAGGACATGCTTAAGGAAATTCCTGAGACAGTTTACCTTTGACAGGAGACAGGAAATGTGTACAACTGTGTAGAGTGGCTTATGATAGTACTTTCTATAGACCTCTGCAGACATAAGACAGCCCATGAACTAATAGCAGCTGTAGTATAGCTGCTACTAATTTACTTAACAGTTCTCATCATTGTATGAGATGATGAGGACTGCTGGAATGGAAATTATGGGATAAGGTCAGACCTCATAGAAAAAAAGATTCTCTGGATAAATATAAAATATAAATAATGAAAGATGCTTTTTTTTGTTGTTGTATTCAATACAAGACCTTGAAAATGTAACAGATCCAATTTATAGTTCCAGCATTGCCATCCTATTAGGATGTATAGATTTGCTCTTGCCTGGAAAACCGGTCATTTTTCATCTATATTCTATTCTATTCATAGTTTTAAGTGTGAGTTTCTCCCTATGATCTCTTGCACATGGGCTAGAATTTGAAGGCTACCTGTCATGACAAATAAATCTTAATCTTAAATGATAGAGAATTAAATTCCATCTATGCCAGGGCTTGACAAATTTGCTTGGAATCTAGAAGCCAACTCAAGTTAGGAGTCAGGTTTTTTAACTAACAAAGCTCATTTTCAGGGACGAAAATACAATTATTAGAGGGACACTATTTTCACCAAAATAACTTTATCTTAATGATGCAGTTTCTGTGTATACCTCATGCCCCTGCAGTCTCACTGCTCAATTCACTTTTGTTTCTGTCCATGCATCCCTGGCCACACCTGGCTGTGACTCACACAGTCTGCATGAAAAAATTGGTTTCATTTTCAGATGTTACTTTAAAAGTTTATATCACCTGCTTTGCAAATTGAACATTAATTACATACAGAAGGCTCCTGCTGGGTCTAGCAAGCTATTAACAGAGCAAGAGATAAAACATTCTAAATTAAACATAATTTGCAATAAAGGAAGTATAAACATTAGACGACTCTTTACAGGAAGTGTTTAGAAAGGCTGTGTAAGTCATGTGCAGGGAGGTGTGACTAGGGATGCATACACAAAGTGATTTACCTCCTAAATGGCAATGAATTGAACAGCGAGGCTGCAGGGACATGATCTATACACAAAAACTGCACAAATAAGCTAAAGTTATTTTAGTGACTATAGTGTCCCTTTGCTGTATTTGTTCTGGTATCTATAGCCTGTCCCTGTAGACTTTTCAATGTAAAAAACAACCTTTTCATTGAGATGCAGTGTTTACATTGCCGCCTAGTAAGACTTCTAGTGGCAGTCACTTAGACGGCCACTAGAGGTGATTCCTAGTCGCACTTAAGTTCAGCGTCTCCACACACTGCATGGAGGTGCTGAATGTTCCCCATAGAGATGCATTGGTTTAAAGCATATCTTAAAGTAGATGCCGATTAACGCAACGTAGGTGTTTTGCCGCAAATCCATCTGCAAGGGGAATAAGGAGGAGGGACAAGCTCTGTGTTAGAGCAGTGCAGCAGCATGGAGAGAAGAGCCAGAATGATTTATTGCAACAGCTGAGAATGTGAGAACGTAGAAAGAGAAGAGAACAGAACATTCTATTTACATACCATAATACCAACATAAAGTCTTGGGAACTTTTAACGAGTTACTCCAAACACCACAACCGTGTCAGTGATTTGAAGTGATCATGGTGCCTGGAGTCTGTCTGTGCAGCATTTCACTTTGAAACTCACATATGGAGTTTAACCCCTAAGTTGCCAGAGTTGTAACTCCACCTCCAGCAGTGTCATAAGCCAGCACTACAGAAACCAGAAACTAGTCTCTATACATAAAAGGAGCCTTGGAGGCCAACGAGAACCTAGGTAAGAGTGCAAATTGTTACTAAACTTTTGGCACCGTTACCAAGTAACTAAGCCAGGGTATGCCTGACATCATACCACTACAAAATGTTGTTACTTGCAATGGCTACTAAACCTGAACCTTAAAGAAACATTCCGAGCATCATAACCATTATAAAGGTTATGGTGCCAGAAGTGCCCTTGCCCCCTGATCGCTAACAGTTTGACTTGTTATTTTATCATTCAGCCTTTATTAAAAAGGATACATTTAGTACTAAGTTACAAGCGTAAGTACCAACTCATGTTCTTCACAGTGCTCAAAAAAGGGAGGGTATCTCTTAGGGTTACTGCGTGTGCATAAAGGTAGGAGGTGGTCATCCACCGTTTAAAAAACAAAAATAACATCCTTAGCCCTTAAAGGAGTTAATATAACAATAGAGAGCAAACAGGAAAGAAATAGGTAGAGATAGATGATGCAAAGCCATACATACTGCCCAGTGACACACGCTAACACATGTACTGCCTAGTAACACACATACTGCCCAGTAACACACTATCACACACTGCCCAGTAACACACTATCACACGCTGCCCAGTAACACACTATCATACACAGCCCAGTAACACACATACTGCCCAGTAACACACTATCACATACTGCCCAGTAACACATTATCCCATACTGCCCAGTAACACATTATCCCATACTGCCCATTAACACATTATCACACACTGCCCAGTAACACACTATCACACACTGCCCAGTAACACACTATCACACACTGCCCAGCAACACACTATCACATACTGCCCAGTAACACACATACAGTAACATAGTAACACACTATCACACGCTGCCGAGTAACACACACACTGCCCAGTAACACACGCACTGCCCAATAACACACTATCACATGCTGCCCAGTAACACACTATCACACACAGCGCAGTAACACACATACTGCCCAGTAACACACTATCACACACAGCCCAGTAACACACGCACTGCCCAGTAACACACTATCACATACTGCCCAGTAACAAAGGCACTGCCCAGTAACACACTATCACATACTGCCCAGTAACAAAGGCACTGCCCAGTAACACACTATCACATACTGCCCAGTAACACACTATCACATACTGCCCAGTAACAAAGGCACTGCCCAGTAACACACTATCACATACTGCCCAGTAACAAAGGCACTGCCCAGTAACACACTATCACATACTGCCTAGTAACACACGCACTTCCCAGTAACACACTATCACATACTGCCTAGTAACACACGCACTGCCCAGTAACACACTATTACATACTGCCCAGTAACACACACACATATGGTAACACACTATCACACACACACATACAGTAACACACTATCACACACACACATACAGTAACACACTATCACACACACATACAGTAACACACTATCACACACACACACAGTAACACTATGACACACACACATACAGTAACACTATCACACATACAGTAACACTATCACACACATACATACAGTAACACACTATCACACATACAGTAACACTATGACACACACACATACAGTAACACTATCACACATACAGTAACACTATGACACACACACATACATACAGTAACACACACACACATACAGTAACACTATCACACACACACATACATACAGTAACACACATACATACATACAGTAACACTATCACACACACATACATACATACATTCATACAGTAACACACACACACACATTCAGTAGATGGATAAGAGCTGTACACACAGTAAGCCATGCACCCAGTGATAATATAAAGGAATGATAATGTCCCCGTACAGCGGTTAGACTGTGAGTACACCGAGGCCCGCCATACCCCCCCGGTACAGTAATAACAGCCCGGTTTCCGGTTATAGCAGCCTGGGCCTCGGTGTGATCCGGGGACTATACCAGGAGGCTGCCCGGCCTTCCCTCCTGCCAGCCCCGGCCCCGGGTGCACACTCCGTACCTGCACTCACTGTCGGGCGCGGTTCAGTTCCTGACGTCCCGCAGCATCTCCCGGGCGGGCAGAGCCCCGAGCACCGGCACCACTACCCGGCATGCACCGCGCCAAGCACCGGCACCACTACCCGGCATGCACCGCGCCAAGCACCGGCACCACTACCCGGCATGCACCGGGGGAGGGGAGAGACTGACACCCACTGACTGACTGACTGCCAACAACGACTGGCGGACACAGACTGAGACCGCTACACCGAGACTGTCACAGACAGACTGAATGACCATCACCGAGACCTAGTGACGGAACTAACAACTGATAATATTACTGCAGATACACTGACACAGTAACACACACACAGCCACAAAGATACACTGACACAGTAACACACACACACACACACCCACAAAGATACACACACAGTAACACACACACACACACAGTAACACACACAGTAACACACACACACACACAGCCACAAAGATACACACACAGTAACACACACACACACACACAGCCACACACACAGTAACACACACAGCCACAAAGATACACACACAGTAACACACACACACACACACAGCCACAAAGTTACACACACAGTAACACACACAGCCACAAAGATACACACACAGTAACACACACACACAAAGATACACACACAGTAACACATACAGCCACAAAGATAAACACACAGTAACACACAGCCACAAAGATACACACACAGTAACACAGAGCCACAAAGATACACACACAGCCACAAAGATACACACACAGTAACACACAGCCACAAAGATACACACACACAGAAACACACACAGACACAAAGATACACACACAGTAACACACACAGCCAAAGATTCACACACACAACACACACACACACAGCCACAAAGATACACACAGTAACACACACAGCCACAAACATACACACACAGTAACACACACAGCCACAAACATACACACACAGTAACACACACACACAGCCACAAAGATACCAAACAAAACACACACACACCTAGCCACAAAGATACACAAACAGTAACACACACACAGCCACAAAGATACACACTAACACACACACACAGCCAAAGATACACACACAGTAACACACAGCCACAAAGATATACACACAGTAACACACACACACAGTAACACACAGCCACAAAGATACACAGTACACACACACACAGCCACAAACATACACACATGGTAACACACACACACAGCCACAAAGATACACACACGGTAACACACACAGTAACACACACACAGCCACAAAGATACACACACATACAGCCACAAAGATACACACATACAGACACACACACACATTAACACATTAACTCACATACAGACACACATACAGCCACAAAGATACACAAATATACACACATACAGACACACACAGCCACAAAGATACACACACAGTAACACACACACAGCCACAAAGATACACACACAGTAACACACACAGCCACAAAGATACACACAAAGTAACACACACACAGCCACAAAGATACACACACAGTAACACACACATACAGCCACAAAGATACACACATACAGACACACATTAACTCACATACAGACACAAAGATACACACATTAACACACACACATACAGCCAGAAAGATACACACATTAACACACATGCAGACACACACAGCCACAAAGATACACACACATACATACAGCCAGAAAGATACACACAGACACACATTAACTCACATACAGACACACATACAGCCACAAAGATACACACATTAACACACAAAGATATACACACACAGCCACAAAGATACACACACAGTAACACACACAGCCACAAAGATACACACAAAGTAACACACACACACATACAGCCACAAAGATACACACACAGTAGCACACACAGCCACAAAGATACACACACAGCCACAAGATACACATACAGTAACACACACAGCCACAAAGATACACACACAGTAACACAGACAGCCACAAAGATACACACATAGTAACACACACACACAGCCACAAAGATACACACACAGTAATACACACACACACACAGCCACAATGATACACACACAGTAAACACACACACAGCCACAAAGATACACACACAGTAGCACACACACATACAGCCACAAAGATACACACACAGTAACACACACACAGACACACATTAACTCACATACAGACACACACACAGCCACACACATTAACACACAAAGATACATACAGACACACACAGCCACAAATATATACACACACATATACAGCCAGAAAGATACACACACAGTAACACACACACAGCCACATAGATACACACACAGTAACACACACACATACAGCCACAAAGATACACACACACATACAGCCATAAAGATACACACATACAGCCAGACACACATTAACTCACATACAGACTCACACACAGCCACAAAGATACACACATTAACACACATACAGCCACAAAGATACACACACACAGACACACATTAACTCACATACAGACACACACAGCCACAAAGATACACACACATACAGCCAGAAAGATACACACATAGACACACATTAACTCACATACAGACACAATGATACACACATTAAGACACATACATAAAGACACACACACACATATACAGACAGACACAAAGTTACACATATTAACACATGCAAATGCACACACTAACACACATACAGATACAAAGACACGCAGAAGCACACACTAGCACACATACAGACATGCAGATACACACACCAACACACATATATACACCGACACGAAGATGCACACACCAACACATACAGATACACTAATACACATACTGATACACATGCACACACTAACACACAAACATACAGGTATACAAACACACACAATGAAAAAACTGACACACATGCTGGGCACTCCCCTGTTTCTTACCTTTTGGGTGCAGAAGGGTGGCTTCTTCTGGCTGGGGCTGTTGGGAGTCAGTTCGCACCTCCTCCTCTGTTTCCCGCGCGGATCCATGTATGTTAGCTGGGGGGGAAGTGACCTGCCTTCACTTTTCCCCAATGATGGCTGCTGACATTAGGGGGGCCACCCGATTGGCCCCATCAACGTGCAGACCCAGGTACAGCTGTACCAGCAGTAGTTAAACCACTGCCACGACCCACTGAATGATCACCTAGACTCACTGTGAGACTGCCACAGACCGACTGAATGAACATCGCCAAGACCGACTGAGACAAACTGCATACCTCCCAAGTGTCCCTATTTAGAAAGGGTGGTCCTTGTTTTGGGTCCAGATCCCTCTGTCTCTCTTTTCTAGGAGCTCCATATTGTTGCTGTTTCTGAATGTGTAACAGAGCTCCACATCAATAACATTGCCGGTAATCAGAGTTATTCACTAAAGAGAAAATTTCAGAGAATTCAAAGTGACTTTCAAATTTCAGGCCAAAGTAGCCAAACTGAATATGAAATTAACTTGAATAGAATTTTGTAAATTTTCTATTTTAGCCTGCATTTAGAAATTAAATTTGAATTGTAATTTAGTGAATAACCCATTATATGTCTTTAAACTACAATACATGTACTGTATATAGAAATCAATCTGTGTTAATAAGATGCATTGTTCTTGTTCTACATTGTAGTTACATAAATTATTGGTAAGTCCTCTGAGATTTCTCAAACTGCCTCTCCACTCACATCCCTAAAATTAAATTGTCCCTCTTTTTACCATTTTGAAATGGGACTGCCTTAGATTGTCTGATATCGGGAAGACCCACTACAAGACTGCCAGAGACTAACTGATTACTGAAACCGACTGGGAGCCTATCAGAGTCTGACCGAGAGACCTCCCTCAGAACATCCAGTATGCCACGTGTGTCCTGCTTCTCTCTTGTCACAAAGGTCCTTGGCACAGAAGCTGTACTAATATCTATGCCAAAAACTGGATGACAAGCAGAGGGGAGGAGCTTTGATTAGAAATATCCATTAATTTATACATATTCAAATGTAATATTTCCATTTATAGATTAAATGTTAATATTTTTTAAAGTATATGTTTTGTGCATCAGGTTCTTTAAACAAATATGACAAATGTACACTTTTTTGCATATAATTTAAAGGGACACTATAGTCACCTGAACAACTACAGCTTATTGTAGTTGTTCTGGTGAGTGTAATAGTTCCCTTCAGGCTTTTTTTCATGCAAACACTGCCTTTTCAGAGAAAAGGCAGTGTTTACATTGCCTCTAGGAACTCCTTAGATGGCCACTGGAGGTGATTCCTGGGTCAGTGCTGTAGAAAAAGCAGTCCTATCTATGAGGAGGTCCTGATTAGAGAAAACCAGCATTTGGCCCAGAATGTAATTGTTTTTTTGAAAACACCTAGCCAAGGCAAAAATAATGGGGATTTAGTTGCAGTATATGATCATACCTTGCGTAAGCCTGGCACAATGCCAATGTACCTGCCAAAATGTGCTGAGCTTTAACCCCTTAAGGACGGAGGCAATTGTACATGTTCTGACCAAAACAAAGGCTAGAATTTGCACTATATGTCTGTTCAACCATAATTTACCTCTTTCGTACTAAGTGCACCCACACGTATTATATATAGTTTTGTTTAGGAGAAACATGGCTTTCATTTCACAGCTATAGGAAACATAATTTAAAATGAATAACATCTAAAAAAGTGTGAGAAATTAAGTTCGTTTTCCAAGTTCTGCATAGCATTTTAACTGTGAATGTTTTAATTGTGAAAGTTTTAACACCTTGAGATTTGCCAGATTGGTTTGATGGGCGTATGTTGCCGTTGAGACCGTATGCCAGCCCAGGAGTGAGCATTAGCCCCGTCATGGCATACTGTTTGCTGGGGTAGACAACCCAGGGTTTTTAAAGGACCACTAAAGGCACCCAGACCACTTCAACTTAATGAAGTGGTCTGGGTGCCAGGTCCAGCTAGGTTTAACCCTTTTTTTCTATAAACATAGCAGTTTCAGAGAAACTGCTATGTTTATAAATGGGTTAATCCAGCCTCTAGTGGCTGTCTCATTGACAGCCGCTAGAGGCGCTTCTCACTGTGATTTTCACAGTGAGAAGACGCCAGCGTCCATAGGAAAGCATTGAGAATGCTTTCCTATGGACTGGCAGAATGCGCGTGTGGCTCCTGCCGCGCATGTACATTCAGCAGATGCCGTCGCTATGGAGGAGGAGAGTCCCCCGCCCGGCGCTGGAGAAAGAGGTAAGTTTAACCCCTTCCTCCCCCTAGACCGTCAAGTATGTTTTCCTGGCACTATAGTGGTCCTTTAAGATGGGGGTATGTCCAGTCTTTTTAAGTAGCCACTTAGTCACAAAGTTAGTGTTCATATTTGCTTTGGGTTTTTTCCCACACAAAACTGCACTCTCACTGATATCATTATCACTATATCTTTAACTACTCTAAACCACTCATATTTGGAATTCAGCATACAACAATACTCCTCATGTAAAGGTTTTATGGTGTTTTGGAAAATTACAGTGTCAGATATAGCACTTTCAAAATTAAATTCTCTGGTATTTCTGCGTGGGTGTCAGGCAGGTCCCTTGATATATAATTAATAAAATAATATAACTATATATAAATAATATATAAAATACATTTTGAATCAAATTTATATCTATCTATATATCACAATCATATGAATCAGGTGGGCAGGATTACCTTCAGGAACTGCTTCAGTTGTCAGGCAATTCCCCTGTTCGTGACCACTGCAGAGTGTAAAGGCGTAAATGCTCACCTGCACTGGGGCCCACACACTCAGGGGGCCCATCGGGTGGCCAATGCACTTAGGGCCACCAGATTGGTATTGCTAAACAGAAGGCCGTTGGGTGCAATCACCCTTTAACAACATGGACCCATGTGATATTAACGATGGGAGTAGGTAAAGAAGGTCAGTTTCTCCCACATAAAGACGTAAAGAGGCATTGGAGATAGCACAGAAGTGGGGAGCACCAGCCCCACAGCCTCAGCGAGCAGCAGGACCATAAGGAAGCCACTCTCCTGCACACAAAAGTTATGTTAAAAGCAGGGTAGCTACAAATATAAGCATTTTGACATGTATGTGTGCACCTTACTATATGTGTGTCAACTTGTGTGCGTGTATCTATTTGTCAATGTGTGTGTCAAAGTATGTGTCAGTGCAGAGCCAATCCATAAACATAAAGGTAGATCTGTCCGGACAATAAAATATATAATGTGGAGGTTAATAAAAAGTAATATAAAAGTCTCACTGATACATCTGGATAGGGTTGGGGTACAGTCCTTGGGAGTTGATCCGTCCGGATTGTTCAAATATCTGTAAAAAACATATTCAAAACAAATAATACCTATATAGCTTATAGGTATTATTATATAGGTATTATTTGTTTTGAATATGTTTTTTAAAATCTGTTTTCCATTGGATGATCCCAGTTTTAAATTTACATATACTTATATAAACTCTCTGTGCCAGGAATAATGTTATATACCATTTTCAAAAAGCCTTAAAGGTGAAACGCGTTAATGGTTTTAAATTGTGTATTTTAACAATAAAAGTCTTTTGGTTACCTTTTTTTTTGGACCAATTTTCATTTTATTGGATTTTTATTTTTATTCTCCCTGGCATTTTTATTGTATCCTGACTCAAGTAATCCTAGCTGGGGACCATTCCACCAATGATACCTTCTGCTCTATACTTGTGAGTATATTTTATATATATGTACAGAATGGAGAGTACAAGCGCTTGTTTCTGTAATTTTATATCCTAGTATGTACCAATTTTTCGTGGGCTGCTATATCACCGTGCTTATCTTTCTATCAGAAATTGTGGAGAAAAGAAATATCAGGTGAAGCGCTCTAATTCCTTATAGTAGATATGTAAGTATATAAAGAAAATATTTATGGTATACCTTTAAGGGATCGTATACTTAAATATGATGTCCCAATGCTTCCAAATAAACCTTAAATACAAAACACAAATATACAGAACATAGTGTAACCTGTATATAGATATATAATGAATGAAAAAAATATAAATTTCTAACTCACACTTTTCTGAGCTAAAACACTAGCTCAGGTATATGCACCTTAGGGTCCGTTAAGGCGACCTTCACCCTCCTTTGGATCCGAATTTCTCCTAGATGGCAGGTATAGGAGGGAAAAGAAATATATAGTGTAGTACAGTTGATATACTGGGTATAAATTATGAGGTAGCACTTATGTACTCACAAACCCAGAGCCAGTCAGTCGGCTCACTTCATAAAACGTATGTGGTTAAGGACCACATTCCTTCTTTATAGCAGGTGGAAATAAAAGCCGTAAGTGTAAAATATAATTTATTGTAAGTAAAAAAATGTATATATATATATATTTACAATATAGTATAAAAAAATATATCAATAAAAATAACACTTATTCGGCTATAGTCCAATAGGTAGTTCCATATGCTCACTGTTCCTCCAGGACGCGTTTCACCAATAGGCTTCCTCAGCTGGAAAAATTCTGTGTGATCTCTAAGGACTCCTTCCTGCTTTAAATACCCTCTTGATTGTAGTATCTCCATGTTTAGGCTCTTAATTTTCGTGGGCAATCTCCATGGGAACGGAGATGTCTTGCGATTCAAGCCTCCTGTTCGTCTATTTACTTCCGTGTATGTGTACTTCCGGTTTCGGCACTTTCGGCATTTTGTGTTCCATTACTGACTCACTGCCAGAACGTTCTCCACGGTGTCTCCAGACTCTGCCACGTCTGTCACATGTGCTCAGTGTGAACCTGCTGTCATCTGTGAAGAGCACAGGGTGCCAGGGGCAAATTTGCCAATCTTGGTGTTTTCTGGCAAATGCCAAACGTCCTACATAGTGTTGGGCTCTAAGCACAACCCCCACCTGTGGACATCGGGCCCTCATACCACTCTCATGGAGTCTGTTTCTGACCATTTGAGCAGACACATGCACATTTGTGGCCTGCTGGAGGTCATTTTGCAGGGCTCTGGCAGTGCTCCTCCTTGCACAAAGGCGGAGGTAGCGGTCCTGCTACTGGGTTGTTGCCCTCCTACGGCCTCCTCCACGTCTCCTGATGTACTGGCCTGTCTCCTGGTAGCGCCTCCATGCTCTGGACACTACGCTGACATACACCGCAAACCTTCTTGCCACAGCTCGCATTGATGAGCCATCCTGGATGAGCTGCACTACATGAGCCACCTGTGTGGGTTGTAGACTCCGTCTCATGCTACCACTAGAGTGAAAGCACCGCCAGCATTCAAAAGTGACCAAAACATCAGCCAGGAAGCATAGAAACTGAGAAGTGGTCTGTGGTCACCACCTGCAGAACCACTCCTTTATTGGGGGTGTCTTGTTAATTGCCTATAATTCCCATCTGTTGTCTATCCCATTTGCACAACAGCATGTGAAATTGATTGTCACTCAGTGTTGCTTCCTAAGTGGACAGTTTGATTTCACAGAAGTGTGATTGACTTGGAGTTACATTGTGTTGTTTAAGTGTTCCCTTTATTTTTTTGAGCAGTGTATTTTACATTGGATTTTAACTTTATCACACTATCGGCTGCCTGTCGTATTTTCCATTTGTCTTCAAATATACGGATATTTTAACAATCCAGACGGTTCAACTCCCGAGGACTGTACCCCTACCCTATCCAGATACATCAGTGAAACTTTTATATGACTTTTTAGAAACCTCCACATTATATATTTTATTATCCGGACAGATCTACCTTTATTTTTATTCTGTTGTCTTAAGTGAGACTTTTACTCTCTACTGTTTTTTATCATCTATATAGGCCTACTTGCTGTTGTTTATCCATTTAGACCATTTGGTCTGGTTTCTATTGTTATAGACTACTGCTACTAGCCCTTAGCGCAGCCCTTACCCCCTTCACATCTTCTAGCTTGTTTTATTAAGGGTTTTGAGGGATTCCCTTTTTTGGGTTGCTGCTTATTATCCTGTTATTTAGCGCTGAAACTTTCCCTGAAACTTCTTATTCAGGACTGGTTTAGCCAGGAGTAGTCCAGCAACAGAATACCAATTGTTTTTCATCTTAACCCCTTCTTTGTCATCAACTAGACTTGGGAATATAACACCTACCATGAAATAGGAATAAGCAGATGTGTTTATACCTGCCTGGAGGAAGGAGAAGGCAGAGGAGGTGATATCTACCTTTCCATTGGGTAGGGGGCACTAAAAGGAATCATGATGGTGATCCCTTGTGCTAGATTATGTGAGGTGCAGCAGGACAGTTCTGGGGACCAGTTACCCCTGTTCCCATTACAACGTTGTTGAAAAAAAAAAAAAACAATATAAAACATAACATACAAGATCCAACGCACTCACTCCAGGAAACACAGGCTTTAATCCTCTTAATGACGAAGGATGTGCTATTCTGTCCTACAAAAGGAGAGCATTTACGTCTTTACCCTCTGCAGTGATCACGAACAGGGGGATTGCCTGACAACTGAAGCAGTCCCTGAAGGTAATCCTGCCCACCTGATTCATATGATTGTGATATATAGATAGATATAAATTTAATTCAAAATGTATTTTATATATTATTTATATATAATTATATTATTTTATTAATTATATATTAAGGGACCTGCCTGACACCCACGCAGAAATACCAGAGAATTTAATTTTGAAAGTGCTTTATCTGACACTGTAATTTTCCAAAACACCATAAAACCTTTACATGAGGGGTACTGTTGTATGCTGAATTCCAAATATGAGTGGTTTAGAGTACTAAAAGATATAGTGATAATCAGGGCCGGACTGGGGAAAAAATTCGGCCAGGGCATTTTTTATTCACAGCGGCCCACTGAAAAGGGGGCGGAGCCAGATAGGGTGTGTTTTGTCATCCCCAATGACAAGCACACCCCATCTCAAAATGAGCATGTTGGTTCAATGCTCTTCCAGGGCATGAGAAAAGGGCCCTGTATTTGATCTGCACAGCGCAAGCAAATTTAATAACATGCTTGTGTTGTGTTTGCTTGAAACTTGTCTCAAGGGTTTCCATAATTGGAATACTCACTGTATCCCATTTATGGAGACACTATGTGTTTGCTTAAATGGAATCTAGTGTGTTCATAGGGGATCCTGAGTGTGTATGTCAGAAATGTAGTGTGTGTGTTGGTGGTGCAGCGTCTGTGTGTAGGGGATCTAGTGTGTGTTTGAAGGACTCAGGAGTGCGTACAGGAGATCTAGTGAGTGTGTGTGTGTGAGTGGTGCAGCGTGTTTGGGGGCTGCTGTGTGTGTGAGGGGTATAGTGTGCATTTGTGAGGAGTATAGTGTGTGTGGGAGGGTGCTGTGTGTGTGTGTATGAGTGTGTTAGGGTGCCGTGTGAGGGTTCTGTGTATTTGAGGGTGCTGTGTGAGTGAGGGTGATGTGTGTTGGGGTTCTGTGTGTGTGTTAGGGTGCTGTGTATGTGTTAGGGTGATGTGTGTATTAGGGTGATGTGTGTGTGTGAGGGTGATGTGTGAGTGAGGGTGCTGTGTGTGTGTTAGGGTGCTGTGTGAGGGTTCTGTGTGAGTGAGGGTGCTGTGTGTGTGAGGGTGATGTGTGTTAGGGTACTGTTTGCGTGTGTTAGGGTGCTGTGTGTGTGTTAGGGTGCTGTGTGTGTGCTAGGTTGCTGTGTGTGTGTTAGGGTGTGTGTGTGTTAGGGTGCTGTGTGAGGGTTCTGTGTGACTGAGGGTGATGTGTGAGTGAGGGTGATGTGTGAGTGAGGGTGCTGTGTGTGTGTTAGGGTGATGTGTGTGTGTTAGGGTGATGTGTGTGTGTTAGGGTGCTGTGTGAGTGTTAGGGTGCTGGGTGTGTGTTAGGGTGCTGGGTGAGGGTGATGTGTGTATTTGCAAGGATTGAGTATTGGGGGGAGGCAGGTAAATGCCAGTATTAATGTCTTTTTTTTTTTTTTTGTTAGAAAAATAAATACATTATACCCCCCTCCCTTCTTACCTGTAGCCTGGAAGAGGAGGGGGGTTGTGCTGCTGCCAGCCATCCCTGGTGGTCCTCGTGGTAAGTGAACTCTTTGGGGCTAGAGTTCACTCTAGCGAGACCCGGCCGGTTGCCATGGCAACGGTCCAGATCTCGCGAGAGAAACCCGGCGGAGCTGCAAGTTATCGCTCCGTCGGGTCCTCTCTCCAGGCTGGCTGTCTCCCTCCCTCTCTCCCCACCGGCAGCCGCGTTTGAGAGCATGTGGGCCGGTGAGGGAGATCCTTGATCTCCCCACCGGCCCTTCATGGAACACAGCGGGGCCAGCGCTCGGATAGCCTGCATTGACCAGCTGGATCTCCCTGGCCTTGGCCCGTGGCCATCGCGGCCCACCGGGCATTTGCCTGGTTTCCCCGATGGCCAGTCCGGGCCTGGTGATAATGTTAGTGAAAGTGCAGTTTTGTGTGGGAAAAAAACAAACCAAATGTGAATACTAACTTTGTGACTAAGTGGCTACTTAAAAAGACTTGACATACCCCATCTTGAATACCCTGGGTTGTCTACCACTGCAAACAGTATGCCATGATGGGGCTAATTCTCATTCCTGTGCTGGCATATGGTCTCAACAGCAACATACGCCCATTAAATCAATCTGGCAATTCTAAATGTGTTAAAACTGAAATGGGCAAGCTCTTTATTTGACTGTGTAACTTTCCAAAACACCCTGCGACCTCTACATGGGTTTCCTATAGAAATATTTGATGTGAAATGAATGCCATGTTTCTCCTGAACAAAACTATATATAATAAGTGTGGGTGCACTTCATATAAAAGGTTGAACAGACATATAGCGCAAATTCTAGCTTTTGTTTTGGTCACAACTTGTACAATTGCCTCCGTCCTTAAGGGGTTAAAGCTCAGCCTATGTTTGCAGGTATATTGGCATTGTGCCAGGCTTACGCAAGGTATGATCATATACTGCAACTAAATCCCCATTATTTTTGCCTAGGCTAGGTGTTTTCAAAAAACGATTACATTCTGTGAGCTTTGAAGTTTGTGTTTAGTGAGTGAGTACACTGGATCTTGTATGTTGTATTAATTGACCCCAGCAGCACCCTTACAATGTATGCATTTTCAGATGAGTGCAGCCCTTTCTGTTTTCATATGTAAATATATATGTATACATGGGCGTCCATGGGGAGGGTGGGGGGTGGGCAATAAGCTGGATTTTTCAGCTTATTCTGCTATTTTTCGTGAGATTGAAAATGTACTGCAATACCGGCGCCGTCCAGTAGGTGTATGTGTATGGAGAGAGACAGGAATAGGAAGCTACATCTTATCCCTGCTTCTCTGCTGTCTGAAACCGCAAGGTAGCAGCACATGCAGCCAGCAGAGACAGCCTACAGATCAGGTAAGTGAGGGATGGGGGGCAGCCTATAGATCAAGAAAGTGAGGCATAGGGGGCAGCCTATAGATCAGGAAAGTGAGGCATGGGGGGCAGCCTATAGATCAAGAAAGTGAGGCATAGGGGGCAGCCTATAAATAAGGGAAGTGAGGCATGTGGGGCAGCCTATAGATCAGGGAAGTGAGGCATGTGGAGGCAGCCTATAGATCAGGTAAGTGAGGCATGGGGAGGCAGCCTATAGGTAAGTGAGGCATGGGGGCAGCCTAGATCAGGTAAGTGAGTCATGGGGGCAGCCTACAGATCAGGGAAGTGAGGCATAGGGGGCAGCCTATAGATCAGGGAAGTAAGGCATGGTGGCAGCCTATAGATCAGGGAAGTGAGACATGGGGGCAGTCTATAGATCAGGGAAGTGAGGCATGAGGGGGGCAGCAAATTGATCAGGTAAGTGAGGCATGGGGGGCAGCCAATAGATCAGGGAAGTGAAGCCTGGGGGGCAGCCACTAGATCAGGGAAGTGAGGCATGGGAGGGCAGACTACAGATCAGGGAAATAAGGCATGGGAGGGCAGCCTACAGATCAGGGAAGTGAGGTATGGGGGCAGCCTACAGATCAGGGAAGTGAGGCATGGGGGGCAGCCTACAGATCCGGGAAGTGAGGCATGGGGGGCAGCCTACAAATCAGGGAAGTGAGGGACAGGGGAGGGGAGAGACAGCATGTAGATTAGGTAAGTGAGAGATGGGGGTTGCGGCATATAGATCAGGTAAGTGAGAGATGGGGGGGTCCACCTACAGATCAGGTAAGTGAGGGATGGAGGGTAGGCATCCTATAGATCAGGAAGGGTCAGCAAGTAGCAGGAAGGTAAAGTAAGAGAAGGAGCAGAAAGGAGAAGCAACAGAAATGAGCAGGAAGGATCTGCAAGGAGCAGGAAGGGTCAGCAAGGAGCAGGAAGGTAAAGCAGCACAAAGGTAAAGTAGAAGGAGCAGAATGGGTCAGCAAGGAGCAGAAAGGGTCAGCAATGAGCTGGAAGGGGCAGAAGGAGTACAAACGTAAAGTAGGAGAAGAAGCATAAATTATCAGGAAGGGGCAGCAAGGAGCAGGACAGGTCTGCAAAGAGCAGGAAGGGGCAGCAAGGAGCAGGAAGGGTCTGCAAGGGGCAGAAGGAGCACACAGATAAAGGAGCAGAAAGAATCAGAAGGAGCATAAAGGTAAAGTAGGAGAAGGAGCAGAAAGGGTCTGCAAGGAGCAGAAAGAGATCAGAAAGAGAAAGGAGCAGAAGGGCGCAAAAGAAGAAAGTAGCAGAAAGGTAAAGGAGCAGGAGGAGAGAAGACAGTGGCAGAAGAAAAAGAAGACTGTGTCAAATGAATGAGAAGAAAAGGAGATTGGAGCAGGAAGGCAAGTAAAGTGAACCCTCCACTTTATTCTGGACACCACATCATAAATCTTTCGTACCTGGGCCTGGCAGGGAAACTTCGGACCTTCTCATCTCCCCAGGTAAAAAAAAATATCAGTGTTAATGTGTTCACTTTTATTTACTGAGTGTCAGGAGGCACAGAGTGCTGCTGGGAAGGGGTGTCGCTGTTGTGAAAACGCTATTCACCCTGGCTTTATGTGATAATGACTATGCCCCTTCCCTTTCATGACACTGTCAAAAAGGGACCAAGCATGAATGTCATTACAATTATGCCCACTCCCCCCTGTGAAAAAATTCCTGTGGACGCCCATGCTCCTTGCTGATCCTTCCTGCTTCTTGCTGACCCTTCCTGGTCATTTCTGTTCCTTTCTGCTCCTTCTCATACTTTACCATTGCACTCCTTCTGATTCTTTCTGCTCCTTTACCTTTGTGCTTCTTCTGTCCCTTCCTGCTCCTTGCTGACCATTTCTGCACACTCTCCTCCTTTACCTTTGTGCTTCTTCTGATTCTTTCTGCTCCTTTAACTTTGTGCTCCTTGTTGACCATTTCTGCTCCTTCTGATTCTTTCTGCTCCTTGTTGTCCCTTCCTGTAGGCTGCCCCCCATCCCTCACTTACCTGATCTGTAGGCTGCCTCTGCACTCTGTGCTGTTCCCCCGCGGATTTAGTCATGAGAGAGAAGCTTCCTGGCTGGCTCCAATATTGCAGTTTATTCTCAATCACACCGGCACAAGTTGAAAAATCCGGGGGGGGGGGGAGCAAGTGCCCCCCCCTACCCTCTCCTGTGAACGCCCATGGTCGGGGCTATCAGGGAATGTGCTTTTTGTGGGGTTCCTAGGTATGGTTGTGGGACTTTTGGGGTATGGCATATTTTGTGCCTGAGAAATAATTAAATTTGAAAAGTTTACTCAGACTATCATATCTCAGCCACAAGGGATATTGGGATTGAATCCCCTGCATTTTCTGTCTGTGAAACCCCTTGCATGGGAATTGGCATAAATGCTGTGTATGTGGAAATAAAAATCAGATATACCCCCAGAGCTGTGTGTCTTCCAGTTGCTGGTGGGGGAAGTGGGAGATTCTTGGATTACTTTACTGTGCCTGACTGCTCCATTGGATTGTTTTACTTGTTCCTGACTGTAATTTGGTATAACCAGCGGAGGAGAGTCCCTGCTAGGACTAGAGGTCTGCTACAGACACATTGCCATGACATTGGCCATGCCATATCAGCCTCACATTGCAGCCATGTAGCTGCTTTAGACACACATACATACACAGATACAAACATTCATGTATATACTGATGCATGCATACACACACAAACATGCTGGCGCACAGAGACAGACACATTAGCAGATACAGACATACAGTCACTGTGCGTCAGACAGGGTGTATCTGGCTGTTTGTATTTATTACTGAGTGTATTTGTGTGTGCATGCGTGTCTGGTATTGTGTTCCAGTGCATGCATCTGAGAGTGTGCATCTGTCAATATGTATCTCTGTGCCTGTGAGCACATGCATTTCTATGTCTAGGAGTATATGAGTGGGGCAGATGCTTGTGGTGTGTTGTGTGTATGAGGTGTTGCTTGTGGTTTTGATATGTGTGTTGTGTTTATGACAAGGTTGTGTTGTATGTGTATGAGGGGTGATTGTATGATTGCGAAGGGGTGAGTGTGGATGTGAATTGGGGGATAACTATGTGTGTGGGAGGGTGAGCTGGAGAGTTGACTTTGTGGGAGGGGTGAGTTAAAGTGGTGACTGTGTGTGGGCGCTGCTGAGAGGGTGAGTTGGGGAGGATGACTGTGGGTGGGGACGTTGTATGTCCGTGTTTAGCTTACTTTTTGGGCATTAAAGGTGGCTGTTTTTAATTTCACTGGCAGTCCACTGGGCTCCCTGCTGCTATAGTGGGTTCCCTGGTGGGCAATTAGTGCTGGTCTGCACCTCCATCTGGGTACAGAGCTGTGTGAATGCTCTCTTGCAGTCTCTGACCGGTAGGGAGCATCAGCAGCAAACTGCACCCAGAAAAGGTGCAGACCTGAACTGAAAGCAGCACACAGCACATGGCTGAGAGAACTTTAGATCTCCCCACCAGCCTCTACAGCTGCAGCACTATAGCAGCACTATAAAATGAAGCACTGGCTCTGCTATCTGGGGAGTGACTGCAAAATAAATGTGTTTTCAGTAAATTCATTTAATTTGCATTTGTTAAAATCGTGTATTTCAGAGTATGGAAAGAGAAGGGGTTAATGTAGTACTAAGGTAATATTTCTCATTTGTCATGAGGCTTTTTGCCATTTAAAAAAAAAAAAAAAAATGTTAGAACTTGCCAATGGAATTCCTAGGAAAAGTCAGTCATATTAGAATATCCCCAGGGCTGTATATCTTCTGAAAATGTAATATGGTTATTTTTCTCAGAATCAGTGGTTTCTTTGTCATTTACATCCACCCACCCAGCAATCAAATTCGTTTTAGTTTTCCTGGAATCCCAGAGCACTGTAACATATTACCCAGAGCTGTACAATGGGAAAAGTGCACTTTCAGACTGAGGAAATGGATTTCAATGGAATCTTAGGATGACCAAGCAACATATTCTGAAGAAGTGGATGTCAGACTCTGTATACACCCCTTTAGTGTCTAGATGTCATTACTTAAACAAACTCCAATATTCATCTATTGCAATATTGGAGAACATTTTTGAGCCCGTGGGCCCAAACCACAATATAAACCAACTTTTTTCCCTCAAAGTGCCAGCACTGCAATTAAACACACTGATACTCACAGATACACAGACACTCACAGATACAGAGACACCTTAGTGCTCTCCCTTCCCCTCCTGTCCCTTAGTTCTCCCCTACCCCTCTGTCTCTTAGTGCTCTCTCTCCTTCCCTCCCTTAGAGCAGACCTCTCAGTCCTTAGAGCTCTCCCCTGCCCCCTGCCCCTTAGTGATTCTCTCCACCCCACTCCCCCTTTAGTGGTTCTCTTCTCTCCCCCCCCCTTAGTGGTTCTTTCCTCCTCCCCCGCCCCCTTTAGTGGTCACTATTCTCCCCCCACCCCTTAGTGGTTTCTACTCTCACCTCTCACCCCCACCCATCCTTTAGTGGTCTCCCACTCCCTGTGTAGCGTGGCCGGGCGGCGCAGAACGCGGTACAGGAGCTTCTGTTTCCTGTACACGGCCAGACTGAAAGGAAGTGCTCTCTCAGTGAGCACTTCCTTTCAGTCTGGCCGGGTACAGGAAACCGCAGTCCGCGCCGCCCAGCCATGCAACTCAGAGTTACTGGCAGGAGGGAGCGCTGTGCGCTTCCTTCCTACCTGGTCACTCAAATCTGGCGTCCCCCTGGGTCGGTGTGCCCTAGGCGCCTGCCTAAGTCGCCTATAGGAAGTGCCGGCCCTGGTCCCGGGCGATCCGGGACACGTAGGCACCCTACCAGCAACCGATGGCAGCGTGCCCAAAGAGAGGGCTCGGCGTGCCAACTGTGGCACGCGTGCCATAGGTTCACCATTGCTGATCTATTGTGTTATAATTACATACATTTGAGCACAAACCTATTGAATTACTCTTAAAATTATAGAACATAAAAATATGTTATTTTAAAGGAACTCTCTCACAAAAAAGTCTGTAGGCAACTGGTATGCTGAATAGTATAGTGGTGTTAAAGGAACACTATAGTCACCCAGACCACTTCAGCTCAATAAAGTGGTTTGGGTGTCAGGTCCCTCAGGTTTTAACCCTTCAGATGCAAACATAGCAGTTTCAGAGAAATTGCTATGTTTACATTAGGGGTTAATCCAACCTCTAGTGGCTGTCTTCCTGAGAGCTGCTAGAGGCGCATCTGAGATGCTGGTTGCGAAATTTGCATCCAGCGTGCACAGGGTCCATAGGAAAGCATTGAGAAATGCTTTCATATGGACACTTTGAATGTGCACGCGGCATTTGCCACGCATGCTCATTCGACTCCAGTGATGGCGGATGGGGGAGCTGACGTCGGACGGGGAGGGGAGGTCACTAGTGCCGAGGGAGCCCGGCACTTGAATATGGTAAGCTGCTGAAGGGGTTTTAACCACGGGAGGGGGACCCTGAGGGTAGGGGCACTATAGTGTCAGGAAATCCGCTTTGTTTTCCTGACACTATAGTGATCCTTTAAGAAAAAAATGTTTAGACTTTACTGCATGTATCATGTATCAGATTCCTCTCTGGTAGAAATTACTGGATCTGATCACGTGATGTTTGTTACTTCTGCTGTAAATGAGTCTGGAGGTGAATAAGCAGCATTATGAAAAAACACAAGGTTATTCTCTCCAAATTGTGGCGACATGTCATAAATAGCTGATCTGGAAAAATTTCACATCTCACCTATAGTCACAGATTATTTAAGCTACATTTATGCCATATGGATTTAATTCACTACAATCCTGAGTTTAGTTAAAGTTTTTACATATAACATTTTTTTCTGAGAAGGGTTAAATAGGTATTGAGGTCTAAACATGTGCAATGTGTAGGAAGCACTTTCAATTTCTGAAATAAACACTTTTATAAAATCAAATCCATTGATATAAAAACAGTTCTGACATAAGTGAAACAATATTTAGAATTAAAAAAATCATGGCAAGCAAAACCATCTGCCGACGCTAAGATCGCAGAACAAATAAAACCAATACCTACTGACCACGACAGGCCTCCTCTTTGGGAAGTTTAAACAGGCTTATTTACTAAAATGGACAATTTTCAAGATTATTACCTGGAAAAATGCTCCAAGTTAGCTGTGTTTTCTATTTTGACCTTAAATTTGAAATTCGGTTTGAACTCCCAACAATTTTCAATTTAGTGAGTAACTCAATGAACCTGCTGTCAGGTCTACAATTAAAATAGTAGATAGTAAAAGAGTCTGACCCTTTCCATCTACTATTTCATTTCATTTTTTTTTTTCACTGAAGATATACAGGGCCGTCTTTAAGGAGGGGCAAACGGGGCAGCTGCCCTGGGCCCAGTTACTCATGGAGGGCCCAAAGCAGCTGCCTCGTGGGCCCCGTCGCCTGCAATAATTTTTTTTTTTTTTTTTTAAATATTTCCCTACCTAATGGGCCCGCGGTGCTAGTATTGCGGCTGCACTGGGGACCGCACACTAAGGGGGCCCACCGGGTGGCCCATACCTTTAGGGCCACCCAGTGAGCATGTTACAGCAGAGGTCCGGTCGGCGCTGTGGCCCTTTAACAGCGCGACCGGGTCCTTGCTTAACGGCTGCATGGGAGGAAGTGACGTCCGCAAATCACTTCCTCCCACCTCAAAGATATCGGGCCGCGCGGGAGGCTGCTAGCCAGGATCCAGTGAGGAGGGGGAGCAAGAAGAGCCAGACCCCCAACTCCCAACTACCCCAGCCAGCACACTGGACCCCAGGGAAGGAAGCCTCTTTCAAAGGTAGGAAACTGAAGGGTGTCTGTCTGTGTGTGTGTCAGTTTGTATGTATGTGTGTGTGTCAGTATGTATGTCTGTGTGTGTGTCAGTATGTATGTCTGTGTGTGTCAGTATGTATGTCTGTGTGTGTGTCAGTATGTATGTGTGTGTGTCAGTATGTATGTGTGTGTGTGTGTCAGTATGTATGTCTGTGTGTGTGTCAGTATGTATGTCTTTGTGTGTGTCAGTATGTATGTCTGTGTGTGTGTCAGTTTGTGTGTCTGTATGTATGTCGGTGTGCCAGTCAGTATGTCTGTGTATGTGTCAGTATGTATGTCTGTCACAGTGTCAGTATGTCTGTCACAGTGTCTGTGTGTGTGTGTCAGTGTGTATCTGTATGTTGTCAGTATGTATGTATCTGTGTGTGTGTGTGCCAGTGTGTATACCTGTGCATGTATCTGTATGTAGCTAATGTGTGTATCTGCATTTGTCAGGTTATGTATCTGTGTGTCTGTATGTTGTCATTGTGTGTGTCTGTGTATCTGTATGTTGTCAGTGTATGTGCGTGTGTGCATCAGTGTGTCTGCATGTGTGCCAGGTTGTGTCTGTATGTGTGTGTGTCAGTGTGTGTAAATGTGTCTGTATAGCTGCATCTGTATGATTGTGTATATCTGTGTATCTGCAAGTGTTTCTGTGTGTGTATGTGTATCACAGTGTGTGTGTGTTTGTGACAGTGCATGTGTATTTGTGCATACATCTCAGCATTCAACACTACACGCAAATACACACCTGCATTCAAACTTCAACACTACATATAAACACACCTCTTTTTTTAAACAATAAAATTATATATAAACACACCAGTGTATTCATAAATCAACAACAAAGAGGAGTTAGGCGCTCACTAAATAAACTAAAGGTGGGCAGCAGTGAACCAAGCAGGAATTCCCAATACCTGCTCACAGTAGTAAAACAGAAGAGACAAAAGTGGTAAACCGCGCCCAAACAGTGCAAATAATAATTAAAATATATACATACAGAGAGTCCTCTAATTAGGAATGTATAAAACCTTCAAGACAAAAAAGTACAGAACAATAATAGTGCAATATGTCAAGTGAAATAAGAGTATGTAAAAGCTTATAAAAGACTCACTCACACTTTGCAGAGCTACTCAGAGCTCTGCCGTATAGCGCCTAGACGGTATAATCCCCGTCTCAGGATATCAAGTGATGGTATAATGCGGTATCCAATCCTCCACAGTGGTATATGGAAAGATAAAAATAGAAATAAAATCCAATAGTGTAGTATATCTATTAAAAAGTGTGCAAATAAAGGAAAAGTATCCTACTTACAAATTTCAGAGCAAATATCTTGCTCTGGTATAGACAGCATGTGGTGGTATGATCCCCACCAAAGGATATAAGTCAGGATTCAAGATGTATCAGGAACAACAAATAAAGTAGTAAAAACTATAACTTTATTGTTACAAAATAAAAAATATGTAATAAAAGTATCAGATCTCTTAACGCGTTTCGCCCGGTCTGGGGCTTCTTCTTCTTGTGTGTGTCAGTATGCTGAAGAAGCCCCAGACCGGGCGAAACGCGTTAAGAGATCTGATACTTTTATTACATATTTTTTATTTTGTAACAATAAAGTTATAGTTTTTACTACTTTATTTGTTGTTCCTGATACATCTTGAATCCTGACTGGCAATTCCTTATGGATTCCTGTTCGATCAAAGAGTTAGAGCAGAACATGCATTATACATAGCATTCTTTATATACTGTCGATCAACATGTAGAATTGATTTGCACATAATAAATCATGCCTGATCTGTCTTCCCTGTATACAGGGAGTGCAGAATTATTAGGCAAGTTGTATTTTTGAGGATTAATTTTATTATTGAACAACAACCATGTTCTCAATGAACCCAAAAAACTCATTAATATCAAAGCTGAATATTTTTGGAAGTAGTTTTTAGTTTGTTTTTAGTTATAGCTATGTTAGGGGGATATCTGTGTGTGCAGGTGACTATTACTGTGCATAATTATTAGGCAACTTAACAAAAAACAAATATATACCCATTTCAATTATTTATTATTACCAGTGAAACCAATATAACATCTCAACATTCACAAATATACATTTCTGACATTCAAAAACAAAACAAAAACAAATCAGTGACCAATAAAGCCACCTTTCTTTGCAAGGAAACTCAAAAGCCTGCCATCCATGGATTCTGTCAGTGTTTTGATCTGTTCACCATCAACATTGCGTGCAGCAGCAACCACAGCCTCCCAGACACTGTTCAGAGAGGTGTACTGTTTTCCCTCCTTGTAAATCTCACATTTGATGATGGACCACAGGTTCTCAATGGGGTTCAGATCAGGTGAACAAGGAGGCCATGTCATTAGATTTTCTTCTTTTATACCCTTTCTTGCCAGCCACGCTGTGGAGTACTTGGACGCGTGTGATGGAGCATTGTCCTGCATGAAAATCATGTTTTTCTTGAAGGATGCAGACTTCTTCCTGTACCACTGCTTGAAGAAGGTGTCTTCCAGGAACTGGCAGTAGGACTGGGAGTTGAGCTTGACTCCATCCTCAACCCGAAAAGGCCCCACAAGCTCATCTTTGATGATACCAGCCCAAACCAGTACTCCACCTCCACCTTGCTGGCGTCTGAGTCGGACTGGAGCTCTCTGCCCTTTACCAATCCAGCCACGGGCCCATCCATCTGGCCCATCAAGACTCACTCTCATTTCATCAGTCCATAAAACCTTAGAAAAATCAGTCTTGAGATATTTCTTGGCCCAGTCTTGACGTTTCAGCTTGTGTGTCTTGTTCAGTGGTGGTCGTCTTTCAGCCTTTCTTACCTTGGCCATGTCTCTGAGTATTGCACACCTTGTGCTTTTGGGCACTCCAGTGATGTTGCAGCTCTGAAATATGGCCAAACTGGTGGCAAGTGGCATCGTGGCAGCTGCACGCTTGACTTTTCTCAGTTCATGGGCAGTTATTTTGCGCCTTGGTTTTTCCACACGCTTCTTGCGACCCTGTTGACTATTTTGAATGAAACGCTTGATTGTTCGATGATCACGCTTCAGAAGCTTTGCAATTTTAAGAGTGCTGCATCCCTCTGCAAGATATCTCACTATTTTTGACTTTTCTGAGCCTGTCAAGTCCTTCTTTTGACCCATTTTGCCAAAGGAAAGGAAGTTGCCTAATAATTATGCACACCTGATATAGGGTGTTGATGTCATTAGACCACACCCCTTCTCATTACAGAGATGCACATCACCTAATATGCTTAATTGGTAGTAGGCTTTCGAGCCTATACAGCTTGGAGTAAGACAACATGCATAAAGAGGATGATGTGGTCAAAATACTCATTTGCCTAATAATTCTGCACTCCCTGTATTGTCAGTTTGTACGCACAAGCGATGTATCAGGTTTATTTACCAAAAAGGAAATTGTGGAAAATGGGCAAAGAGTTGCACATATTAGGCTAAAATAAACCGCTTCTTCTGGTACTCACACCCTAACCCAATGAGTCTGGCTATTTTGGACTGAAATGTGAATAACCCTACCAATTACCTTAAAAGCGTGAGTTTCCTTTTTAAATTCTTAAACTGCCCTAAGAGAAAATGAACACTTTACACGGACTTCTCTTTTCTTTACTTTTTATTATTTAAAAAAAAAAATGAAGAAGAGAGGTCCCAACTCACGCCATCAAGGAGCCTCCACTGGTTGCAAGTAATCCTGTAATAATGTGTTAAAAGGAAATTGAAAGATTGTTTTTCAGGTGGCAAACATGCTGAAAAATATAATGTCTTCTCTTTGAAACAATAAACAACAAATTAGCAGAATTATCCAGATTATTGTTAGCAGCAGATGGTAACATACGGCATGCAACAGAAGGGGCCTGTAGGTGAGATAATTCACTTGTGTTGTATCACTAAACTAGAAATTGAGAAGAACTGACAAATTCTGCAAATTATAGTCTAAAACATTTCTCAACAATCTCAATTTAGTAAATAAATCTAGAATATTTGGTTCTCTGTAAAATATGCAGGGATTAATTTAGTCACTGAATTTGAGTTAAACAAAGAAATTCCAAATATTTGAGTCACAACTGAGCTATCATAGCCTAAAGTTTGAAGTTCAGTTGACCTTCACTGCATTTAGCTTTTTGTAGAATAGAAACCCGTTATTAACCTATTTTTGTCTTCTTATATTTCAGAAAATAAATTAATACAACATGCTGTTTGCGATTTTCCTCTGAAGGCTCAGAGAATACAATCCCCGCTAGAGAGATAGTGTCATGGGGACAGCTTATATATGGTTCCGACACCACCACTGCATTGAAAGCGTACAGTAGGCTTTGCATCTCATTTGGGCAATTGTAATAAACCTACAGCTAAATAATGAGGTTGGGGCCCTGTAGTAAATTGACGGGAAAAATATGAGGCAGCAAAACAGAGACTTGATCGATAACAGAATATTAGAAAAAACATTGTTTGTTGGTGATACCTTTAACAGAAAATAAAAAATTATCTGATGGAAAGGTTTGCCAGCATTGCTGAATCTCTCAGTACATTGTATAATGGTGACCTCTGCTGGACCAGTCTTACAATTTCATGGTATGGAAGGGAAACTACATTAGGGAAATAATCAGAGATAAGGAGATAAAGAATGTGCACAAGATCAGAATTGTATATATTGGCTCTGTCCCAGTGTAATTTGTATACTGTTTTTGCACCGTTTGACAACTTTCCTGGGTACCTCAGATGCCCATGCTGAATCTAGGTCTTCTCCTGCTCGAAAAGACAGATGCAGCCAAGTACGGACGATCCAGGACCGCACTGATTGATGGGCATGGTTTGCATGACATTGGTCAACTGGTCAAAGTGGCGCTAACTGGATTCTCCTGCAGGAGAATCCCAAAAGTGGGTTGTGTAAGGATCCAGGTACGTGGTCAATTCACTCTAAAGGTTTGATAAATTACACTGGAACAGTGCGGGGGCATTGCGGTGCTTGGAGTGTTCCTTACAAACATACATGCGATATAATACAGGCACTCCTCAAGTTCCGTTACCACGGCTAGGTCGTTAAGCGAATATGCTTCAGACTGGCATGACAACCAAGTCTCACATGCACTAGAGAGCAGGTCCATGCTCTGTGAATTCCCTCTAATATAGACCATACTAGAGAACTGAGAAGGTCTGAGCAGTTGGTAAACAGGTAAGTCGTTAAGTGAGAACCACGTGTAACCCATATGCAGACATAACGCAAAGGTAGACACAGTAACCGATACATACAGTATGACTGTAGACATTTAAGGATAGTAGGGGTGCTCACTTATTTAGCCCTTGCAGCTGGCCATGGTTTCTCACAGGGCAGCAATGGCTATGTTGAGCCCCCATTCCTCCTAGATAAACAGAAGTTCTCTCTGATCTACTGTAGTAAAATACATTCACATTCTAGTTACATGACAATACCTCTGTCTAGTCTACCTTTGCCTCTTCAGCTGTATGAAAAACCATATTAATGGATATTTACTCATTTGTAAACATGCCTTGACATGATTATTAATCTAGTACTGTTTTCCAAGGAAATGTATCATCCATTTATCATTTCAGACATGTAGCCCTTGTAGGGGATCAAACAACATATTCAGGCAGTTCTGTGCTGCTAGAATTTTGTTAGGGGTGACTGGTGATGGTTAGGGACATCCTGTTCCCTTAATGTGCCTATTGGTACACCAGGTGGTTTTTATTTGGGGAATGAGAGCAGCACTATTTGGATATCTGAAATAGTGTTATACAGCTTATATTTATGAAATCCTTTCTGAGGTTTTGATGGGTTCCTGTGGTCTTATGTAACCAAACAGATGCAATTATATTTACTAGCAAGACAGTTGATTATCACATTTTCTCTGTGCCTGGGATGGAAGTTGTTACCATCCAGGAAGGTAAATCTGTCAATTTCTTTTGTAACGTCTTGATGAAGTTCTTATGTTGATGGTAGTGTCCAGACAGTTGATGTTTTTGTGTGAGTTGTAAGGTGACGCTTCTGTGGAGTGCAATCACAGTTCCATGGCATTTAGAATTTTTTCTTTGGAAGCAAAATAAATGTTTGGCATACTGTGGAACCATCTATGTTAACTCTACTCAAAAGAGTACTAGTTGTAAATAAATATGAAATGTGTAGGTTTTGATAGCAAATTTGTGGCCTATCATGTTGGTCCAGGAATTTCCAGCATGCTGCTATACATAGTGCATGCTAAGGACATTCAAATATTGTACAAAGAAATTAGTTGGAGCTAATATGTTTTTCATGAATCTGCCCTTATACTTGCAGACAGGCAGCTCTGAAACGCTCATTTGGATACTGTCCTCCAACCCATTGATTCTGTTACTTACCTGTAGTTCACCACGTGTGGTCTGCATTACCAACTTGCTACTGCCATACATATTTTTGTTACCCAACCATCAACTGCCACTCAAAATCTACATTACTCACTAGATGTCTGCAATTCGTAAAGCTTACAAATGTGCGAAATGCCGAACCAGACCAAATTGCTTCAGATTTCGGAAAAGTGGCAAAACAAGAGAGAGGGAAGGAAAATTAGGTAAAGGATGACATTCCCCTCCCCCATGTGGGCAACGGGCTCCCACTGCAATGATTGCCACCACAACCACTTACACATCTGTAGGGCTCCCAGGGCCAGGATTGCCACCATAACTTACACATCTAAAAGGCTCCTGCCTCCCAGTGCCAGGACAGCCACTTACACATGTGTAGTGCTCCCAGTGCCAGGATTGCCACCACAACCACTTACACCACTATAGGGCTCACCCCAGTGCCCGGACTCACACCACAACCACTTACGAACTTCGTAAGCATCCGAATGTCTGAATTGCATGAAACGGCTAGTAACTGCCAAACCGAACCGAATGCCATTGATCCGAATTGCAGAAGCAGACAAATTATTTTTACGTAACCGAATTTCCAAACTGAACCGAATATTTTGCCCATGCACATCCCTATTACTCACCAGCATTTACGGTCACCCATGGAATCCACTGCCCATCTGCAATTGCCATTTGTTACCTCTAGCCACTGTCATTTACAGATTTTGTCCCTCCAACAACTGCCACCCAAATTTCCATTACCTAACAGCAACTGAGCCAATACATTACCCTCCAGCAATCGTCACCCAAACATTCCACAAGTATATTGTTTAACCCCTTAAGGACACATGACATGTGTGACATGTCATGATTCCCTTTTATTCCAGAAGTTTGGTCCTTAAGGGGTTAAAGCGCATTGTACAACCCCTATAGCATGATATAGTAAGAACGACAAGATTTTGGTAAATGTTATTTAAACAGTATTCCATTTTGCTGTATTCTTTTACAGTTCCAGGACTATTAACAAAATCTTGCAAAACTATGCATCACTGTAAATTCCTTAACCCCTTAAGGACACAACTTCTGGAATAAATGGCAAGCATGACAGAATATTTCCATCATGTGTCCTTAAGGGGTTAAAGGAACATTATACTCATCTAAACAACTTTAGCTTAAAGGGACACTCAAGGCTCCCAGAGTGATCTGGATGCCACCTCCCACCATCATTAACCCTGCAAGTGTAATTATTGATGTTTTTATCAACAGCAATAATTACCGTCTATCACAATCAGACAGCCACTAGAGGGGCACTTCGTGTTCTTAGAACACGAAAAGTGTTTTAAACGACGCTGGACATCCTCACGCTATTTGAGGACCTCCAGCGTCACTGAAATCTCCATAGGAAAGCATTGACTAATTACCATGCATGTGCATTAGGTCTCGCCCGCTGGCTGACGTAGGTGGGGGGAGGAGAGTAGGCGGAGCCTGCCCCAGTGCTAAAGGACTCTGGTAAGGCACTGAAGTGTTTTTAACCCCTTCAGCAACATGGGATTGGGGGTGGGAGAGAGAGGGGCAGTGCAAGGTCCTGCAGTGCCAGGAAAACAAACTGTTTTCCCGGCCCTGGGGAGTCCCTTTAATGAAGCAGTTTTAGTGTATAGATCATGCTGCTCAGGTTTAATGCTCAATTCTCTGCCATTTAGGAATTAAATCACTATGTTTCTGTTTATGCAGCCCTTTCCACACCTCCCCTGGCTCTGATTGACACAGCCTGCACAATCAGATGTAATTTATCTTAAACAATTTTATCTCTTGCTCTGTAAATTGAACTTTAATAACATACAGGAGGCTCTTGCAGGGTATTAACAGAGCAGGGGATAAGAAAATCTAAATTAAACAGAATTTGCAATAAAAGGAAGGATAAACATTCAATGACTCTTCACAGGAAGTGTCTAGGAAGACTGTGCAAGTCACATGCAAGGAGGTGTGACTTGGGCTCATAAAGTGATTTAACTCCTAAATGGCAGAGAATTGAGCAGTGAGACTACAGGGGCATGATCTAGACACCAAAACTGCTTCATTAAGCTAAAGTTGTTATGGTGACTGTAATGTCTCTTTAAGCCAGTGTTGTGTAATGCATTGTTCTTTGTAAGTTTTCTAAGGCGGTGTTTGAAATTGAAGATAAAAAATAAATACAAATAAAATCAGTTACAGTTTCCCCTACAGTTATCACTTCCTTCTGTTTAGTCATTCTAGATGAGTGTAGACACTAAACTGGTTATATCAGTAACTCTTTATATGTCGTTAATTAGGTCAATTAATCCTCACTGTTTTTATACTGTGCCTACTTTCGCAATGCGGAGTTACTTCAGGGCATGTTTCTTGTTATCCACATATCGCTAATGTGACACAGTAATTCCCGACCTTGTATGCCTTTCTACCACAAACTTTGTTCTGTGCAGGTAGACAAGTGTATCTTGTGTTTACTTACCCCTCGCTTCCTGGTTAACAGGGGTGTGATATTCAGGTACACGTGGCAACCTAGCTCACATTTCTTTTCATGTTAAATAATCGATCAGTACGTCATGGGACGCCAAGCATAGTTCATCCTGACCATTAGAATACATAACAGAATTTAAATATCCTCTTATTTCATCTGAATACTTTTGGTAACAGATATTACTCGAGCAACATTTAATCATTTTGGGCGCAATGTATTTCTACTTACCTTACCTGTAATGCTTATAATTGGTCTATAAGATGTACCTTTCATGGCATCCGCAAGCAAGGCTTTATCACGCTGCCACTGGATTACTAACACCAAATTCCGTTGTGTCATATTCCCACTTGCGTACACCTTTGCACTTTAAGTTTTCTGTTCACATACATACTGTCAAGTTCTAGATTTCTGACTCTCATAAACTAGCTGTTTCATCAGTCTTTGTTTACAGTCCTATCTATTCAAATTTTATTTGCCACTCGGCCCAACTCACAGGTAGTGTCTCACATCACCACTTGGCACGAGTTAGGCCTCACCAGTCATGAATCCAAGCTTAACTGTTGACCCCCTCAGCCCAAGATAGATTAGCCAGTAACTGGGTGATTCACAGTTGATCCACTAAAACCATAGTAGGGCTCATTAAACACCGTTCGGGATAACTATTTTCTTCTGTTTCAGGAATGTTTGAAACAGCCGCAACAACATATCAAACGAGTGAGAAAACGTCAGAAAGGTGGAAAGAAAGAAAAAGAAGAGGGGACTAAGAAACGATAACCATCTGACACTTTGGTTTCCAGGGAGGTCTAGTTTTGGATGTTACACCAGTATACAGACTGTTGGGAAGAGTCTGTGTCCTTCCTTACAGCAGCTAGTAGTAGGCAGATGTTCCATCCAATACATTATCTTACACCCAGCTTAGTGGTCCACCCCATGTTTTTCATTAAGTTATAGTACAATTTTGCCAATTTTTACCAAACTTATTACATTATAAATCCTACATGCTTATATTCCAGGCAAGCTGGGAAATGCTAAACAATTCTAGGAACAATTTTTGGAACCCAATTTTTCAAGCCACTTGAAAAAAAAGGGGGCTTTGGTAAGTATGTTCTTAGATTAGTTTATATTTTTGCCTGCCTTATCCAGGTCGACTTGTTCGTCTGTTTCGTCTCTTACTGGTATAGCTTAAACCTTATTAAATACTTTGACCTTCGTCCCAGATGACATTTATTTCAATGTGGTTACTTTGACCTAAATGTTTTCATTTCCTTCCTCAAGTTTTAACTTGAGGAATTTCACTCCCTTTTTCTTCTCAAAACACAAACCTAAAATCGCTCTTCTTTCAATAAATGATCGATTAGGTTATAAAAGAGCCTTGGGTAACCAAAAGTGATCTCTGCCTAGAGCCATTATTAGCAATAGGTTATGCCAACTAAGTTGCTGTTGGGTCATTTGTAAGGTTTAGGAATAAAAATCCCCAAGCTACAGTAAAGGCATGTATACTCAGAGAAAGCATAGACTCTTGGATTTTGTCAGTATGTGAAGTCAATACACAGGAAAGAGGAATTGAGCTAGGTTGAAAACAAAATCCAATTTCACCAAAATCACCTTCTCAGATCTTTGTCTTGTGCCTTCCTTAACACACATCTTCAACTGCTCTCTTCCTTCTGTCATTGTCCCTGCAGCCCATAAATATGCTACTCTTGCACCCGTCCTCTCCTAACTAGCGTCCCATATCCCTGCTCCCTTTTCCCCTCAAAGCTTCTGGAAAGACTGGTCTTTACCAGTCTGGCTTGCTTTCTCAATTTCAACTCTCTCCTCGACACTCTTCAGTCTGGTTTCTGCCTCCTTTACTCTACTGAGACTGCTCTTGTTAAAGTTACCAAGGACCAAATCCAGCTTCTTGTCTTTCCTCCTCAATACTGATCCTTCTCTTTTTCTTTCCCTTCAAGTTGATGGTATCTGCACCAGCTCATCAATGCAAGCACACTGTCTTGGTGTTATAATTGATTCTGGACTCACCTTTGAGCCTCACATCCAGTCTATTGCCAAATCCTCTTGGTTCCACCTTACAAATTGCCCACACCCACCCCTTTCTTACCCAAGATGCTATTAATGAGCTTGTTCATGCTCTAGTAATCTCTTGCATTGACTATTGTAATACCCTCCTAATTGGTCTTCCCAGAAGCCACACTGCCCAGCTATAGTCTGTAATGAATGCTGCCGCCATAGACTGATTTTCCTCTCTAGTTGCTTCTCTCACATCTCTCCCGTCAGTCCTTTCATTGAATTGACTCCTATAGGATACAGGAAGTCAAAGTACTAATTCATACCTATAAAGCACTGAACAACTCTAGCTTGTTATATCTCTTCACTGATTCACAGGTATGCCCTCTTTGTCTCTCCGCTCTGCCCATGATCAACTCCTGTCCGCTGCTCGCACTTATACAGCAAACTCATGCTTGCAGGACTTCTCGCAGGCAGATCCTTTTCTTTGGGATAGCCTGCCAACCACCAGACTTTCTCCTAGTCTTCAATCATTTCAAAAGTGCCTCTAAACCCATCTCTTTAGGAAAGCTTACGGCCTCCCAGAGTAACCTCTGCCTTAGATACCTGTCCTTTGCTCTCTCTCAAAGGGCAGCACTCCACTCTCTCCTCCAGCTCTGCTTCACTCACACTTTCCAGACCTTTGTTTACTTAACATAAAGTAGCTCCTTGCAACTTAAGCAAGAGATTATGAAAATCAGGCTTTAGGAGAGGATAGCCAGCACTGAAGAGAGGTATATGTCAGTAGATACCACCCCAGGTCCTATCATGTAAATGGAAATGCCACCATGATTTAAAAAAAAAAAAAAAAAAAAAAGTACAAAGACTCCACGGGACACAGTTCAATTTTAAACATATCAACCAATACGATAAGTCTTATATTAAAAGACAGATTACAAAAGGAAGTCCTAATTAGATCACTTAGGACAACCTTTTACAAAGTTTACAATTGAGGCTTATCCAATTTATTTTGCTACCATTGGGAATCTGTTCCAGATATATATTACCTTTTTACAGCAGGATTTTTAAAATTCCATTACCAGTCATTCTTCTACCCTTCACTGGAAAACAGTGGCCTTTTGCACCCTGAAGTGGTGTCCCCTCAATTGACTGCAATGTATAATGTGGTTTTTATACTGCATTTTGGATGGCCAATAATTAAACATGGTATATTTATTTAAACAGTTAAGAAAAGTGGACGCTTTCAGATAATCATCAAGTTTCACATAATTCATTTAATACGCAAATATACTTAATTTCCTCAATAACTGCCCCATTTATATTGATTTTTGATGTAGGTTCCATACATAGTATGCTCTGAACAAAAGGGCCCCATTTATGGCTTAGCTCTAAACAAGAGTTCTCATCGAAAGGAATGCTTTAAAAACGTGTAAAATAAAAGGCTCCACCTAATACAGAAGATATTCCTGATATCTCATTAAAATGCAGAGACACATTCACCAATGTACAGGCTGCAAGTGTAATCAGGAACAAAAAAATTATAAAAAAAAATCCAAACAAAAAAGGCATACTAATGCTGACCAGAATTTGCATAATTTAAGATACATATCCAAATAATTTTTTTCACAGCCGTCACAGAAAGCAAGAGGAAAACAAATTAATTGACAGTTACAATCACAATCTTTTATGCAGTAAGTAAATGCATAGTAGACAAATTTGTCTTTTTATATAAATCATGAGTTTTTAACCCAAAGTCCCCCCACCTCCCCTCCAAAAACAATAACATAGAAACGTAAATAAAAGCTCTGCCTATCTGCTTGTATAATTCACAAACATAATTCTAAGCCAGGACTTTCCGGGGTGTTTGAATAAATTATATGTTGTAGATCGAATAAACTACATCTGACAATTTGGACAAAAAAAAAAAAGAAATATATAAAATAAATAAAAAAAAAATAAAAATATATAAACATTTGCAGGTTATTTACACTTTTCAGCAGAGAGCAGCTCTTGGGTGTACCAAAAAAAGGGGTTCAATCACTAAAAAGTACATTTCTGGTCTTCATTCTACAAACTTCTAAGTCCTGCATGAATATCAAATTATAGCATCACTGTTTGCTAAATGCAGATCTGAAACACGGACCCCATCTGCAAGCTATGCTAACCAGCATATACAGATTTCACCTGTCCATGTAGATTTCCTGAGTTTGTATCAAAGGGAAAATAAATATTTTAAAAGATCAAATACACTTCACCCATATAATTTTTTTAAACTTTTGTTGTTTTTTTTAAAAAAAAAAAAAGTATTTTACCTGTCGACAGGTGACTGGACGGACATGTTTTAAAGCTAATGCTATGCTACCAATTAGAGAAACATGCAGGAAAGGAAAGATCCAACCCTATAGACTTTCTCCTTGAATAAATCTATTCAAATGTTTATGGTAATGGGCTTGGGTGTTCAATACAATAACAAAATCTTAAAGCCTTCTATGGACGTTCTACAACACAACACCTGATAATAAAGGTTTTCTGAAGGAGTCACTTCTGGGTTTCATCCAACCAATGGGATGATTCCTCAGATTAAATATACGTAATTTACATTAAACAATATGAACATGATTAAAAATCTTTCAAGATAAATAAAAACCTGAAATGTCACAAGTTGATCCAAAGAAAGTTACTCTGAAGTGGAAGAGAGGTCAAGAAAAGAAAAAAAGGGGAAAAAAAAAAAACCGTAGTGCGTATTTACTAACCAGAATGAGGCATCTTCAAAACTGATCATATACTCTTATAAAATATGCACTCTCACTGAAAACAAAAATTAAAAGGGAACCCCTCCCTCCAAAAGAAACAAAAGCCAAAAAAACAAAAAAAAACCACTTCGCCTCTGTTTCATTAATGTTGTGACCCTGGGCTACTTTGAGCAGTTAAAGCCCACAATATACAACCACCACTGTTCTTCAACTAATTAGGGCATTTTCCATACTAAACAAGAAATTTATATATTAAAAAAAAAACCAAAAAAAAAAAAAACCTATATATATATATATGCCATATTTTACAAGGAGTGTTGAACTGTAAACTAATGTAGTTTGAGCTGACAGTAGTCTCCCCAGTTTCACACAATAACTTAATACTGAGGTGGTCATTCAGAATAATGAAGGCATTGAAATCATATCTGCATAAATCCCATTTTTTTAAATGTCTGAAAGGAGAAAATCCTAAAAAGATTTTTTTGTGTTAGAGCAAACCTAGCAAATGCCAGTAGTGTCCTTTAACTCAAACTCACCAAAGTCTTGGGAACGTCCCAGACCGAGGTTAAGCAAATTAATCCTTTTTTAGCTTATACAGTTTTGAACTCTAAAAAGTCACTAGTCTAGAGGCCCCTGGAAAATTAGTCTGATGTAACCTTGTTCTCCTGCAAGTTGGTGGGCGCAGAAAGGACAGGCAGCGTGGAAGGTGTGAGTACCGTGAGGAAGTGGAATCTGAGACCAATAGGAAGTTGTCTTTTCTGAACACACATGTCCACATGGGCTAAAGGCATGAGTTGGAGGGCCAGCGTCAACATAAAATCCAGCTTCACAACCTAGCCAAAGAGGAACATACGGCCCCACTGAGCGGCACATAGGACACTCCCGATCCTTCCCATCTCGCTCCTCTTTGTTTCCCCAGTTGTGGTAACCATGAACATGACCACAGCTCAGATAAACCCATGGCTGCTTCTCATCGACAACATCTTTTCTTTTCATACTAGGAAATGCAAGTGTGTTAAATCCAACAGGACACTGGGGCCTTGCTGCATTGATTTCCTGTCTCAGGGCTTCCAAATGTTTTACAGTTGGAGTTCTGGAAAGGCCTTCTGCAGTGCGCCATAGCAATGTTGCACCACATAAATCAATCAAGGAACCATCCTGAAGTTCATTGCTTTCGTTTTCCACCTGAAAAATCAGAAATCACAAACATGAGTCACTAACATGAGCCACTAACATCTGCCCCATGTTGTACACACACACACACACACACACCCACACACCCACACAATACTCAAATTTGCCTCTCGGCCAACTGCACAGAATAACCAGGCAAGAAGGAAGTTTTTACAATACATGAATCATGTTAGATCTTCATTAACAGCCTCATTTACTAGAATAAGAGCCTGCCAGTTCACTGGTGACTATTCGATATTTTATGAAACTTTAGGGATGTTTTTCTATTATGCCTAGCTAGCCATCCAAATGGTTAATATAGAAAAATGAAGAAAAAAAAACAAAAAACAAAAAAACGTTAATGCACTCCACAAATGGAATAGAAAATACATTCTATAAGTTTTTGGGCAACTGTTTAAAATGTGTTGCTGACTGCTTCTAAGGCACATCAAAATGCCCACCCACAGGCCTTCAGAAACCAAAATACAGTACAAGTTATTGAAAGAACTTCTACAATCAAGAGATTCTGAAACTCCCAAATAGGTATTGCCTCGAGCAGAGAATAAATATGGTTGACATCTCCAGAAGCAAAGAAGCAGTACTTAGGGGTAATCATCAGCATGGTAGAGACAAACACATCTGAAGAAAAAACTGGGAAAAACATGCTCCTGTAAAATTCGGCATCATACTACAAACCTTAGACTTGAGGAAAAAAAAAAAAAAAAAACCAGTCCTTTTAAAGGGACACTAATTTAGTAGTTCTGGTGTCTATAGCCTGTCCCTGCAGGATTTTAAAAATAAAATCTGACTTTTCAGACAAAAGGCAGTGTTTACATTAGTGCCTAGTAACACCTCTAGTGGCAGTCATTTAGTTGGCTACAATAGGTGCTTCCTGTGTCAGTGCTGCAGTGTGCAGCACCTTCATTCAGCATCTCCACAATCTGCATAGAGGCACTGAGAATTCACCATAGAGATGCACTTGTTCAATACACCACCGCACATGCACAATATCCTATAGGAAAGCATTGGATTGGCGGAGATCATCAAGATTGGGGTCTGCCTGGGCAAGACCAACATGATGTAGGAGAAAAAGGTGAGCAAATTCACCATTTCAGGACGATCTGTGTGGGACGGTCACCTAAACAGCCACACTAGCACTATAGTGTTCCTTTAAAGACAGAATAGGATTTCTAAATTTCTGAATGTTTTGGTTACCAGAAAGTGTCAACACCGCTCTGACAGCCACTACCGATCTGGAGTCCTAAAACTACCAAACAGCAGTCAAGTGGTTAAAGGAAATGCCTTCACATGCCAGGGCTTTGCAGCTCAATCTGTCAAAGAACAGTCTCGTTATGTAAAAGAAAACATGTTAAAGATGAATCATCATGAAGCGCTCACATTTTTTTTTTTTGGGTGGAACAGTATGTTCTGAACTTGACAAGATAAAAATTTAGTCAAAAGCTGCCACACATAGATTCATGTGAAAATAGCTCAACCTTAAAAAGTTTATAATAACCAATATATCCATCTATCTCCATATATCCAGTGTATAGATGGCACTCGCCTAGGGCGCCGACCTGCTGGGTGCGCCCACCATGATGTTTCCTGGTGGGCTCCCCCTGTCTGTGCCTCCAGCGCCGGGCCGCTCCTCAAGGCGCCCGAAGGTGGGGCGCCGAGAGGAGCCCTATCACAGGGGGGCCAGGAGGTGGCCATTTGAACACCTCAGGGCGCCCCCAATGCAAAACTAGGTAAGGCAGAGCAGGCACCTGCTTACCTTGATGGCAGGTGCCTACTCTGCCATTAAATGCCGGTGAGAGGGGCGAGGAGGAGGAGTAGAGCGGATGGAGAATGCAGGCAGCGAGGCAAGCTGTTCTAGCAGCCTCTCACTCCTTCCTCGCGCGCTCTGTGTGATGCCATTCTGACCCCGGCATACTAAACGGCGTGCTGGAGGAGTGAGGAGCTGCCTCACACTGGACCCCAGGGAGGGGAGTATTTGATGGTAATTGTCTGTGTGCGTGCGTCAGTGAGTGAGTCAACGAGCGCCTGTGTCTCGGTCAGCGAGTGACATGAGGGGGCGGCAAAATGGATCTTTGCCTAGGGCGGCAGAAATCCTTGCACCGGCCTTGCTCACACGCCTTTTCCAGCAAAAAGTTAGTTTTAACAGTTTATATTTGCTCAATGGAAATAGTCAACGTTTCAGTTTCATCATTAAATCCATCCTAAGGATAGGACTATTTTAATTGCAATTGCACCAACATTCTAGAATATTGTAAGATGGCACCACCCTTGATGCATACCATTTTCCCTCTCTGTTGAGCCGATCGAGTTTCTCGCAAGCTAAAGACATTGCCACACACAGATATTTCTCGCCATACTCCTGGCTTCGAGTCTTCAGTGAATCCATTGCGTGGATGCATAACGAGGACTCCATTTGTGGTCAACCCATCCATCTGTCCATCTAACGTCTTCCATTTGGCAGCTTTTTCCTGTAAGGAATGGGGGGGGGGGAATAATTCATAAAGCAAAAGTCCTTTGTAGATTTCCAGTACATAAATAACATGTATTTCAAGTGCTCTTACCCCAAGAAAAATGTTTTTGGAGGAGTCAAACCCTGCCGCATATATCCGTGCAGTAAATGGTGGGTTCCTTTCACATATGATTCTGCAGGCAAATCTGGAAATGGTGCTCTGAACAGACTGTGTATCAGAGTTACTCTGGCTTCCTGGAACAGTGTCTGTTACCACAAAATCAATCGGGCTTTCAGTTGACCGTCCAATCTGGAGATGGGAAACAAGACAGATATTCTTACATCAGAGAATGCTCAGTAGACAAGTTGCATCTCTACTGATTACACTGGACATATACAAGAAAATTATTCAGGGCAGAAAAGTTTACTGCATTATGTAGCTGAGCTCCAATACGTAACATAGGTATCTCCACTAGTCAGTCCTCATAGCTGAAATAAGCAGTATAATAATCCACAACACTTTCCCCCCAGCAACTAGACGAGACATAGTTCTGGGAGTCAGCTGGTTTTATTTTGGCCACACACTGCTTTTATGCACAGACCCCTACATGGGGTGTCGGATACAAAAATACAGGGCTTTTCCTCCCAAGATCCACTGTCCCTGAGAGATAATTGTGTGAGAAAAGTCTATAACTCAAATACAGGTACAGAAAAATCTACAATAATTTAAAAACACCCCAAAAATGCATCTTCATAATTCAGAACCCCACTGAAAAGCTTGGATCTGAGTGCATACTTTGATGAAATATCACACAGATCCCTTCGGTGGCTTGGGAAAGCCATTCAAATAAAGTTTTGACCGGTCGGCCATGAGGTGATACCCCAAAACAGTTCCAGAGAAAACAAAGCAACGACCGGTCATCTTTCGGGGGTTCTCGCACGGACACTGATAACTAATCTATTCCCTGGCTGTTCGTATACGAATGCTCCCCCTGTTTGGTAGTTTATGCCTCCCGAACATTGTTCTACCTGTTCGGGAAGTTAGATGGGCAGTGGCTTGCGGGTTTGTGTATTCGAAATTAGTTCCACGCTGTCGACAACCATGTACCGATGCCCACATTCGGGCAACAAGATGGCCGCCAATTGTTTGAACACACATTATACGAACGGCGGCCACACAGGGGAACACAAGAACTATTAACCAATTTGTGGTTAACAGCCAGGGGCGGTCAGTAATTAAAAGGTGTGAACAAGGAGACCACACAGTGTTTATTCAGTAAACGAACGGAGCCGTACGAACAGCCAAACAAAAGTGTAGCTAGAGCATCCATTCTGCTACACATTACATGAAAAATATCTTAATATTAAAAAAAAAAAAAAAGTGATGAGATTAGACTGGCAGTTTATTTACAGGGCATCTATAATCGCAAAGCTGATGCTGCACCCATTTTCAGAGTGATGGAATTGCTACATTTCTATGATTGCCCACCAGAGCAGGTAGTCAGGCATCATGTCAATTTAACATTTATTTACTCTCAAAACACCAGGGCATGAAAATTAATCTTATTCATGGCATCCTTGGTTAGTTTATGTTCAAAAGGAGTCTTCGGAAAGCCAAAATAAAGTCTGAAACATAATGCCTATATTGTGATAACGTGAATGTCAAGCAGGGAATTCTGAGATAATTATCGAAACAAGATTTCTTGGAATTGCTGTGCCCCAGGCAAACTTTTCTAAGGCCCTACTTGAGATATGTATGTGATGTGCAACAGTAACTTAACATTTCCATTAAAGCATTTCATTGGTAGACCCTTTATGGATGCAAACCATTGCCAAGCAGTTTGCCCCATTGCCGGGGAATGGGTCACGGTACTTCTGAAATCATAACTAAACAGCGCTAGAACCCTTTAACTGAAATCCGTAGTCCCAATATAGCCTGGTGGCTATTGACTAAGTGAAGCACTTTTAAAGGAATTTCAAGACCAATCAAAAAGCACTACAGAGAATCTTACTGAGAAATGCTGGAATCCCACTTAACCATTTGAATGCCAGCAATGTGCTCCACCCTGTAGAACTTTGAGGATCCAAATGTATAAAGCAACAGCACATGGAGGGAGGTGCAATAGTTAATCTAGTTTAAAGGACCACTCTAGGCACCCAGACCACTTCAGCTTAATGAAATGGTCTGGGTGCCTGGTCCGGCTAGGGTTAACCCAATTTTTAATAAACATAACAGTTTCAGAGAAACTGCTATGTTTATTAATGGGTTAAGCCTTCCCCCTATTCCCTCTAGTGGCTGTCTCATTGACAGCCACTAGAGGCGCTTGCGTGCTTCTCACTGTGATTTTCACAGTGAGAGCAAAGCGTCATAGGAAAGCATTGTAAATGCTTTCCGAGACGCTGAATGCGAGCTGCGCTGCGGCGCATTCAGCGGGCAACGGAGGAGGAGAGGAGGCGGAGAGCTCCCCGCCCAGCGCTGGAAAAAGGTAAGTTTTTACCCCTTTCCCCCTTCCAGAGCCGGGCGGGAGGGGGTCCCTGAGGGTGGGGGCACCCTCAGGGCACTATAGTGCCAGGAAAACGAGTATGTTTTCCTGGCACTGTAGTGGTCCTTTAAGAAATACATAAAAAAAAAAAAAAAACGCAACACAAAACTTCTTACCTGGAACATATCTGTGTTGCTATCATGTGTGTATTCTACAACCACAGTTTGCGCCCGTGACAAAGTATAGGATATGCTGTGCTGGTCCTTGTTACTTATTGCCTATAACAAAACATTTCAGTTAAAGGTGGACAGTGGATCACAACAGGATAGCAGCTTTCATTTCTACACTGTTTAAAGTATGTGCTCATATGTTAGACAATTTATAAAAGGGCTGATTTAAAAAAATTAAAAAATAAAATATTTATAATTAGGGTGAAAATACAGGCAGAACTCCCCCCCGAGTAGTCTGATGGTACATTCCTATGAACAGATTGAAAGTCTTTGACAGGGAAAGAGGGGAGGCTTATGTCCCCCAAATAATACACCCTCAAAGAAGATATGCAGAAATTTAAAAAAATAAATAAAATGAAACATCTCAGCATATTTTAACCACAGTTTTTCAGCAATGGTTACAATGTTTTCTTTAGACAATGATACATACAAAGAGAGACTAAAATGAAAGACACGTTAGGTAATGCAGAAAAATCGAGGGTTGGTGGGTAGGAGAGGGGGAATGTAGCTGAGGTCTTATGCCTATGTAGGGAAAACAATTATAGCACTAAAGGTGGCTGGCACAGATACAAACAGCCCGAAAGACACTAGAGGCAATGGGAACAAGAGAGGGAAGGAGGAGATAAGACAAGAATGGTAGACAGATCAAGGACAATTAGCCAAACAAAAAGGGTTAACTGCTGTAATCTTATGAGCAATAAAGTATCAGGGTGAAGAGCGTACTATGCGAGTACAAAACAAAGTATGCATTCAAAATTAAAAAAAGAAAAACCAAAAATAAACAAACACCATGACATGTCAAAAGTAAACATAACATTTAAAGTTTTCCAAACTTGGAGGACACTTGATCAGTACAAAATGATGTTAAATAAGGTAAAACAAAACCATATGCATCAAATTAAATAATTTAACATTTACATAACAATTTACACTACTCATGACGTTTTCAAAATGTACCCAAATGGGGCTGCTGTCTTGGCAGTAATATACAACTGAAACAGTTGAATACCACGAGACGTCACTTGCTAAGAAAACTAATTTAGACTTACCTTGTCCCAACTAAAAATACTTTAAGCAGGGTTAAAGGGACACTATAGTCACCTGAACAACTTGAGCTTAATGAAGCAGTTTTGGTGTATAGAACATGCCCCTGCAGCGTCACTGCTCAATCCTCTGCCATTTAGGAGTTAAATCCCCTTGTTTATGAACCCTAGTCATACCTCCCTGCATGTGACTTGCACAGCCTTCCATAAACACTTCCTGTAAAGAGAGCCCTATTTAGGCTTTCCTTATTGCAAGTTCTGTTTAATTAAGATTTTCTTATCCCCTGCTATGTTAATAGCTTGCTAGACCCTGCAAGAGCCTCCTGTATGTGATTAAAGTTCAATTTAGAGATTGAGATACAATTATTTAAGGTAAATTACATCTGTTTGAAAATGAAACCAGTTTTTTTCCATGCAGGTTCTGTCAATCATAGCCAGGGGAGGTGTGGCTAGGGCTGCATAAACAGAAACAAAGTGATTTAACTCCTAAATGACAGTGAATTGAGCAGTGAAATTGCAGGGGAATGATCTATACACTAAAACTGCTTTATTTAGCTAAAGTAATTTAGGTGACTATAGTGTTCCTTTAACCCCTTAAGGACACATGACATGTGTGACATGTCAGGATTCCCTTTTATTCCAGAAGTTTGGTCCTTAAGGGGTTAAGCATATGGTAGATCCCAGATTCCAAGAAAGTCAACTGTCATGATGCTTTACCAGCATTCAGAATGAGAAAGCATCAGGGTAGGTGTAGTTCTACAACAACATTTGGGAATCTAGTGTTTGCCGAGCCATAGCTTAACCCCTTAAGGACCGAGGACGGTTCAGGACGGTCATCGACATTTTTGCATGTTAATTAAAAAAATAAATAAAAAATTATGTGCGTATATAATATAGACATTTATTATATCTATATAATATATGTCTATATATCATATATGTCATACTAAGTGTATTTTTATATTAATATATACATATATCAATATACAAATACACTTATAATTAAATTACAGACACACACATAATATATATATATATATATATTAACTATATATTGTATATATTATAAAATACAAATAAGTAATTTAAATTAAAATGTAATAAATTAAAAATTATATATCATATGAAATTTTATTCTAACTGTAGTTTGATATTAATATATATTTATATCAAAATACACTTAGAATGAAATTGTATATATATATATCTATGTATATATAAATAAATAAAAATACGAAATATACATATGTCCATATACAAAATTACATAATTATATAAATATACACGTAGACTTCAAATATATAAATATGCTTATATATTTAAATTCTACATGCGTATTTATGTAATATTTTTACATAATTTTATTGATTGCAATTTGAGGGACCTGCCTGCCAACCCAGGCCGAAAGTCCAGAGAATTTAATTTGCTAGCCCTGTAATTTTACCCTGTAACGTTCTACGACATCCTAAAACCTGTACATGGGAGACTGTACTAGGGAGACTTTGCTGAACACCAATATTAGTGATTCAAAACAGTAAAACATATCACAGCGATGATATGGTCAGTGAAAGTTACTTTTTTTGTATTTCTCACACACAAACCGCACTTTTACTGATGATATAATTGTTGTGATACATTTTCCAGTTTTGAAACACTAATATTTGTGTTCAAAGTCTCCTGAGTATAACAGTACCCCTCATGTACATGTTTTATAGTGTTTTTGAAAGTTACAGGGTCAAATATTTTTACATTGAAAATGGCCAGGTTGGTTACGTTGCCTTTGAGAGCGTATGGTAGCCCAGGAATTAGAATTACCCCCGTGATGGCATACCATTTGCAAAAGAAGACAACCCAAGGTATTGCAAATGGAGTATGTCCAGTCTTTTTTAGTAACCACTTAGTCACAAACACTGGCCAAAATTAGTGTTTTACTTTTTTCACACACAAACAAATATGAATGCTAACTTTGGCCAGTGTTTGCGACTAAGTGGCTACTAAAAAAGTCTGGACATACCCAGTATTGAATATCCTGGGTTGTCTACTTTAAAAAAATATATGTACATGTGGGGTGTTTTTCAGAGATTTATGACAGATAGTGTTACAATGTCACTATTGATACATTTGAAAAATGTATGTTTTGAAACCGCAATATCCTACTTTTACTTATAGCCCTATAACATGCAAAAAAAAAAATAGCAAAAAAGCATGTAAACACTGGGTATTTTTAAACTCAGGACAAAATTTTGAATCTATTTAGCAGTTTTTTTCCCCATTAGCTTTTGTAGATGAGTAAAAGATTTTTCACGTAAAAGTAAAAAAAAAAAAAAACACGTATTTTTTTCAATTTTTCATCATATTTTTTCATTTTTAAAAAAATTTAATTACATGAGATTATATAAATAATGGTATGTAATTTTTTGTCCTGAAACAAACAATATATAAATTTGTATGGGAACAGTAAATGAGCGAGCGGAAAATTACAGCTAAACAGAAACACCACAAAAGTGTAAAAAGATGCCTGGTCGCAAATGTGCAACATCGCAAAAACAATCCGGTCCTTAAGGGGTTAAACATGCTGTGCATGCCTTTAGAATGACAAAGCATCATGGGAGCTGCAGTTTTAAAACACCTGAGGGATCAACCTTTTGGGCACCCACCCCTGGCTTAAAGAAACATTCCTAACACCTAAAGCACTTTAATTTGCTAAATTGCTTTGTGTGAAAAGTGTCCTTCCCCCCCCCCCCCACAAAGAGTACAGAATTCGGTAGAAACTGGCACTTTTATAAATTAGCCTGGTTACACCCCTTGGCTGGTAATCAGGAAATTGGTCCTGGTTTGGTTAGCCTAGTGGAGTCAAACTCAAGAGGAATTGATCAGAGTACCTGACTTGCAAACACATCTCATTGAGCTGCATTGGGAAGTCTGTGAAACAGAAAGTGTTGTCTGGGGAAGAAGAGTGGCATGCACAGTGGACATGATTCTGTCCTAGCATTGCAGGGGTTTACCTGGTTATTTCCATTTCAGTTAATACAGATGCAGCAATGCAACACCCACAATACTTTTGCAGCCCTAACATATAAAAATTAAGTGCTTTCGACCAAAAGGTTGAGTACACATAGGTAACCTGAAGGTAGAATTTGGTCATGTGGTCAAAAGTGGCTGAGAGAACGACCCTGATATACAACTGAATGCCAGCCCAAGAAAAATTTTACTCCTGGACTTTATTTGCTCAACATCGGAGTAAACGTCGTTCAGAGTTCCCACTGGCAAGATTCTTGGTGAAATGTGCACTAGAGAAGGTTCTGTGTTTCACATTTTATTTTAATCTGATTTTAATCTGATTTTTGCATATGCCCATTATGTTTTTCTTCGTCCTTGTCTGTGTACGTTTAGCAAAGTGTAAAATTTGTCTTTTTGCTATTAATATATTAATAACCTAATTCTGTCTTTGGGCTCTATTCTGGATTCACAGCCCTGAAAAGACCAATTTAGTAGTATTTTTAAAAGCAAAGATATTTGGCTAAATTGTGTTTTATTAAATCTGATTTTGGTGGGTAACGAAGGTGCCTATTTATGATTTGCCGTGGTGGTGGCAGCTTTTGACAGTGGAGTAAAGTGTGAGTAGTATTAAGCAGGACATTTTACACTTTTTGTATTTGTGCAGTGGAGTTTTCCTTTAAGTGGCATGGGACCCCACTCAGTGGTGAATCCTGGCAAATTATATGGTAAGCACACTGAATAGACCTATGATCTTTAAAATGTACAAAAAATTTTACATACCGTAAATTTATTTTTCCTGAAGATTAGAGGCAGTGCTTTCCCAAAGGGATTTCTAATTTGGAGGGAAAAAAAAACAGGCAGGCAATTCTCCAAACTTTTTTAATCCCCTCCCCCTTATTAAGCACCTTCCTATAAATATCATCTTACCACAAACAACCCCAGAAATACACAAGCCGGTTACATGCACAATTCCAAGTTTATTAGGGAAAGGTGTGGGGGGGAGAATTATAGCACTGCCTCTAATCTTCAGGAAAAATAAATTTACGGTAAGTAAAAATTTGTTTTTCCCTTTAGATTAGAGGCAGTGCTTTACCAACCGGGTATGAAAAAGCAATCCCTTAGGGTGGGGTTCATTTCACCACTGCTTGTAGCACCTTGCGCCCAAAAGCTGCATCCTCTGAGGCTAGTATGTGTAACCTGTAATGTTTTGAGAATGTATGAAGCGATGACCATGTGGTCGCTGAACAAATCTGGGAAGGCATAGCCGCAGCTCGCAGAGCCCAGGACGTATATAGCTCTAGTAGAATGGGCCTTTACGGAGCCTGTGATTTCTGCGATACTTGTGGAATAAGCAAAATTAATACAATCCTTCAGCCATCTAGCCAGATAACTTTTTGAAGCCTTCATACCTTTTCTTGCGCCGTTAATTAAGACAAACATGCTGTTATCCTTCATGAAAGACTTGGTAGATTTTAGATATTGCATAAGACATCTCAACGTCTAGGCAGTGAAATTTTCTTTCCGAGGCATTGGATGATTTTGGCAAAAAGTAGGCAATACCACTTCTTGATTGATGTTAGATGAGGTCAAAACCGTTGGAATAAAAGATGGATCGAGCTGTAAAACTACCTTGTCTTGATGAAAAACCAAAAAAGGAAAATTCGCCCGTAGAGCTTGGAGTTCACCCACTCTCTTGGCTGAGGTAATTGCCACCAAAAATACAGTTTTTAATGATAAAATCTTCAGAGACTCTTTTTCTAGCGGTTCAAAAGGTGGCTCACACAGAGCGGATAATACTAAATTTAGATCCCAGGGCGGACATGTTTCCCTAACGTTAGGAACCAAAAGGCCCAGAGCCCTGAAGAATCTAGATATCAGAATGTTTGATGCTAAACATCTGAATGAAAAGAAACTGATAGCTGAAACTTGTAAAGAGGCTGGCTTTAATCCTTTCGCAAATCCCATCTGAAGGAATTTAAGAATCTTTTGGATGGAGGCGGAAACAGGGTTCTCTTTAAACCTACAACACCAATGACAACATTTCTTCCAAATCTTGGAGTAAATTTTAGACGTTAATTCTTTGTTAGTAGCCAATAAAATTTTTATAACCTCCGGATCTAAACCTTTACTCTTTAAAATATGGAATTCAGACACCAAGCCGTCAATTGGAATCTCTGTAGGGTCGGAAGAGGTACCATGGAATGTTCCAGTATTTCTTCTCACAGGGGAAGTTTCCAAAAAAGTTGCCCCTGGTATGTTTAGAAGAACAGAAAACCAACTTCTTCTTGGCCACCAAGGGAGGATAATGATAATCCTTACTCTTTCCAACTTGATCTTTTGAAGCACTCTGGGAATAAGAACTACCGGTGGGAACACATATGCTAGGTTGAACTTCCATGGTATCGAAAAAGCATCTATGATATCTGGTTTGTCTGTAGGGTTCAGAGATGCAAATCGTCTTGTCTTCCTGTTTGTCCTGGAAGCCATAAGGTCTATTTCTGGACAACCGAAGAGGTCTGATATTTGCTTGAAAACTTTGCACGAAAGGGGACCAATCTGTTCGTTTTAAGTGTTGACGACTCAGGGAGTCTGCTAATACGTTGAATTTTCCCATTATGTGAACTGCCGATATTGAGAGTAGGTGAACTTCTGACCATAGCATGATCTTTGAACATAGACTTTCTAATTTTGTCGATCTTGTACCGCCTTGTTTGTTCACAAATGCTACTGTCGTCCGATTGTCTGAACGTATCTGAACATGCTGATTCTTTATCTGGGACTGAAATGCAAGGAGAGCCATCCATACTGCCTTCAATTGTTTGAACTTCGGGAAGTTCTTACATCCTTTTCTTGCCAAAGCCCCTGCTTCTTTTGTTCTCCTAAATGGCCCCCCCAGCCTAATGCCGTCTGTTAAAATGCTGAAAGATTTCATTTGGAATGAAAGACCTGCCTGCAGGAATCTAGATGAGGTCCACCATGGAAGACTCCTCAGCGTCTCACTGTTGAATTTCATCAGACCATCCAGGCTGTCTGTCGGTTCCAAACTTTTAAAATGTTTCTCTGAAGAGGTCTCATTCTGGCTTTTGCCTAACAGTCTGCAGGGATAGCGGCCGTCAAAAGACCCAGTAAACTCATAGCTTCTCTGACTGAGAAAACACCCTTTTCTCTGAGCCTTTGAATTGTTTGAGTTATCTTTAGTTTCTTCCCTTTTGGAAGGAAAATCTTCATGGAGATTGAGTCTATAATTAGACCTAAGAACTGAATCCATTGAACAGGAACGAATTCAGATTTTTTGAAATTTATTAGCCAACCATGATTTCTTAAAGCTTGTAAAGCTGTATTTAGGTCTAAAGCTAGTTCTTTTGATTCTGCAATCAAAAGCCAGTCGTCTAAATAAGGGATGACAGATACCCAAACCTCTTAGGTATGCTGAGATGAGTACTAGCAGCTTTGTGAACACCCTTGGAGCAGAAGAAAGGCCGAATGGAAGGGCTCTGAATTGGTAATGCCTGGTTACCGACTGGATGCAGATTGCAAATCTTAAGAACCTTTTGCTGGATTCTGCTATGGGCACGTGTAGATAGGCATCTTTTAAATCCAGGGACGCAAACCAATTCCCTGGTTGAATAAGAAGTGTTGCTGATTTTATTGATTCCATACGGAACTTCTTTTTTATAATACACTTGTTTACGGCCTTTAGGTCTAGTATGGGTGTGAATGAACCATCTGTCTTTGGAACTAAAAATAGCCTTGAATAAGTGCCCCGATGTCTCGCTCTTCGGGGGTACTACTTCTATTACTTCCTTCTGCTGGAGTCTTGATACGTCCTGCATCAAAGCCTTTTCTGCTACCTGAGAATGAACCCTGGAACATAAATAAGTACTCTTTGGGGTATCTGCCAGTTCCAAACCGTACCCGCTCTTTATTACAGAGAGAACCCTCTGATGTAGTACTTTCCCAGTGATTTAGGAAGTGGGTCAATCTTCCTCCCACTGGCCTGGCGTTACAACATTCTATTTCTCTTGTCCGTGAATTTTTCTTTCTTTCTTTCTTTCTTTCTTTCTGTAATCGAAAACTTTACTCTGTTGACCCCTGTAATTGCTCCTACAAAAGGAACTTCTAACTGAGGGCTGGATCCCCATTTTTTTTTATTCCAAACCTGCTTTCTGTGGGTTTCAGGCAAGGCCTTCCTTCATTTGTTTTAACAGATCATCCAGTTCTGACCCAAACAGTCTACCAGACTCAAAGGGTAAGTCACACAAAGAATTCTTAGATGCAGCGTCAGCTGACCAGTTTCTAAGCCAAAGAGCTCTCCTAGATACTGTTGTTAGACCCAAATTCTTAGCAGATAATTTCAGACTTTCTGAAGAATAATCTACCAAAATAATCTGCAGACATCTTGATTTTTTTTTTTTTTTAACAGCTTTACTGGCTCTTTTGATTCGCCTGCATAAACCTTCTCTAGTTCTTCTAGCCAATGTTTTTGGGCTTTAGCAACAGAGGTTCCTGCGATAAGGGCTTTAGCCTGAGCCGCTGAGGAAAAACATTTTCTTTAAAGACGAGTCCATAAGCTTCACCATCACATCCCTTAAACCCCTAGAGTCACCTATTGGTAACACAGTTTTCTTTCCTATTTGAGCTATAGGAACGTCTACTACAGGAACTGTATCCAGCAGGCAGTCCTGGTCCACTTCTATGGAGAAAAGAGTTTTAAAAAAGTGTTTTGATATAAATGGTTTATGACCTGGGAATTTCCATTCTCTTAAAACCAACTTCTTTAGCTGTGGATGTAATGGGAAAACTTTTGCTCTTTTTCCTGTTATCCCATCCTCCATAAGGTTCTGTACTTCCTTTATTAATTTTCCAATGGCTTCCTCTGGAAAGGCAAGTTCCTCCTCAGAAGAATCACTAGAGGAATCATCTCTAGAATCAGAAACACAAGTACCTGAGCTTGCATCTGAATCTTCCCATGATCTCGGTCTTTTCTTGTATTGTTTTACTACCTGTAAATCCTAAGCAACAGATGCCTGAGCAGACTGCATAGCTGCAGATTGCATTTCCACAAAGGTTTGCTGCATACTCTGTTGTAAACAGCTTAGAAATGTGGACATTTGTTTTTTTAGCTGTCTCCAAAGCCTCTTTGGAACATAGAAAACAAAGTTTCCTTTTATATCCATCTGGCATAGGTTGGAAACATACAGAGCAACTTAAATGCTTGGATTTTGCTGAACATTTCCCCTTCTCTGTCGATTTCTCTGTATTCTCAGGATTAGACATACTGAGGAGAGAGAAGAGAAAGGGAAAAATTTATTTTATTCCCTTTATAATTCAGGCTAGAGAGTCATTTAAAATAAAAGCAAGATGTCTTACCTTAAATGGTCTCACAGTGTGTTGGAGGGCAGCGGAGAAACACACGCGCAACAGATCTGAGAGCTCCTGGCAAACAGAGGTTGCTGCTGGTAAGTTGCTCCTTTACAGTCTTGTAAACCAACTGAACGAAAACGCTGAGTTCAGATTTGGCGCCTGAATTTTGGATCGCACTGCGCATGTGCATTGCGCTCTGCGAATTCCCGGTGGACCGCAATGTAACCTGTACATGCGTTCCACCGCCAGGACCTCCAAGCTGACACACGCCTGCATCCTTCATCTGACCGGCACCTGGCACGGAAGAGACGGACTAATATAAACGTCATGATGAACCCGCCGTATGGCGTATAAAACTCTATTTCAAAACAAAAAAAGGAAGCAGAGCCTGCCGAGCATCAGCCCTTCTCACCTGCTTCCCTGGAGAAAAACCTGCTATACCTCCTCTGCCGAAGGCAGGCAAAGAACTGGTGTTTGTGGTAAGATATTTATAGGAAGGTGCTTAATAAGGGGAAGGGGTTTAAAAATGTTTGGAGAATTGCCAGCCTGTTTTTTCCCCTCCAGATTAGAAATCCATTTGGTAAAGCACTGTCTCTAATCTGAAGGGAAAAAATAAATATAAGCTATTTATGTACAGTGCCATCTCTCTATATCTACATAGTACTGCTTTAATGTAACCTTGTGTCGAATGTTCCCATCCAAGCCCTGTCTCCCCCATATTAAAAAAATAGTGTTTGGTAAAGATAGAAATTCACTGAAATGTCAACCCAGTTAAGAGATGTACAGAGACAAAATAGGGACTACTTTGTCTCTGTATTTCACCTCAGCCATCGGTGATGGCTGCGTCTATAGAGGACTATAAACCTCAAAGCTGTCCTCTCGCACTGGCTTGAAGAGAAGCAGCGCCACCAAGATGGTGGGGTCCGCGAGGGAAAGATTCAGGTAAGTAATCTCACCCTAACCTGCCCTCCATGGCGATGTCCCCATTGCGACAGTGCTGCTTAAGTGACTTTTAGCTAAGCAGGCAAGAGGTTTATGCAGTTCCGGCACCAGCCCAACACTAAGCACGAGGATACCACAGCAAGAAAAATGTGCCGTGTACCTTAAGCTGAAAGGGTGTCAAATCAGGACAATACAAAAAAAACCCCACAAAATAAAGACCCCATCACGTTTAGTGCTTTTTTGTGTTTAAAAAATACATATCTACTGCTTTATAAAGGTACACATTACCTTTGCTGCCTGTGGAGTACAGGCAATATGAACAGTACTTGGCTTCACCCCATTTGCTTTGAGCCTTTTCAATAAGGCAAACCTGCTTTTTCTTCTTCCTCTGTCTCCGTTTGGCAGAGAGCCATTGTATCTAGAGAATTTCACAAAGAATATGTGGAGAACAATTAGCTTTTTAGAACATATAGCCTTTTGCAGAAAAGCAGAATGTGGGGAAAAAAAAGAGTCACAACAGTGCAATTTCTTCCAATTTATTTTTTTGTTGAAAACAGAGCAATCTCTGTCACATTCTGAAAATAGCAGCAGGAAGGCTCACAATAAATCTTAAAGTGTTTGAGAGCTTTAAGTGTTAACAACAATAATAGAGTGTATTAATAACACATGAATGTTCATACAGATAGGAACCAAAGCAAAAAGACGTTTGATACTGTCAGAGACTGAATCAACTATACCTTTTAGGAAATTACAGCAAATTAAAGTGTAGTTTACGCACACAGGAAAACACTTCAACCTGTCCCATTAAACAGGGGCAATTTATATAGAGTATTCCATTAGGATTTATAAATAACCATATCCTGTATTATGAAGGCTAAATAATATAAAAAGAAATGCACATAAGTCTATCCTCACCTGCTGGCAGGAATTATGTGGTTTACAGAATAAAGAAATATGCACAAATCTTGGATAAAATGTCACAGTGTGTCATTGACCCACTGTAGGAGTATAAACAGGGCTTGAGCCCTGAAGGAACGTCGTTCCTGCACTTTTTCCACGGCAGGAACGCAGTTCCCGTTACTAGTCCTGCAGGACACAGGGCTGGCACAAGCGGCCGCCAGAGTTGGGGGGGGGTTTGGAACACAAATCCAAATCCCCTGCCTCTGGCTTGGGGCTCAGATTTTTAAACTCACCTCTCTCCCTGCAGCCTGGGAGAAGAGCCGAGGAAGTCACGCCCCCTCCTCCTGACATCAGGAGAGGCCAGCCGACTCCACTGACTGCAGGCTCCTAAACCTGTCCCACCCCTCCTGGCCCAATGTAAGCGTCGGGGGAATACACTTTAGGTTTTTGTTTTTTATACCCTTCCTCAGCCCCTGCCCCACCTCACTCAGCCCCTTTCCCCCCTCCACAAGAGCCTATAATACCCACACTTTTTTACCCAGGACTTGACCCCTGAGTAGAACTGCAAATGAATCCACAGGGAAACTAGCCATATTATTATTATTGAAGTTAGCCAAGCTTTACAGCTCCTCTGGTTTGCAACTTTCAATTAACTATAATCATAATTCATGATTATAGGTATGGTTTAATGACATGGACTGTGCTGGGACAATGTTAAAGCACATCCAGATTGTTTGAGCTTCTCTCTTGTTGAGTCCAGTGAGTTTAGCAAGCAGAAGGAAAGTGGTAACTGAATACCCAGCATTACATTTTAGGACATCAGTTTGATGTTCTTTAAAAGGGTTACCCCAAACACCATGACCCCTCTAGTGATTTGAAATGATCATGGTGCTTGGGTTCTGTATGTGCAATGCTTCCCAAAACAAAACAAACAAAAAAACCACAGAGGTAAAGCACTTTTGTGCTGGAAGTGCAACTTCACCACTGGTAGCGTCATTAACAGGTTGAAAAGAAAGTCTGTGCATAGATTGCATCCGTTGTCGGCACACATAGCATGCTGGCAAAAAATGACCAAAGGCAGTGCGGCGCAGAATGACTGTTCCCACAGAGTGACATTTGGGACATCACTCCCTCTGCAGGAAGTGGGAGTGACTTCATTAAAAGAGAATTGGCTGCAGAGAAAACTTGCATAGGTTTGCAGGTAAATGTTAGCAGTTAATGCTTTTTTTAAATGGTGGGATCATGTTGGTCGGCAAGTGTTACTACAATCAAAAAAAGTGTTTTATTAAGACACTGATTTTGGTTTGAGTAAACCTTTAAGAAGAGCATTTCTTACATTACAAAAGGGACACTATAGTCACCAAAACAACTTAGACCTAATTAAGTAGTTTTGGTGTATAGATCATGCCTCTGACGTTTTACTGCTCAAACTTCTGTCATTTGGGAGTTAAATCACATTGTTTATGCATCCCTAGCCACATCTCACTGCATGTGACTTGCACTGCCTCCCTAAACACTTCCAGTAAAGCAACATCTAGCAAACTCACCCCAATACAATGAGCTCTCCATATTTCACAGGAGCTTTAGCAGGATGGTTCTCTTGATCAGGAGAAAACATGAGCCTGGCTATGACGTCCACCACAATCAGTGTCCTATCAAGAGTACTGGTGCACTTTTTTCATTATTTTGTCTGAAAAGGCAGAGGAAAATAAAATTAGCATTAGTATGCACTAAAAACAAAGTTACAGTTTAAAGACGCTCAGAGAGAGACAACCAATACAAAACAATAAACCAAAGAGCATCTCTCAAAACAATAAACCAAAGAGCATTTCATTAGCATCTAATGAAAGCATCTCTCCCAAAAAAAGTTACATTTTTTTTTTCAAAGACGTGGCTTGAGGTAAACTGTGAAAAAGTTTCAGCTTATGTCTTTTAAAGTTTGACTACAGCAGGAAAATAATGTTAAAAGGTTACTCCAACCACCATAACCTCTTCAAGTGATCTGAAGTGGTCATGGTGGTAGGAGTCAGTATGTGCAGTGTTTCAGCTTGACGATACTGTTAATTGTGTGCTGGGGGCTAGTTGCAGTCCCAGCACACGTAAGGTTGGCAAAACTAGAAATCTTCCAATTGCAGGCAGAGCACCTGCAAGGGAAAGCTAGCTCAACCCTCTATTGCTTGGTCTTTTTCCCGGCCCGGAGCATGCATGCGCAATGAGCCGGCATAATGGTCCTTTCACAGGCTTCTCTATGAGAATCCTGTGATTAGACCACGTGCGGCCACAGTGATATCAGAAGGGTGTGGAAGAGCGCCGCTTATGATGGTGTTCCTTTGACAATGTCTTGTTTCTAAACTCTATGATGCGCTCTGTACCACCTATTTTAGCTGTAGAGAGAGATTATATATATATATATATATATATATATATATATATATATATATATATATATATATATACACACACACACACACACACACACATATATATATATACACACACACACACACACACACACACACACATATACATATGTATTTTTTCTCCATTGCATGATTGAGCATGATGCAATACTAGGCAAACATGAAATAAATAAAATCTAAACATGTATGCTTGTAAAGGAAGTTACCAGTCTGATCAGCAGAAGAGATCATGTCGAAACAAACAATAGGGGAAGGAAACAATGTGATAAAACAGGGTACACAGTTTTCCAGCACATGTACTGCAATGTACTTAACTCAAATGCATGATGGGAGCCATTTATAGATATGGAGGCCAGAGGCTAAGCCTTGAGAAAAGGTGAAAAGTGGCATTTAAACACCCTGTGTAGTATGACCCAGAGAGCTTGTTGTAGTGGTTATGATGCTTAACCTTGCTATTTAAGGCAGCCATCGTAGAAGTCCTTTTTTCCTAAGAAACACGGCTTATCTGAGCAATAGACTGAGCAGGCACTGAAGAGCAAGTGCTTGTTCATAAATACGGACATGGGCAAGCAACGAGGATCTGAAATATGCACTCAGACTATTTCAGCTGTTCAAATAGTGCATTGTCTCCTAAGAAAATTAGTGCTTGATAGCAAAAAAATGATCTTAAAGCTAGCATTCTTTATAGTATATAAAGTTGGCCAGGAGGTGCACCCAGAAGAAGTATGAACTGCAAATGCATTTACTGTTTTACAAAACATACAATAAAGTAATGAGATATGTAATATTTTTAGTAATTCAAAAAAGCCATTCTCCCTTTAAGAGCAGATAGTGGTTAAAAACAGTTTAAAATAAAGAAATAAAAAATAACGTAACAAGGACCGCAAATACACTCGAATCGTTAGAATTGTATTTTAAAAAGGGTCACTATAGGCATCCAGATAACTTCATTTCACTGAAGTGGTCTGGGTGCAGTGTCCCGGGTCCAGGTTTATATCCCGATTACATGCCTCCAAACTGTCCTGCTTTTGGGGTGCTTTCCCACGATCCCACTTTAGTTGCCTGGTTTCCCGTATCTGGGGATACCATTGTACTCTCCCTGGCAGCACAGCACATTAGGCACTAGGACCATTCAGAAGTGCTTCAGCAGCCTGAAGACGGCCAGGCAGATTGTTAATAAGCAACATGGCGCCTTCTTTTTAATGAGCCTCACGGTTTTCTGAGTGTTTAAGCTCATTGTGGGCATCCCTAGTGATGTGGCTTATGTCACTGGTTATATATTCCCCCCCAACCCCTCCTTCAACAAAACTTTCCCCTTTATATAAATCATCTTCGGCTGTTGCCACCCACCTTAAATACATATTTACAGATGCACACAAATACACATAAGCAGTCTAATGTGTTATGGATTTATTAGAGTGCCATTACCCTGCTCCCACCCACCATGAATACATATATACACAAATACATACACACACATGGCCTGCGCTCACAGCCTATCACTGCTGTCCATTTTTTCCACTGATAATGCTGTATTATCGTACAGCAGTGCCTGTCTAGATCATGTAATTATCTGTCTAAATGATATCGGACATCCGCTCGTGACATTTTAGATTTATTCAACAAAAATACAAAGATTGAACGAATAGATTTTAGCCAAGTCCACAATTTGACATCTTGCAGGCTTAAGTGTGACACTGCCATGTTTTTCTCTTTCATCTCAGACATTTTTGTAGCCATGTCAAAGCAATAGTCACTGTAATAAATCCATAACATATTTGACTGCTTCACTACTTAGAAATTGCATCCCCTAGTTAAGAGAACTGATAAGTATATTTAGGATTATGGTGACTGTTTATCCAGAAGGGGAGCTAGGACCTTGATTAATATACATAGAGTCACTCATGGCCAGCACGCAGTTCTAGAAGCCAATAGGTTAACTAGAAAGTAAAGACTACAGCAAATTAATCTGGCAAGGAAACTTTGGGCTCATATTTCCTCAGTGAGGTGTGAATCCAACATGCAGAACATAGCAACAGGGTAACTATGGACAGCAGGACACGGGAAATATAAACTTCGCTGGTAGCAAGAGAATAAAAAAAAAAGGAGTTTGCTGAATAGAGTGAGTAATAAAGAAGTGGGAGTGACCATCATTATGTTCTTGGGAACAAACCTGACTTTGCACCCCGCTGCTTCATTACAGATCAGAAATGTTCTTTCTACAGAAAAGGGGGAAATAGATTGCAATGCGCGCGCACACACACACACACTAATTCGATGTGTCTGACTACCATATTTTACATGGCATTCTGGGTGTTTTGAGGAAATGCAATTATTTAGTGCTGCTGGCTATAAAACAGATATTTTGTTAAAACCACAGAAAAGTTAGAGTAATAATCTGAACTGCTCAAATGCAAATTGTTGCTCCAGCACTACATGGAGTCCATGCAAAGATATGCCCCAGAAGTCCGTTTGTGATTAGCAACATATAATAAAGTTCTCTATAAAGTAAAAAGAAAATCCTCTACTTTAACACTTTGTTCTTTGTAGTTACAACATTCTTTTCTCTAACGTTTACTTGTAAAATGAGCAGACACTGTGTATACCATGACATTATTATTTTTATAAAGCGCAAACACATTCCGCTGTGCTTTACATTCATAGAATTGGAGATATCCGACAAGTAGTTCACATACAGAATATAACAGACAAGAGGTAAAGGAAGCCCCTGTTTAAATGAGCTTACAATCTATGGGGAAGTGGTAAAGACACACAGGAGGAATAACAGTATGTCAAAGGGGAGGAGGGATTAATGAATATGATGTTGGTGTCAAAATCAGCTATTAAAAGTGGGATATTAAAAGAACCGTACTGCAGAAGGAGAGAGGGTGCTTCTGAATCAGAGTTACAGTAAGCGCTCAATGCTGCCAAGGATTGGCTAGAAAGGTCAACTGACGCTCTAAGCCAGTCAGTAGCTGCCCATTTCTAAATACAGGTACGTACCTTTCACATTGCTGTAACCGATCAAAGTTTAAACTAATGTGACTTTATCTACGATTCACTTTATTCTATAGACGAATCATACATAAAATGAAGTAGATATATTTTATAACATACTTGAAAAAAAAAACAAAAAAAAAAAAAACGACCTGTCACCTTGTAGACTTGTTGACCAAAGTCACATGTTTGTTCTCTAAAAACCTACAATGCATATAAATAACCTTTGCTCCATCTACTTTCTATGAGACAAGAGCTCCATGGTACTACCTCGTACCTATATTACACTCAAAGTAAAAAGAAAAGAGTGGTTAAACACATAAACCTTGAGTGACACACTTGGTTTTCTCCCCAACGTCCTGTTTCAAGCCCTAACTCCCAATAATGGATCAATTAATTTGACAGGGAGCATTATATGTGCGATGATCAGAGTCTAAAATCTGCAGCATATTTGTATACTGTAGCGTGCAATAGCTAGCTAGATATTTAGCAATATTGACCTAGAACAGAAATTGCGCAATATGCAATTTTGGTCCTGCTTGGTTATTAAATAAGCTACACAGATTAAAGATTTCCTTCATTAGACTGGTCATTTTCTGACACCTTCAAAATGGTATCCCAATAGTATAACATCCCATTTTGAACACTCCGTTTTCTTGCAGTTTGGGGAAATCTGTGCTCCAGAGGAGAAATCCAGTGCTTGAGACGTGTAGCATTTTTTACTCTGGTTGCTCCCAGGCCCCTTCATTAAGGTATAGCAGTTGCCCTGAGATTGCAGCCAAACAATAGTATATCTGGGTAAGTCAGCGTACAAGCTTTGTGAGTCTCAAATATTTAGAAGTGTATGTATGCTCTGGATCAGACATTAACAGTCTATCTGGCTCAGATTCAAAATTCAGAAACAATAGCTCTTTGAATTGCAGCTGGAGCCTCGGGAGGCTTTGCCATACCAAAATGCCAGTCTACAGCGACAGCCTTGGCATTTTTTGAGAGACTTGGGTAGGACAGCGGTGGATACTGTCCCCCAAGCACTTAGGTCACCAACAGTGCTGCATAAACTGTTGAAAGCGTTCACCATATAACATATTTGTAGATCTAATTGAGAAATTGGGAAAACCCATGGATTGACAGTGCTTGGTTTTGAGCCCTTTTTAATTTGAGAGGAAGTGCATCATACTAATAAACCAGTCACTACACGTGTGCTTTACAGATGCACGTTAAATGAAATTATTTCTCTTTAACCTAATGTGTCCTACATTCTATTTACTAAACATCAGAAGCCATGTACCCAGTTTGTTCTGCATGTCTCCAATGTCCTTTAAATCACCTACACAATAAGGCACTGGTTTGATATAAATCAAGAAAGCAATAATGAAATTCTTCGTATGAGTGACGACCATTCCCTGTGGCAACTCCATCTTGGCCTAATGAGGCCTCTGTGGCTGGCAGAGCCGGTTCTAAAGATCATGGCATCCTCAGTTCTCTGGTGTTCAGAAGGAACTGCAGGAAAAGTGGGTAAATGTATTTCCAAACTAATTACTAATGAAAACCATATATCTCAAGCACAGTGTCCTCAGTATAATATATATATATCTCTATCTCTATCTCATTTGATCCACATGTTCTTTTTTAATTTATAAAATAATTTGGTTTTCTGTTAATGCATCAGACTGAATATTTAGTCAGGCAATTCCATCACTATGTAGTAAAGTTCTACATGTCTTTCAGCATAAAAGGAAGAACAAGTATTGCAGGATTTTACTTGTGTTTTAACTTAAAATTAAAGTGTAATGTAAAAAAATAGATACAAAAAGTAGAAGTAAAACTGAGAAACAAAATCCCCACCATATTTGAAGGATGGTGAGAACAGCTGATCATCCCCTCACTAGACCACGCTGTCTTCCTCCACACAACGCAACAGCAACTATGAGAAGTGTGTGGGCAGGCTGGAACATTTAACATGTTAATAAGATGGATATTTAAAGCAGCTGGCACAATTTGCCCATACCAAAAGCAGAAGCCCACACTTAAAGAGCAAGAAAAGCATATCAGTGTATATTGGAACTGTCAATACCCAGACACATTAGGTTAAAGAGCCATAATTTCATTTAACGTGCATCTGTAATGCACACGTGTAGTGAATGATTTATTAGTATGATGCACTTCCTTTCAAATGAAAAAGGGACAGCTCTGGCTCAAAGCCAAATTATCTGAAGAACACTGACCAAGCACTGTCAATCCATGGGTTTTCCCACAAACGGCTGAACAGCATTATCTCAGAAGATAGGACAACTTAGCTTCCAGGTGTAGAATCCATTGACTTATGAAAGGGGACAAAACATTAATTGAGACACAAGGGAATAAAAGCTGATTAACTATGCAGACATTTAACCAGGTGCTCTTATAGGCACATGGGAAGGAACTAGAATCACCAAGCAGAACAAACCACAACAAAAATTTGGCATGACCAACGCAGGCCATCTGCTACCCTACAAACTATTTAACAACCCTGGATCACAATCATATATCCAACAACGTGTAAAGGATTGCACATAGCAGTTGTGTTCCTCCAACACAAAGACACACTAAAAGTTATATCATCTCCACCAGCATCGTCTGACTTGACATTGAAAAACAAACTACGTCGGTGGTGCTGTTCTGCCTAGACAAAACAAACGTTAGTGTTTTAACATGTTAAAGACTAATCAGATGTCAATGTTTACTTTGCTCAATACATTTGTCCTACTGCCATAAATAAATTCCACCTATCTCTAACCTCCACTTAACCCACATGATCCAAAAACTAAACATTAACCTGCACGAACAAAATAATTGGGAAATATTTAATGCCTTTACAATAAGGATTAGTCTCATTGTGACAGTCAGGACACATCTGTCATAAAGGTTCAAAAGTATTCACAGCGAAATAGAGTTCAAACTTCGATTATAAATCTTAACTATTCTATAGTGTGTCATAACAGCAACTTAACAGTCTAGGTCAGGGGTGCATAAAACGTAGATCCCCAGATGTTTTAAAGCTACAGTTTCCAATATGCGTTGTCATGTTAAAGGCATGCAAAGCATCATGGGTGTTGTAGTTCTACAACATCTGGGGAATCTCTTTCTAGGCTCAGGAGTGGTAACAAGCAATATAATGACACTTCTAAACTGGTATATCAATAGAAATACTCCCGGAACACAGACAGTTGGCAAGTTTTTAGTGAGTTGGTTAAAAGTAGAAATTATACATACATATACACATACACATACACACACACACACACACACGAATACACTAGGATTGGAAGGAGGATTTGTATGGTTACAGAAAATACAATTTCCTCAATGTCAGTATTTCAGCAACACCACAAGAGAATGAACAAGCACTATTTATAGACTAAAACATCCAGTACTTTGAACTAGCCCATAAACCACGAAATAGAGCAGAACCGATATTGGAATAAGGTAGTGTATGTTAACAGCTAAATCCATTTACCCACCTTTAACACAAAGTGGAAAATCCGTTGTTTCATTCTAGAACAGAAATGTAAAAGATCCAAAGCAAATGTGGCAATATCCTTTCGAGCCCTGTCTGTTCATGCAGTATTCTGGTTTCTTTTACTTATCGGCTTGGTCGTGAGGCACGCTGACTCAGATGGGTGGGAAGGTGCTATGCAAAACAGGTAAACATCATATTGCACCAATAGGACTAGTTGGGCTCTGACTCACGAGCTTCCACACATTAATCAGTGGCTTCAAAAGGAAGAAAAGGAAGTGAAAAGAACACGACTTTGCAAACAGCTTCTAACACACACCTCCTACATAGCACAGACAGTCAGTACAGTGTGCTGACGGAGAAGATGTACCCAGAATATAAACAGATGCATATATCAATCCCTAGCAAAATGAACATTAACTACAAAACGAACACTGCTATATGTCTAAACCTAAAAACAAACAAACCCAGACATATCACACCAAATAAGGCTATGGAGTAGAAGAAGTACAGATTCTTATTAACAAACCTCCCTCCCCATCACCCCCCAAAAAACACACATACAATGGATTGGCAAGAAATCATTGCGATTAATGAGAAAACCACATAAAGAATGGGCAAACCACTGTTACTCAAAATAATTAAAAACAATAATTCTAGAGCTACAAATTAATGTAAAGTGAAGTATATACAGAAAGCAGACTTCCTGCTCTTTTAAAAACTGTTGCTTCCCCAGGATTTTTAATATTGTGTTTACCAGGGCGGAGTCTAGCAACGGACGAGGAAGGTCGCATGGCGGCTGAGCTCCCGACTCTAATCGAGCTAAATCGCCGCAACCAGAACCCGACCACGACCCAAACACTCCCCGGAGTGCCCCACGGCTTACCAGATCCACATGGGCAGAAGAACAAAAAAGCAAAAGCCCGACAAGCCCCGTCTGGGCATGAATATAGGGGACATGTGGAAGCAGGCCCACGAGACAGCCGGCGCAACAATGGCGTCCCTGCAGGGAGGCTGCACCGATTTCTCGGATGGCACGTCTGATGAAGAAGCAGGGAGCTGCATGCCGAGTAACGCTCCACTACTGCCAGACAGAACTCGAGTGCCTACATTAGCTCCCACGCCGGTGACCATGGAGGCCATCAGGGAACTCATGGCCGCTCATCACAGCAAAATCTCTGCAGAAGTGGCCACGATAAGGGAGGATCTGAAAGGCCTCTCAGCGCGGCTCGGGACCGTGGAATGCACCTCAAGCGGCCACACCAGTCAGATAGAGGAGCTGAAAGCAACAGTACACGACCTCAAACAACTGGCTGCACTACATGACCAGCAACTGGCCACACAAGAGGACAAGCGACGGCAAAACAATCTCAAACTGCGAGGGGTCGCAGACTCTGTACCCGAGGCCGAGCTCCCACATTATGCTAGGCGGCTACTGACTGCGCTCTTAACCCCGAAAGTGGCCAAATCCATAATATTGGATGACATCTTCCGCATACCACGGCCACCTACAGCACCACCAGCTGCTACAGGGGACATAATCCTCCGTTTTCAAAGCGCGAGGGACAAGAGGGCTGTTCTAGCAGCCACCAAGGGCCTAACCACCTACACTTTTGAGGACATGACTATCGTTTTATGCAGACCTGTCAAGTGGAACGCTGAACTGGAGAAGATCCCTCAGACAGCTTACGTCCTTCTTGAGGCAGAAACAACTCAGGTACCGCTGGGGTCCAGGGCGCGCACTACACATTGAGGGCGCAAGCGGCCCTCTAGTGGTGCGGAACATACAAGAGGCCACAAGGACACTGGAAGACATGCAGCTGCCACTGACGGCACCGGACACTGCTAACCCACCGGCTGGAACTACAAGCAGACCAGGGAGGGGCGCAGTTGACGCGCCAATCTTTGTGCCACGACAGCCCCCACCAGGACCACGTGCGGCTCCCACAACCTGAAACAGAACAAACATTATCGGGACGCTTTCCCTCTCTTTTCTTTCACAGGGCAACAACCTGGCCCACTGCCCAACAGACGAGAACACCCATCCACAGCGAAAGTAATCGAGACAGTCTGCTCGCATTTTTATTTTTCTAAGTGGGGTGTTTGTTGTTGTGTTTTTTTTTTTTTCTTTCTTTCTTCTTTGGTGTTGTTGTTTATTGATGCTGACTCATACTAAAGGTTTACCACACCTATATAGATACCCATATCTACTACACGTACCTAAACGACCAGATTAGGCGGAAGCCGCTTAAAACTTATGCTTAACTTTCTGACCCACCACCTTAAGCAAGGCATAACCTTCCAGACAACATTACATAACATATCACTACCATGTTATCCCATGAAAACTTTCGAACGTGGCCAAACAGTGGCACCCACAATAACGCCACTTCATAAAACCTCAGCCTGTTTTATAAGGCTCTTAGCCCAATCACGCACGAACAGTGCCCTTTTGATATGTCTGGCAGGAGCTTCGAGAGAGGCCCCACTCACCCCCACTCATTTAGATATATTTATTTCCAACCAGTATAACATAAGCACATTCCCTATTTACATCGCCCATACACTCACAACCTATAATGTTACAATATAAACATGAACTACACCATTAACATGCTGACTAATTGTTAATAAGCTTAAGGTATCAAGCTGGTCAACACCGTTAGGTCATAACGAGCCCACACAACCTTTATATCCACGCACACCATAATATGATGTTTCTGCCTATTAAGTTACGCCTGTCCTGGCGTCACTCTGATATTTTTTGTTCTCTTATTGGTAACTTTCCTTTGTTAAATCTTTTTGGTTGAATCGTGAATTTCTCACTCAAACAAAAACAAAGTGCAACGCATAACAAATATGTCACCAGAATTGTCTTTATTTGCCTACTACTGTAATCTTATGTGGCCACCTTGACAAATGTACCTACTTTTGCACTTACAAAAATAAAGAATTAAATAAATAATATTGTGTTTACCAATTCCTATACCTAAACTTACACTTCAAGCAGCAAAAACAACCACACCACGTTGTAGTGGTAATGGTGCCAGGAGTTCCCCGTCTCCCCTCCACCTTCATACCTAGGGTACCAATGAGCGGCTCAGAAGTGTTCGTGAAAGCTTCTAGATGAGAGGATGCAGGGAGCAGCACCCGGCCGACCCCAGGTAAGTATTCAGATTGCCATTAAAACAGTTGGGCTACTAACCATCCTAACCATTACAGAACACATGGTGCTTGAAGTGTTCCAGTGTATAGAAAATAAAAAAGGAGGAACGTGATACTTAAATGAAAACAGTTAAATGATGTATAAGCGCTACGGAATCTGTTGGCGCTATATAAATGGCAATAATAAATAATAATCAAATTACACATTAGAGGCATTTACATAAATATACTGTGGGCCGTGGTGGTCCTGGTGCTTTAAGTATTCCTTTAAGAAGTCCAAGCTAAAAGATATTGTGAATGCCACACAAAAAAAAAAAAAAACACAAAACACTTGATAGCTGCAAACATTACGATGGGTGGTGACAAACATACAGACACTGCAAGACAAGACAATTTGACTTTTACTCTACGTGTCTCCCTACTTACACATATAGAGAGACATCTTCTGCTAATCCACAGAAAACCTCTCAAAGACATGGGAATTGTATCTCTTGCATCAGCATACACGATCTGTTTATTCCATGAGCGAAAATATATATGGCTTCAAATTGCAGTAAAACTGGTGGTTAGTCCATGGGATAGTCAGAAGAGATGTGTTAGACTAAAAATTTATAAGCATACTCTTTCTCCAGGAGACTATATAAAAGTCATGCCATTGTAGAGGAAACCCATTAACATATAAAACTGAACTCACCCACAGTTGCAAATGCCGGGCATGTTTCTCTGCACGACATACAGGATCACTAATGATAGTTTAAGACTCTCAGATTTTGGCACAGTGGCATTGCAAAAACTACAACTACTTATACATATTGCATAGGTTATGGCATAGCAAGTTTGCAGTTTTGATCATATTTTATATATATATATATATATATATATATATATATATATATATATATATATATATATATATATATATATATATATATATATTTTTTTTTTTATTATTATTATTATTATTTGCAGTTTACGGTACATAGGAGGTGAGAATCATTGAACATATATGGTTTCTGGAAATTCACAGAGTTATAATAAATACAGCACATTGATATGTTACCAGTAGGTGTTTAAAGTACATACATCCTCCAGTTTACTCGTATATTGTAGAGTGAGTAATGCTTGGTGTGTACCCATTTTCACTTTTTGGTAATTTAGCGTAACAGAGTTGGATAACATGGAACATTGAACTGGATCGTGGGAGGGGTTCCGAATCATCCATTAGAGAAAACTTTTTCTGAGATTTGAGTGTGCGGCTTGAGTGGCTCATCCTATGTCTAATTACAATCTCCTTCTATATGCTCGTTCCAGTACTAGTTCTCCACATTTGGCTATCAACCACCATCCCTTTTCTGTTTACTCTATTTACACAAACAAACTCCTTCCTAAGCGTATCCGTCGAGCCTGGAGACTCTGTTTGAGCAATTTGAAACCTATCCTACAATTCCCATGCCTCCCTCCAGAACTTTGCTGGGGGTCTCACTGATCTGGCCATTGTTTCATAGGTTTTTGCAGTATTGATCATTTGGATACAAGATCCTATTTGCGGAGGGGTTGGCTGTAACCAGGCCTTGCTGATGGCCATAAGAACTACTGAGGTTATATAATATATTAGATATCTCAGTTTTTGGTAATGAGGGGGTATGTATTGTAGTAGAAATTTTTTGGGGATTAGTGGTAGGGTGGCACCTATAACACATCGAATAAGACTATGTATCTGCCCAAAGCTGTTTAAGAGTGGAGCATGTACACCACATATGGAGCATAGTACCTGGGGACTGCTCACATCTCCAGCATGTTCCTGATTGTTTTGCATCTATTTGTTTCATTCTAGTTCACCAAGTACCAGCAGTAGAGAAGTTTTGCTCTCCCTTATATTGATATAGCGGATTAGCAAATAATTGTTGCATCTATATTATCACCCCTTCTCTTACACATTTGCATCATAAGGCGCAGAAGTAAAGACTCCCCATTTCCCATACAAGATCTTGTTAGGAAGTACTTCCAAAGTGACTTGTACAGGTTCTCGGATAGCTTTCCTTGAGAGAGCTGTACTGCACATTGTATGCATGATAGAACCCAGCATAAGTCATTTCCTTCATGACAAAACATAAATGAAGCTACTTAGCAAGTTAAACAATGTTTATCAGCCGATAGAGAGAGAGCGATAGATCTCTGGAAAATCCTTGCACACAGGCTACAATGAAATATACTTGCTGGGTGCTGAGCCTGGGACTTGAATCCAGATAGAGAAAGTGGCAGCACTCACGGTCTTCATAAAAATCTCTTTATTTGGCAAGGTTAAAACATGGATCGACATTTCAGTCCTTTCTTCTACGTTTGATCCTGAAGAAAGTCCCTGAGAGGACTGAAACGTCGATCCATGTTTTAACCTTGCCAAATAAAGAAAGATTTTTATGAAGACCGTGAGTGCTGCCACTTTCTCTGCTATCTCTATATGAAATTGGATACACATGCATATATAGAATTACAGATGATCATCCTGTCAGGTCAACAGGAGATTTAGACTGGTAGAACTGTATTGTTTGCACCTGCCGCCATTGAGCCCTTTTCCCATTTCACAAAATAGTCCAATATTACGTTATAGTGGCAGCATAATTTAATTTTTTTTAAATTACACCATCTAAACCAATAGACCTTTATTATTTTTCTTTTACTAAAAAAAATAAAGATTCAAAATACATTCAAGCGATAAAGCCGTGAATGAAGTGCAATAAATAGTTAAAAATCCTGTGATTAGAAAGAGGGTATTTCCATATATGACCCATACTCACATTTAAGTATTTCTTTACACCATGCAATAGAGCTTATCCAAACTATCCTATAAATATTCTGTTAGTGTTTGGATATTTTCATTACCCCCAAATTCACCATAGACCACCATCTATAGATCAATAATAAACCCCAAGGCAGGACTACAGTCCACAAAACGTAGTAGAATCACTCACTATACGAACTAACCAACTGTGCTCATCATGGCAGATCCTGCTTGTGCAGCCAAATTTTCACAGACATTGGCACATGGTCTTATTTTTGTTCACTAAGTGATTAAAGGGTTTCTTCAAACTTTTTAGTGTGAAATAGAATAAATGCACTATTAGCATTATTATATTTGTCCCCCTTTAAAAGAACTTTCAATTAAGTTACTTACTGTAAACAGGAGAAGCTCCCGGCACACCCTGCCTGACATCATGGGAGTTGCGCCGAAGCCCACTCAAAGACTCTCATATAGTAGTCATTGATTGGAGGATTTAACTGGCTCAGAGCACGTGGGAGGGAGACAAGCGCTTGGCCCTTGCAGGCTCTGCATGCAGTGTGGCTGACCAGAGATGTACATTTTACACAGAATTGACATTAAACAACCCAAAACAGAGTTCTGGTCAGCCTATGTCAAGTGTGCTGGGGGTGCAACTTACTTCATTCTTGGAGGCCTCTTATTCCTTCCTGACAATTATCTAATTTTTTATTATAATATAAATGTATCTATACAAGTTGTAGCAGTAACTTTAAGCTCACCAATTTTAAGCTCACCATTAAGATGATTAGATGAAATACCTTGCATCATTTTAAATGAACACTTTACTAGTTATGATTTATTTTTTTTAGTTTAAAATGTACTGCAGCCTTATTTAGTGGTTCTGGTGTCTATATTCGGTCCATGCAGGCTTTTCATTGTATTGCTGCTTAACACCACCTCTAGTGGCATGTTTGTATTCCTAACACTACAATGTAACTTAAATCCCTTATTTTCCTCTGGTATTTCCCCCCCTCACCTTTAACATGTAGTAATCAAGCCTGTACATACAAATAAAATAAATCCTCTTGTCCCTGATCCTTTGCCTTATCATCCAAATTTCTCGAAATTTGTTTACACTCCACTTACAGACTATCTGAACTCAGATTCCTTACTCTGCTCACTACAGTATTGCTTCCACTTCCAACATTCCATCGAGACCTCCCTGACCAACGTGACTAATGACTTAATTACAGCCAAATCCAAAGGCTAATACTTGCTACTTATTCGATCTTTATGCTGCTTTTGACACGGTTGACCACTTGCTTCTCCTTTCCACCCTCCGCACATTTGGCCTCAGTGATCGTGCTCTTTCCTCGTGCCCTTTCTAACTGCCCCTTCAGGGTTTCATTCTCTGGCTTCTCCACCTTCTGTTCCTCAAGGCTCTGGACTGGACCCTCTTTTCTCAATTTATACCGCCTTTCTTTGTGACCCGATAAAATCCAATGGCTTTCAATATCACCTGTACACTAAAACCCAGATCTATCTCTCCACACCTGATCGTCTGCTGGATTGTCACAGACTGTATTTCGTTCTGGATAACTTCACAATTTTTAAACTCCTTGTCTTTTCTCCCTTTAAAGTATGCAATGCTTTAGTGTGCTCTTCAACGACAACCGTTCCTTTACCCCTTACATAAAAAAAAAAAATCAACAAATACTGTCGCTTTCACCTCTCGCGTTCTCCCCTTTCTCACTCAAGATGCGACTAATGCAGGTCCATGCTCTTATTGCTCCCCACCTTGACTGTTGTATCCATCTGCTTATTGGACTCAAAAGACCCAGATTGTCACACTACAGTCCGCAATGAACGCCTCCATCAGACCGATCGAACTTCAAGGAATTCTCACACCTCACTCCTTTGTCAGTATCTACACTGGCTTCCTGTTTCATTTAGGAGTTCATTTCCTCCCGCGAGACATCCGACTCCAAATCTTTGTAGTCCATCAAAAACAAATTTTTTAATAAAAAATGAAGTGTCCTTAAAACTCACTTTCTAAAAGTTATTTTTTTAGAGAGGCCTATGAGCTATAACATAAACAACTCATTCCCGACACCATTCTTCTGCCATCTACAACCCTGTGCTCCCTCTTCCCAAGCACACCACCCATCCCCGGGCACATCCAAATCACTTGATTTCCTTACTTTTTTTGTATTTGTCCCTCATCCCTTACGATTGTGAACTTGTTTGGGCAGAGCCCTCTTTATGTACTGGTTTTGTATGTCATACATGTTAGAATTAAAAGATTTGTTTTGTTTCCTATTGTACAGCGCTGCAGAATATGTTGGTGCTATACAAATAATTGTACATTTCCAAAAAAGCCAAGAAATTTAGAGTTGTAAAAAAATTAGAAATCCATATGATTGTCTGGCAAAAAAATAAGCGACACACAAAAACCACACCATAGTAAACTCAATCTAATTTATACGATGTATATGGTCTTTTTCCTTTCATTGATAAACCTCATAACGTCATTCCAGCTGAGTTTTATAACAAGAAAATGTTCCTCTGTATTTTGGAGCTAAATGCTTTCCAAATAGCTTTTCACGATAAAGTTTTGCATAGCAGAAGAGGTTTTCAACTTTTTTTTATTTTAATTTTTTTTTATTTTATTTGGCACAACATTTAAAAATCTGGACACTACTTTGGGTTTGGTTGCTTTTTAAGGATTATTTACACAGTTGAAATTACTGTATTAATGATTTTTCACCCATTAAGCTAACTATCCTATTGTTTAGTAACTTCTTTGATGATGTCAGGGCTGTTGCTTTCCTTAGCATTAGGATTCACATTTGGTCTGGCTGCAAATTTCACACCAATTTTTATGACCGGATACAGCAATTTTAAGTCGTATTTTTCCAAACGGCACAAACAGTATCTAAACTAAGAGTCCTAACCCTGAGCGCTGCTGAAAGAGCATATCACAAATAATTAGACCATTGATAGGTGCATAAAGTTGCTGGATATTAATTATCTCTTTCCACAGTTAGCCAATCAATACGGGAGTTACAGCAATGGAGGAACAACAGTTAATTTCTTAGACAAAAAGACTACTTGAAGGACTGTAACTCCTGCTTCAGAGTAGAAAAACTATGTAGTACAGTGCTCCAAAACAAACCTTGGAGAGGGTACCAGTGAAATGATATACTAGAATTGCTACCCAACTTATTACTTCCAAATGGCAAAACAAGACGTTTGGATTAAAAGCCCCTTAGAGAAAGTACATAAAGGTGCATCTTGTACACTTCGGGATGGCGAAGGCTTAAAACCATGGCCATTTTACAGAACATACTGCTACGAATTGTCACATGTTTAACCTGTATGGACAAAGGAAAGCAGAGTGAAGCATAACTTCTGTAAAAGGAAAATAAACAAATTAATTGATAATGACCTATAGTAGATAGATTGAAAATAGTGATGTCCCGAACGGTTCGCTGAACATAAACATAAACTTTGACCCTGTAGCTCACAGTCAGACACATTCCAGCCAATCAGCAGCAGACCCTCCCTCCCAGACCCTCCCACCTCCTGGACAGCATCCATTTTACATTCATTGTGAAGCTGCATTCTTAGTGAGCTGTCCAGGAGGTGGGAGGGTCTGGGAGGGAGGGTTTGCTGCTGATTGGCTGGAATGTTTCTGCTCACTGTGAGGTACAGGGTCAAAGTTTATGCTCGCCGTCCGCGGCGAACCGCTCGGGACATCACTAATTGAAAATACTAATTCCACATGTGTATTGTGTTCCTTATATAGCAAGCACACGCTGAAAACAATAGAAATTGGGACTGCCTTAAAGAAGACAAAAAAAAAAAAAAACACAACAGCATGTTTCTTTGTTTAAAATTTATAGAAGGTTGGTTTCAAGGACTGATTCTTAACAATAACAAAAAAATTTTTTTAGAAAACCGAACAAAAACAGAAAGGAGACCAGTTTCAGGTAACACAATGTGCTTTTCATTACTAGAAGCATTTAAAATCCAAAACAAATTCGACCTTTAGGAAAAATTACTTGCAGCGAAACAGACGTGCAGGACAGACTTCCAATGTTGTGAGGAGTTTTGAACAGTTCCCATAACATTTTCCAAATTTTACAACCCGCCACATGCCATGCCCAATCTAAAAAGTTGGTACATGCATCAAAGAAATTATGCAGCCTTGACATTGAAGCAGCAAGCTAAGCATCAATATCACTGAAGCTCTCTGCTTAGGGTCCTAATAGGCTACTGGCTGAGCAGTTTGACACAGATTGTCCCACAGGCGTTCAGAGCACTGCCTCTCACACATGGTATTGCTAATGCAGAAGTTATGATCCTGCATCAGCAATACCAATTGCATCTATTTGGATAGCACAGATTGGCTGAGAGCATCAGTTGATACACAGACAAATACCGCCAAAAAATGAATTATGGATGAGGGAGCGGGTTGGGTGTTTATATCCGGTCCCTGCAGGCTTTTTTGCTGTAAACAATGCCTTTTCAGAGAAAATACCTGTGCGGCACTGGAAGAAAGGTAAGTTTGTAACTTGTTTACGGGAAAAAGGGAGGCAAAGGGGCCTAAATAGTGTTTTTAACACTATAGGGTTAAGAATACACGTTTGTGTTCCTTACCATTTAGTGTTTCTTTACTACCCTGACTGCATGTTACATAGCATGTGAGTGTGTGATCTGCTGCTTTGAAACCTCTCTCTGGCATGCCAGGATAAGAACCTGAAACTGACATGATCATGACAAAGCCGGGAATGTTGGAAGACCTAAAATATGGACGAAATTATACAATGTCCACATTAGATTGACTGGGAGGGAGATGCCGAGCAGTCCCTTGGTACCCTCTTCATAAAACTGCTTGACAATGATGTGACGCAGAAATGGGCAATGGATCCAGATATCTGCTTGCACCATACTCACTTTGGTGAGCTAAAATGGTTATGGTGCTTAGAAAGTCCCTTTAATAAATTAGAGAGTGTACGTTTTAAACAGCAGTTTTTCTGTTTACATCATTTGTTTTTTTAATTAAATGTAGTTTTACAGCTCCCATTGTAAACATGTGCATAGCGCTTTATTATATTGGTGCTATATAAATGAGGATTTATATATATGTTCCTACACTGTTCCTTCAAATTCGGTCAGGGCGTGGAAACCATAAAAGACCAGATGTAGCTCTGTCTGTAAAGACATGAACGTTCTTGAAGCAAGTGTTGAAAGGCTTTAGATTATTAACCAAAACAAAAACTCAGGAGAATATGCAGCTGATCCCTCTGGAAGTAAAACAAAATGCTCCAAACTGGTGGAGATTAAAGCACAATTCCATAGCAGATACAAAATAGACCTCAAGACTCCTGTGAACGACAGGTCACCTTTGTGCTACACCTTACTTGTGATACTCCCTAAACCTTCTGTTTGTTAACCTTTGGCACTCCAGCTGATGTGCAGTGTACATACCAGAGCATATCATGGAAATGTAGGTCACAACATGTTAAGCAAATCCCTGGATTTAACCCCACAAATCTGTGCCGTATAAGAGGAAAGTAGAAATATGTCCGCAATATTTCATGTTTCTGCAGAGAAAAAAAAAAATATATATTCACAGATATATACACTATAGTGGATATTAGCTAGACCCCTTTTACTATATCATGACAACAGCTCTCTCATACTGCTTCACTGTATGCCAACAATTATTGGTTGGGCACACTCATGCGGTCATTGCCCATGTCCTGCCTGACTAGCTGCTAATTAACCGCAAGAATAACACTGTAAATATACACTTGTTTTAGAACACCCAGACAGTACCAGGGTTTCAACAGTTGCCTTTATCCAAAAGTTAAAATCAAAGTTTAATATCACTTTAATAGATGAGAAAAATGTATTCCACAGCTTACACACCCAGCAAAACAAAGTAAATTGAACAAAGGCAAAGGCTTTGTAAATAAAGCTGTTCGCAATATGCGTTCCAATGTTGGAGCAGTTTTAATCAGAATGGTATTTAAAAACAAATAATGGTTGTTGTTATTCTGGGAGGTGACCTTTTGTCAGAGAAAGATATCCACAAATATTTGTTCTTGCAATGCATTTCATAAATAAGGCAAGTGAAGTTCAAATAGAAATGCTATGCACCAAAAGCACTTCATTTAAATGAAGTGTTTTGGTGCTCAGAAACTGACCCTTTTATCAGGCAATGTTTACATTTTGCCTATGACACACATTGTTGCTGTCAGATTGACAGCCAATAGAGGTGCTTACTCACTGAAGACCTAGCAAAATCAAAGGTCTCAGATTCTGCCACATGTGCAGTTGGTCCCCAATGCTTCTCTATGAGAAGCACTGGACTGGAGAGATAGTCGAGCATGATGATCTCATTAAGGGTAGGCTAGATAATATATAGAGTACAGCAAGAGAAGATGCCTGTTCCAAGCCACCATTGCTCACCAGCTCCTACTGCCATTATTTGTATTCTATATTAGAGGTTCCTATATTTCTATTTTATTTTTTTAATTGCATTGAAATTCCAATAAAAATTCCAATGCATGATTTTCCATAAACCTTCAATTTGAAATGCCAAAAGTGACAATGCCTATATTCCCACAAGCTTTTTATTTTATTTTAAAAGTAGCAAAGTGTTCTACCAGTCTAGATATACAATAGTACAGGATACAGCAATGCAGAGAGTAAGATAAAACGTACAAGTTCTCTCTAATATGCTCTTAGGAAACAGACTGATATCACACAATGTAGAGTGTCTTTCAAGTGTTGACAGGCCAATTTCTGTTGATTATTTTGCCCCAAAAAAATTCAAAATATAAAAATTATATATAATTTAATCATTTTCAATCTCTATTGCTTGCAAAATGAAATGCTACATCAAGCTAAATGTTTACTAATATTTTAATAACTTTGCAACAATAGTGCAATATAAATTTATGCTATTCTTGTAACAATACCAAAATACATTTTCACAAATCATCGAACAGAAAATGCTGAAGACAGAAAAAGCACATTGTTTTCAAAGGACAGTTGCCAAATAGCGAGTACTGGGTTAAAAACCAAAATCTAATTGAAGGTAGAGGTCGACCAATGTGATTGTTCCCAGAGTCTATGACGATTATCGGTCGCCTTTCTGGCCAATTGCAGATAACTGGTGATGATACATCACTCTGTTGAAACAGCTGTGACCAAAGTATCAAACTATGTAATCGGTGCTAAAGCTCACGGCCATTACTCTATCCTACTTCTCCTTGATCTTTCTGTTGCCTTCGACACTGTTGATCATCAACAGCTTCTTCTCATTCTCCATAATCCCGGTCTATGAGATACTGCTCTCTCCTGGTGCTCCTCCTACCTCTTCCAGCACATTTTCAGTGTTTCTTTCTCTGGCTCTGCCTGTCCTTCCCAACCCCTCTGTTGGCATTCCCCAAGGTTCTGTGCTCGGACTCATCCTGTTCTCTATCTATACTGCCTCCCTTGGTAAACTCATCAGTTCCTTTGGCTTCCATTATCATTTATGTGCAGATGAGACACAAATCTACCTGCTCTCTCTCCGCCCATCTTGACTCATGTCTCTGACTGCTTTTCCGCGATTTCCAATTGGATGGCTGCTCACTTCCTTAAACTCAACCTGTCCAAAACAGAAATTCTAGTCTTTCCTCCCTCAAGTGTTGCTCCTCCCATGTCTGTCTGCCTCCATGTCAACGGCACCACCATCACCTCTACCTCGCAGCCTAGGTGTTCTTTGACTCCGACCTCTCCTTCACACCTCATGTCCAGTCGATCGCCTAATCCTGCTGCTTCCATCTTAAAAACAGCTTGCATTCGCCCCTATTTAACATCAGACATAGCTAAGGTCCATGCCGTTCTCTCTCACCATGACTACTGCAATCCCCTTCTCAGTGTTCCCAGATTGCACCACTGGAATCTATAATGAATGCAGCGGCAAAGCTTATTTCCACCCTCACCTCCCATGCCCTCTCCGTTAGACATTCCCCCAGTCTCGACTCAAAAAAAACCAAAAAACACACACACACACACACACACTTCTTCAGAAAAGCATTTCATTTAAACTGTTAGTGAGTTTTCATTCCCTTGACTCTTCATGCAACTGTCAAAAATAACCTACTAAATTCTGAGTGAATACTTTTCTAGCAACCTATTTCACTACCCCTACGTATAACCTGTGTATCACTATGCCCCACTCCCTCTAGCATGTAAGCTCATTGAGCAGGACCCTCAATCCCTCTGTTCCTGTGCATCCGTTTGTCTGGTTACAATTACATGTCTGTTAGTCCAACCATTGTACAGCGTTACGGAATTTTCTGGCACTATATAAATGAGAAAATAATATTCTGCACATTTAAACATTTTGAAAAACCAACAATTTCTACATAAATCTGGCATTAACAGAACATGCGGGAAAGCAATCACACTCTTACCACTCTCAGGAAACCAACCCTTTACATTACTGTAGATTCAGTTGAGCTCCACATGCGGAGACTCACAAGGAGGGGTGATGTTAGTCACAATTGTAGCGCCTCAATCGGTAGCAGTTGGAGTTCGCAAATGTAGAAGATGGCATGCATTAACTAGAAGTAAAAACGTTACAAAACCGATACGGATCACCAGAAAATATGACGAACATCAGCTCTATTAAAATCGACAGTAGCAATAATTGATCTATCCCTAATTCAAAGTGCATAAAGATGACTGTCAGAAAGAGGGTGAATGAGATAGTATACTATAGCAAAAGCATTACATTAAAAACATGTTAATGTCAATGTTCTGTTAATAGTTAAAGGGACACTAGTATAATCGCTCCCTTCAGGCATTTTTCATGTAAACACTGTCTTTTCAGAGAAAATATATATGGTGGGTTTAGCACTATAGGGCCAGGAATACGTTTGTGTTTCTGACCCTATAGTGATCCTTTAAGGATATGTATGGAACTGCAGTAACAATAGGATTCTAAGAAATCAACGTAGACTTAAATGGACACTATAGTCACCAAGACCACTTTATCTCAATAAAGTGGTCTCAGTGTAGTATCCCTGTCTGCTTGACCTTTTCATGTAAATTTACCCTTTTTTTGTTTTTGGGTTGTGTTTTTTTTTTTTTTTAGATGCCATGTTTACATGCGGAGTTACACCTACATCCAGGAGATGCAAGTATGACAGCCACTGGAGGCACTTCTGCTGAACTGACCAGTCATGTGACTCGGAAGCCCCATAGGAAAGCATCAGTGCATTCAGTACTATACTAAAACAAAAGCGAATATTTTTAAAAATGTTATATTGCAAACAGTTTGTATTCCTAATGCTAGATAGTGTTCCGTGTTCCTTTATACCTATCCTATTCAGGACATATGATTTTACAAGATCCGAATATGTTCCATTTACAACAATCTCCTATTCTGGACAGTGTATAGGTCAGGTTTTGGATTACTCCTAGTAATATTGGTTTATCAAGTATCTACATGGTGAGGCTCTGGGCGCTTACAGCCTTACTAAACGTATGCAAATGGAAAATTATTTTCCAACATGCACTGTAGTAAAATGTAATATTTTGATCTATTGTAACCCCTCCCTACAAGAATCCAGTGTTACCTCACCAAACCTTGTTCCAGCCACATTACATCTGTTACTTATTACATACTAGATGTATTATTTCCATCTGTGAGCTGGTAAATTCCAGGTAACCCTCTGGATTACCCTTGCTGTCACAAAGTAATAAATCATTTATATTAAAAAGAAGCAACTCTGCATAACAAGATAAACATTTTCCACAATTAACATATTACGACTTATCCAAAACGCATGAAAAAAAAAAAAAAAAAAAAAAAATCAATAACTCAAAGATTCCTTCTGATAAAGTAACTTGCACAGCATTTGACATTATTGGCACACCGTTCCCATGAAGAAAGATTCACCAATAAGATGCTTCTTGTAACATAAACCCCTGTCTATCAGAAGTTTATTGGATAAGTAGTTTATCCACTAAAAAGCAGTTGAACTTATACAGAATTAGTGGAAATTCTCTATAAAAAAAAAAAAAAACAAACATTTGTTTAGTGAACCAAGCGTTACGCAGAAACCAGCAGAACCATGGATCATGCATGCGCAGTTCAGCACCACCTTAATATCTAGGGACGATAGAGTGCTCAGTCTAAGCTGTGCATGAACACATTGTAGTATTTCAGGAACCCCAATGGCATCCATGTAACCAAAAACATGTTTCTGAGTTCAATAAAGGAAATTTATTGAAGTTATTAAATATATACATGTGGATGTGTTTTAAGCTGTGATCTAGGTAGACAAAACACAATTACAGGACTTGAAAGTATACAGGGAGTGCAGAATTATTAGGCAAATGAGTATTTTGACCACATCATCCTCTTTATGCATGTTGTCTTACTCCAAGCTGTATAGGCTCGAAAGCCTACTACCAATTAAGCATATTAGGTGATGTGCATCTCTGTAATGAGAAGGGGTGTGGTCTAATGACATCAACACCCTATATCAGGTGTGCATAATTATTAGGCAACTTCCTTTCCTTTGGCAAAATGGGTCAAAAGAAGGACTTGACAGGCTCAGAAAAGTCAAAAATAGTGAGATATCTTGCAGAGGGATGCAGCACTCTTAAAATTGCAAAGCTTCTGAAGCGTGATCATCGAACAATCAAGCGTTTCATTCAAAATAGTCAACAGGGTCGCAAGAAGCGTGTGGAAAAACCAAGGCGCAAAATAACTGCCCATGAACTGAGAAAAGTCAAGCGTGCAGCTGCCACGATGCCACTTGCCACCAGTTTGGCCATATTTCAGAGCTGCAACATCACTGGAGTGCCCAAAAGCACAAGGTGTGCAATACTCAGAGACATGGCCAAGGTAAGAAAGGCTGAAAGACGACCACCACTGAACAAGACACACAAGCTGAAACGTCAAGACTGGGCCAAGAAATATCTCAAGACTGATTTTTCTAAGGTTTTATGGACTGATGAAATGAGAGTGAGTCTTGATGGGCCAGATGGATAGCTGGATTGGTAAAGGGCAGAGAGCTCCAGTCCGACTCAGATGCCAGCAAGGTGGAGGTGGAGTACTGGTTTGGGCTGGTATCATCAAAGATGAGGTTGAGGATGGAGTCAAGCTCAACTCCCAGTCCTACTGCCAGTTCCTGGAAGACACCTTCTTCAAGCAGTGGTACAGGAAGAAGTCTGCATCCTTCAAGAAAACATGATTTTCATGCAGGACAATGCTCCATCACACGCGTCCAAGTACTCCACAGCGTGGCTGGCAAGAAAGGGTATAAAAGAAGAAAATCTAATGACATGGCCTCCTTGTTCACCTGATCTGAACCCCATTGAGAACCTGTGGTCCATCATCAAATGTGAGATTTACAAGGAGGGAAAACAGTACACCTCTCTGAACAGTGTCTGGGAGGCTGTGGTTGCTGCTGCACGCAATGTTGATGGTGAACAGATCAAAACACTGACAGAATCCATGGATGGCAGGCTTTTGAGTGTCCTTGCAAAGAAAGGTGGCTATATTGGTCACTGATTTGTTTTTGTTTTGTTTTTGAATGTCAGAAATGTATATTTGTGAATGTTGAGATGTTATATTGGTTTCACTGGTAATAATAAATAATTGAAATGGGTATATATTTGTTTTTTGTTAAGTTGCCTAATAATTATGCACAGTAATAGTCACCTGCACACACAGATATCCCCCTAACATAGCTATAACTAAAAACAAACTAAAAACTACTTCCAAAAATATTCAGCTTTGATATTAATGAGTTTTTTGGGTTCATTGAGAACATGGTTGTTGTTCAATAATAAAATTAATCCTCAAAAATACAACTTGCCTAATAATTCTGCACTCCCTGTACATGAAACATTCAAACATGGGTAAGAAACATCAATAAAAAGAAACATATGAATGCATTCAACAAGCAGCTCTGTCTCCAAACGTAAAACTTGGTCTAATCGGTTTTCATAAAATATGTAAAGAAAATTTTTTTTTTATGTAAAAGCAGTCAAGTTGACAAAACCTGAAAATAGGCAGAGCGTAAACAAAAAGTTGTTTCAGTTGCCAATCAAATTTACCCACAAAAAAAAAATACATCAGTAAAATAAGCCCCACAGAAGGGTAAACGACAGACATAATTAGGAGAGGAGAACAAAATGGCTGTATCCAGGTATTGTGATCCAGTGCAAAGAGGATAATAGATAGATATATAGGCAAGTGAGGGAGTAGAATCAGACAGAGAAATTTTAGCCAAATGGAGAGACTTAATGAATTTTCACCTTCAATGTCAGGGAAACCGGCGTGCTCCTGCCACACACGCTACAAACTCCACATAACGACCCTAATCAAACCCCGAAATCACACCAAGGCGCATCTACCGAGAAGGGGACACCTTGGCAAGCAGTCTGATACCAGGCATAGACAACTATAACGACCGTAACCTTGAGAAAAGTTATTGGCGGCCTGCGGGAACTGGTGGCGGGGAGAGACGGCCGCTCTCTCCGACACAGCACTGTGGCAGCTAAGATAATGAAAACCAGGACCGGCGGGGGTAATCCCAGTCCACCACACTGAAGCAACCGGGCCAAGACAAAAAGCACACTGCATGCCCGCAAGAACAGCACCCAGCCACACCAAAAACACAATGGCGGATGCCACGTGCACTGGGGAGCACGATACAGCAGGGACAGACTACTCAGCCAGGCTGAATGCTATCTTTGAGGCCTCTTAGGCAAATCTGGAGAGCCGATCACGACAAGCCACAGAAAACACTCGACCATGGAGGGTCGATCCCCAGCAACCCCGCCACAAGCTAGCTATTCTCCCGCCTGACGGGACCCCACGATAGCGCCGCGCGGGGAAAAGCCTCCTGCCTCCACGGCACCACCCGAAAGGATGCCATACACGTCTAGGAAAACACAAAGGCACTTACCCTGCATGCACCCAGCAACCGACCGGGACGAACAGGTCAGCCGCGAAAGGCACGCCGCACCACAACACTCGAGAGACAGACGAAGCCACATCTGCTCTTGCGGATCTCTGCAACTGGGTGCCCACGCCTTCCTGATATGTATAACTTATCTTTCCTGCTCTTAACATATTAATGCTCACTTATTTAGCACATACTTTATGATTCACAGCTAAGTACCTGCCATTAATATAGGTTGAACATGTCTTAATTCACTAGCTAAAAATAGTACAAGCATTAGTGTAAGCCCCACTGTTATGAATGTGTGCAAAGCAAGACGGAGATACTATCTTGAGAGAATGCCGTACTAACAGCTTGTAGTGTGGTGACATCTTCCTTTGATGCTGAGTGAATGCCTCTGCCCCTTACTACACGATGTAGTTAAGACACACATGTACCTGTGTTTTCTAATCTTGTTCTGTGCACCCTATGCCTATCTCCATATAGTCGTGTCTGCAAGACAGGCCACACGGGAGATGTAGACATATTACTCAGACGATTGTGCAGGGCATACCCGGTTTGTTTAACTTCTTCTTTATGCATGATCTACTCGTTCACGTAATACTCAGGATTTTTCAAACGCATAAAAATGTGCAGTCAGCTCAAATGTCATGTACAACTATGCCTTATTCCGCTTGCTAGTATTGTCGTGACACTATAAGCATTGTCTGTTATCTCATGCACAACTGAAAATAAAGAATTTAAAAAAAAAAAGTTAGATTATATATACATACACACACAGTGCTGAGGGGGCGGAGCTAGCGCCCAACATGATCAGTTACATGCTTGCGGCTCTCCCAGCTTTGGAACACTAAACTGCAATAAAAACGACTATACCAAGCCACTCATGACCCGACAGACTGTTGTCAAAAGCACCCACACTGATGGAGAGGAAACCAAAGATGTCGCGACCGGACTGGCTGCGGATCACAGCAGATACAGGAGACTGCATGGCGCAGCCGGACCCAACATGGAGGCAGACTTCGACAACTTCACGGACAGCTCGGAAGAAATTCCCCTACACAGCCCTGACACTCTAGGGTACAAGGGGCCACCTAAGCCTTCACAGCCGACCGCTAGCTCCTTTCACCCGGTCACCACAGAGATACTTACCAACTCATCACAGAACACCGGCAAACGCTCTATGCTGAGATATCCCAGGTTGAGGGAGTATGTCAGGGGGTTCACCGCTCGCTCACAGCAGTGGAGCAGACCTCTCAAAATAAACAACACAGGTCCAGGACCTCCAGAAGCAGGTCAAAGACCTGACTGCTGCTCACATTACTCTCAACCACCAACTAGCTATAGAAGACAAGAGGCAATGGAAGCATGTGAAAAATCAGAGGCCTCTCTGAATGAATAGCCCCAGCTGAACTGCCTCACTTCATCCACAGGCTATTTGCAGCCCTCCTACCCCCCAGGCAAACCAAGGGAACACAACTTGATGGAATATTCCACCTGCCCAAGCCATCAATGCCCTCAGGTACAGCTACCAGTGACCTCCTGATAAAGTTCCAGAATGGGCAGGATAAGGCAGTCTTTATGAGTGCCACGAAGGGAAAGAATCCATATCGTTTGAAGACATGGACTTGTCCTTCTATACTGACCTCTCTCGTACTACCCTGCTTTGGAGGAAATACCTTCAACCACTAACAGTAACAGCCAAGGGAGTGAAGTATCGCTGGGGACCGGCGCACGTACTCCTCATTCAACATCAAGACATCGAGCACAAAGTAGCAGACATCGCCGAGATGGACACGGTCCTAGCAGCCTTGGGCTGCGCAGCCCCACCTACCTCCATAACCTGGGACCCAGCTAAAGTAGTCCCATTCACCCCCGCTGCCCAAAGACCACCTGACGCACCTGCTTATACCCTATATTACTAGTATTTCTTAATATGTTGGGAGTAGCCCTCAGTTAAACGTTACATGTTCCATGTATAACAAAAACACATTTTAATGCCTCTCATACTGGCATAAGAATCACTAAACCTTAGGCCAAACAAGGCAGAAACCGGGAAGATCACGCTGGCTCCACTTAAAAAAATTAAAATAATTTGTAACAACCACCCCCCCAGCTCCCATCATGTACTCTCTCATACTAGGCAAATTATCGTGGAGCTGTTTATTTTTTGCATCAGATTACTCTGCTCAAATGGTAACACTCACTGTAGTACTCAGTCACTAAGTATTCACCCCCGCCTAAAAGCCAACCACAGTAACTTCCAACATATTTTAACATACTGAGGTTACCATAATAGTCCTCTGGGCTCCACTCCACCGAAACAGGTTCGACCGCCCAACTAGTTCTTGCGCTGCTGTTAGGCATACACTATCCTGTTTTTGCATTTATTTACATTGTCTCATTTTATAAAAAGTGCAGTTAATTCAAGTGACATGAAGAAGTCTGACGATATAATGCTTGTTACCGCTATTGTGGCTGTACAGACTTGATTGTAATTTTTTGCACAACAAAAATAAAGATTTATAAACAAAAACAAAGATAGAGCTAAAACACTAAATTAGTCCATAGCTCAAAGACCCTTTACAATTTATTGGTCAAAAGAGGGGGTGGAAGGGAAGGCAGTGAATAACCTGTATGGTACCTCCGTTTACAAACGCCTCGGTTAACATACAAATGAAAGTCCATTTAAAATAATGCCTTACGAATTTTTTTCGCAATACAAAGCAAGTTTCCCCAGGATGCATTGCACCTGGGAGGTTTATAGCGCCGCCCCCGTGCATGCTGGAGTCTGTGGGTATCACTTTTTGGTGTATTTCTCAAGCGGTGGAAACGTAGGGAGCTGGGCTTCATCATTTGCATGCCTTTGACTGCATTTTCTGCATTGTGGGTTGGTTTCCATGCTAGCTCATTTTGACTTTTTTCTGACCTCTGGAACGGATTAATTGGTTTTCAATGCATTCCTATGGGAAACCATGTGGTACACAGAGGCAATGCTGTATTAAAAAGAAATTGCAGGTATAAAGTGGATCTATTTTTAAGGAACTCTATAAACAGTTCACCTAACGTTCCTAACAGAATTCCTGTTTAGTGGATGTGGAGTCACAGGCAGATCCCTTCCACTCCAAAAAACAAAAAAATCTAGAATCAAGATAAGATTGCAACCCATAGACGAGAAAGATCCTATCTAGTAAATCTGTGTCCAACAGAAGATTGTGGGATCAATTCCACTAGCCATATGGAATGAGTGGAACCAGGGCTTAAAATGTGAAGTCCCATATTACTAGCAACGCCTTAAACATTATTCGCCACTGAAAGCCATAGATAATCTCAGACACTGCAATGATTTACATTGCAGGACTGGGACACTGCACTCAGACCACTAGAATGAGTGGAAGTGATCTGGGTGTCTATAGCGCCCTTTAATACCTGAATTTTCACTCACCAATGGCTAGAGAAGAATAACAATTTTGAGCCCTGAAAGAAAACTGTTTAATAAACCGATAGCTATACCACTATCCATTTACACAGTCGTGTTCACTGCTTAGTGAATCAAGTTATGTTGATCTGTGCTTGACGAGCAATGGAAATGCCAGGAACATGTGGTGCTGATACCACACACAAAACTGAAATAAGCAGCAAGGAACACCAATTCTGGGCTCTGTGAGGCGGTCTTAGACCGGAGTGGTTTCAGGAGGCTCTATGCACCTTCAAACGTTGCAATAATGCAAAGTTGTCACAGTGCATCGAGGGACTCTTTAACGGAACACTCCAAGCACTACAACCACTAGTGTGCTGTAGTTGTTATGGTGCCATAAATACTGTAGAACCCACAATGTAAACAGTACTCATACTCAATGCTGAGTAAGTGTTTGCCGTGGTGCTTATTTTTCAAATTATCCATAGAGTATATGTACAATACTCAACAGCAAAATTTTTAATAGGCATTGCTGCTTGTATAATGCGGTTATTTTGCTATAATTGTCTCTAAAAAGGTACACACCAAGAACAATAATTCCTACATTGCACTGCAGACACCCCCAATGCAAGTAGTGACAACTCACCACTGATCTGCTGGGTACCACTGCTTGGCGCAATTCGTTCAGAACAGCTAACTGAAGCGCCATGCAGGAGATTATAGCTCTCAATGGAAGAAGTGACCAGTGTCTGGTGGACCTCAGGTAAGCTGTCAAACTGTCAGCAAAAACAGTTTGGCTACTTACATTTGGGGGATGTTAGGGTACTCCTAGCTAGTTCTATAGTGGATACGGTGCTTACAGTGTTCCTTTAATGCAGTCAAGCTTTGCAAACGTGAAAGAACCTGCCAGGAAATATCAAAATCTGCCACAAGTCTTAAGTCACTGAAAACATCTGCCACGGTTTATCTTCAATCAAAAAGCAGCTGCACTAATTGTTCATGTAAAACTGTATTGTGTGTCTCGTGTTAAACGTTAAACAGTGTTTTGTATAGACATGGACAGATTGTAAAAAAAGTTAACAGAAAAAAAAAATATATATATTATTGTTCCTGATAACGTATTTTAAATGGATATCTACCACAATATTTAAGACCTAGATGGCAGATTCAGCTTCTGGTAGGCAGTCAGACTTTAAAGATGCCCATTTCTGCCAAGTCGTCAAAACTTGAAATACAAAATAGAATTCTGAGTTATGAGCTCACAAAGATTTTTTCCCCTTCTCACGCTCTTTGTGGCAAGGGGAGAGAAATGTGAACATGTCCAGCTGATGCTGTTTGACTGTTACACCAACCACCCATTCACAGTCACTGAATGGCTGCAGTTCATGGGAATTATCATGCAAAACTTGAGATACCAAGTTTCAGTACATTGTGAAAATGTTTAACAATCCTATGCCACAATAAATATTTGCATGCATACCACTGACATGGCCAACAATGTAATCTGCTCTTTACATATAATGCAATGGGAACTTACGGCAACAAGTACTCAGATAAAGGGTAATCTTTCTACAACGATAGTTTTTAATACAAATTAGATACTGGCTCACAAGATCACACGAAACATTTAAGAAAATAAACCCAAATGGTGTTCACTTCGGTCTCTAGTGCAGAGGAGCTTACAACAATGGAGAGGAAGCCCCCCCATTTTACAGAGGAGGAGGGAACAAAAAAAAATTACATGGATAAGGAGGGGAGTGTCCAGGAAGAGGCAAAAGAACAGGGTCCCCAAGCAGCATGTCTATGACAAAGACTTGTTCTCCTGCCAAGGGAGACAGATGTAAAGTCCCGCAGATGGGAAAATGGAGATACTGAATGCACAATGGCAAGGCTTTATTAACCCTCTCTTAAAAGGATGTACAGTATAGATATAACGAATGGATTTATGATATCTACACACATGGCATTTAAGGGGTTAAAGTGTCTTTTATAAAATGTGCAGGAAAAGGTGATTGAGTCTCCTGGCAGCAAAAAGGTTAATCTCTAACTGAAAAATGATATTCCAAGACTTTAATAATCAACACATGTAATCATACCCACAGCGTGAGATCAATGTCATGAGCATGCTAGCTCCCATGCAACACAACCCTTTGCATCCGCTGTCACACAAGATGGTTAAAACATGCAAGTGTCAGACTAAACAGCTCAAGTAAAGAGAGTGTTAAATGGGAGACAATTACCCAGGATGGCTATGAAATGTAGCATGAGGCCATGTTTCAAGTTTCTAAAACTACCAACAGTGTAACATGTGAATGAAAAGTAAAACTATTATCTGAATATGAAAAAAAAAAAAAAAATGAAAAAACACCTTTAAAATAGATCATTTAGATGAAGCAAAGCCAATAAGCAAAGTATAAAAAAAAAAAAAAAAAAAAGGATTCAGAATTATAGGACACGTTATTAGATAAAAAAAAAAAAAAATGAAATAAGTAGCTTTGAATAATAATAGTTTTAAATGATAGATGGGGTGTCGGTTCCACAACAAAGCAAAGATCCCACCGACCACAAAACAATAGGGTTCAAGGTCAATGTTAACTCATCTCTAAATAAAAAGCAATTTCTCATTTCTTGTCATTCCTTCCATTTAAATAGGAGACTTGGTGCAAACCACCTCCAACAAGACTAGATCATGCAACATGAAAGGAGGATAGCATTAGGATAAAGACCTGGGTATCAGGCTTCCTATTTACAGGAGATGATACAGATGGACAATCCTCAAGGTGATTAAGATTAATCTCATCATTCATACCCTCTCATGTAACCATAAGTGTTCTTCCCTTACATTTTAGGTTACAAACCTGCAACATGACAGACTAAGCACAAAGCAAAAATCATAATAAATAAATGGATGCAGTTATACCTTTAACTCTAAGACACACCAATGAATATATTTCACCAAACACCGACTTTTATTAGGCTGAAACCAGCTTTTTTGAAATGTAGGCTACAATAACCTAAATTAGAGATTATTATTATTATTATTTTAATTTGCTTTTCCCCCTAAATATTGCAATTCTACTTTCAATCCAACAAAATAAATCGGTGTTTAGTGTATAACCCCCCCCCTGCAATGCTCTCAAGACAAGGCAGCATGAATGCTTTACAAAAAGGCAAGCCCTCCAGCTGCTGGAGAACTACACCTCCCATGATGCTCTGCCACCCATGGTTTCCAGGCTCCAGAGTCTGTCAATGATGGAATAAGTCACAATAGACAGTGTGCTCTGGAGATATGAAGCTAGGCCAGTGCCCCCCAATACATGCCGGGCCCCCCACACTTACAGAGCGGGGTGCTGCTTCTTACTGCTCTCTGCTCCCTCGGAACCAGGCGGCGGGCCCGGTAGATGTGATGGACCCGGTACCGGTCCCAGTGATAACACTGAGCACAATAACGGTGACTATGGGGGAGTAAGGCGACAAGCACGGCTCCCGAGCTCTCCTGCCCAACACCGGGACCGGGAACAGCGAGACACAGCAGCCGAACTACAGCTGGAGGCGAAGCAATCGCTATCCGCTGGCGTAAGAACGCAAGGCCATAAACACCGAGCGTGCTGGGTGACGTCACCGCGCACCGGAGCCGCACAGCCTGTCGGGATGTGTAGTTTGAAGGGGGGGTTGTGACACAAAGGGGCTTGCACTTCTTCTAGTGATCGGCAGGGTTATTCAATAAAGTGAGAAATTTGAGGGAATTTAAAGTGAGGTAAAAAAATAGCTGATCTGGGGAAATTCTCCAAGTCAGCTGTGATTCCAGCTCAGCTGCTTTGGCCTTGATTTTAAAAGGTGATTTTCAGTTCACAACAGTTCTCACTTTAGCGAATGACCCTGTAAGACTAGTCTTGGGCAGATGCTGGAATTCACTAAAAGTGAAATGTACACTCACAGTGATATAGCTTACTTGAAAGAGCAGTTAACTTAGTTTTTGTTTATTTTTACTAACAGGAATATGCATTAAAGGACCACTGTAGTGCCAGGAAAACATACTCGTTTTCCTGGCACTATAGTGCCCTGAGGGTGCCCCCACTCTCAAGGCCCCCCTCCTACTGGGCTCTAGAGGGTGGAAGGGGTTAAATTTACCTCTTTCTCCAGCGCCGGACGGGGACCTCTCCTCCTCCATATCGCCGTCATCGGCTGAATGCGCATGCTTGGCAGAAGCTGCGCGCGCATTCAGCCAGTCCATAGGAAAGCATTCTCAATGCTTTCCTATGGACGCTGGCGTCTTCTCACTGTGAAGCGGCTGTCAATGAGACAACCACTAGATCACTAACCCTAGCTGGACCTGGCACCCAGACCACTTCATGAAGCTGAAGTGGTCTGGGTGCCTATAGTGGTCCTTTAACAGTGCAGATATATTCTCAAACAGGAGCATTCACTATCAAGGGTATTCACTTAAGATTGAAGGGGTATTCACTAACTGTTGTATTCATGAAGAGGGTTATTTACTGGCAGGGGTGTTCCCAAAAATGTAAATTGTCAGTAAAAGTGCCTACAATTTGTAAATTTTTCAAATTGGAATTTTTTTCCAGGTTGTTTATTCACTAAGCTCAAGTTGTACTGAACCATACCTCCTGAGTGTCCCTATTTAGGATGGAAAGTCCTATTATGGGGCCAAATCCCTCTGTACCTCGTTTCTACCCTAATGTACCTCATTTCTAGGATAGCATATTGTTGGTGTTTCTGAGTGTATAACAGAGCTCCACAGCAATACTATTATCAGTATTGTGTCTTTAAGCCACAAAACAGATGTTTAGAAATTAATATGTGTACATTAGATATATAACTTTTGTTCTCAATGACATTTTATGTCTATAAATGTTTATTAGTAAATCACCTAGTATGTTTCAGGCCCATCACTGGCCACGCCACTAAAATTAAAGTGTCCCTCTTTGTCCATTTGAAATGTTTTGAGGTATTCTGAACAGAAAACCAAATCACAAATTAAAGCTAAAATAACTGATATGGAAAAAGAATTAATCCCAGCTATATCACAACCTGCCACAGTTTTGCCCTATGGATGTCAATTCACTACTATTTAGAGCTCAGTGAATAACCCTACAGGTCGACCATGCTTTAAGTTCAGCTGCTCTCAGGGCCGGATTAAGAGCACAGTGGGCCTGGTGCTGACAATTATGATGGGTCTAATTACGGAATCTTATCGACCAAAAACACTAAAACAATCATACCTCCCAAGCGTTATGTATCTGATGTAGATGGTGCTGGAGGGAAACTCATAGGATGCAGCTATAAGAAAACAAATACTCTATGCTAATTTCTCTCTAATTTATGCTTTCATTTTTCAAGTAAATCCATAACCCCTAACAACAGTGTCCAGTGAAGCAGGAAGTCAATGGGCTGGGTAAAACGGTGTGCCACTGGCGCAAATCACGTGACAAGACCTGCCAAAAGGGGTGAACATGCCCAAAAAGAGGGCATGTTTGTCCAAAGAATTGGAAGGTCAGCCTGGCATGAATGCATGTCAGGCTGCCTGCCAATCCTGCAGGCTGTCCAACTAAGGGCATAATATGCAGGCAGCACCTTGAGCTTGACATAAATGCGTCTAATGATGCGCTCACTCCATTCTTTCTAAGGACTGTCCCCTAGCACTCGCTGGTCCATTTCTCTCCTTACCTTCTTACCAGCAGGCAGAAGTTCCTGGTATATAGTGAGACAGAGAAAAGGTATCTGTAGTGAGTGTAGAAGAAAGGGGACATGCCACAGTGTTAGAGAGACCAACGTCTGCATTACCTAAACTAACTTTAATGTCAGCCAGTGCACACAAGTTTTGTTCCCATACATCCCTCTTAAGCTTCCAAACTTAAAGGGACACTATAGTCACAAGAACAACTACAGCTTATTGTATTTGTTCTGGTAAGTAGAATCATTCCATTCAGGCTTTTTGCAGTAAACACTGTCTTTTCAGAGAAAATAACTCCACTGGCCGCTCCTTAGATGGCTGCTAAAGGTGCTTCCTGGGGAAGTACTGCCTAGTGTGCAGCACTGCCATTCAGTGTCTCCACCCTCTGCATGCAGACACTGAACTTTCCTCATAGAGATACATGTATTCAATTTATCTTTATGAGGAGATGCTGAGGGGCTGGCTCTGCCCCTGATCTGCCTAGTTGACAGTCTCAGCCAATCCTATGGGGAAGTATTGTAATTTGCTCAGACCACCACTTCTGAGCCAGCAGCTGCAGAATTGAATACAAGTAATATTTTACTATATTTAGGGAGGCAAAAAGGGGCCAGGGAGGTGGTTTTAACATAATAGGGTAAGAAATACATGATTGTGTTCCTGACACTATAGTGCTCCTTTAAGCAAGAGTATGTGAAGAGTAGTTAAGGCTGCCACCTTTCTTGGAAAAAAAATACCAGCCTTAATCATTTGTATAATTAATTAGTTATGTGTGACATCACATTGATTCTGCTGTATAGATGGATTGCTCCCAGTGTCTCCCTGTCTCCCAGTGTCTCAGTCTCGCAAGTCACCCAGTGTCTCAGTGTCCCTATGTATCACAGTGTCAGTGTCCCCATGTCGTCCAGTCCCCTAGTCTCCCAGTGTCTGTGTCCCCATTTCTCCCAGTGTCCCAATGTCTCAGTGTGTCCCCATGTCACTAGGATACTGGGGACACTGAGAGACATGGGGACACTGAGAGACCCGGGGACACTGGGAGACATGGGGACACTGAGACATTTAGGCAAACTGGGAGAAATGGGGACACTGAGACACTAGGAACACAGACACTGGGAGACATGGGGACACTGAAACATTTGGGGACACTATGACACTGGGGACACAGACATGGGAACACAGACACTGGGAGACTAGGGGACACTGGCTGGGAGACAGACACTTGGGGACACTGGGAGACATAGGGACAGTTGTGGACATAGACATGTGGACACTGGGACATATAGGGACACTGGGAGACATGGGGACACCAGGCACACTGAGACACTAGGAACACAGACACTGGGAGACATGGAGACACTGAAACATTTGGGGACACTAAGACACTATGGACACAGACACTGGGAGACTAGGGGACACTGGCTGGGAGACATACACTTGGGGAGACATGGGGACAATTGTGGGACATAGACACATGGGGACACTAGGCACGCTGAGAGACATGGGACACAGACACTGGGAGACTTGGGGACACTGAGACACTAGGGACACTGGCTGGGGGACATAGTGTCTCCGTGTCCCAATGTCCCTATGTCTCACAGCGTCCCAATGTGTCTCAGCATCCCCATGTGTCCCAGTGTCCCCTAGTGTCTCGGTGTCTCCATGTTTTCCAGTGTCCCCAAGTGTCTGTGTCCCCAGGTCTCCCAGTGTCTGTGTCCCCATGTGTCCCCTAGTGTCTGTGTCCCCATATGTCCCCAAGTGTCTCAGTGTCCCCAAGTGTATGTGTCATCATGTGTCCCCTAGTCTCTGTGTCCCCTAGTGTCTCAGTGTCCCCATATGTCCCCTAGTGTCTCAGTGTCCTCATGTGTCCCCTAGTGTCTCAGTGTCCCCATGTGTCCCTGCTGCCTTTCCCCCCATCCCTCACTTACCTGAGCTGTAGAGCTGCTGTCTGGACTCTCTGTGCTGTGTAGCTGCTCCCCCACGGATCAGTGAGTAGTAGAGAGAGGCAGTGATATTCTGTAACTTCCTATCCCGGCCTCTCTCCACACACAGTGACCCCTACTGGCCGGTTCTGGTATTGCAGAGTAATTTCCATTTATTCTGAGAAAATTACCTGCATTTGTATTGCCGGTATTACTGCAATACCGGCACGGCCAGGCAGCCTCAAATACCGTCTGTGCCATTAAAATACCAGTCAGGTGGCAAACCTAAGAGTAGTGTGTTTTTTTTAATGGGCCTATTCCAGGGGCCTGGGCCTGGAGCTGCAGCTCCATCAGCCCCTATGTTAATCCGGCCCTGGCTGCTCTGACCTAAAATGTTACATTTACGTGAACCATTTCCCGACAGTGAGTGCTAGGACGTCCTAAATGCCGGATCTGCACAGCAGGGACTGCCTAACAACTGAGGTACTTCCCCTGTAGCCAGTCCTGCCAATCCGAGTCATGTTATCGCAAAGACACCGCAATCACATAACTCGGATCGGCAGGATTGACAGACTAGCTGCATGGGGACTGCCTTGGTTGTCAGGCAGATCTCCCAATATATAATTAATATATAAAATACACTTAGTATACTTAGCATATATATCTGATAAGGGCAAATCCCTATTTTCGACCCTGTAACTTTCCAAAACCTCATAAAACATGTACATGGGGGGTACTGTTAAACTCGTGCTATATCACTGAAAATATACGTATTTTATTGTAGCAAAGGCTAACAGTATTATGACATTCAAAAAAATGCCATGCAGAACTTGGCAAACAACAAGATTTTATTTCATATTAAATAATGTTTCATATATAAATATTTGACGTGAAATTACTCTTCATATATAAATGTTTTTTGTGTGAACAAAATTATATATAATAAGTATGGGTGCACTTAATATGAAAGAG